GAATGATTAAATTAATGATTTCTATTCCCACATTAACTTTTTTAATAAAAATTTAGTATATCAAATCATATTTTAGTGGTTCTAATATTTTTAACATCTATTAATTAGTAGTATCATCTTTCTAACAAGTTATTTGTTGAGTAGAATCAAACTTGTAATTATAGACTATAATATAATTTATTCAAGTTATTTTATAATACTTAATAAAAGTATGCCAGGGAAATATTATAAATTAATTATTCGATTGAAAACTATTTGTAATTTAAAATAGATCTATCTCAATTTTCAAGTGTATTTTAACATAATTCAGTATTATAATCTTGAAAATACTTCATCATTATGTTATGTGTCCTTTATTCTTGGAACATGAATAAAGCAAATGCTTTTGAAATCATGAAAAAATTCTATTATGTAAATGTTCAAATATATTTGGTTATGAGGCCTTATTTAAGTTTTTCTCTAATGACAAAGATGAATTTGTGCAAAATTAATTCAACCTAATGCATGTTTAAGGAATTAAAGGAATTAATCTAAACTTAGAATGGAAAATATATAGTGATATTATTTTAGGATCCACTACAATTAATAATAAAAATTAATTCTCAGGTTTTAACCCAATATGTGAATAAATATTTTTATTATAAATTTAATTTAATTTAGCACATAGTAATATTGAAATATATAGAACTTATTTTATAAATTAAATAAAACATTTTTATAATGAATATAGAGGTCTGTTTGGATTACAACACTTACTATATTGTAATCAAAGTTAGATTTTGTTTCTATGGCAGAAACTTGCACAATTACTCTATTAATGAATAATAATATCATTCTCTGTAAAAGTTAATAAAATAGGATTAATTATATTGGCTTAAGATATGAGAGATTTAAGATTTAAAATATAAAATAATCAAAATTTGAATATCTAATTTATGAAGCACTATCAAATTCAAAATTTAGACAGGCTATGATTAGTATGCATTACATTTATGCGATCATGTAAATATTGTCAAAAAGTAAATGTATCTTGGTACTGTCTAAATCAATCTTGTTAGGAATAAAAATAATATAGTGTATGATTGATTGGATGATATTTGGCTTATTCGGATAAATGAAATTTTATTCTAAACATATTAACTATAAATCATTTCCTATCCGAAAATAATAAACCTTAGATATAATGGCTCAAAGAGTGTAATATAATAATAACATGGATTACTAAATTAGGAAAAAAATTAGAGAGACACAATTAGTATTATTGAGTGAATTGGCTTCTAAATAAATTTGGTATATCCAGAATTAAAATTTGGAATGAAGTATATACTAGAATCTGCTGAATACATTAAAAATAATGAAGGACAAATTATTCATTATGACCTTTTGTTAATGATTTTTAAATTTACCATTATTATTCCAAAAATTAAGAATGCTATTTGTTAGATTATATAAAATAAATGACATTAGCAATAATTGATTTCTCTTATGGTCTAAATATGGTTATAAATTCTAATTTTTTAACATTTATGAAAAAATATGAATTTGATATTTTCAGAAGATTTGTATTTGAAATAAAATTGAATTGGAGCTAAGCTAAATATAAGTTAAGGGATTAATTTCATAATTACATTTGAATTAACAATATTTATAGTGTTCAAAAATTTATTCATATTCAAATCATAAGACTTAAGAAAGTTTCCTACTCTCAAACAACATAATATATGATTATCATAAGAAATACATAAAATTGTAACTGAATGTCACTAAAATTGATTTTTCTTAAAATTTTTTTATAGATCACTTTTTAATGAATATCTCTGTCTAGTTTCATATTTACAGTCAATTAATTATAATTAATGTTAATGTAAGTAATATTCACTTATAATTAATAATACTCGATTTCCAGTTAATATCCTAATTTTAACCATTTATCTTAAGAAACAAAAACACATCTTTGTCTACTATAAATATAAAAGAATTAACAAGTATTATCTGTTGGCGACACTAAAATAAAAGCCTAAGTAGGAGAAACTTAAAACTAAAAAAAATCTTCATCGGACTCTATCTAACCTTGCTTATTTGATTTAAATTATATGGATCATATGCTCTAATTATTTCATCTCTCCAAATGTAGCAATTAGTGCAAAATTTAAATTTAAGTAAGTGAATAAATTTCTACTTTTTGAAATTATTCTACTTTCTTACTACTATATGTTTAATTTATAGAAATTCTTTAGAGTTGGAAACTCACTATTTATTTTTATTATTAAATTAAATTTATACACCTATAAACAATTTTGCATATTTCATTTATTGAAAAATAAATTTAATAAATCAAAATAAAATGTCAATAAATTTTCTTTTAAAAACATAATTTATCTTTAAACTTCCTATATTAAATACCTTTAGTTTTTTGTGAGTTTGCTTTTAATCACATTTACTATTAACTATATATTGATCTTATTCTAAGAATTATTATTATCTCTACAATTTCATTATTTGCATTCATTTCCTTCAATTATTCAAAAATCTTGATGTTCTCTTTTAAAATCAATTTTTCTAATTAAACTCTGGTAATACCTAATTACCCAATATCTAAAAGTGATTTATCTTTGCTTTCAAATTTGCAAAGGCTAGGATAAATATTGATTTCTTTTAATTGTTATTCATGTTGAAATAGCTACAAATAAAACTTCCTCTATTATAAAAGGAAAATGGTATTAATTTCTATATTTATATTTTAGTTTTATTGAAAATAGCTTATTTTCTTTACATATACTGAAAATAATTTATTGTAATAATATTTCTTAAATGAAAAAAACAAAATAAATTATTTAACTTTTTGTTTAAGTTTTCACAATCTCAAGAATGTACGATAAAACTTCAATCTTTAAAATATTGAATAATTATATCATTAATTGTCAAAAATTAGAAAAAATCATTTACTTCAAATTCATAAATTATTTTTGACTTTTTTTGTTACTTTCTTAGAGTTTAGGTTTCGAATTTAGAAGTACAAAGGATTATTATAACTTAAAAATTGCTGCTGATCATACTAATCATAACAAAAAAAATAGATGTTTACCATTACAATTCTCATGGTGCATATTTAATTATTGAAACTCAAAATTTTGAGCAAAACAATTCAGTTAAATAAATTAATTTATTGCTAGCATAAATAATTATTAGGAGGTTACAATTTATCATTAGAAGAATAATTGTAACTTTTGTTTATTATCTTTAAATTTTCTATTATAAAAAGAATATCTATGTTTAATATGAGTCAAAATCCTATTATCATAATTATTTACAGTATTATCTAATATATCATAAAATCCTCTGTACATCCTTCAATTGATTTCCTTTATTTTAAAGATTAATAATAGTGCAGATCAGTAATATAATGTATAGATTTGCCAAACAATAAATAATATCATAAATTACTAAAATTCTTTCCTCTATCATAAATTAAAAATCTAAGAATATTTCAAATTTCATCTTTTATTCCTATAACAATGTTGATTATATCCTTTATATTCAGTGTAAAGTGATAATATTTTTAGATTCACTGAATTAATTTAGCTTGAATAACCAATATTTCTTTAAAACGCATAAACAATCTTATTTAAGATCTTCTTAAAATACAATAGTGGATTTTATTAAATCTCAACTTCTGAATTTATTTTGAACACTTATTATTTTAAGTTAAATTCAAACATCATCATATCTTCAAGATTTATGATTCATTTCTTTTTTTTCTATAATTTTCATAAATAAGATACTTGAGTTAAAAGAATCTTTCTAAAAATTTATATGAATTTAATTCCTTTGAAGCTTAGTTTATGAAAAAAGGAATCATAAATAATAAATTTCACCAAAAGTTAATAAAAGAATTTATATTTAATGTTGTTACATATTTACAAGAACCTTCATATTAAGAAAAAGATTATCTTTTTTATATTGTTTAAGAAAAATGATACATCTATATTTAAAGAATAGATCTTCAGTAGTCTAAATAAGGGAGGTAAGTATTCATTTAAATTTATAAATAATTTTAATTTTGATATATTTTTTTATATTGTTCATTAAAAAATACATTATGAGCCTTTATCTTCTACTTTAACTTTATTTCCATTTTTTTTCTCTTTTTATTATATCTATTTGTTTTCAGATAACTCATGTTATTCTTTGATTGCTTAGATTATTATCTACCTCAAAACTACCTTTTTGCTATATATTTCATTTATTATATATCACTATTTGCTTCTAAATAATTAAAAATGATCAATGCATCTTCAGTACCTGCTGCCCAGTATATATTATCTCTGAATTATTTATCTTCTTCTTGCAAAAATTAATCTGCAAACTTCTTAAATCTATATCTCTATTTATAATTGGCCTGGAACTATAGAACTAAATTTTAAAATATTATTTTGTTTTCTTAATCTAGTAGTAAATTTATGCTCTTTATGATATTCATATCCAAAATCGAGAGCAGCATTAATTATGTTAAAAGCGTTCCCAACAATAGGTAATCCTCCAAAAATTTAGGATCCTATATTTAACATCTTTTGAAAAACATTTAAAATTTATTCAGACTTACTTTCGATTATTGCATTTTTATTAATTTAAAATAGATTAGTAGAAATCTATTACATTACAAATAAATAATTATACAATCTCCAAGCTAAAGCATTATAATACATCAATTAATTCTTATTTTCTTTTTTATTTAATTGTTTTAGAGATTCAGAAACCTTATAATTATCTTATTCTAAAAGTGAATTAACATTTATTGCAAGGGTAGTTATTTGGGATTAAAAATCATTAAACTTTTGCTCAAATTGTTCCAAAATCTAAAAGCTAATTGTTTATAGATTTGTATTTAATTAAATATCTAATGGCTTTATTTGTTATGTTAATTCATTTACTAGTTTCTAGGTTTATTCCTCTAATTAAATAGACTTCTATCTTTATAATTGTTCAGATAAATAATTAATTCAAATATCTGTTGTTTATATCTAATTTTAAATTTCTCTAAGTAGATTAAGTTCTTTATTACTATATGCAAGATTTGAATTAGATAAATTCCATTTCGATATCTATTGTTGATTATTCGAATCTAATGATTGTTTTGCTTTTGCAAAATAAATATTTGCTTAACCAAATTATTTTTATTTAAAATAGAGACTTCCTAAGTTTGTAAGATAAACTGGATGATCTGGTGTTAAAAGGAGAACAATTTAGTAGTCTTGGAGTGCTTTTTCAATTTCTACATTTTTATTATATAGAACTCCTAATTATATGATTAAATGATTTACCTTTGTTCATATACGCATCAGCATAATTTGGATTTAATTGGATGGCCATGTTGTAGTCTAGGAGTGCTTTTTCATTTTCTCCTTTTTGACTAAATAGAACTCTTAAATGACTAGATGATTTACCTCTGTTAAAAACACACAGAAGCATCAACTGCAGACATAAATTATTAATGCAATTTCTATTACTTTTTTATAATATATTATGATAACCTTCACCCCCTTAATTAATAATATATTTTATTTTTATCTAAAAAATTAGTTTATACACAAATTTAAATGGTCATTATATTTATTAACAAAAATAGACATTGTTATTAAAACCTCAAAATCATTAGACTCTAATTTTAAGTTATAGATTTATTTTTTTCATTAAACTCTAATTCTAAAACTACCATTTTTAATTGATTTATTTTTAATAATCATATATCCATATGATCTATTTTTATATTTTTCTTAATTGATATAAAATAACATTAAATATACATATACATTGGAGTTTTTTTTAGTTTATGTGAAAAACAATTATAAATAATGATTTTAGCTTTTATTAATTTCAAATACATCTTTGAGATGTTTGCTTTGTAAATTTTTCATTTTAGAAAGTTTCTCATAGAATTAATTAACTAATAAAAACGTATATTCTAAAAAGGTATATATTTTACAAAATTAAACAATTCTTTATAATATAATGATAAAAATGTGGTGAGGATAATCATTTGTATAATTACTTTAGATATTACTTAATTTTTAATTCTATTGAATCAATATTTCATCATACTTGTAAAATACGAATTTTTATCTTTTCATTTTATGAGGGTACGGTTTATTGACTCGTACCTACAATTTAAAGTATCTTAGTCTCCATTCAGCTTCTAAACTGAGCTACATCATTTTCTCACTGATGAGAAAGCTTAAGCAGGATCTGTTAGGACACATTTATAGGCCAGTTTAAGAAATTGATAGGAATTGGATGCGATTGGTAACCTTTATAGATACTTTAACAAGTAATCTAATTTTCTGAGTAATTTTCATATCTTAATAGATCAACAAGCTTAATACTTAGGAGTATAAAAGATTGGGAGTGGTTTAATTATTATTATGTATTAAAAGAAATAGAAGGAGATATTCTCATCACATTTGATAAAAATGATATACTTATGAAAGAGAACGAAAAATCTAACATCAAAAACCCTATAGAGATTATATTGTTCTTTAAAAGACATAAACTATTAATAGTTAATATCTAAGGGTCTAAAATTTAATAGAAAAAACAGCTCTTTTAATTTTCTAATATTATACCTCTATAATTCCTCTATAATTTTAATAAATAAAAATTATAGAATGAGAAATAATCCTAATGAGTATTAAAATATGCTAACTAATGATCCAACTAAGGAAAACTAATATGGAATTTAGCCAGCTTAAAATGATCACCTTATGATTAGAAGGATTATAGATAGAAAATATGGAATTCTATTTAATTTCAGTTATTCAATAAATTTTTCTGGCCATATGTTGTTTATTAAATATTCCTTAAGAACATTTATTTCAATTCCCTTAAATGAAAACTACAGAAATCAACATACACATCTATAATCTAAAAGTTTAGCCATAAAACATATGCTACTATATGTTTGTATGAATGTAATGATCCGAAATTTTGTGGAATAGAGCATATAGATTACCAAATATTGATTATTAAGAATCTTGGAGACGTTATTGAAGTATCTAAGGCATAACCCTTCTCGATTATATCTAAAAAATTCTTAAACCTTTTAAGCAACGATAAAACCTAAAACCTTTTGAGTTAGAGGGACAAATATGAATGCAATCAAAGTGGATGTTTAAAAAATAATAGAATGCAGAAAAATACTAATTATTTTTGACTACGATTTAACAAGATTATTTATTGCTTGACTTTATACTTAAACCTATTACTATTCAATAATACTCTTCTAAAAAATATTATAAATTGATTTATTAGTAATCAGAGGATATTGTCATAAAATATATTGTATAAAGAAATTTTAATTTGATCAACTTTAATTTGACAAGAAGCTGATCCTTTTTGTTGAATTTGAAAGATAATTCTGTTATTAATAATGTTAGTGAGTCAAATTATTAAATATCAAAATAAAATTTAATAATATATTAATGTTAAGAAATTAATCTGCCTAAATCTATTTAGTACGATAATTAAAATTATACTTTGGAAAAATTTCAGCTTGTATTCTTTGAATTTTAGTATTTTACTTTCTAATAAAATACTATTAGATATTTTTTATACATTTATTTGTAGTTACTGGGGATTAGATTTTAAAATTAAAGAAGGAGAATTTTAAGGGAGATGATAAATTTAATAAAAAGAGGAAGAAATGAGAAACTTAAAAATAACAATTCAAGATAGCTATTATAAGATTCGGCTTAGCCAATTATTTAAGAACTAAATAAATATGCTCTTATTGAATAAATAAATTATTTTATGATGGTTATTCACATATCTGAAATATTATTTCTTTTTGATGTTACCAAGTAAATTGTAGGTTTTTTCCAAATCCATATGTACAAGAACTAAAAAAAAATTAGAAGTAAAGAAAAAAATTTATTTGAAGATTACTTTTATTGTAGAAATCATTATAGTCATTTATTATTAATAACATTAAATATGTATTGCCAAAACAGAGAATATGTATTATCCTGATTTCAATAATTTATATACCTGTGAATAGTATAAGGAATTTATGCATTAGAAATAGAGTAATTTTTTCATCAAATTATTCTATGAAAATATTATTTTTCTAGTATTTTAAACTAACTGAAAATTGTTAAAATAAATTATAATTAATTTCAGATCATTACTAAAATTAAATTGCAAGTGAAAAAAAATAAAAATGAAAGAAGGAACATCTAGAATTCGATTATGTTGCCTTCTCCTATACATTTTCCAACCCAAGGACAATGATGATCATAACCTCTAACACAAATATCACATTTAGAGCAATGATAAGTGCCCTATTCTTTTACAAGTTTGCACGGTTAGCAGGATTCTAAAATATCAAATTAATTAATAATTGATACTCTCATTTCTTGCAACAGAATTTAATGTAAAATTAACTCCAGGATTTTTGAGAAAAACTCTTAGAAAGCATACTTCCAATATTAAGCCATTCATTATGGATCCTAAACTATACCATAAACCGGATTAAATGTGAATTATAGAGCTAATAAAATAAGTTCCAACTATTATAGAAATAATCGCGCAAAGACTCAAAGGCCCTACACATATATAAATGAATTACAGTGTGGGCCTATTGTAAATTATGGCTGACCATTATCAAATCTAAACATGCAGTTATTCCCATAATGAGGTTTGAAAGATTGATCATCTTCTTATACAAGTACACCGGTTGTCTCTTCTTACTGTATTTAATTTGAATCATCTTGATAGAATGCATCTAATTATTTCATCTTTTTATGATTTTATATTAATTAGAAATAAAAAAAATTCAAATCATATATAGAATTACTAAGTTAATAAATAATTAGGTTAGATCTTTGCATTATAATGCTAATTCTGTAATGGCTCATTTATCTCTTCGAAATCATCATAATATTCATCATTATATGCATATTTTTTTTTTATTTTTTAAGGCAAAATTCTTTGTTTTTCAACTAATAATCCCTTATATTATATTGTTGGCAATTATTTCTTTTTATAATGTTTTTAACGAGTAATATTTTTTTTTAATACTAAAAGTATAATTTTTCAATTCTGCAATTAATATTTTAATCTTCTCTGATAAAGGTGCATCCACCACGATATTTTAACCAATTATTAACCAAAGCCTTTTGTTCTCCAGAGCAAAGCCCATTATTGTCATACTATCTCCTCTATAAATTTTGAAACAATCCTGTTAAAGGATATAATTATTTTAATTTTTAGAAAATAAATTTGATTTTAAAATTAAATGAAAGTTCTATAAACTTTAAAAACTAAAGTAGATGCGGCTATTTAGAGTGAGATTTTTGAAGTTTTAGGTTTAATAATGAAAAAAATTTATCAATTTTGATTATTAAAAGAAGCCCAAAAAATTAAATAGCCTCTTTATTGTAGATAAAATATGTTATCAATATATGCTGATTCCTCTGAATCTTATCGTAAGGCGATGTATCTTCTTTGGAGCTGAATTAGGATGATATTTTATTCTCTAAAATACATATGTAAATGATTGTAGAAGTGAGAAAAGCAAAGAGTTCTATTAGGGAATAAATTCAATGTTTCTAGAATATGCATATTTATTGAACAAAAAATCCAAAATCTTTATATAATTTGAAAAGGCTTAAATTTTGAGTGTGGTTTTTAATTAATTTTCTATATTTTTAATTGGAATTATTGTTGATTATTTTATTTTAAATTGTTACTTAGATTTTAGATTTTTCAGTTTTAATATTTACAATCTCTTGAACATAACTATCTTTAATATATATCAATTCAATCAATTATTTCAATTGACTTTCTTCATCATTTTTTTTTTTCAATTCAGATTTTGCTAACTCTAATGAGTTAAATTTTATTTCTTTTTCAATTTAATCTAATTTTTTCAATTAATTAGAGTTGGTTCTGAATTTTGAAATATATTTAAAAATTCAGAAAAATCTTGGTCTATAAATAAATCTTCTGCCTCATCTTACAAATTGGATTCAGTTTTTATATTGGCATCTGATGGTTTGCAAATTAAGGTAATTAATTATAAATACATGACGATTATTATGTGGAATCAGAATTTGAAATATTAAATATAGTTTTAGAAGCCTATAAATCAAATTCAAAACTAAGCTATATTTTTATAAAATATCTAATCTTATGCTTAATATTTATTTTACTATTCGATTAAAACTTTGTACAGATCACTTTAACTTAATGTTCAAACAATTTCATCAATTTATCTTCTGCTAAATCACGATGAGGTAATATAATTTTTTTAACTTATTAATTTATTCATTTAAACAAGAAGAATATTTACATTAAAATAAATAAATTAATAATTATTTTGGATAAATAAAATATATCTCGAATATTTTCTAGTATTATAAAAATTTATTATTATTAAAATATTCTTTTTAATATACTCTTTTATGAAATTTTAAGTTTATCCTTTATATTCTTTCCATCTTTTTATCAGCTTCATTTAAGGATGTATATTTGATCGGATCATTTTCACAAATGCAGTCAATACAAACTTTTCTAAAATGAAAAACTTAATTAGGATCTAAGTTCAGTAGAATAATCTTTTTTCCATGTATATTACATTTAATGTTTAAGCTTGGAGTTTATTATTATTAAGTAATGGAATCAATGTCAAATTTTTCTTCAGGTAAGATTTTTGTAGTAGTTTAATCTTAGATTTTCTTATCGTTTATCATTTCAGATCAGGATTTAATTAGTTGAATATAGGAATAGTTATTATTGAAATACAATAATTGTTATTTAATTTCATTAATAAAATTAGTTTTCTTAATCTATATTTTTGAATTACAACGGAATTTTATAAGTATATTTTCCGTAATAATTTTTTGATCGAATTTCAATTTAATCTTCAATTTTATATTCATTAGATTAAGATTAAGATTATTAAAATTCTTCATTTTTTTATTGTATTTTATCTTCTAGATTTAATTTAATTTTTCTATAGAAATTAAAAACTACACTTAACATTTTATTAACAAGTATTGTATTAATTGTTAATTTTCAACTCTCTAGATTTTCTTAGTTTTTCATGGTTATTTTTATTAATTCTCCATTTATTTAATCATTTCTTCTGTTTCATTGACTAAGGCCATATTATTAGAATTTATTTTCCCTATTGAGCATTTTGTACAAAAAATATTTATTTTCATTCATAACTGATTTACTAAGATTGATTGTAGAGATTTCCAATTTATGTGTAAAACATTTTATATTTTGAAGTGTGGATGACATCATCATAAATAAATTAATATAATTCTTATTTTTATGATTAACATTATGATTGATTAATCAGAAAATAGTATAAAGGAAATCACTTTTGATATCTAATTTCGAACTTACTATATTTGGTTAAAGATATTATAAGAATTATTTTAGAAATAATAGATTCCCCTTCTAATTTATTTGGCTACTTTATTACTACTATAAATAAACAACTCTATCTAGTATCTGTTTCTATATCATAATATTGAATAACTGTTAAAGAATAATGATCTAAAAAGTGAAATCAAAAATGTAGTATCAGTCCATTAACTTATAAACACAGTAGTTGTTCAGTAACTTAAAATAGAAAGGTATTTGAGAAAAGTTCTTGTGGTTAATGGGATTAGATGATTTCTAGGAATGGTGGAATCAATTTATTTTTTAATAATAGAAAGAGGAAGTATTATTATAAGAAGTACTTAGAGATAAGTAAAGGTTATCAATCGTGTTAGAGGGTATTTGTTATGATATAAATTTCAAAATAGAACATATAAGATGAAGCTTATTCTTTTAATCATGATTAACTAGATAAAACTCATAAATAAATAGCATTTCCATTTTCAAAAAATGATATCTCAATTTTTAAGTGGATATCAAGACAAGTATGAAAAATGGACAAAGTTATCCATAAATGCAAAAAGACTAAATATAAAAATTCTTTTTTAGATACATATTCTTTAATACACTTAAATAAGATAAGCAAAGTAGAGAGATATTAAGCATATATATTATTTTCATTTAACAGATTTTTCTCTTTTTTCTATTTTCAATTCATGAATTGAACTTTATATCTTTTTTATTCATATCAAAAGTATTAAAAGATACTAAGCTTTAAAGCAAATTATATTCGATCATCTCATTAATCAATTGATATACACTTTCAATAATCCAAAAATCTTATATAACATAATTGGCATACCAATTTAAATTTTTGTTGAATATATAATAAAATAATTAAATTTAAATAGAATAATGTTCCTTTTTTGTTTTCAAAAAACTTTATGATCACTAATAAGATAGAATAATTTTTGAGAAAGTAAATTTTTGAAAATTTATAGATATTTAACTCTTTTCAATAAAGATCCTCATTCTTAGGATGAATAATTTTTCATATTAATTTAGATTCCAATTTATTAACTACTGTTTTTAAGGCTGACATCAAAAATAATTTTTTTACTCCAACTGACCTAAATTGATGACTTTTATGCTCCATATCTAACCTAAATATGATATTATTATAATAATTAAAAAATTTGATGAATTATATGAAAACAAAAAAATTACTCTGAATTTAATATTTTAAATTAAAAAACAATGATTTTTATTTAGAGTATAAATAATAAGAAAATTTATTAATATATTATAATCCCTTGCAATTCTTTAAAGAAAGTAAGAGATAAACAAATTATGCTCAGTAATTTATGCAGTTGCAATTAGAGTATAGTAATTTTTTCTTTAGATATTTTAAAAATGATAGCATTCTAAATTATTGACTTCAGGATAGTGAGGCAAATCTATAAAACTTATTCATCTATTTTATAATAAAGATATAGATGTAAATACGAAAATCAATTGGAAATTATAAATCAATAATTATAATAACTTAAAAATAAATTCTCAATTATCATATTTCATTTTCTCACACTATAAATTTCCTTTTAATTTCTCCAATAAACCAACTTTTTTAAAATTTATATATTCTCAATTACAAGTTATTTGATTTTCATTCTAAAATTGATTATCCAAATCAATCCACTTTCCAATTTTTGTTTCTTTACCTCCTTCATCATATGATCCACCACCACTTTCAGATTCAACATTTTGATATTCGCCTAAATAAAAGACTTAGGAGTTTTCATAAAAGAATTCACTTAACTCAAACCAAGTGCCAATCTTTATTTCATTTTCCTCCATCATCATATGGCCCGCTTTTTATAATTATACATTTGTTAATATTTTACTTTTATTGTCTTCTGTATATATTCTTCCATTTACCATTTTTTAACATTATTATATTGACCACAAGAAACGAATTAAGAGTGATAAAAAAAGTAGTCACTCAAATCAAACTACATTCCAATCTTAAGGTTGTCTTAGTATGATCCAAAACCACTTTCAAATTTAGAATTCTAAATATAATATTATTTTCATCTTTATATTGCTACTTCCCTTTTAAAATAAAATATCCCATAAACCAATTTTTTACCATTACTATAGTTGCCAACATAAGTGACTTATGAATGATCCCAAAACCCATCCCTTATTTCTATCCATTTTCTATTCTTTTTGCATTAATTAGGATATATTCCACTACTATTACGTTTAATTTTTAATAATTACATTTTTTTTCTTATATATATACTTCCAATACCATTATCTCTAATCATTGATATATTCTCTTTCTTCATATCCTTTAGCTTTTCTTGAAATAATTAATTACATTACTTCAAAAATTCTATATTAATTCTCTCCACAAACCTTATCTTCTTCAATCATTAAAGTATAAATTAATTTAACAATATTAATTATCAATGAAATCCTCCTAACGTCTTTATATTCTTCCCCTAACATGAAGCTATCCATTTCCCTACCTTTTTATTATTTTCATCATAATATCGATTAGGTTAGATACTTTGTTGTTTATACTGAAAGAAATAATTTTCTCTTATTCTCTAATTTTTATGAGATAATGATAAGAGTTCAATCTCAAAACAGGATTTTCTTAAATTTTCTTTAGACAATAATATTTAAAGTCTTTCAGTTTCTATCTTTTTTTAAAAGAGTCCCAATAACAACATTCATAATTTTTCAGTTTTATTTTAATCTTAATTTTACCATTATTTTATAGATATTGTTCGGGGCATACCTAATATAATTAATTTTAGGCTTACTTAATCGATCATTACATTTCTACTTTTCTGTTATTTGAACAACTAATTTCCATTTATTATTTTAATAAAGAACAAAATTTTGAATGAATATTAAAATAAACATTCAAATTATTAAAAAAACCAAATCATAGAGAATTAAGAGATGAATTTTGCTTTTAATTTTAAGATGTCAATTTTATTTAAAAAAGATTTAAGAAGCTCAGAAAAATTGGAACATATTAAAATAATAGGAAATATAGATAAAACAGAACTATACCTATATAAGATATAAATTTTCTTAACTACAATTATCAATGAGTATTTAGATTTGTCAGAAATAATATAGTTTCAAAATTCATCTGGGTATTAAAAAAATTAAGTAATCATAAATTTCTATCATTTACAAACCTTGTAATCTATTATCCATTTCCTAATCAAAATAACATCTTTGCCTTAAGTTATGTTCCTAGAATTTTTTCAAATTCTCTTATTTATCAGATTATTGTTGACCTTAGAAATAAAACTTTAGTATATTCTAAATGAACATTAAAAATTGAGAAATCAATATGATTTATAATTAACTCATATTAGCAAAATAAATTCAAAAACGAAAATTTACTCTTTCAAAATCTTTATGTAAGTTATTAAACTAAAAATTACTTTAATAAATATTTTTGATGTTTATTGCTTATTGCACTATTTATCAAAGTTTTAGAAAATAATATAAAAATGGATATTATATACTGTAAAGAATTACTCATTATATTTATTTTTATCCCTTTTTTCTATTCATTTTTCCATAATCATACTATCTTTAACAGCAGAAAGCAACTATATCCATTTTTTGACATTGAGATAGATTCATCTAATATAACTGACTATTGATAAAAAATCAGATATTTTAAATTTATTCTTATTGATTTATTTGAAGTACTTGTTTTTAATTTAATATTAAGAAAATCTGACAAGTAATTCAAAATTCTAATTATAAATCTGCACATATATGAAAAAACATTTTTAATAATCTAATCTTAAATAATTGTAGAATAATTTATTATTAATTTATTGTTTAATAAATTTCTCATAAGTTACTCTAATGGAGAATTGCAATTAAATCTAATTTTTTAGTGGCTCTCTTGTTGGCTTAAATCGAAAAAAATAAGGAGTTAAAGACGTTCTTATGATTTTATTTATCATAGATATATAATAAAACTATTCAAAACTGAAATTACTCTTAAATTTGAATACTTTCTAATAATTATACTTATTTTGTTGACAGAATTATCTTGTCTTTTTTCTTTTTTTTGCTTATTCATTAATTTTATTGAGGATAGCTGATGCTTATACTAATTGGATTAAGTCTTAGACCTTTTAAAAACCTACATTTTGATAATCTAGCTAAAGATGTGTTAGATGTTTTAATCATTCTTTTTATATCATCAAAAATTACCTTAAGTCTTCTGAATTTAGAATATATTAATAAATTATGTATTAAATGAATTCAAAGATTATTCGATATATTAAATGAGTGTATTTTATTGCCATAAATTTTAACTGTAGATCAATTTGCATTATAAATATAACAAATAAAAGATTAATAATCTCATTATTTTAAACTAAAATATTGTTTATTTTTAATAATTTTATATTGTTGATAATGTTACAAAAAAAATATATAAAATTATTTCATAGTTTAATGATAAATAAATTATAAGAAATTTTATTTAAAAAAATAACTATCTTAATTTTTTCATCTTATTCTAATAAGAAAGTATGAAAAAAGACAAAACTGTAAAATATATAATTCTAAATTAAATTTTAATAAAATAATATTGGCCTAATAGAAAAAAACAAAAATAACATTTTAAGTACCTACTTATTCATCACAATCCTAAAATTACAAATAATTATTTTGACAATAGCAAATAAGTGTAATAGCAATCTTGAGTATATAAAATTGATTATAATCTTAGAATTGAATTCTTCCACAAAACCTTAATTTAATTAAGAATATTTTGAAAAATCTCACCCTTTCAATTATATTAATTTAGTTTTGGCATACTTATACATAAATTTGCATTTTTACATAAGATCTTGATTTTTATGCATAGCCAAATTTTGGTCGAAATAAAATGTCTTCTGAAAAATTTAATCTTTATTTTCAATTTTTTGTTATTTAACAAATTTTTGGACTAATCAGATTTTAACTTTGTAGTTTGTTTTTTTGTTTAGTTTAATCTGGTATATGAAAATTATTAGGTCTTTTTAATAATAATAATTATTATAATAAGTGAATAATAATAAAATAAATTAGATATTACCATAAATTTTATTAATGAACAAAATTTTACAGAGTATTGAATAAATAGATATATTTGGAGTCTCTTTATAACTACTTACAAATGAGAGTAAATCAGCATTTTAAAGCAAAGTTGGTGGAATTATTTCTCTGATAACAGGTAGCTTAAGTTTATCTTATTTTTTATTTATAATAGCATTATGGATTAATAATTCAATACCACCTAGCATTAGTTTAAAATAATAAACAAAAGGTTATGCTGAATTTGAATGGTCTGAACCTTTAATATAGCTCACTCTTTCTGATTTTACATCTGAAATTGATCCTTTTCGAAAAGAAAATAACATTATAACACCATTTTTATTTAATTTAAAGAATTATTAAATTTATGATGAGCCTATTCCTTTATTTAGTAATGAATTTTTGTATTCTTCATTACTTGTGAATAATGGAACATTGATTCTAAACAATGCTTATTAAGAAGATGAACATTATAAATCAATGAAAGAATATTTATTAGTTCTCTCAACTTGTAAAAATAGCTCATTACTAAATGGTGGTTATTGTGCTGATGAGGAAACAATTAATGAATATATATCAACTCATCATGGATTTATAATTTTAACAATTAGATTGAATTAATTTAATTATGTAACTTAAAGTTTAGAAATGTTTGCTAAATAATATTATTAACCTTTTGATCCTAGAAGGTCTTCTTATTCTTAAGTAATGTTAAAATAATAAGAAACCATTATTGATGATGGAGTTCTTTTTAAAAATGAAAAGAATTATATTTTTCTTAATAATTATGAAATAATCAACTAAGAGGTTGATAAATAATTTATGCCTGATACAATTGCTTTTATTTCAGAAGATATTTACCATTTGGATATATAAAATTCCTATCTTTTTAGAATTGACAATATATCTGTTATTGAAGAAATTAGTATGCCAAAACTTGGTTAGGTTTTAGCTTAGATAGGTTCAATTGTTCAACTAATCTTGATGTTAAAGTATGTGGCACTATATTATAATAATCATTTACTTGAAAATTAATTATTACATGATATTGTATCCATGTATTACCCAGAATTAAAAAATATAAAAATCAATATCTTTAATAAATTTGAGTTCAAAGAAGAAATTAATTAATGTTAACTTCCAATCTAAAATTTGAAATTAATTTATGGATAATTATTAAAACGAGCCAAAGAAAAATGTAGGTTGAATAATATCCTATATGAAATTTCTAGAATTTAATTTATTCTCGAATAATCATTAGGAAATCGTATTTTGTAATGTAGTCATTAATTAGGAAAGAAATTATCAAAAAATTCTAATGAATTTGTTATTGATAGAATAACGGAAACAAATAGATTAGTTGTCTAACCAGCAGAATAATTATACCAAGACTAAGACTAAGAGCATTATCTGAATGAACCTTTAGATATCCTTACAAAGCATGATTGAATAAATAATATAATAATAAATAGATTATTTTATCATTTTTATTAATAAGTATTTAAATAGTAATCAATCTTTTAAATTCAAAAATATATATTTTTGAAATACTTTTTAAATAAGTCTAATCTTTTACACTTTCTTATTAATTCATTTGATTTCATAAAATAATTTCCAGTTTAAATGAAAATATATATAGACAACTGTTTACAAAATTGAATTCAATTATAATCAAGATTTATAGGTGAGATTTAAAATTAATTAAAAAAAATGAAACTAAATTTCTATAATATTTAGTTCGGTTGCAGATGTATTTATGTAATATAATTTCGGTTCTATTCAGGAGTAATTAGCTAAATTTCAATATCAATAGAAATTATATGTAGGCTTCTTTTATGAGTTTTTTTCTCCAGATTGAAATGATCATACATTTTTTATTCTATTTTAGGAGAATATCAATACACTTCTTCTGCTGTGAATATATTCAAAATAATTATATATTGAATACAAAAATTAATCTTATTTTTTTTAAATATTCAAACACTTCATTAGATGCTTTAATTTTTTGATAAAATCTCTTTAGTGTTATATGATTGAAAAATTTTTAAAATACTATCAATAATTCTTGAAGAACAATTGAAAAGAAAAAAATTTGGTTTAATAATAAAAAATATTTTCTAGTAAGTTATAAAAATAGTAATCCTTATTTTTTATATAGATTATTTAAGATATGTATGAATATAATCAAAATATTATAAGATATAAATACTATTTTTCGTCTAAATAACAAATTAAGTTTATTCTAACTTAACTAATTAATTAATGGATCAATATTAAAGTTATAGCTTAAATTATTTATGTAAATAATTAAGAAAATGGTTATATTAAAACTATAGTTAACTCATTAAATATGAAAATTTTGAACAACAATAACAGAACCATTAATTTATTCATTTATAACAAATAATTTTATATTCTTTACTATTATTTTAATTATAATAATTTTAAAATTTTAATTAAATGTCTTCATCTATACATATTCATATAGGAGGAGCAGGTGTAATGATTGGAGATCTCTTATGGAAATTATATTAAAAAGAATAAAAGGACACAAAGAATCAACATTATATATATTCATAATAAGATGATGATTATTATCCTCGAGTTGTTTTTATAGATTTGGATGATCGAATGATTAATGAGGTTAAAAAAAATAAACAAATTCATTTTAAAAAAAGATAATTTATTACTGGTAAAGAGGATGCCTCTAATAATTATTTTAGAGGTTAAAATTTGGGTAGAAATCTGATATATGATTGTTTAGAATCTATTCAAAAAGAAGTTGAAAAAATAGATTATTTAGATCAATTTTTAATAATTTCATCAATAAGTGGAGGAACTGGATCAGGATTTACATCATTGCTTTTAGAAAAATTAACAGAGGATTATGGTAAGAAAATTCTAAAAAATGCTTTTGTATTGTATCCTTCCTCATTAATATCAAATAACTTAATCGATAGTTATAATGCAGTCTTTTCAACTCATATGATGACTGAATATTGTAATTCTGTTGTTGCATTTGATAATTAATCCATCTATAATGTAATTGATAATTAGATAGGATTAGATTATGTAGATTATACTTTATTAAATAATGTAATTGCTTAAGTAATTAGCATGTACACAGGTATAAGAAGACATACAAATACTTGTAATGATATGATTTTTTCAAATATGTGTCCATATCCTACACTTCATTTCCTAATCCCATCATATGGATTGTTAAGGTCTATAAATGATGATATAAGAAAAGAAAATGAAAAGGAACTATTAAAACTCTTAATAAAGAAAGATTCAAAGTTATTTTAATGTTCAATGAATCCTTCTTATTTATCAACAACTCTTATTTATAGATCCAAAAGAATACATAATATCTATTTTAGACGAAATGAATATGAGATATCAAATATTTAACATTAGTTTAATAATAATTCAAATATATTCTTATGTGAATCCTCTAATTATTAAGTTTTATCTGAATTGGCAGAATTAAAATCAACAGCTGTATTTTTATCAAATGATGCAGCCATATACAAAGAACTTGATAATTTAGGTTCTAAATTTGATAGATTATATGCAAAAAGAGCTTTTATTCATTGGTTTGTAAATGAAGGATTAGAATCAGGAGAGCTTACTTCAGCAAGAGAAGATTTAGCTGCTCTAATAAAGGATTATTAAGACTTTGCTAATCCTATAGATTAAGGTTATTTTGATGAATTAAATGGTTGATATCTATATTTTCATTTTAAGATGATTAAAAATATTTTTAAAGAAATTAAATATATCTTAATATTTATAATTTTTAATTTATTATTTATTAATATATTATTGTTAGCTTTTGAACTTTAATATTTTCGAAAAGAGAAATTTCATGAAAATAAAAAAACTATTTTTTAACTTTAGAATGCTAAACCAAAAACTAACTATTTAATTTATATAATATTATAAATTTCTGTAACTAAAAACAAAAATAATAATTATTTCATGAAAAAATGAATTAATCATTCATTCAATAAGGAAATTTCAAGAATTTTTCCATATCTTATTACACGATTATAATATACCTATTCCATTAGGAAATATGTATTATTTGTTGTAATTAAATATTCTTCTTTCGAAGTGATATTTAATTTTTCTAATTAAATTTAAAAGTAAATTATTGTTTACTTAGATGCGTCACATTAAAAAGTTTAAGAATAAACATTATAACCTTTACAGGAATGGCAGAATTGCATTACAGTTTTAATATAGCCGTTATTGACACATTAGACTTTGACTTCAAATTCAATTTTATTTTCATCTCTTTTGAAATAACCTGAATTGTTTGGAAATTCAATTTATTAAAGTTTAAATAAAAAGGGGATAGATATAGATTAATTAAAAATGTATTAGGTTTATGCTTTAGTAATTTTAAGAGGGTTTTAGACTAAATATAATTCAAATCATACTTCTATTACATTCTCCATCTTCTTTTATCCATTCTTCTGCACAAATCTAACAGTCAGTTTTTAAGATTCCCAAGCATTTAATACAATTCGAATGGCATTTAAAGATAAATAAATTAAAATTAAATAATGCCCAAAAGGAATTTGATCCAACTAATGATGTAGGAATAAATTAAAATTCAATTTCAGGATTCTAATGAGTAAAATTCCAATCAATATTTTAAATACTTTCTTATGGAGATAAAGTACATAATGAAATTGAACCTACAGAATTAATATTAAGTGCATATTTAATCCCATCAATAGCAATATTAAAAGAGTTAGCTAGCCCTTGAATATCAATAAGCCATATTTTCACTTAAAATTTTAGTAGATAATGAGGATCGAGTATAATTTTAGTTATTAATAAATCAGAGTTTCTTAAAATCTGATATCCTCCAATTAGAGATATTTTATCAAGACATGTAGTTGATTAAGCAGGCAGAGCATTTTTTAAAAGCCATCCTTCAACATTTATTTTAGAAATCCATTCAATTGGGATATCCATTCCTGGTTTACATATATCAGATGAATTCTCATTACAAAGAAGGCAATCAGGAGCACATTTTAAAATATCAATATAGAAGTTATTAAATCCCCATGATTCCTTATATAATTGTTAACATTTACATCCGATATACCATCTAAACTAGCCTTAAGAAGAATAACTAAAGTTTCTGATTTATGTGGAGTTATTATTTCAATTGGAAATTATAAATCATTGAAACTGTATCCGCATTAACTGGTACCTTACGAACAAGTAAACTGTTATTACCAAACTAATTCATCAATTATTATATATAATCTTTCATTTTCCCAACAACCTAATCTATAAATTGATAATTATTCTATTTACTTCCAGAAATTTAATTTAATCCTAATCTAATAATGAGGAGGAAGATAAAATAATTAGTATACTGCTGTTCCAACTCCAAATGTAGTATATCCTCCAAAAATATTCTATCCAGAACAATCTTTTATATAATTTTGATTAAATGCTCCTATGATCAACCAAGCTATTTATGAATAATTAATTTACATTCCGATTCACTCATATTATTATTAACAAAAGCATTATAATAGTTATCCCATTCTTATATTTATGCTTTAGCAACTTAAAGAATAAATAATTGGATTATCATAAAATAAATACAATATTATTTCTTATCAATAATTGATTAATAAAATAATGAGATAATAAGATTAATATATCCTTTTAAGATGATTTTATTCTTATATACATTAGAATTAGCATAAAAATGATTATATAGATTGTTAGATAGTTATTAAAAGTTCCTCTCTAACATTTTTGGAATGAATTAATAAATAAATCAAAAAAATTAATTAATACCATTATTCTCAAATAGTATATTTAATAAATCAAATTATTATCAATTCAATTAAATGATTTATGATTAAAATATTATTGGATATGATAATATTTATAGTTTAATTTCTTAGATAATATGAATTACTTCATTTAAGTATGATTTATATTAGAAGAATTAAATAGCATAATATTTAAGTGCAAATAATTCACCAAGATAATGATTAATCACCTTCTTCTTCATCTGTAGCATCTTAATATTATTAATATTCAGAGATTAAATCATTCATGTTAGATTCTGCTTCATAAAATTCCATTTCTTCCATTCCTTAAATAATAATTTACAAATTAATAATTACCTTCATTAGTGTACCAATGTAAGAATGCCTTTCTTCTATACAAAGCAGTAAATTAATCAGTGACTCTCTTAAATATTTCTTAAATAGATGTTGAATTTCCACAAAATGTTGCTGCTAACTTAAAACCATTTGGTGGTATATCACAAATCGAATATTTGATATTATTAGGAATCCATTCAACAAAATTTGATGAACTTTTATTGATAAAATCGAGCATCCTATATTCTATTTCACCATTGAATAAACCTCTTCCTCTAAATATGGCTGTTGCAGTTAAATATTTTCCATGATTTGGATCAACAGCACACATCATATTCTTACTATTAAACATTTAATAAATTAATTCAGAAATAGTAAGACATCTGTATTATTGAGAATTTCTTGATGTAAGTGGAGCGATTCCAATCATTAAAAAATGAAGTCTTGGGAATGGAATCAAATTAACTGCAAAATTTCTCAAGTCAGAATTCAATTTACTTGGAAATCTTAGAGAACATGTAATTCCTGACATTGCAGCAGAGACCAAATGATTTAAATCACCATAAGTAGGCTAAGTCAATTTCAATGAGTTGATACAAATATCATGTAAGGCTTCATTATCCATAATCATGCACTAATTGATATTTTCAATCAATTAATTAATTGATAATATGGCATTATATGATTCAATTACTGTGTCAGACACTTTTGATGAAGGTATAATGGAGAATGTTTCCACTATTCTATCTGGATATTCTTCTTTTACTTTTGATATCAATAATGTTCCCATTCCTGATCCTGTACCTCCACCTAAAGAATGAATCATTTAAAATCCTTATAAACTATCACAATTTTCTGCTTCTTTTCTAACTACATCTAAAACTGAGTCAATCAAATCAGCACCTTCAGAATAATGACCCTTTGCCCAATTGTTACCAGTTCCTGTTTAACTAAAGATAAAGTTGTCAGGTTTGAAGATTTATCCTAATGGTCCTGCTCTGATTGTATCTATAGAACCTAAGATGAAATAATTTAATATCAGTACCTGATTCTAAATCAAAATAAATAGCTCTTGGGGAATATCTTAATCCTTAGACTTCACTGAAATACACATTAATTCTCTCCAACTAAAGATCCGAGTCTCCATGATATGTTCCTGTTTAATCAAAACCATGTTCATTTAAAATGATTTCCCAAAATTTAGAACCTATCTAATTACCACATTGACCTCCTGTAAGATGAACTATTTCTCTCATTATAATAATTATTAAGATTGATTTTCTCAAATTAATTTATGAATTTAATTTCACACTTGAATATTTTCACTTCTATTTATTTTATAAAAGAAAATAAACCTTATAGTCAATAAATAAGATTCTTATTAACTCTTAAATGAAGATTAAATTTAATTTATATATATATAATATTTTACTATATTAATTCTAATAATTTTTGTAAATTAAATCATTGAAAAAGCAACATATAAAATAATTATAATTGATTACATAAATAATTATAATGCTCATTTAAATGAGTATTCATTCATGAATAAAATAATAAAAATACAAAAATATTAAATTTATGATAAACTTCTCATTCCAAATAGAATAAAAACATTAAAATCTTAGAATTATTCATTTATATTTATGAAATTTAAATATATCATTTACAGAAACTAATCTGCGAGATTAGTAAGATTTATGATTAATTAAATTTAATATAAGTATTTTTTTGTGAATTGATTTCAACAATATAATAAATATATAATTAGATCATAATTAAATTATTATTTCATTATATTCCAATGTATAATGAAAATTTCATATTATTCTTGTCAAACTAATCTTCAGGATACACTTCTAATTCATAATCATGAGTGCGATCACCTCCAAAATCTAATGGATTCATTTTGCAAAAAGATTACCAAGCTTCAATAACTATATCTGGAATAGGACCTGGACCACAATCAAAACGACAAAAACGATGAGCTGGAACTTAAATACTAACCATTCCTTCTGGTACTTTCTTAACTTCACTTACCAATTCCCCCACAACTATAGTGTATTTCATTTCTAACCAATCCTATCCATCAGATAATCCAAAATATAAACAATGAGTTCTCATAGGATGTAAACGATTTGGAATCTAATCATAAAGCTACATTGAATAATATTCTTCAAAAGTTTTTCCAATCTATGCCTTTTAAGGATCTACTTCTTCCTTTTGGATAATGTTTCTCTGAATTCCTACTATAATGAAAGAATCTAATAAAACTAAAGTTTTTGGATATTTAAGAGTTGGATCCATATCTTATCTTTAATATTTTATTTATTTATATATTCAAATAAAATATACATTATAATCATTTATTTAGAAATATTCTCAATATAATCTTATTTCATTTTCTAATATAAATATAAATAATTCTTTTATTTCATTATTATTAATTAGAAAATATGATTAAACATTCATATTAAAAAAATTATTATTGTAATAAACTAATACTCATATGTATCTTAAAATAAATTATTCTTTCAAATTTTATAAGGCTATTCTATATTATAAATCAATATATTATTGTTTATCAAAGTTAGTAATTTAAGAGAAATGTTTTAAAAATATTCAATAGAACAGAGTTTTAATATAAGAAAAAAGTGCATGATTAAAAAATTAATATAGATTCTTTATAATTAAAGTCATTTATTATTAACAATTATCTCATCATCAAGTATCAAATAAGAGATAACTAAGCATAACATATTTGATATTTGATAATTATTCTTATATTTATTTGCAATTATTTTTGAATTTCTTTTTATTTAATAAGATTATATAAACAATTATCTAGATCGAATTTATGTAAATAATTTATCTGTTGTTTTAATCTGTATCATTGTTAATATAAGAAGATTTGTATTATGTAGCACCTAAGTTTGGATGTTTTATATAATATCATATCTTTTCATCTAATAATTACTCACTTGCATTAATAATTTATTTCAATATTATTATATCTTAAAAATTAAATTACATTTATTGTCTTGAAGGATCTTTAATTTTTTAATAGTAACTAATTAAATTGATTTGAAAATTCCATATATTGAATATAATGATCTTCAATCTATTTATGTATATTTTTATTTATCAAGATATCGAAAATAATTAATATAAACATTCTAAGTTTTATATTAAATCTCTATTTAGATTTAAGCCATCATAATAAAACAATGAATTATAATATAACATAGTGTTATTACTTATAAAAATATTGTTAATAAGGTTAGTTAATATTATTTATAGGAATAATTAAACTTCTTATATATCAAATGAAACCCAATAAATAAATATTTCATGAAAATATCTTAACATAACAATAATAAGGATAAATTATCAAGAATGTTTCAGGATGGCGACCTTCAAAAATTTTATCAGCTTCCCCTCTAATTAGAACTGATTATACTATAACTTTTACTGATGATAAATAAGTAATTTATATGCAATAAGGAAACATCCTAAAAATGTATTCTATTATAATCAATATATAAAATAATTAGTTACAAAGATGCAGATTTTAAAAATTCTAATATCATCTAAAATTTAGAATAGCTAGAAAAATTAGAATGGAAGGGAGAACATGATTAACTTAAATAATAATTTATGAAGTACAAGGCTTATTGGGATGGGTAATAAACCAAATTAGGGGGAATTTGCAATAAAAAAGGATTAAAGATAGGAATCTGGGTGGAACCTTGGGATAATTATTGGAGGTTAGTTATCATTTGTTATTATTCACTAGTGACTGTAAAGTGAGTTTTGAAGGGTGTTATGATGAAAATGGTCATAGAGTAGATAATTGGAAATATAGGGATGAATAAAATACAGAGATGTAAAAATATTATATATTTTTAGTGGTGGTGGTTATTTCAATAACGAGGGTTAAAAAATTGGTGTTTGGAAAGACTTGCATATAAGCTATAATGGAAAGTAATTTGAATTTGGATTTACAATAGATAGAATTAATCAATATATATTGGATAATATAATAAAGGAGTTAGACATGGAGAATGGATAATTAACTATAATTAAAAATTCATGTAATTTCAAATATATAATTAGTGGTGGAGGATTTTACAATGAAAAGGGTCATAAAATTGGTAAATGGATTGAGTAATTTGATGGATTTTGGGGGTAAATTATTTATACTAATGATATCAATTAGTCATAATCAATCCACATTTATAGGAAAGTATAATACATTTGGAATGAGAATAGGATAATGGGAAATATATTGGTAATGGAATGGATTCAATAAAAAGATGTATTATAGGAAATAAATACTAGAGGTGGAGGGTAATTCAATGATAAAGGGTATAAAATTGGTAAATGGGTAGAGTAATTTGATGGATTTTGGAAGTAATTATTTTTATTACCATTTTAGTTATAATCAAACAACATTTAGTGGGGAGTATAATAAACATGGGATGAGAATAGGAGAGTGGGAGATATATTTTCTAGATTCATTCAGTAATTAACCAAATAACAGAATGTAACCTAAATTATATAATAAATTATAGAGGCGGTGGATAATACAACGAAGAAGGAATAAAAATTGGACGATGGGAAGAATTAAGTGATTAATTTTGGAGGTATAATTTAGATTTATAGTAAAATTATTAGCTATAATTAATCTATTTATATTGGTGAATATAATAAATAAGGTGTTAAGATTGGTGAATGGGAAATATTTTATAAGAATTATAATATGGGGAATTCTTAAAAAATGTATATAAAACTAATATGTCAATTTTTAGTGGTGGAGGACAATATGATGATAAAGGAAACAAAACTGGAATGTGGGTGGAATAAATAAATGGATTTAATTAGTTTTAATATTCTCTATAAAATAGCTGGAATTAATCTACAATTAGAGGGTTTTATAATAAATAAGGAGTGAAGGAAGGAATATGGGAGATATTTTGGAATTGGAATGGAGAAAATCAAAAGATGTATTTATTATATGAATATAATTAAATAATAGTGGTGGTGGATATTATGATGAGTAAGGACGTAAGATTGGAAAATGGATAGAGTAGAAAGATGGGTTTGATTGGTAATTTATATTATTAATTTAATTAATAAGTACTTAGAAATTAATTTTAACTGGAGAATATATTTAAGGTATTAAATAAGGGGAATGGATAGAGAATAAATTATAATGAGGGATAATATAATATATATAAATAAATAAGAATCATAATAATAATTGCTTTTTAATTTTAATTGATATATTCAGAAATTTACTTATATCAAATACACAAAATACAAAATCATAAATTAAAATATCAATTGAGTTATTTATTATTTATAAAGATAAAAAGATTATAAAACCTCTGGAATATAGATTTCATTAACAAGAAATTCTCATTACTTAGTATTGTAGATAATATTTATTTGGAGATTGAATATCAAATACTTTTGAAATTACATATTATTATGGAATTTAAAAATAAAAGAAAATATATTATAATTTAAAACTTCATCAAATAAGNAACGAAGAAGGAATAAAAATTGGACGATGGGAAGAATTAAGTGATTAATTTTGGAGGTATAATTTAGATTTATAGTAAAATTATTAGCTATAATTAATCTATTTATATTGGTGAATATAATAAATAAGGTGTTAAGATTGGTGAATGGGAAATATTTTATAAGAATTATAATATGGGGAATTCTTAAAAAATGTATATAAAACTAATATGTCAATTTTTAGTGGTGGAGGACAATATGATGATAAAGGAAACAAAACTGGAATGTGGGTGGAATAAATAAATGGATTTAATTAGTTTTAATATTCTCTATAAAATAGCTGGAATTAATCTACAATTAGAGGGTTTTATAATAAATAAGGAGTGAAGGAAGGAATATGGGAGATATTTTGGAATTGGAATGGAGAAAATCAAAAGATGTATTTATTATATGAATATAATTAAATAATAGTGGTGGTGGATATTATGATGAGTAAGGACGTAAGATTGGAAAATGGATAGAGTAGAAAGATGGGTTTGATTGGTAATTTATATTATTAATTTAATTAATAAGTACTTAGAAATTAATTTTAACTGGAGAATATATTTAAGGTATTAAATAAGGGGAATGGATAGAGAATAAATTATAATGAGGGATAATATAATATATATAAATAAATAAGAATCATAATAATAATTGCTTTTTAATTTTAATTGATATATTCAGAAATTTACTTATATCAAATACACAAAATACAAAATCATAAATTAAAATATCAATTGAGTTATTTATTATTTATAAAGATAAAAAGATTATAAAACCTCTGGAATATAGATTTCATTAACAAGAAATTCTCATTACTTAGTATTGTAGATAATATTTATTTGGAGATTGAATATCAAATACTTTTGAAATTACATATTATTATGGAATTTAAAAATAAAAGAAAATATATTATAATTTAAAACTTCATCAAATAAGTTAAATTACAAAAAATAGAAAGTCAATTGTACAAATAATTTATGAGCAAATCTAATTATGATAATCATAATTAATAGAATTTGATAAATATTATTAGAGTAAGTTAAATGAAATAAAGTTCCTGAATAATGATGTTCATTGGCGATTATATATTTTTAAAAGTTTAAAAAATTCGATACTTATTTTGTGATAATTAAATAAAATATAATTTCTAATATTACTTTTCATAATTTTTGTAAAAAGAAATTAAATTATCTTGTAAATGATAACTAGATATTAATCATTAATAAAATTAAAAAAAATAATTATTATTTAAAATAAAAGAGTAAAATATTAGTTTATCTTGTATCAGATCCAAAAATAATAATAAACTCAATCACTTACATTAAAAAAGTTTAACAATTCTATTTCTTAATAATTTACTATCCTTTCTTATAGAATCTTTAAAAATTTGATATAATGAACTAAGATAGATTTATTTATAAAAAACTAAATAAATTATATATATGATTTAAAAGAGTAAAGAAAGTGTTCCTTTTTAGATATAATTTCCAATAATAAATAATAATTTTTTGAAGCAATTTCTAAATAATTAATTAGTATTATTTATTAAGCTAATATAATTAATGATCATTTAAGTATATAAAATCAATAAATAAAAATAAAAAATTTATGAAGAAGATCGTTCTCAATTTTATTCAAATCCATAAGATTGAAGGGAAACTTAATTTAAATATTAAAGGATTATAAAATATTTCTAATTTATCTAAATATACCTTTAAAAATCAAAATTCTAATTATATAATTAATGATTGTAATTTATACTCAGTCTATGATAATTATTTCATGTTACACTTGTCAAAAATTATATTTTAAAATCAAAACCTAGAGTAGATCAAATATTTACTAGTCTTTTAAACTTTTTCTATATCAATTCTAAAATCTGATTGTAGATACATATCAAGATATTCAAGACCTAAAATAATTTAATGAACAGTTCCAAAAATTCCATTAAATTAAATAGTCTTTTTTTCTGTGAATCCATTATTGCATGATCAACTAAATCCTGAAAAAAACCCAGAATCATATTTTATCTGTCCCTCTATTGAATTTACGAGGTAGAATGAGATTAAAAGGACAGAAAAAATAAATTCTCTATAAATCATAATATTTTAAACAAATCATATATATATATTACATCATAGAAATTGGAATTTGTTGAAATTCGTTTTATCTAATAATAATAAATAGATGATTGATTAATTTTATTGATCCATAATATTCATTTTTTATATTTAAATAATCAAATATATCACAATTATTTATAATGCTTCAATTATAAAACTTAATATATCATTATTATTAATGTTCTAATAAAATTTATTTGAAAAAGAAGTTTATTATTCACGACAAGCAGCTGCATTGGGAATGGATACATAATAAAAATTAGGATAATTAGATTGCTTTATTTATGGATTAAGAGGAGTATGAATTAGTATAAAGTAGTTGGGAATAGAGATTGCTAGAAATTTAATATTGATGGGTTTGAAAAGAGTGATTATTTATGATAAAACAGTTCTATCTATTTCTGATCTGGGCACAAATGTTTATGGGAAATTTGATTAAGTTAATAAAATTACAAGAGAGTAAGTTGTGATACAATCTTTAAAAAATTTAAATGAAAATGTGATTGTAGATATATATGATGGAATAATAAATGGAGAGAATTTAAAATAGTTTTCTATTGTCGTTATGACAGATATATGGAATTAGAATTTAATTTAAGAGATTAATGAAGCAACAAGATAATAGGGAAATGGATTTATTTTAGCTCATTCTTCAGGATTGTTTGGATCAATATTTGTAGATTTTTCAGATGTATAATAAATCAATATAAATTATTATTAGAATTTTATAATTGAAGATAACAACGGTGAAAAATGCAAAGAATTTTTTATAGAAGAAATAAAAAGAGATTAAAAAGGAATAGTTCATACAATAGATAGATGTACTAATCTATAAGATGGAGATTATGTTAAATTTAAAGAAGTGTTAGGTATGACTGAAGTTAATGATAAAGTTTTTAAGATAAATGTAATTTATTAATATTAAAATTAAGACTTTTTCTTCTCATTAATTTAGTATTGGTGATACAACAAAGTTTTCAGAATATTAAAGATAAGGAAAAGCAATATAAGTAAAGATTCCTGAAACAATATCATTTAAATCATATAAAAATATGTTATAAGGAAATCAAGATAATTTAGATAAAACTCATTAATTATAAATTGCATATAATTCAATTTTAACTTTTATGAATTAAAATACTCGAATACCAAATCTATTGGATGAAAATGATGCAAATTAAGTATTAGAATTAGCATAATAAATAACACAATAATTAGATATTCAATTAATTAAAAATATTTCACTTTATTTATAAACTTAAATTGCACCATTAACATCTTTTTGGGGTGGAATAGTTGCATTTGAAGTTATTAAATATACAGGGAAATTCACTCCAATAAGATAATGGTTTCATTAAGAATTTTATGATGCTCTTCCTGAAATAGAAGTCAATAGAAATTTAAAGAATTGTTAATATGATGATTATTATGCAATATTTGGTTAAGAAATAATGGAAAAATTATAAAATTAAAATTTGTTATTAATGGGTGTTGGTGGTTTAGGAAATGAATATCTTAAAATATTTTGTTTAATGGGTATTGGAATTGGATAAAAAGGATAATTGAGTATTATTGATGATGATCAAATTGAATTATCAAATCTGAATAGATAATTTTTATTTAATAAAAATCATATTGGTTCTAATAAAGCTATTGTAGCTAGTGCAATGATCAATTAGATTAATCCATCTATTTAATGTAAAGCATATCCATATAATATGTAAAAAGAAAATGAATAAATTTTTAATTAATCATTTTGGAATAACATAGATTTAACTGTTAATGCTGTTGATAATATTAGAGCTAGAAATTATATGGATTCTTAATGTTGTTATTATAGTAAACCTAATTTTGAAAGTGGATCTGAGGGTACAAAATGTCATTCTTAAGTGATTCTTCCATTTTAAACAGAATCATTTAGTGAATTTAGAGATTTTCCTGAAATAAGTATTCCTAAAAGTACATACTTAAATTTTCCATCTAATACTGATCATAATATTGAATGGGGTTTAGAATATTTAAAAAATATATTTGAATAATCTTCAAATAATTTATTTAAATTATATTAAAATCCACTGACTTTTTTGAATTAATTTTATAATTAGCATTAAAATCAAATTATTTATTTAAAAGATCAACTTTAATTTATTGAAAAATATTTATTAATATTTATCAATCCTATATTAGAAAATATAGTTAGATTTGCTAAAAATTTATTCTATTACTTATTTAATATTAAGATAAAATAGCTTTTAAATAGTTTTCCACCTGATTATGAATTACAAAATGGCATATTATTTTGGACAAACCCTAAAAGATTACCTAAACCAATAGAATTTGATTCGATAGATCCACTTCATTAATAATTTATTCATAGTGTAGTAAATATAGCTATAAAAATAATTGGTTAACCATTATAAATTGATTAAGAAGAGATATCAGTTATTATTAAATAAAATCATCCAATAGATAAAGAAATCTTTGAAGTTGAAAATAATAAAATTAATGAGAATGAAATTAAATAATAAGTTGATATGCTCAAAACTAAATTAGATAATTTAATTTAACAGAATTTAACAAATTTATAATACATCAAACCTTTTTCATATTAAAAACATAAATTGAACTATATAGAGTTATAGTTTATGACATCTGCTGCCAATCTAAGAGGAATTAATTTTAATATTCCTTCAGTAACTAGATAACAAGTTAGAGAAAGAGTAGATCAAATAATTCCTTAATTAATAACAACAAAAGCTGTTATAACTGGTATTGTAGGTATTGAAATTCTCAAATATATTCTATAAAAGAATATTAATTTAATTAGAAATACTTACATTAATCTTGCCTTAAACACATTTATTTTTGCTCAACCAAAACCTCCATTTTAAAATGTAGATCTAGAATATAATTATTTAATTTGTGATCGAACCATTGCAATCCCAAAAAGTATTATTTTATTAAATATTTAGATTGGACTGCATGGGATATAATTAAGATTAACAAGAAAATGACAATAGGGGAACTTATAAAATATTTTGAACAGAATTATAATGTAGATGTTTAATTTTTAGGATTCAATCATCATATTATATATTCTAAATTTAAACCTTAAACTTAAGATTTGTATAAATATTAATAAGACTTTTAGATTGACAAAAGATTGTGCTGAAGTATATGCTTAGGTTTCTAAAAAATAATAACCTGAAGATGAAATTAATTATAATGTAATATTGGATTCCAATTTAATAATAAATGGATAAGAAGTAAGTGTTGATTTTCCACCAATTAGATATCACTATAAAGTTTGATATTTTATTAATATCATTAATTTAAATATATTTCATATAATTAATTATATCTAATTAAATTATTATTTATGAAATAGATATAAATATATCAATCTACTAATTCTTATTTCTAATTTTCAAATAATTTTTATTTAATTATTATTTTTATTATTTGTTTTTTTTCTGAATTTCTAATTTATTCTACTTTCTGAATCTCTTGATCTTTTTTTTATCCTTAATTATTTTTAGTTATTTCTTTGGTAATCTATTCATCTTATATTTATATTATATTCTTTTTGACCATCCTTTCTAATGATATTTTTTTGAGTTTCTTTAAACTTAAACCTTATAAAAAACTAATATATTCTGTATCATTTGTTAAAGATTATATTTTATTGCAACTAATCCATAATTCTTTACTTAAAGTTTATCTCTTATTTTATCCTAATAATTTAATTATAGGTTTATTGGATCCTGTATTCTTACTTATATAATCCTATATATAATCAGGAAATCTTTATTTTAGAATTAAATAACTCTTTTCCCAAGAATTATTTATATTAAAATAATAAAATGTATATTTATCTAAGATTTACTTAAACTTCATATCTATTATTTCATTTATTGTGCAATATGTTTTAACTAATATTGATACAATAAGTGATAATTAAATTTTACCAATAATTTTCAAATCATATTATAAAAGGTCTACAAATTTTTCAATTTAATTTTTATTCATATTTTAATTTAAGTCTTAATCTATTAATGGAATCTCTATTGTTTAATTTTTTTTATCTTCTTTTCCAATTTATTCATTTTTAATATATTAAGTTTATAAGGACTTATTTTTATTATCAAATTTCTTTTAGATTTTATCTCTTTTATTATAAACATTATTATTGATTTATTAGATAAAGTATTCTTAGAGTTTGAGAATATGTAATGGTTCAAATAAATGATTATATATGTTCTATTTAGTAATATCTTATTAACATGAAATACACAACATGATATTATCTTTTTGTTGATAAATTTTAGATAATTATTTCTCAACACATATATTGATTTGATTATTAGTTGTCTTGTTATTCTTTGAATCATCCTTTGTTTAATATTCTTGTTTTAATTTATTCATTGCTAAAAAACCTTATAATTATTTTGTAATTAAGTATTATGTAAAAATTGGTTGATTTTAATTTGAATAGCATGATAATTTTATTTTTAATTAACATTATTCTAAATAAAAGATATTTTACCATTTATTTAAATGATAAATATAAATATACTATTTTATAAACTAAATGAAATTATAAACTATTTACATATCATTATAGAATATAATTCTATTATTATAAAAATAACATTTAAATATACTATTTCATTTTTCATCATAAGAATTAATAAAAGATTTTTATTATTATATCTTTACTTTCTTAACTCTAATATATGAGAAAATGAATATTAACTTTTTTATTTTTTTGTATTCTTAATAAATCATGAGTTAATTAATTAAATATATTAAATAATACATCTAATAAATAAATATTAAGAATATTCTATACAATTTTATCATTTCAATTCAAATCAATTATGCTATCAAATTATTCTTTATTTCATGAATTCTATTCAAAAATAGAATAAATCTATATTTAGGATTCCTACATTAAGGTATATATAATATTTTATAATAATATAGAAATATTAATATAATAATTTTCTTGTTGATTATGTTAACCAATATTATTTAATTTTAAATTGGTCAAGTTTCATTTGAAATAATATAAATAAATGATATAATACATCATACCTTATTTATTGTTATTTAGGACTATCAATACCTAACTTTAAGAATGTCAATGTTATTATATCCCTGAATAATTCATTTGTGAGATATCTAAAAGATGTTAATGGATAAATAACATGTGTGATTAAAATCAATCTTACATCAGTAAAATTGGAAATAAATGTGAATAATTTACATAAGAAGAATGCGTTTAATAAGAAGATTGTTCATTTAAGGATGGTTCATGTATTGATTTCAAAGGTTGTAATATATTTACAATTGATAAATGTGCGTCATCAATAAATTGCATATCAGATGGACGCACTTGTATATAAAAAAATGAATGCTAAAATTATTTAACATAAGAAGCATGCAAAAATTAAGATATCTACAAAGGATATTGCTAATGGAACATAAAATAAACTACCAAATGTTCTAAGATATAAGAATGTTCTGAATTACCAATATTGAAATCACATATTTAATGTGAAAATGCATTAAATTAATGTACAATAGATTAGAAAGGAAACTGTACAAATAAAGCTTATTTATGTAATTAATATAAGATATTCCAATGTTACAGTACAATAGATGGAAAAGAATGTTTTTGGAATTAATTAAAAGGTTAATGCATGGAAAAAATCTGTTAGAATGCATAATTTTCTACAGACAAATAATGTAAATAGTTTTAGTCATCTTGCACTACAAATGGTTTTAATTGTATTTTAAGAGCATAATGTAATGACATTACACATATCAATGGTTGTGTTAATGATGTAGATGGTAATGAATGTTTTTGGACAGGAATAAATTGTATAAAGAAAGTTTGTTTTTAAATTCCAATGGGAGAAAATTGTTATACTTATTTTTAAGAATTAGATTGTGTACCAACATAATATGGTAATTGTAAATCTAGACCTTAAAATTGTAATTAATTTGAAACTGAAGATTCATGTAAGTTTGATTATACATCATAATAATGTTTATGGAAAAATAATTAGTGTGTTTTAAAGACTTGTTAGATTGCACCATAATATACTAATTGTGCATTATGGAAAGATGATATTTCATGTGTAGGTGATTTAAATGGATATTGTATAGATTTGCCATAATATTGTTCATAAGTAACTGATATGACATATTGTTATAAATAAAATTCTGGTGATTTCTGTTAATTTTATACATGTACAACTGCTTATTGTTCTAAGGCTCCTGAAAATTATAATACTCATAATTAATGTGAATAATGGAATATTGATTGTACTGTTTAATTGAAAGATATTAATTCAAATATTGGAAATGGATGTGTTTATAAGTTTGAAAATTGTTAAGATTATGATAATGTAAATTAATGTAAAAGTACATTAAATAAAATATAATGTATTTTTGTAGATGGTAAATGTTAAGAGAAAACTTGTGAAATGGGTAAATATACTAATCATTTAGATTGTTAAAATTGGAAAAGTGATTGTATAATTAATGAATTTGGTAATTCTTGTAAAAATTGGCCAAATAATTGTTATGAACTTATAAGTGAATAATAATGTTATATTGGATTATAAACAGGAGTATATTGTGAATGGACAGGTTCTTAATGTTTACCTTAATAAAATAATTAATTATGTAATTTAGCCAATAATACAAGTTAATATGATGAACATGAAAAATGTAATAGATGGAATGGTTTATGTACAGTATTAATTAAGGTATATGGTTGTGAACCAAGACGTAATTGTGAAGATTATTTATTATAACATTAATGTATTGTTGGTATTGATAATTAATAATGTTTTTGGGATGGAATATAATGTGTTAAAAAATGTGATGGATATTCAATTGAAACAGTTGATATTAATAAATGTTAATTAATTGATTCTACTTGTTAACTTAATAATTTAACAGCAGTTTGTATTTTTAAGACATATTGTTCAGCATATAAAAATAAATTAGATTGTAAAATAAATAATAGTGATTAACCATGTAAATGGAATACAGTAGATTAGAAATGTGAAGATGTTATTTGTGAAGATAATACTACTGCTATTACTGAAAGAGAATGTACTTATTATCTAAATTATCAATAATGTTATTTAGATAATATAGGTTGTATTACTAGACCATAAAAATGTGATTCAATCTTAAATAATATTATATGTAAATAAACTATTCCAAGATGTTAAACTACTTATTGTTATTATACAAATGGTTGTTGTACATAAATATTAGCCAATTAATGTGAATGGATAACTGATTCTACAACTAATTAAGATTGTTAAAAATATAATCCTGATTGTATTCTCAATATTGTTACTGGTATAGGTTGTATGACTTCTAATAATTGTGAATTTATTAAAGATTAAATACTTTGTATATCTATCAATGGTTCAACTAAATTACCAAATGGTGATACATGTATATCATATAATGGTAAATGTTATTCTCAATCTAATTGTAATGGATCTCAAACTAATTGTAATGCAATTGTTATTTCAAGTGTTAAATGTAAATTTGGTACAACTGGAACATGTGTTGAAAAACTATGTACTGATTATGTTGGTATTGCTAATATGACAAATTGTTAATCCTTTTAAAGTTTTTGTTATTACAATGGAACCAAATGTGCTACTCTATTGGATTGTAATGATTTAACTTCATATGGTTAAACAGTATGTATATTAGGTAAAGTAGTAGGTGGATCTGTTTGTTCATGGAATGGCACTTCTTGTTAAACAATATAATGTTCACTTATAAGTGGTACTAATTGTTTATTATATAATAATAAATGTATCTAAGGAGTATCCAATTGTATAGATATAAATAATTGCAATTAAATAACTAATGAAATTTATTGTTAATTAGCTTATAATAGTTCTAATCTTAAATGTTTATGGGTTAATTCATCTTGTGTAGATTATTTTGATTGTACTAATACTTTTACTAATACATATAATGAATATTAATGCATAAGATATGATTTATGTAGATTATCCAAAACTACTACTGGATGTGAATTTAAATCATGTAATGAATATACACAAATGGAATATTGTAATAAACTCAATTAATGTATATGGAATAATGATTTATGTTAAAATTAAAATGAATGTTAATTCCAATTAAATCAAACAGATTGTGAATATTTTACTTATTGTTTTTGGGATACTACTTTATGTAAATAAAATGTATGTAATATTGCTACTACAGAATAATTATGTTCATAAGTTATTTTATAGAGTGGTAATAAATGTTTATGGTTAAATAGTACTTGTAAAGAATAGTATTAATGTTCTTCAATTAAGAATCCTTTATTTTTTGAAGATTGCAATAATTAAAATAATGGATGTGTAATTAAATACACATTTAGTGATAAATCAAGTTATTGTTAAACTAAAAAATCTAATTGTTCTTAATATACATCTATTTATCAATGTACTAAAGATATATATGATAATTTATGTAAATGGGATTTAAGTACATCTACTTGTATTTACAATCAATGTTCAACTTATGTAACTTCAAATAGTATATATAGCAATTGGATTTGTTAATAATTTAATAAGAATTGTGTATTAAATACAACATTAAATGGATGTAGAACAATATTAGCCTCTTGTAATTTATATACAACTTAATAATTATGTGATTATGCACTTATTACATCAAATACTTATTGTTATTGGAATGGATCCTCATGTATTAATGCTTAATGTTCTTAATATAATACATTAATATCACCTCCAATATCATGTGAATAATTTAGTTAATGTAATTTAATAGGAAGTACTTGTTAAAATAAATTAACTACTTGTAACTCTTATTTAAATGAAACTTTATGTAATTCAACTACAGATATATCATAAAACATTTGTGTTTGGATTAATAATTCTTGTATAAATAAAACTTGCTCTAATTATCCTTTCAATATATTTAATCATATGAATTGTTCACAATGGTTAAAATCATGTACAGTTAATTATGAAGAAACATAATGTATAAATATTGTTGATTGCACATCAGCACCTTAAGAGATTAATACAATTAATTAATGTGAATAATTCATATCACCAACCAATTAAATCTGTACTATATCATAAATTCAAGGTGGTTGTACTAATTTACCATCAACTTGTAGTTTAGCATCTAGAACTTAATGTGTAATAGATTCTAACAGAAAGAAATGTTATTGGAGTAAATAATACGGTGTTTGTAAAGAATTAATATGTACAAATATTGATAATACAATAACAACTGCACTTGATTGTGAACTCTTATTAAATCATTGTACATTAGCTAATTCTGGATTTGGATGCTAAAATAAAGGATCATGTAATAGTTATAATAATAATACTTGCTAATTTTTAAATATTAAAGATAATAATTAAAGAAATTGTGTTCAAGGTTGTTAAATGATTGTTTGTGAAGACTTTTATTATTAAAGTGATAAGTATTGCAAAAACATTCTCAATGGCTAATGTATTACAAATGGTGTTTAATGTATTACATCATATAGTTGTAGTGATTTTAGATTTGATAATTAATGTATCATATCAAGACAAGGTCTTTAATGTTTGTGGTACAATAATTAATGTGTCAATAGAAAGTGTGAATTAGCTGATATTAAATAATATCATACTCATTCTTAATGTCTTAATTTTATGAATACATGCACTTTTAGTAAAGTAAAAAATAAATGTGTAATGATAAATTATTGTTCTGATTATGATAATTAAGAATCTTGTTCTTTTGATAAGTTTGGTTCATTATGTATTTGGTATCAAGATAAATGTTATGAGACTAAATGTTAAAATACTTGTGGTGATGGAATTGTTAATTTAGATATTGAGTAATGTGATGATGGTAATCTTAAAGCAAATGATGGATGTTATAATTGTTAATATAGTTGTGTGATTGGATGTATTAATTGTTAAGAAGGAATTTGTTTAGAATGTGATTATGAATAAGGATATTATTTAGATGGTAATGATAATTGTGTTACTTATTGTGGTGATGAAATTATTTAAGGGAAAGAACAATGTGATGATGGAAATTTTGATTAATATGATGGATGTTATAATTGTTATTTTTAATGTCATTATGCTTGTACTTTATGTTACTAAGGACTTTGTTTAGAGTGTCAATTTGGATGGGCAATATCATTAAAAGGACAATGTGAAGTTATTTGTGGAGATGGCATAGTTGTATCTACAACTGATTAATAAAATGAATAATGTGATGATGCTAATATTGATTCTTTAGATGGATGTTCATCTGGATGTTTAATTGAAAACAAATGGAATTGTATCAATGATATCAATGGACCATCTGTTTGCTAATTTACTTAATAACCTACAATGCTCTTAACATTATTGACTCTTGCTCCAAATCTAAAATAATCTACTTAAATATCTTTTACATCCAATCTTAAGTATCTAGGTTTAAAGAATAACTATGAATAATCTCTTGTTTAAGCTTATATTTTGAATTTAAATCCATCTCTATATAAATTAGAAGTAGAGAGTAATAATAAATACTCCACTAGTACATTTGACTCTGTAATATTTATTATTCATGTTGAATTTTTTATAAGTGTGGAGAATCCATCATTATAAGTCTTATTCAAACATTAAGAATTTATTGATGATAATAATTAGCATCCAGTAAATACAAAATAAAACATTCGTTTATTTACATGCTATTATGAATCAGCCTCTGATTTAAAGATTTCATCAACTACTGCTGTTTTTAATTCAATTTTGCTGTATATACTATTAGCTATTGCTATAATTTCAGTTCTAACTGGAAACTTAGATATATTTTGGAATCTATTAGATATGGTTTAGTATTTATCATATATTAAATATATTAATATATAATTTCCAAGTAACTTAAATTCGTTCTTTGATTTATTTAGAGTAATAACGCTATAACCATTCCTAGATTTTATTCATTTTTAAACAATTATCAATCTATTTAGTTTTGGTGAAACTATCATCATTCCTACCACTAACAAGTTTAAAGAAGATAATATTAATGCTTTTTATTTTTATAATTTTGGAAGTTCGATGCTTATTTTTGGTACTACATTTGGTTCCTTTTATGTTAGTTTATTACTCATTAATACCATTAATAAATATATTCATCATTTATATGATCATCTTTACTTTTTAAAATTGATTTAACAGTTATATAGAATATTAGTAAGATTCTAATTTTATTTTTTCTATTCTGGAATTATTAGAATATTTCTAACCAATACATATGATATTCTTTTTACCGTCTTACTTTAATTGTATTATCCTAATTTTCACATCTTTATTACATCTTTTAGTGTATTAATAGCTGGAATGTCATTTTGTTTAGTATTAATCATTATATATATGATTCTATCTAAATAAACATCAGAATCAAATGGAATTGCTGATTAATTTACTGTTTTATCAGAAGGAGTAACATCAAATCATGGATTGTGGGCCAGATAATTTAATTCTTTGTTATTAATTAAGAAATTAGTGTTTATGCTTTTATTAATTTTTATGTAATAATCTGGATAATTATAAACCACCCTTATTTCGATTACTCATATTTCATTTGCTTTATATCTTATATCAAAAAGACCTATGAAAAATTAATATGAATATTACAAAATGATATTTGTAGAATCTAAAATTACTTTGGCTACTAGTTTCTTTATTTTATATTCAATGCCTAATCTCACATTAGACTAAAAATATATAATTGGATGGTTGCATATTGCAATATTTACTTCTATCCTTATATTTTCTGTAGTATTGGATTTGACATATTAATTAAGAGTGATTAAAGAGAAACTCATAAAATTATGTGGATAAAAACAAGTGCCAAATTAAAAAATAATATTATTTGAAACAATACCTATGTAAAGAAGATGTTAATGAAAGTATTTAATGTATATAAAATTTTATTATTATTAATTTTTTAAATCTTATTTATTTGATATAATATCAATTTTATATAAGAGTATTGAATTATGATTCTTATAGAATAATCCAAAAAGTAAATATAAATTTTGATTAAAATTAATTAATATAAGAAGAATACTAAACTATAATAAATAATCTAATTTATAATATATTATACATTATATTTTTCATTATACTAATTTCCGTATTTACAAAGTTTTTGTTTCTTAATCCCAAATTATTAAGTATTCACCATCATTACTAAATGTACTATATATCTCACTATCTTTTAATTGTATTTTAGTTTCAGTACTAAATATTGATCCATTATGTCTGATTATATAAATATAATTTCCAACTTTATATATAGCTAAACTTTAAGATTTGATAATTTATGGGGGAAAGACACGATACTACTTTAAAGATCTTGTTCCTATTTCATTTACTTATTTAAATTCTCCATTTGGTTACTCAAATATGAATATTTTCATGTATTACTAAAATACTTGAAATGTAAATAAGGAGTTAGTTATAAATAATAAATTATATGCCCACTCCTCTTGCTTAATTGTTTAATAGACTTACCATAATTTATTCTAGTTTTATTGATATATTTAAATTGATTTGCAAATTTAAATTGAGGCAATCAATAAATCTTATGAATTATTCAAACTTATACTTGGAACTTAACCTATATTTTCTGATATTGTTTACTATAACCTCCAATCCTTATCCTTATTCCATACTTTTATAGTCTTACCACAACCTGAGATTATGATATTTTCATCTATACCGATGGTTAAACAATGAATTGTACCAAGATTTTCATTAATTTTCATTTCAATATCATATTTTTATTCCATTTCAAGAATTTTCCATATAATAATAGTTCTGTCCTTACTTCCAGACACAAATCGATTGGATCTTTTCATTGATTCTAAACAATCGACCTCATCTTAGTGTTCATCTAATTCTTATCTTTAAAATAATTTTTCAGATTTAAATTCAAATATCTTAATTTTTCCATCTGAATACCCTACAATAAATAACGAGGAATCAAAACTAAATATCATAGACTTTACATTTAATTCATTTATTGAATAATCCTTAATAAACTCATATTATATTGGCTTTAGTTCTTGTTTCTATGAAATATTCTAGAGGTCTCTCTCAAATAATTATTCTGATTATTCAATATTTCTCTAATATTATTTATTATTTTAAGCCTCTACCTTTAGAATATAACTAGTTTCATTTGTAAACTATTCTTAAATCTACTAGATATTTTTAATAGAATCTTTTAAGACTTTAGTTAATTTTTATAGTTTGTTTTAAAATTTATTTTATATATCTCTACTTAATAGGTCTTCATTATTTGATTAACTTAATGTATTGGCTACAAAAATTATATCCCCTTTTGTTAAATCTAACCATCCTTTTTTAATTAGTTAATAAAAAACCTAATCATTTTCAGAATATATTTCAACATCCTTTAAAGATTTAAGTGATTCATTCATCCAAATCATAAATTTTTCGTAAAATCTATTTATTTAACATATAGCCTTATTCAATTGGGTTAATACATATTCATCACATGAAGACACTTTATTTGATAATGCCTCTTTAAGCTTGAACCAAAATTATTGAAACTAATTAAGTTGAGTGAATTTTGTTTAATAATCAGAAGTACAATTTAAACATGCAATTCTATTAGGAACAACTTCTTATTCATTCAAATCTACGATCATTAATTGTGCTTGATGTTTTTCACAAACCCAATCATTTCTTATTTTTGTTAAATTATTTTCATTAATATCTTTTATACTTTCTTAATCTAAAAATTATTAATAACTGTAATCCTTGGAATCCATTTATTCTAATAGTTTTTCATTTTATTATAAAAAATCACAATTTGAAAGCCCTTTTAATTAATTCATAAGATTTCTTTAAATTTCATCAAACAAATTTGAATAATTATATTCTTCGAAATTATCTAAATTACTAAAGTTTATTTTTTAAAGTGTTTCTAATTTTGTAGTTTCATTTTTTTTAATATAATCATCAATGCACTAAATAAGTATATTTAATTTTGTAATAAATGTTTTTTCTAGTTGGATAATATTAACTCTTAAATTCTTTAAAATATCTCCATTTTTTACACTTTTTTCTTCTATTTATTCACTAAATTTCTATAAACCTTTCTCAACTTCTTCTATAAGTACAAGATTTTTGTTTTAATTGATTATGCATTTTCGACATAATTTTCTACTCTTATTACTAGCTAATGTTTTTCTAATAAATATCACTTCTTCTAAATGTTCTTAGCACTTATTACTATCTTAATGATTTCTTACTTTTTACATCAATATTTAGAAAAATAATTGAAGGTATTTGCATCATTATTATTAATTGGTATTACCAATTATTAAAAAGAATTTTTACAAACATTTATCAAGATTAACTATGATGTTTTTATCTTCTAATTATTATAAAATTAAATAAATCAGGATTAAGATATATATTGTTTTAATTTTTAAATTGTTTTGTCATTTCTTCAAAAAATAATATTAACAATAAAAAAATTTACTAATGATTATTATTGATCTTTAGATCAATTTAAAATAATAGACTAAATTTAGAAGAGAATAATAAAATAGAATACTATTATCTCTCACTGATTGCATACTAATACTGCAGTAGGTTAAAATCACTCTACTTGTCAGACAAAGTTAAATTCCTTTGATCATTTTAATTTTATCATTGGAATTCGAAGCTAATTCTAGGCTACCTGAATAATTAGAAGTGAATGAGTATTAAATTATATCAAAATAGAAAGCTATAAATATTGTCAATATATTTTGAATAATATTACAAAAATATAAGAGGAAGAAAAGAATCATCAACAAAACCAAAATAATAATTAAGTCAATAAAATATGAAAAAAAATTTTGATTACTTTGAATATATTAAAGATTACCTTAAGGATAATAACAAAAATTGTAATTCTGCACTAATAACGAAGAGATGGCAGAATATTTAACTTTTATTCCAGTGAGCTTTACCATTACAAACAGAAAGAGAGAAATTTATAAATTACACTTAAATATTAGATCATAAAATAATACATTCTCAAAAATATTCCATACCTATCAGGTTTAAATCAATCAGAAACTTAAACTATGCAAAAAAAATGAAAGTGGCAAATCCATATATTTTAATGGAATTAATCATTAATTCATAATAAACGAGAATGGTGTTAACATCACTATTTATAATTAAATATAAGACTATTTTACTGATAAAATCTTGAAACAGTTTATATCAGATTTTGGTATCCATTTGAATATTATTTCAATATTGAATTGGATTTGACCTATTGCAATTAGCAATAATTAATGCTTAATATTTATTGACTTCAGGAGTGACAATAAAACCAGATGGACAAAGATTATATGGTATACTAAAGGATTAATAAACTCTCACTGATGAACAAGTAGATTATCCGGAAGCCATTCAGAGCATAATTATTTATGTTGATACCTATAATTAAAAAATATAATTCATTTGAAATTGGTGTCCCAAAAGTTTCACCATTTTCTCCAGCATTATTCAATGTACAATTGGATGAGTTTCAAATAAACTTCTGTAAGTTTCTGGTAATAAATTGAGATTTTTAGGAAAATGGAACTACATGGCATTATGTCAATAAAAAGAAAAAGTTAAAATGAATCAACATTTGAGCTGCAAGCAGTATATCATTACAAATATCTTGGAACAGATATAGATCGTAAAGGAACTATATCGCATCACTTCAAAAATCTTAGGACAAAGATTAACTCTAAATTACAAGCATCATCTTTTATCTTCAACAATGAAATCTTCTCAAAGAGTTAAATAGAATATATATTCAACCTTAGTTAATTTATATGGCTGTTAAATCATCATTTAACAACAAGAAAATGCCTTTAAATAGATGAATTCAAAAAGAATTCAAGCAACTCGTCAAATTTAAACAACATGTTTTATGTAATTCAAAAATGTTTTAACAACTGACTCACCAAAAGATAGCGGATAGAATCTTAAAACACTCTAATGAATAATAAGGTGAAATTATTTAGAAAAATAATCAACTAAATTTAAACATCATTAAACATAAATTTTTAGTTATTGTTTAAGTTTGATTTGGAAAATACTCAGATAAAAACTTCAGTTGTGTCATTAAAAATCTCTCTCTATTGAACTAGATAGACTAGCTAAATAAGAAATTTTTTAATATGTNATCAGAAACTTAAACTATGCAAAAAAAATGAAAGTGGCAAATCCATATATTTTAATGGAATTAATCATTAATTCATAATAAACGAGAATGGTGTTAACATCACTATTTATAATTAAATATAAGACTATTTTACTGATAAAATCTTGAAACAGTTTATATCAGATTTTGGTATCCATTTGAATATTATTTCAATATTGAATTGGATTTGACCTATTGCAATTAGCAATAATTAATGCTTAATATTTATTGACTTCAGGAGTGACAATAAAACCAGATGGACAAAGATTATATGGTATACTAAAGGATTAATAAACTCTCACTGATGAACAAGTAGATTATCCGGAAGCCATTCAGAGCATAATTATTTATGTTGATACCTATAATTAAAAAATATAATTCATTTGAAATTGGTGTCCCAAAAGTTTCACCATTTTCTCCAGCATTATTCAATGTACAATTGGATGAGTTTCAAATAAACTTCTGTAAGTTTCTGGTAATAAATTGAGATTTTTAGGAAAATGGAACTACATGGCATTATGTCAATAAAAAGAAAAAGTTAAAATGAATCAACATTTGAGCTGCAAGCAGTATATCATTACAAATATCTTGGAACAGATATAGATCGTAAAGGAACTATATCGCATCACTTCAAAAATCTTAGGACAAAGATTAACTCTAAATTACAAGCATCATCTTTTATCTTCAACAATGAAATCTTCTCAAAGAGTTAAATAGAATATATATTCAACCTTAGTTAATTTATATGGCTGTTAAATCATCATTTAACAACAAGAAAATGCCTTTAAATAGATGAATTCAAAAAGAATTCAAGCAACTCGTCAAATTTAAACAACATGTTTTATGTAATTCAAAAATGTTTTAACAACTGACTCACCAAAAGATAGCGGATAGAATCTTAAAACACTCTAATGAATAATAAGGTGAAATTATTTAGAAAAATAATCAACTAAATTTAAACATCATTAAACATAAATTTTTAGTTATTGTTTAAGTTTGATTTGGAAAATACTCAGATAAAAACTTCAGTTGTGTCATTAAAAATCTCTCTCTATTGAACTAGATAGACTAGCTAAATAAGAAATTTTTTAATATGTATAATAGCTCATTAAAAATATTGAGATCTTTTAAAGTGGCTTTGTTTTGATTGAGTTTTCATAAGTTTGTTGATTATTGGTAAAAGTGCATAAAACATTTATAATTGAATATATTAACACTTAGAATTTAGTATTATTAATGAGAAAATCTTCCAAATCAACTAATAACTTCAAAAGATAAGTGAAGATTATGATTCAGCAAAACTCATAAAATATTTCCTGGCTGCACACATTTCTGAGAAAATTAAAACATATTTTTGCCAGAGAGTAATAGTAATTATGGTGTTTAATTTAAATTATAAAATTATAAATCAGTGAACAATGTTTAGTAATATATATTAAATTGACTATTGCATTGAATTGATAATTGAAGATTGTTACTTATCATGGAATTTAATTTCCTTAACAGCTTTTCATTCTAAAATCGAGGTTTGAGAAGATAATCCATCAATAAAATTAATTTCAATTTAAAATCGACTTAAGTCTATTTTTTTGATTATACTCAACATTTTAAACTAGTATCTAATAAAAATTCCCCTATTTTTTGGCTCCAATGAATAAAAATCTTTCATATGTTTTCGTTAACATTATTTCTAAAAATATAAAATAGAATATATAAAAAATTTTAATTTTTGATATCGAAATCTATTCATTAATTTGATAACTAATTCGCTTTATTATAAACTCGAATAATAAAATAATATTTCATTTATTTATAATGGAAAATCCAAGTATTGCTTTAGTGATGAGTTCTGAAACTAGGATGAAGGAAATTTGTAAGTTGAGGAATTTGATTCTTTAGAAAAGATATCTCAAAAATGGTTTGATGCTGTTTTATCAGCAATTTGGGCAGGAAATTTCAAAGCAGATGAGAATTTGTAACATCTTGTAATAGAGACAAATGATATATCAACATATAATTTGAGTAAAAATTTTGAGAAAGCTTTGAAATTTATCAACTAATGTATTAGTTCATTGCGCTGCTGGAATTTCTAGATCATTTGATATAGTAAGAACTTTATTTGATTTTTCTAATATATATATAAATCAATATAGGGAAATACAATCAATCTAAATATTCATCGATAATAGCCTTCAGGATAAAATGCATAAAATAAAACCACAAAAAGTTTTAAGAAGAATCAAACAAACAAGACCTTATGAAAATCCAAATAAAGGATTTACAAAATAATTAGAAAAGTCTAATTAAGAAGTAATGGAACAAAAATAATGATAATTTATTGTTATTATGCAAATATATCATTCATTAGATTCTGCTTATTCTGATTATATTGGTGAGGAATAATCTGGTTATTCAACTATTCCAAGATAAAAATTATGGGACTTTTGTAAATCGGCTTCGATTAATTTCTAATAATCTTCTTTAGCTAAATTGATAATGTTATTAATTTACAAATAACATTTCCATCATTATCATAATACTTAATTTATGGAGTTGTAAGTTCCCCGCTATCAAGAACAGCTTTTTCTGATTCTTTAATTTCACCAAACCATTCATTTGGATGATCTTCATAAATTTTTGGTTCTGGAATGTGAATACCTTCTGATATACATTCATGACTATAAATTAAATTAAGTTTATTTCCATAAAGGGCATCTTTAATTTTAAGTGACATTCTTAAATATATATTTAGAATACCCAATAGGAATGTAAACAGAATGAACAGGGATTTCGAATTTGATGTATTCTCCTGGTTAATCACAATATTTGAAAGAAGGTCCCTTGTAATCACATTATCCATAAAGAATAATACAATCTCCATTGGCTGGTAAATCTGACTCGTATTGCTGGGCAATAAGGATTTATTATTATGTTTCAGCATTAATGTAGGTATCAAGGGTGGCGGTATAAAGTGTTTCAGGAGGGGTGGCTGTTTCTAATTATTATTATTAAGTTGGATCGGTTGATTTTTCTAAGAATATATTTGTCATGGGAGCAAATGACCTATTTATTAAGGATTCTTCAAGGAATGAAGATTGAGTTGATGCAAAAACAATGCATGCTATAAGGAATTGAATTTTCATTACTTATAAAAACGAATATTAATTTGATTTATCTTATTAAATATTCTATAGTAAATATGTTGGTATATTATATTAACATATACATTATAAATTAAAATCAAATGGAAAATTATCATGTATTACATTTAATTGGCGAAGGATAATTTGGGAAGGTATTCAAGGGAAGATAGAAGAAAAGCAACTAAATGGCAGCTTTGAAGTTCATAAGTAAAAGGGGAAAAACAGAAAAAGATTTAGCAAATTTGAGATAGGAAATTGAAATATTGAGGAGATTGAAGCATGAAAATATAATATTATTATTAGATGCATTTGAGACACAAGGGGAATTTTGTTTAGTAACTGAGGTAATTTATATTGTTTATAATTATTAGTTTGCATAAGGGGAATTATATGAAATTTTAGAGGATGATCATAATCTTCCTGAAAGCGAAGTCAGAAAAATAGCATAATAATTAGTAAGAGCACTTCATTATCTCCATTCAAACAGAATTATTCATAGAGACATGAAACCCTAAAATATTTTATTATCTGCAAATGGAATTGTTAAATTGTGTGATTTTGGTTTTGCAAGAGCAATGTCAACAAATACATAAGTTTTGCATTCCATCAAAGGTACTCCTCTTTACATGGCTCCAGAATTGGTATAAGAATAACCTTATAATCACACAGTGGATTTATGGTCTTTGGGAGTGATTTTATACGAACTATTCGTTGGCTAACCTCCATTTTACACTAATCAAATTTACTCTTTAATTTAACTTATAATTAAAGATCCAGTAAAGTATCCAGATAATATGAGTCCAGAATTCAAAAGTTTCTTAAAAGGACTACTAAATAAAATACCTTCTGATAGATTAGGATGGCCCGATCTTCTAAACCATCCATTTATACAAGAGTCTGATTAAGAAAAATATGAAAGGAAAAAAAGATTAGAATAATATAGTTAATGGGCAGGAGTAGAAAGTGAAGTTATTGATAAACGCAAAAGATCTTTAACTCCCACAAGGGAAATCATAACCTATGATTAAGGTAAAGACACAAGAGATGTCTCTCCCAGAAGAATGCCTTGCAATGATGAATATTGGGTTAAATGCGAATAAATTGCTAATGATATTCAAGGGGCAACATAATTAAGATGTGATCCTGGATTCCTAGATAAGTTGCTTCAAGTATTGGCTCCCCCAAAGAAACCCTCTTTGCATTGTGCTTTGAAAGTTTTTGGATAAATTATAACCAAAGGAAACCTATAAGAAGGCTTAGATGTTGTTAAAAATCAATAAATTCCTATTTAATTAGTTACTCATGTTAAGAGCATTCTTAAATAAGGTAGTTCCGAACTACTATCGGAATTAATTAAAACTATAGGTCTTTTAGCCAAAGCTACTTTTGATAAAAATATTGGAATAGATAATATATTTATAAAATTCATTGGTATGACTGCTTAAATTCTGAAGATTGGATAGAATAATGAATTAATAAATACGATAAAAACTATTGGAATATTTGCTAATTAAGCTAGTCTTAATCCTGTAAGATCTGTTTTATTTTATAAAGAATTAGTTGAACATAACTTAGCTTAAGAAACTGCCAAATTGACCAAAAGTAATGTTATTCTTCACAAATTTGCTACCTAAGTAATTGGAGTATTGATACATCCTATTCATGGGGAAATATTTAGTTTTCCTTGGAAGAAAGGATATTCGATTTAACTATTAAATTTTAATGAGGCATTACCTCTATTTGAGTCATTGAAAAATCAAATTGTAGCTTCTTACGCTGATATTGATCATTTGAAAATTTATAATGAATAAGATGAATAGTAAAATTTAACAAGAATATCTGTGTTGAGAATCCTATTATAAATGATCAGAGTAAGTAAAGATGTTCATGTTCCTAAAGAGTTGATAAGTTAAGCACTTAATTCTGATGAAGCATTATTTTAAGGGACTGCCTTATTGATCTTAGTTTAATAATATAAAAATAAAAATTAGGAATATTAAGTTAATTTATAATAGGTGATTGAAATCTTCGAGAATAATATTTAGATCAATCCTATAGTTTCATTATCAGCAATTTAGTTGATAGCTGAATTATTATAATAAGAAACAAACTTCACTAATCAATTACTTAATTATTTTAGTTAATAATTGCCTTACAAATTATTAAATGATCTGGTCAATCCTAATAAGAAACAAAATAGAACAGAGGAAATCAGAAAATTAGAGGGTAGTAGTTTTGGATGCCCCAGTTATGGATTCGTAGATGGAGTTATAACATTATTATAAAAATTACTATTTAGATATAATAAAGAATAAAAGAAGTTGACAGATCTATTTTAATTACTTGAGAAATATGAAATACATCAGTTATTATTTTAGATTTTATTGAACATTACAAGTAGAAATGATGTATCTCCAAAAGGATTCGTATCTTTATTAATTTTAATTCATGACTCAATATACTCAAATTTCAAAGCTTTAGGATAATTAATATTTTAGGATAATTCAATTAAAATTTTATGTAACTTTTTAAAAGAAGCTTAATTACAAAGTATATAAGAATGGCCATCTTCTAGTGGAGGAGGTATGGCTTGTGTAAATGTAATGAGTATTTAAATAATTCGAATTTTTATTTTGGCATTTTAAGAATAAAATTGTGATAATGTATTTAAAGAGTTGAGTAATCAAGAGATAGTAGCTTTGACATTAAATTTGATAAAATATCTATAAAAAGATCATATTTCGTTAGTAATCTCTTTCATTTCAAGATTGGTTGGAAATAATGAGGAAGACAAACAATTTGCATAAAGTTTTGTTTAAAATAATGGATTGGCAATTTTGTAAAAATATTAAATAATGAGTGTTGATTCAATTAATATTTTATCTTAATTAGCTAGGATTAGCAAAGATTTTTATCCTAATATTCACTCAATTAATTTATACAATGATTTGAAGTAATAAATTTAATCTCCTGATTCTAATATTAGAGCTAAGGTTTGCAATTTAATTGGCAATTTGTGTCGACATTCTTCTTTTTTTTATGAACATTTACTCAAATTTGATTTAATTAATTTATGCATCAAATGTTGTCAAGATCCAGATAAACATACTCGTAAATTTGCTTGTTTCGCAGTTGGAAATGCAGGATTTCATAGTGATAGATTATATGAATAATTAAGACCAGTTGTGCCAATGTTAGTTGAATTATTAAGAGATTAAGAAGTATCTTTATCATCTAAATAAAGGAAAAAACTAGAGCAAATGCAGCTGGAGCATTAGGAAATTTTGTTAGGAATTCTAATGCTTTAACTAAAGATTTAATTAAACATGGAGCTTTAAATTAATTATTAGAATTAGTGAAAACAGACAAAGGATCTCAGCCAACAAGAATATCCTTATTTTCTATAGGGAACCTTTGTGCTTATCCTGAATGTCGAAAAAAATTTGAAGAATTGTAAATAAGATAGATAATTGAAATTAATTTAGTAAATTTAATATTAATTATAAGGCTTCAACAAAGGATTAATAAATATAAAAATATGGAAAAAGAATATTAATTAAACTTGATGAGAATTGAAAATTTGAATATGATAATATAAATTATTATTTAGTTAAATAACAACTCAATTTGTATTTGCTTTGATTGAATCCCATATAGTCTACATTGTCTTAAAGATTTCATATTTTAAATCATCTCCTATTACCAGTTAAGTAATATATTTATTCTAAATCAAAATTAATACATACTTTCAATTATTTTTAAGGCTTATTAACTTAAATCTTGATTCCTGAAGAAACAATTTCTAAATGTATGATCTCATTAGATGCCAAAATCCAAACCTAAAGTAAAATAAGAATTTTACTTTCTTCTTAGTCTTTACTGACATATAAATAAAATGTTCAATAGTCAAGACTAGCATACAATAGCCATCCTATTCAGAATTCAAAAAGTAGGATGCAACAAATCTATTGTTTATTAATTAACCTCTACGTATGAACTATAGTGTAGCATAAGCTTCAGCATCAAGTACAACAAATTCAGTAATATATCCTTCATATCCATAAACAGGTCGAATATTTCTAGACCTATTATTATTAGGTTTATCATCAAAATATTGTACTGTATTTTGAATTCCAGCTGCAGTTTAGGATAATCCATCTAAAACTCCAGTTATTGGTTTTATGATTAGTCCAGCAAAACCTTTAGCTGTTCCAGTAAACACTCCTTTTAATCCTTTTTCTTTGGTTTCTTATATAGGTTTCAAGAATATTCCAGCAATTCCATCTGTTATTCCTGTCATTATTGATTGAGCTCCTTATCCTAAACCTTAACCAATATGCTTTGGCTTTTACATCTTCATCTTCTCTCTCTTTCTTAAATAATCTTCATCCATTGTCAAATTAGCCAAGCCTCCCCCTACACTTCCAGCTATTTTGTTGACTGAATTAATTGCTCCCAATATAGTATGAGATACTAAAGAACCAGCTCCTTAGGCTAATCCCAAACCAGCTTCTAAAGGACCTTAGGTTAATCCTGCAGCTGGTTTATCAATGAAATCTTTAAATCCTGTTGATACATTATTAAATAATCCAATAGGATTACCGATAATAGACAAACTTCCAATTATTTTGCCTACTTATTTCATCCCTTCAGATTAATAAAATTACCTCATTTTCTCAAGCATTCCTGGAATTGTATCAAAGCAATTATCAAGTTTCCAACCTGAAATAAAGATAGGTGCATCACTAATGTCTGTTAAGGCAACTCCCAGAGCTTATGCAATGGAAGCAAACAAAAAAGATTATGCAATTTTTAGATCTCCTTTACCTGTCATTTAGAAAGTGACGTTTATAGCTATTGGGGATATGATGATTTCACTTATATAAGTCGGCAATTATGCTTTTGGTAGTGTTTTAGTTTTCCATTCTTCATTGATTTGGTAGATTGATTCAATTTATGCTTAACTATTTTATTTTTCTTATAAGGATTAGGTATCTGATTATTTTTATTTGAGTACACTTCCTGATTAGTTTTTATCATATTCATTTATTAATCCTTAATAGGATGTTATAGCCCAAACAAATTCTAAGAAATTATTAATTAATAATTATTCTATTTTAACTTCAAATGGATCTATTTCTAAAGTAATATTTTGAAATAAATTAATTGAGGTAACTCTATTATCTTTCATGATTAAGAAATTGAAAAAATATTTTTCACTTTATTAATACTATTTAACAGCTTGTTATTATTATGATTATTATTATATTAAAATTGGTTAATATAATGAATATTTTTATGGTGTTAATATAACAGGGAATTGAACAAAAAATTAAGCATTATGATCAAAATTAATATATTGTACTCTCATTTAAACAACTAAACTAATATTTGTAGAAATAGTAACAAATTCTATATTTTTGCATAAAAAATGAAAGTATTCAGCTGGTCTCTTTTTGATTTCAGAATTATGAACAAAAGATAATGAAAATGCATTTATCTTAAGATTTATTCTAATCAAGATTTTATCAGCATCTTATTATTGAGATTAATGTGATTGCTATAATGAATAAGATTATCTCATAGAGTCTTCATTCATTTCTATACCAAGATTTTCTTTTTCTTTAACTTATTTTAAGAAATCTTATTTTGGTTTAGATTAGTAAAGTGTCTTTTATTCTTGAGTAGCTATGGCAACTTTAACATGTTTCTGATTACCTTAAGGCATGATAGTCAAAGCAACAGAAATAGGATCAGCTCTGGATCCTTTTTTAGGTTTGAAAGTGTATATCTTAAATACTCCAATAATATCTGGATTAAGTTTATATTTAAAGGGAGTAAAATCATTATAAGGATCATCTGCCACTCTTAATTCTACATTCAAAATCTTATTTGTTTGTTATGGTTCATCCCAAGCAAAATAAGCAACTTAATTATCTTATCTTAAAGTTATTTTTAACTCTTAAATTTCCAATTCTAATGCTTCAGCAGCAAGTTCTATTTTGTATGGTGCTTAATCAAGAGAGAGTTCAGTAAAGATAACATATAAAATACATCCTTCTTTTCTAGTATCACAACTAAAATATAATTTGTCTTAAGAATTTTGTGTATGTCTCAATTAGAAATTTACAATTCCTATAGCACTTATATTGATTCTACCACTTGGATGATATGTATTTTCATTAATATTCATTGTTATAAATTGTTAATCAAATAGATCTTTCTCCTTGATATTATATTTAACTTAGTAAATAGTTCTTTGTTTTGATTAGACAATTTAATTATAATTTCCATCAATAATTATTAATTCTTTATCACTATTATTTACCAATATAAATCTAGGTTCTAATGTGATCACCCTTGATAATAGAGTATATTTACTATTACAAACTTTAAAATCTAATTTTGCTCCAAGATATGTTTAGACTAATCTATTAGAATCTACTTCATCTGCTTTAATAACATCAATGTATGGTTCCCCTATTGCAGATATTTAAATTGGGAATTATGAAAATTTTTAAGGAGCAGATGAATGAGACAATTATAATTAATTGCCACAATCTTATCTAATATAAATTATATTTTTATCTATTTAATCTCCTGAATTAATAGGATTTTATCCAGCAATTAGTTCTAAATGTTTCTTTTTTTCACTAACATAATATTACAATTCCATTCCAGTTTTATTAAGTATATAGCCAGTACTATAGATTACAAACTCTCTAGTAGCTTTATTATAATCAGATTATCGCCAAGGTTCAAAAACTAATAAGGTTAATTAATTATCCATTCCATCAACTAATTATAATTTTCCTATAGCATCAACTTTAACCTTTTATCCATCCTCTTATAATGGTTATGATAATTGATATTCACTTGACCAATAAAATCCTTATACTAATACTCTCATATAAGTGTTTTTTTTATTATCAATACTAGATAGGCAATGCATATAATCTTCAATGGTTTCCCTTGGCTATATTTTTTTAATATATGTTGTTTCTTTTCTTTAATTTAATATTTGAACATATATTTGTGTTGGCAATGAATTCGTTATTTTATAAGGTGCCTATAATTCTATTTTAACTTTATCTTTATAATCTTTATCTATATAAATTTTGAATTGAATGTTAATTCCATCTCTAGTACGTACAACTTATGGCTAACCTATAGCTGATGTTCTAATTAAAGAATCTACTTTAAATTCTTCTGAAAATTGTGGACAATTATCTACCTTTAAACAAAATTTAGAATTCTCAAATCCAATAGGAATTGGAGCAACATTTGTTAAATCTAAATTATTGATCAATGGTTATAATTTAAATATTTATTAATTCCTTTCATCACTAATTTGTAAAATTATAGTTTTGCTTGTTTTATTTACAATTATGATTGGAGATGAAACTATAAGTATTTTCTGACTTGTAACTTAATCTAATTTAACTATACCATATGCTTATAAACCTTCCTATTCATATAGTTTTCCTCTTGTCTTGTCTAAATCAATATATTTCAATGGAAATGTCTTCTTATCCAATTTAATGTTTACATTTACTCTTCTAATTCTATTACTATTCATCGATTCCATTTCTTCATCATAAACCAAATTTAATTATTAATTTACAGGGACATTCAATGATTATGAATTAGGTTTATCAATATAATCTATTTATAGAGGTCTTCCTGTTAAATTTCTTATTGCATAAGGTGATTCTTAAATAAGAACTTCCTCTCCTTCAATTTCAGATATTAATGATGATTTTGACATATTTTTATGTTCAATAGTATCTGACTTCTTAAATATTTTATTCATAATTTTTAAAACCTTTAAAATAGTTTAGACACAGACAGTAGACAAAGTAATATTAAAGGATTCATTTTCCTTTAATTATTCAATTGTAATTAAATTATTTGTTTCACCTAATAAACTTTATAAATAAATTATTTGAAATTCTATTTTTTCTATAATAGGTTCCCATTTAGAAGTAAGAGGATTAAAATTATGTAATTCAAAGGGAATTAAAAGATTAATTTCAAAAAGAATAGGTTTCTTTTGTAATAATATTTTAATTAGATCTACTTATAAATCAAATAATGGGGCAAAAGTATTACCCATATCATTTAATACTACAACTTTTGTTTTTTCAATTTCTAAATCAATTCTCATAGAATTCATTTATAATTTATTAAGATGAGAAGCATCCAATTTAGATAATTCATTACTTTTCTATTATTCATTATTTTCAACAGAATTTTATTTTGGCATTTAACTCAATTGATATGTTAAACCAGTTTACATAGTGAGTAAATCTTTAAAAGAAATCTTTAAATTGATAGGAGTGATTCTACAATTAATATCAAAATCATTTCCAAATTCTGTTGAATTTGCATAAAATACAGCAGCCCTGGCTATCATTATTTCTATGTCAGCAGGTTACAAAATTTCTCTTTTTTTAACTTATTTAAAATCATCCTTTTTTCCTAAATCATAATTTTTACATAAAAAGACCTCAATCCTTTTTAATTTAGCATCAATTGACATTATAATATTCAATTTATTCCAATCTTTCTCTGGAATATTCTTTTCCATTATTTCTGTTTGAACTTATTTCAATGTTTTTTATGGATACATTTTTAAAGTAATATCAAATATTCCACGAATTGCTAAAACATTAGATTCAACTTATGATGGTACACAAGTAATTACATTTTTTAAATTTACTTTTATTGTTAATACTCCATTTTATTATTACTATTATTATTATTATTAATATTAACTATTAATAAATTTTCCTTATTTTGGATTTAAATCTGGATCATCCATAGCTATTAATTAAAGTGCATCAAATAGAGGACCTGCATGTAATTATAACTTAAAATCTGATAATTCAACATTAATTATCTTATCTCCATTAAGATTCATTAATAATGAGAATATCAATTTATGTTAAACATTATTATCATTTTATTATTCTAAGGCATCTTCAAACTTAAAAATCTAATCTCTTTTCATCCTTTAATTTAACTATTATTAATCAGCATTACTTTAAGTTCCTTGTCTTCCTCTAACTAAACCATTTAAATTAGTAACTTATTCATAAGTATATTTTTATTGAAAATTCATATTGCCAATAAAAGGTAATTCATAAAATTCTTGTAAAATCTAATCTCCTTAAAACATACTACCTTCCATATCTCTTATGAATAAATTAACTTTCATTGATCCATTGTTACATTTTTAGAATGTAATTCTCATCAAAATCAACATCATTTTCAAAAATGGAGTTGGTTTTGGTTAAATATCTTTTAATAAAAATATTGTAAAGTTTTCTATATCTAATTGAAAATTAATTTATGGTTACTCATTCTATTATAGTAACATTTCTTTTAATTTGATTTATTAGAGATTCTATTATGTAAAGAAAGCTTTAAAATATTCTGGATTGTTAATTCTAATCATATTATCAAATCCATCATCATATGCAATATTATGAAATAAGCATTTCATTAAAAACATGTAATCAGAATGTGTCATTTATAAAATCATTGGAGCAACAAAACAATTAATTTTTAATTATTCATCAAATTTCAATTTAGGATAATTTAAAGAATACTTTTCTGCAAGTGTAAATATTTCAACTTATATATTAAAATCAAATGGTAAACTAAATTCTCTTTTAATTTATTCATTTTATTAATAAATTTAGATATCCTTCATATTTAATAAAAATTATTCAACCCAAACAGATTCTAATCCTTAACCATTAATTCTATTTGTTACTTAAATACGTTTATTTGATACAAATATTGTTCCAAGATCAATAATCATGAATGAATTTGAATTTTAATTTGGTTGAAGTATCACTTAAGGATTATTAATTTTAACATTTAATTTCATTCCTGGTGGATTATTTAATAATTTTTATAAGACAGATGATTCATCTTCTGATAATTTGATAGTTTATTTAGCATATTAAGATTTTAAATTTTAATATTATTCAATAGCTTCTTCATCTACTTAGATTAGATTTGAATTTGGAGATATAGTTTATTTTGGATTTTATAAAGCATATAGTAATTATTATAAAGTGTAATCTAATAATCTTAAAACAGGTTACATCATTACATTTATAATTAATTAACTCATTTCTACATCAATAATAATATTAACATTATTAAATATTTTAGATGAACCATCTGAAAATAATATTAAACTCACTTTTAATAATGATTATTATTGATGTTTAACTCCAATCATTTATTTAGGTTAGATTTAATCATATTCAGATTCTTAACTAAGAGTATTTGGATAATTAGTTAAATCAAAAAGTTATAAATTTCCTAATGTTCCATTCAATTATAATTCATCAACATATTTAATAAGTCCAATTTCAGTGTTTTCTATCTTTATTTCAGCCAATGGTAATATAGTAAATCGATGTACTAAAATAGCATTAATACTTCTTATTTTAACATTAACATCCATCAAAATTATATCTTACATATTATCAAATTTCACTGTCTATGTTGTACCTTCTAATTCTTTTTTTGTTTATTCTATTTTCTTCTTTGCTTATTCCATTTATTCATAACCTTTTATCTAATTTTATTAATCTTCTGGAGTTACAAATAATATTAATTTTGCAATTACTAAAGGTTTAGCAATGACACATAATGTACCAAAAGTAACTTAAACTATTAAATTCTTTTTATTGTATCTCTTATCTTTAGTATTTATTTATTAAACATTAATATTTATTAATTCATTAGATTCTGGATCTGGATCTGATTTAACTATATATTTAAATAATGGATTCAAATAATTTTATACACTATCTTTTACATAAAGATCTCTTAATTTCAAATCTAAATCTATTGATCCATTCAATATTGATGTACCTGCACTTAAACCACTAATTACTACTTCTAACCAATCACTTTATTTCTCATCTTATAAATGTAAATAAAATCCTGATAATTCAAATTTCAAATTTAATGGTCGACTCTCTTTATTTAAATTTGTATTACTATTTTGTGTATTTGTATGTTCATGATGTTTCTCAGCTTTTAATATTGTTCTCATTTCTTCAATAGCTTCTTTCCAATCATTTGCCATCTTCTATTTATCAAATCCTACTAATGTATCTCCATATTTATTCTTTATATAAAATGCATTATTCATCCCAGCCTCCTACTAAGGAATATCTTCAAAATCACTATTTCTAACCCAAAAGTAAGATTCTGCCTATTCATCCTTAGGCTTTGCAAATAAATAGATATAACCTCCACTTAATACTCCAGTATATTAAGTCCATTTTAATTATTATCCCCTTTTCCAAATCTTACCAACTTTAGTAGCCTTTTCAATCAAAACAGTTCTTTCAGTTTAAGCCTTTTCAATTGTTAATCTTGATTATCTGAGCATTGCTTCTTCAGGTTCTGTAATTGGTGCAATAAAACAATCAGCAACTTTTATTATACGATTATATATTAATGGATTAACAAAAACATTTAATTATTGAAGTACACCACTTACTTAAAATTATGGCAATTCTTTTGGAGGTTTTGAACTTCCTCTCAAAAGTTTTGCTATTATTTTGACTTTTATATTTTAAATTACACTAAAAGAATCATCAATATTATTTAAATATGATCCATTTATAATAGAATTTTAACAATCTTAAATTGATTTATAATGTTTAAATGTGAAATCCTATAATTTAATTTCAAAATTATCATAATGTATTTCATTCATATTTGGAGTAACAATAGAAATATCTCCTAAATTTAATAACCAATTTTCATTAGTGTTAGGTATTGGTACTAAAACTATTGTTGATTTTACTGTAACATCCACAAATAAAATAGATGGTGATAATTATGTTTTTGCCATTTAATTAACTGCTAAATCTTAAGCATATTCTACTGAATCCCAAGCTGCATTCTTTAATGTTTCATCCTTTATTTAAAAATCAATAAATTATTGAATACGAACCAAAATTATTGGATTAAATACTAATTTTAAAGATCCTGTTTCTAATTTTAAATATTTATCTACTCCTTTATGATGAATTGGATTTGTTTCAAAAGTAAAATCTATAAATTTCTATTTGTTTACTTACTCAACAAATACTTTTCTGGTTTATTGAGAATACATCACCACATTATTTATAATAGGCTCTGTTACAAGATCAATACCTATAAAAGATAATCCTAATTAAACAATCATGCCACTTTCTTTAATATATAACTATCCCTCAAATCCTGAATATTTTAATTAAACTCCTTCTCTTTTTGCTTCAAATTATTTTAAAACATGAATTGATCCAGATTTTAGAGAGAATGTCACTGCTATCCAAACATAATCTACTGGTCTCTTTAAATCTTTTACATCTGGAAAATCTGCTAATTAATCAATAAACTTAGATAATTCATCCTTTTCTTTTTCATCTATAAATTGATTATCCTTTTTAGAACCCCAACTAAACCAACTACCTTTCTTTTTCTTTTTATCCTCAGCTTCTTTAATAGCTCTCTCTTTTTCAACTACTTTGATTATTTCTCTTGCAGATTCACATAATATATCAATACTTAAATTACTAACAGATTATTCAAAAAGATCATTCTCATTTTTTGTCAATGCTTTATTTGTCTAATCTGAACTTCTTAATATTTTTTCATATAAATTCTAAAAGATTAATTTTTAATCTTCAATTTATTATTATGTTAATAATAATTTCTATTTCTTCTACTTATTTAATCTACTTTAATATAATGAAAATAGTTCTGCCATTCTTATTACTTATTATAATTATGAATTTTCTATTGCTAAATCAATTGTATTTAATTCAAGGGAAAATGAAAATTCAGGTGAATCAAATTTACCAGAAGTATTCTGATAAAATCTACCTGATGCATTAAGTAATAACATAAATTATGAAAATCTTGGATGATCTTTTGGATCTTCTTATGATATTACTAATTCTGCCATTTTTTTTAATATTTCATCCTTCTCTTTAGAATATAATAAATCTTTTTCTTATTAATTCCAATATGCACCAATATTCATTAACCTTAATATTTTTTATAGAGGCACTTTTTTCTAAATTAATAATTCTTTTAATATACATTCTCTTCTTTTGTTCTATCAAAGAATTGCTTTTTCCATTCTTAATTACAAGTATAGGTCTCTATTGATTTTAATGATATTCCCCATGCAAATTCATTTCTTATTGTATCCTCAAATCTTATATGTATGTTTGTTATGCTTAATTATATATTATCAATTATTTTGAACACTAACTTCATGAAATATCCATTATCCTTATCATTTTACTACTTTGATTTTTCTGAAATGCTTGATATAATTTATTCCTTAAATTTTTCAAGAATCTCCATTTTCTTTATGAAACCTGAGTAATCCATAAATTACCAGTGATCTGGATGATCTAAAGAAATTATCAGATACAAATCAGATAAAACAACTTCAACTGGTGAACTAGTTAATGATTTCCAAGGTACCTAATGTAATTTTAATTATATATTACATTTAGCTTCAATTTTCCTACATGGCTAAAACACAGTTTGATAGGTAATTCAAGCATTTTTATGATATCAGGTTTTAATGCAACATCTTATATTGTAACTTCTCCACTCCATATTCCTATATGAAGGTTTTAAGTATCAAATCCATCTATAAATTTTCCCAAAACCTAATTCAATATTTTCTCTAGTAAATATTCGAACATTATTATTAATTTTATATAATATTAAAAATCTTTCATCAAATTATTCTTTTTCTTCTTGTCAAATGATTCAATTATAGAATGAATACACAATTAAATATTTTAATGTTAAACTATATAATACAAATTATAAATTTATTATTATTCCTTTCCAAAATTCTTTTCTTTTTTTTATCATTCCAAATTCATTATCATAATTAAAATAATATATACATAAAAATCATTATAATATACCAAATCAAATGATAAATGGTTTATATAAAGTAGAATAAGATTTCTTATTATCAATTAGAATGTATTTAAAAAAATGATTATTTAATGAATCAAAAGTAATAAAAAATTATTGCGATTATAAAATATTATTTATTCTTTTGTGAAAATATGTTTAAATGCATAAAATCACTAATTGTGTATTTTAATCTATATAATATAATTTCTAATATAAAATATTATTATTCATAGATTTAATGAATATATGGTTTATTATATTTAGTAAATCTTGATTCCACTTAGATAGCCTATAATTCACAAATGTTCATTAAATTTTAATTTGTATATGATAACGATTTGCAAAATGAAGATGAATTAAATCATATATCAAACAAAATCACAATTTTATTAAGACATAGGATTTGTAATAACTTGGTCAAAAAAAATGTGGAATAAAATTATACATTATATATATCAAAGAGATTCATATTATTCTACATAATTTTGTGCTTTTTATGGAGATCTCTTCAAATCTCTACTACAACATTAAATGAAACAATTTTGATGTTAATATTGCTTAGATTTAGAGTTTGAAAATAAGGATTAGTATTTTGAAATTTGAAAGAAGTGTGATGATTTTTGGAATATTTTATGGATAAATAAAATGCATCTATATGATATGTATGTAGAATTAATATACATATTTAATCAAAGATTCTGCGTTGTACACTATTTAATAATTATAATTATAAATTATGTTGACTGATTGCATTGATATATCGACGTAATCAAAGGAATAGCAAAATTAAGCATCTAACTATCCTTATTTTGTATATAATTTCCCACCTGCACCTTTAATGGAGTTTCAAAACACTTCTATTCCACAACTCCAGATGAGGAATTCAAGTAAACTTACTAAATATTAATTAGCTGATTCTGTTTATAAAGATAACATTCAAATTCCTTAATTTTTGTAAGGATTATCTGTTCCCAGCTTTTAATTTAACAATTCTAATTAGTTTTGTGTTAATGAGTAAAAAGTATACATACCACCAGTTGAAAATTCTTTGGCTTCTTATTTTCATGATTAATCTATTCAAAAACTAAAATAACATCATAAGTTAAATAGAATTATTGTGGGAACATAAACACTTTGTGATATCGAAATAATTCTTGTTTAAAGATATTTTGATATTAAAACACAAGTATTTTTTATGTAAAATCTAAGTTATTTTGCCCTCCAAATATTAGATATAATTTGAATGAAGATAAAGCTATAACAAATATGGCATGGTTAAAAGACAGAATTAAAAATAGATATAAAAAGCCTGTAACTATTTAGTATTTATTGTTAGATAAAAGATTCAATGTTCGATTTGATTAATGTATTAGGAAATATGAATGAATAAGAAATACGTCAAATTAATTGTTTCTAGAAATTTTCAAGTTAAGGGTTTGATAATCTTGAAAAATAAGTACCAAAATCTATTAAAGAAGAGAAACCTTTTTCTGAGATGATGTTTGAAATACAAATTCTGATTGCTTAGTTTTTGTTGACAAAATTTTGAAAAATATATTTATTATATTAATATTACTAAAGTCTTCTTTGAGTAGTATATATAGAATATAAAGAAATTAATATAATATAAAATTGCATATATTTAAAAGAATAATTATTCTAGCAAATTAAAAAATCATAATGACTGAGAATATTGTAAATTTTAATTGAAACGCTATGCACAGATATATAAAACTTCAATTAAGGAATTGGTATGCAATAAATAAATCAACTTAAAAAAATATGCCTTATGTTTAGAAAGGACAGTCCAATTGAAATTTCAAAGAGCTAGTTATCTATAGAGGATTGGAGTAGAGTAGAGTATAAGAAAAAGTATTAGGATTAACTGATAAAGTAGAATAATTAAAGTAATCATAGTATAAATCAGAAATAAATAAAACGTGATAGTAATTTTATTTATTAAGATTTTGATCAACGAATATGTCTATTATTTGAATAAATCAAATAAAACAACAACGAATAAGAACCCCTTGTCCCTAGTTTTAAAAATAATCTAATTATTAATACATTCATAAGTTTATTAAAACTATTAATTTATAGAAAAGATACCATAAATAGTTTTTTTTAATGATACTTAATAATATGATAGTAATTCATAAAGACAATAAGAATATGAGAAATGATTAATTGATAAAAAGATGATTATTTTATTTTAAATTCTATTACGATATATAATTATCTCAATTTATCAAATCCTAGTATACTTATTATTCAATGCGCCTTAAGAGTGCATAAGTTTTAAATGAAAACTTTTTAAGGATTAATCCTGTAATAATGGATTCTCTAAGAAGTTTGAATGCTTTGAGAATTTACCAGCTTAATTCTCTAATTATTCACCTCCTCTCTCTTTTCTATATTATTTTAATTGCTATTTGAATGTGCTTGTACTAAATGATTTATCATTGACAAGGTCATTAAGTCCAGATTATGATTAATTCTTAAAATTTTGTTAACCAATGTTATTCACATATACTTTCATTCTCTCAAAAACATCTAAAATAATTATTTATTTTTTACTTGAATTTGGTTATTCAGAACTTATGGAAGGTTTTTAAATTGATTCATTTCCTCCCAAACCTAATTTACCCATATAGCTAGCCAATTCTTCTCTTCTTTTATTAGATTTATTTTTATCTTTAATATCAATATTAATATTCATTTGTTAATGAACCTTTGAATTATATTAATTTTCATTTTTTAATGTTGAAGGATTAAATCCAGGTGAAGCACTTCCTTAAACAAATCCAAATTTTTAAATTTATTTATTACTTCCTAAATATTAACCTGATCCATGTCCACTACCTGATTCAACTAAAATATCCGTTTTATTTGGTGTTTTAAATTGTTATAATAATTGATCTAAAGGTCTGTTACTTCCTCTTTACCTAAAATCATGATTACTGCTCTCTGAATATTCTTAATGTTCTTAATATGGAGATTTCTTATTGAACAAATCAGTTAAATCACTTAATGTTGATGTATTTTTAAATCTATCAACCATACTATGATATTAACTTGAACTTTTTTAACTTATGTTTAAACCTGGTTCCACTTTTGCTTCTAAAGCATCTAAAATTTACATCTTTTGTTATGCTATTGCAACTTTATGTTATGTTTCTAAAACCTATACGTCAAGATTATTCCAACCCTAATTCCATTCTTATTGATTTATTTTCCCATCATGATCAGCATCAAATCTTTTAAATATTTCAGATTTCTATTCTCCACCTATTGTAAAATGACTTTCATCTATTGTTCCGCTCTAATCTGCCATAGCCTTAAAAGCATCAAATTTATTTTGATGTTAATTTATTAGTTCCTTAGATGATTTCTCCCATACACTAGTAACTTTAACATCTGAATTAAACTCTTCTGGCTACTTGGATGAAGAAGATTACTTCTAGGGTTCCTCTTGGATACTTTCTGACATTTGATAAAATTAAATTTTATTTATTTTTAATTTCGATAATATCAATATTTTTATTAATATAGTTAATATAAATACAGAAGTTATAGATTATTTTTTTTTATTTATCAAAGACATTCTTAATATAATTTATATTTGAAAATTTCTAATATTTTTTAATACAATCTATNCTAGCCAATTCTTCTCTTCTTTTATTAGATTTATTTTTATCTTTAATATCAATATTAATATTCATTTGTTAATGAACCTTTGAATTATATTAATTTTCATTTTTTAATGTTGAAGGATTAAATCCAGGTGAAGCACTTCCTTAAACAAATCCAAATTTTTAAATTTATTTATTACTTCCTAAATATTAACCTGATCCATGTCCACTACCTGATTCAACTAAAATATCCGTTTTATTTGGTGTTTTAAATTGTTATAATAATTGATCTAAAGGTCTGTTACTTCCTCTTTACCTAAAATCATGATTACTGCTCTCTGAATATTCTTAATGTTCTTAATATGGAGATTTCTTATTGAACAAATCAGTTAAATCACTTAATGTTGATGTATTTTTAAATCTATCAACCATACTATGATATTAACTTGAACTTTTTTAACTTATGTTTAAACCTGGTTCCACTTTTGCTTCTAAAGCATCTAAAATTTACATCTTTTGTTATGCTATTGCAACTTTATGTTATGTTTCTAAAACCTATACGTCAAGATTATTCCAACCCTAATTCCATTCTTATTGATTTATTTTCCCATCATGATCAGCATCAAATCTTTTAAATATTTCAGATTTCTATTCTCCACCTATTGTAAAATGACTTTCATCTATTGTTCCGCTCTAATCTGCCATAGCCTTAAAAGCATCAAATTTATTTTGATGTTAATTTATTAGTTCCTTAGATGATTTCTCCCATACACTAGTAACTTTAACATCTGAATTAAACTCTTCTGGCTACTTGGATGAAGAAGATTACTTCTAGGGTTCCTCTTGGATACTTTCTGACATTTGATAAAATTAAATTTTATTTATTTTTAATTTCGATAATATCAATATTTTTATTAATATAGTTAATATAAATACAGAAGTTATAGATTATTTTTTTTTATTTATCAAAGACATTCTTAATATAATTTATATTTGAAAATTTCTAATATTTTTTAATACAATCTATTGAATCTTTGAATATTTAATATTTGAAATATCATACTAGAAAAGTTGAGTGATTCATTCATTGTTCATTTTAAGAAAAACTAATTTGTGCTATTATCCTCTAAAAATTATTAATCTGATCACCCATTTCTTAAACCTCAAATCCAATAGTTCGATGTTGATTCTCTATCAGAGTATTTTCATTATTACCTGTTAAGCTTATTTAAAATGGGAGGAAATTTAGGGATAATTTTCAAAAGAGCTAGCCTAAAGAGAAAATTATGCTTAGCTTAAATACTTAGAGTAATAAGTCAAGAAAATAAAGGTTTAAAAAAGAAGAGTTTTTTTTAATTTCCCATAATTTATTTTTTTTAAATAAACTAATGCTAAATGCCTTTTTAAATTCCTTCTTGTTTTGAAACACATATAACATAATGAACAAATAAGTTTTTCTCTTCTCTTTTTATCTTTCAATCCAAGTTTCTCTTGTTTCCTAAGCGATTTAATTTATGCTCTTTAATTTTCACTCTAGCTAAATAGGATCTCCTTTTCTAGATTTAAGGCTTTTGGATCATTTTCACTAGTCATTGAAAGGTTTCCATATTTCTCCTAGATTTACCTCCCAAGTAGCAACAGGATTCTTCTTTCCCCAATTTCAAAACTAGCTATAAAAATTTTTATGAATGGAACCTAACTTAAGGCACCTGGACCCCAAACTAAAACTCACAATCAAGATTATTATTATTATTAAAATCATGGACAAAAATATTTAAGGAAAGACATATTTTATTTTCTTCTTTTGTTTGGATGTAAAACTAAAGGAATTACACAATTTATATCCCTTAAAACCTTAGCTTATCTTCAACGATATTTTTGATCTACTAATTAAAAATAATGGAAAAACACTGGCTCATTATTCAATATTTTTAAATTAAGTTGTCCATTAACTTTCGATTTCAGTTCCTAAATAATATTATTTTATATTTTGATGGAATCTGCTTATCAAGGTAAAGATGTTTCCAAAAGCTAATAATATTATTTATGCTACTTTGATAATAAATCAAACTTATTTTATAAGCAGAGAATAATTAATGAAAATATTCAATTATACAATTTTGAGATGATAAAATATAAGCTTATTTATATTTTGGAGTACAAAATTTAACTATTAACATAATAGCATAATCAGTAAATGTAAGATTATATATAAAAGATGTTGAATCACTTTTAGAAGCAAATTATCCTTTTTTGTGAAAAAATTTATAATTTGAATTCATATTTTATTTTTGGATTAATTTCATAAATATCACACATACGAAGGCATTTATAGAAGTAATAACTATTACTGAATCATATAAAATTATAATAGTTATTCTTATAATTTTTATTCAAAAAGCATGGAAAACTAAATAAATTAATTTATTTACATTAGAATTTAAATTATGATATTAGTTGATATAATAATTGGATGCAATTTATGATTATGAAAATTAATATTATTATTAATAATTATTATTTTTCTCCTATATCTTAACTATTTTTTGAATTTTTTCATAATTTTCCATATCTTGAAGATTATTAAACTTCTCTTATCTTTATTATTATTCTAATTTTTCATCTTCAAAATTTTTGGTAGGTAATTTATCGAAATCTTTGTATTTTGTAAAGGCTGATTTTCTATCCAAATGATTGAAGGGTAATTTAATTAATGGTTAGGATTAAGGTTCAATTTCAATAGACTGTACTTTTTGTTTTGGATGTTAAGAATGAAATTCTGAATGTTATTTAAACTAATTCATTAAATGGATTAATTAATTATAAGAATCTTTATAATCTTCGAGATTGAATTCTAATTTATGGTGAATGAGTTAATTAAGATGTTTCTTTTCAACTACTTAGATTTTGCTTTATCCAAATAACTAATTTAAGGAATCCTCTATCTAAATTGATGTAAAATATAGTATACCTTTCTCTTAATTCTATTATTGTTTGATTAAAAAACTAATAGATATTATGACATTTGAGATTTCGAAAAGAGTTGTTTCTATAGTTCAACTAAATGATTTTGAACCTCGGAATTATTCATATAGTAAATGTTGAAACATCTTGAAAACTTTAATGCTAGAAATAACGGATGCTTAATCTTTAAGAATAGTTATATTTTTACTTTATTTCTGATATTTGGAGCAGTTAAATAATTATATAATCCATTTTCGTTATTTTCAATTGGTGCATCAACAATATCATTTTAACACTTTTCTTTCTTACAGAAATTGCGTTCTAAGTATGAAGGTTCAAATGGTTAGATATATTGAATTTATCTATGTTCATCACGTGCACTTCTTCTACTGTCAACAAAAATCGATGATGACTGTAATGAAAGAATTATGTTCTCTCTCTCTTTAATTATTAAAATTAATTGAAATTTATGGCCTTAGTGATTATAAGTTGTACTATTAAATTTTACACCCTATAGTCATTTAATGAAATTACTGTGAAAAATGCCTTGCCATCTATTAATTCATAGAGAGTTGTTCCATCTAATCCCACTTCTTCAAATAGATCAGCTTACAGTTCTTTGACTGCCTTAAGTTGTACCTAAAAATAGATTTCTTTTTTAATTACCTAACAATTCATCCATTATGTATATTCATCATTTTTTAGGGTGAATTTAACAGAAATATTTGGTATGTTCCAACTTTTGTGCCAATTCCATCCTAAATCACTACTATGTTGAAATTCTCTCTCTGTATCAATTTTTAAATAAACAGGTCCTTGATTTGGAGTAACTGTTTAGACAAGGCTTTAGCAATTGTTTTTTGTTTTTACAGTAGAGAAAGTTTAAGTCCAAGTAAATCCATTATGTTAGTGAGTCATATAATCAATATAAATCAGAATATAAATAAAAAAATTACAATTACTTTAAATCCACTTCATTCACATAAATATCCTAGCATTTTCATCAAAAAATTAATAAAATCAGTCTACTTATGTACAATGATGATTAGAAAGAGAATAAGTTAGAATATTAAAATATTTATAAAAAAAAAAGATTTTATTTAAATTAAAATATATAAAAAACATAATTAAATTATAATATATATTTTCAATTAAGTTTGATTTATAAAAATAAATCACATTTTAGAATTACTAGATGATTATCAATTAATCTCTAGTTTGGTATAACAGATTTAATTAATTTAGAAAATTATATTTATTATATTTATTTAATATTAATAATCAAATCATTCATTGTTAAGCTCCTGATTTAGGTCCTTCAGCTGTTTCAGTTTAACCTGATTTAGGTCTAGGCCCAGTATCAGTTTAACCAGATTTTGGTCCTTATGATTATTCAACAACTCCTGATTTAGCTCCTGCTGTTTTTTCAACAACTCCTGATGCTGGTCCACCACTAACTGTGAATTATCCAGAAGCAGGTCCTCCTTTAACATCAAATTATCCTGAAGCTGGTCCAGCTAATCTACTCAATTTGATTGAGCTCAAACCTTGGTTACCAAGTAAGACTGAGAGTACTTGATCTGCTGCCTATTATTATGGTTCATAAGGCCATGAAGAAATAACTGATTTAGGTTTATTACTGAAGGCACCATCACCAAAGTTGAGATTCCAATTAAACATTGTACCTTCAAATTATTGATTGAATCCATCTCCTCCCAAATAGAACCAGAATTTATTAGGAACAAAGTGTTTCAAATCATTATATTAATTTCCTAATTCTCTATTTAAGAATAGAGTATAAGCAAAGGCTTTTCTAATCTTAGAATTATAACCAAAGTATAAGAAGATCCATTCACCTCCATTATTAGGTCCAATCTTTGAAGGCCATTAAATATCATTTTAATCATCACCATTATTATCCAAATCTCCATAATCATAAGTAGAGAATGTGAATGCATCTTTGAATAAGAAACATGCAAGTGTTCTATCACCTGCCAATGATTTATCTTTTTGAATTGCTGGATCATTAATAGTTAATCTAAATATCATTCTTGTTAATTCATCAGCTTATCCTTTTCTAGTTTATACCCAACCAGAAACTGCATATTCAAGAACTCCTTAATATTGATCATATTAAGTCTTAATTGGAATTCCAGCATCACCCTTATTTACTACTTTTTCTTCTTTCAATACATTGATGTCTGTTCTAGCAGGTACTGTCAATTATGGTTTTGGTTAGACTGATAAGACATCTTTCAAGAATTATTCTTTAGAACCAACAAAACCTTATCCAAAGAAGATTCTTAATCCAGTAATCATACCATTAAATGATGGATATCCAAATTCATTATTAGCAACTACTACTCTAGCATAACCATTTAATGGATTATGAGCAATATCTATTAATTCAATTCTTGCAACTGTTTATCCTGGTAAATCTCCAAAATGAACAAAACCAACAGCTCTAGCTGCATCTTAAGCAGTGAATGAATAATAGATATAATTCCAATGTCCTTCAAGGTAGTCATCATAATTTGAATTAGCTGAAATAGATGCCTTATTAGTCTTTTTATCATAAGTAGTGAAATGATAATATCCTTTACCAGCCCAAATTGCCAATACTCTATTTCCAAGAGCAACATTATCTTCATATTTCTCAGTGTTAGTCAATCTGATTAATTAATGGAATGGAGATTTCTCAACAACTCTATCTGGTGTAGTCATTAACCATCTTGTCCATAATCCATAACCATATTCAGTAACACCACCTACTTCATCTTTAAATGTTAAATCATATCCTGGTTTATCTTTAATTGGAACAAGTATAATTTCTTCTTTGGCAGGTTTCCATTCTGATTTCTTAGCTTATAATCCCAATAAGTTTGGTAACATATTTTCATAATTTCCTTTATTTGGATCAATATATGCTCCTTTTCCAAAGATTGCTCCTACTTTTCTCATAGGTCCATCCCATCCTCCTAATAAACCATCTGATCCTGCAAACAAGGCCAAATATTTAGGTACCATATGTAATACATTATCATATGGAACAACAGCCTTATCTGATGGGAATTTCACAATACCTGAGGCAACCTTCTTTGGCCAACTATATCCAAACCAAACATAAGTCCAAACTCCAAAGTTGTTTCCAAGTGGAGTGGCTTTTCTAATGTTAGCCACTTAACCATCATCTATAGTACCAAGTGTATATGTTGAGAAGACTACTTCATTTGGTTAGTACATAATCAAGAGTGTTCTATCTCCTACTATTGCTGCTTCTTTTCTATAAGCTGGTTCATTGTTTGTCAATCTTAAAAAGACATTATTATCTCTCTATAATTTAGGTGAAGCATATCTAAACCATCCAAAGATAGAGTATTCAAGAGATTCTTAATATTGAGTTGGCCATTCAGTTACTTATGGATTATCTCCAACCTTCTTTTCTACTTCATCTTCTTATATTTTAAGAACTTAAGTATCAGGAATATTGAGATCTGGTTATGGGAATGTTGTTTTAATTAAAGCTTCTAAAGATTCTACATCAGGGACATAACCTTATCCACCAAAAATCATTTATAATTGTGCAATTTTACCACTGAATCCTGGATAACTGAATTCCTTTCCTATAATGACTTTACCATATCCTTCAATTGGTTTATGTGTGATTTCTGGGAAGGTAACTCTCTTTACATCTCCTGAACCACCAAATTTGGCAAAACCTATTGCTTATTGTTTTGAACTAGCAAAACAGAAATAAATGAAATTCCATTCTCCTTCTAATTTATCATCATATTTGATATCCTAAGCAATAGTTGGTGTATTAGTAGCCAAATTATATGTTCTAAATCCATAAAATCCTTTTCCTAACCATAATGCAAGTGTTCTATCTCCAACCTTAGATTGATCTTAATAATCTTTATTGACTGTAAATCTAGCCACAGATACCCATGCTGGTTTATCTAAGACTCTCTTTGGAATAGCTGTTAAATATCTACTCCAGAATCCAATTGCATAAGCTGAATGCCCATCTACCATTGCTGGATCAAATTCTTATTACAATGTTCCATCAAATGGTTATTCAAATTCATCTTTCTTTTCTGTCCATTTATATGGTTTAGCTTATACTCCTAAAGCACCTGCAATATATGGATCAAAACTCAAAACATCCTTATCTCTATAGGCACCATTTCCAGCCATCAAATATAATTATTAGTATTTTCCATTATAAGGAGTATGTATTCCATCTTTTCCAACATATAATCCGAAATATCTAGGAACTCTATGGAAAGCTGGTAATTTCTTTTCACATTCAGTTGTTCTAGTTTTATAGAAACTATAAACATTAGCAGCTTTTCTACTGTAAGCATAATAAGCATAAACCCAAGCAGTTTAATCAAGAGCTGGAGTTGGACACTCTGTGAAGATTTATTAGAATGCATCATCAACATCTGGATTAGTATAAGTACTGAAGAATTGTCTGTGATCAGCATATTAGAATAATGATAACACTCTATCTCCAGGTCTCACATGATTTCCTCTTATATTTGGTTCATTGTAAGAGAGAGTATAAACATTTTCCCAAGTTGCTCTAGCAATTGTAGACCATTTAAACCAAATTGAAACTGAATACTCAAATTATCCAGCAAATTTATCAGCAAATTCAACAGGAGCCACTTAAGCTACTTCTCTCTTCATATCTCTTGCTTCTTCAAAGATTACTTCCTTTATTGGTTCTAATTATGGGAATTTAGGCATTTCTGGTAATTATTTTCTAAGATCATCTGGGTTCTTGTAGAAAGCACCATCTCCCAACATCAATACAACATTTGAGATGTGTCCATTAAATGAATGATAGTTTGTTCTTAATTTAGCACCTGAACTACCAACACAGAAGTACAAATAATCAGACAATGGAGTATGATTAACTATTTCAGGGAAATTTGTTGTTCTAACAGCTGTTCCTCCAAAGAATACATGTCCTACTATATTTCCTCCTTTTTCGAATTTCTTATATCCATAGTAAATGTAATTCCATTATCCATCCAATAAATTATTATAATTTACATTATTAACCAAATTACCATTTCCTGCTAAAGATGTAGTAAAGTGATAGAAACCTGCTCCTACCCAAATAGCTAATAATCTATCTCCAATTTAAGCAGCATCTCCTTAATAGTTTTATCTGTATGTCAATCTAGATAATGCCATCCAAGCTGGTTTGTCTACTAATTTCTTTTCACCATTCCAAATAAATCTTGTCCACATTCCATATCCATATTCAGTCAATCCATTAATGAAATCATCTGTAATTTCAACATCCTTTCCTAATGATTGATCTGTAGGTCCCCAATTATTTTAAAACATTTCTTTAGATTCCCAATTTTTAGGCTTTGGAATAACTCTTCCTCCAAATCCAAATGATAATTAATCTGATTCATCTACACCATAATCTGAAGTCTTGTATGCTCCATTACCAGTATTAAAATACCATGATTCAAGGAAACCATTCCATCCACCATGCCATTAATCTTTTCCAAATTAAACATAAAATTGTGTTGGAACAAAGTGATTAACAGGTACATCAAAGTGAACATCTCTTGATGGATATTTAATATAAATGTGAACATTCTATTTCTATCTTGAATATCCTTAATAGAAATAAACCCAATTCTTATGCATAACTTCATCATATGGATTTGTTCTTTCAATGTTCCATGCTCCACCATGACCTTAATCAACAGTGTAAGTAGCAATATAGAAAAATCCATTACCTTTCCAACAAGCTAATGTTCTATCTCCTGGTCTATCAGCATTCTTCAATCCATCAGCATCTTTATCGAAAATTTATACTCTATAAAGTAAATGCCATGCTTAAATTTATGCTGGATCTACCCATCTAGCCCATCCTGAAATTGCATATTCATCTTTTCCTCTTGCTGATTCTGGTTTGACTGTTACCCAAACTGGTTCACCATCTGCCTTAAATTCTTTCTTTTCTTTCAATATGCTCAAACTTACTCTAGATTAATCAATTTAAACTTCATCTGGTAATTTCCATGGACCTTATATAAATCTTAATAGATCTTCTTTATTAGCAATATGGGCTCCTTAACCTAATCTTAATCCAATATTTAATAAATGACCATTGAAATTATTATATTTGAATACTTCAGTCTCTCCACCACATGTTAATCTCAAATAATCATTAACTAATTCATGTTTAACATTAAATGTTAATTCAGCAACATCTTTTTCATCATAGTAAACATATGCTTTAACTTATCCCTTCTTATAAGACATAGCAATTAATCTCCAATTACCATCAACAATCTTGAATGGAGCTTGTTAAGCAACATCATTATTTCCTTAAGTGTAAGTAGCGAAATAATAAGTTGGGAAATATTACCATGCTACAAGTACTCTATCTCCTGGTTATTGAGTATTTTTGTTAACTCTTTAAGTAGATAGTCTAGCAATAGAGTGAGTATGTGGTCTGAAAGGTAAATTCTTTGGTTCAGTTCTTGATGATCTAACCCATGCAACCCAACCATATTCATCTAATCCTCTAATATTATCTTTAGCATCTGTCAATTCAACATTTTAAACTATTTCATTACTATCAGAAATTGAAGGTATTAATTTATTCTTTTCACTCCATATTTCTATTAATTCAAATGGTTTTCTATATTTCTTTTCTCCATCAGCAAATTAGAATAAGTCATTCTTTTTAGTAAATGGTTTCATAGTAAATGCACCTTCTCCATAATTCAAATTAACCATACTAGCAGTACCAGTGAATCCTCTATGTGATGGGAAGAACTTCTTATAATCTTTACCAAATGACAAATAGTGTTTATTTACAACAAGATGCTTTTATTTATCAAAGACCTTCTCTACATCAGATTCTTAGAATGAAATATAATGGTATTGAATTCCTTTATCTCTTGAATATCCAGAATAGAAGAAGTGCCATACCAAATGTTAATCAGTATGAGGAATTACATGTTCAAATGTCCATGGTTATCCTGGATTATAGTTATAGGTATGATATTGATAATAGGTATTATGTTTGAATAATGCCAAGTCTCTATCACCAAATCTACCTTCAGTATTTTAATCACCATTATACAAACTCAATCTGAATACATTATACCATGCAGCACCAAGAGCTGGATTATCCCATCTAAGCCATCCTGAAATTGAGTATTCTGTTGAGAATTTACTGAAATCATTGGGTACTTCTACAATAACTTCCTCTTAACTATCTCCCTTGAATTATTTCTCACCTTCAACAACTTTTAATTATTTGAATTTATTATCATCAGCAGGTGGATGTGGAATTCTATTTACTAAATATTTCTTCTTTGCATCATAATTCTTGACAAATGCACCTGGTCCTAATTTGACAGCATAGTTAGCAAATTAACCATTAAATCTTGGATAGAAATGAGGAGGTGCAGATCCCAAAGTGAATTTCAAATAATCAACTTTACCATGATTACATTTCATTGGAATATGGAATACTTCATCATTATTATCAAATTTCAAAATACCAACTGCCAATTAATCTTCCAATGAATAACTGAAATATAAGAATGTCCATAATCCTTCTCTTTCAGCAACATTAATTCTTCCTAACATATTTGCATCTCCTGGTAAATTATTTGTAACAAATAGAATAGCAGCTTATTCTTACCAAGTAGCTAATAATCTATCTCCCATTCTAATATTTCCTTCATCTTTATTCCATGATAATCTTGACATCATGTACCATGGTTCTAATCTACCTTCTCTCATTTAAACTGGATATTATTCCAAATGTCTGTAATAGAATCCATAACCATATTCTTAGATACCAGCTAATTCTTCTTTCCTGAATTCAGTCTAATAAACTGGTTTATCTTAATTCCATGCTGAATCTAATACTTCTTATTATCTGACTGGATCTACTTCTGGTTCTTTTTCTTTTACATTATCTTTGCCAACATTGTATCCGAAGATATCTTATTTATTATCAGCATAAGATTTAGGATCAAAAGCACCATCACCTCCATTAAATCTCAAATGTGCAATATTACCACTATATGATGCATATACTTTATCTTTAGCTGCATAAACTGAGAATTTATTTGGTAAATATTGGAATGTATTTTTGAAAAGTACTTCTGCATTTCTGTCTCTAAATTCGACTTTAGCTTATGCTAATCTTTATGGTCTAGAATATCCAAAGAAAATGAAATGCCATTTTGTATAATCTGTCTCATAATTAATATTCTAATATTAATTAGGATTTCCTGCAGCATTGACATTAGCAGCATGATAACAAGCAAATGTCAAATATCCTTATCCAACCCATGCACTTAAAGTTCTATCTCCTAAGAATGTTAAATCTTAAGAATCTTGAAGAGTTGATACTCTAACCATTAAATGCCATGCTTATTATACAGTTGGAGTCCATTTAAACCAACCTGACCATGAATATTCTCCAACCAAAGCATATTCATTGAAAACCTTTTCATCTTTAGCACTATCTTTTCCAAATTCTTTTGGTGCATCAATAATATTCTTGGTTACAAGATTTCTGTTGAATAGATCTGGTTATTTGAGTTCAGTAAAGAATGCATTGAATTCAGCCTCATCCTTCTTAAAGATTCCATCTCCTACTGAGAAGATTATATTAGCAAATTAACCATTGAATGCTGGATAATTAAGTTATGATCCTCCCAAATAGAATTATAAGAAAGTAGGTGGAGTATGTTCAGCTGCAAAGACAACCTTATTTAATTTTTCTCCATTATGTAAGAAACCTACTGATTATTTACTTCCAAGATTATGAGCAAAATGTAAATAATACCAAACACCATCAATATCAGTTGGATTATTGATATTCTAAACCATATTTGGATTACCTTAATTATATGTTGTAAAGTGATATGAATTTCCTTAATTTAACCAAACAGCTAAGACTCTATCTCCAACAGTAATATCTTATAATTATTGATTCTTAGTTAATCTGGCAACAAATGACCAAACCTTATCAGCTAATCCTCTTGGCATTTGAACTGGATAATGAGCTAAATGTCTCAACCACATTGAATAACCATATTCATTAATATCATCTAAATCTGAACCAATCATTTTCTTTGTCCATACTGGATCCTTGCCATCAACTGGTGAATCAGAAACTCCCTTATTTTAATCTTTATTCACATCAAATGTGGGAGATGGTCTGACATAAGCTTATTTACCTAGATTATAAGCAAAGATGTCATTCTTAGCTTTCTCATATCCACTTGTTCTATAAGCACCTTCACCAACATTCAATCTGAAAAAGGCTGCAAGACCAACAAATGGTGCAGAGAACTTGTCTTTACCAACTTATAATGAGAATCTATTTGGATAATAGTGTTTGTGATCTTTGAAAGTGAATTCTTCCAATCTTCCTTTAAACTCTACTCGATAATAAGCTGCTCTCTCAATCAAAGAATATCCAAAGTATATATAATGCCATCTTACTAAGTCTTATCCAAAGTTTAATCTATTCCAACTATCAGCATTTCCTCCTCCTACTAAATTATTATAGTTATATGTTGAGAATTATAATACATTTGTTCCTGCCCAAGCTGCCAATGTTCTATCTCCTAAAGCTTATAAATTCTCAGGTCCTTAGAATATACTTAATCTAGCATATAAGAACCAACTTCCTGTTGGAGTGTTATCCCATTTGAACCAACCTGACCAAGCATATTCTGGTCTCAAAGCAACATCTTCTTAGAACATTTATTCCTTGATTTCTTATTTAGCATCATAGGGTTATTCTTTAGGAATTACTTCAAAAGTCTTTAAATCATAATTGAATTAAGCTGGCATCTTAAATCCTGATAAATGTTTAGTCAATGCAGCTTCATCTTCAATGAAGATACCTTTACTTGCTGAAACCATAACATCACTGAATTGACCATTCCATGAATTGTAGAAATCCTTACCTCCCAAAAAGAATTGTAAGAATGATGGTGGTACATGAGAGGCTACTTATTAGAATTTCAAGGGTTTCTCATCACCATATTTTAGGAAGGCAACACTTGATTTCTTTTCCAAATTATGACTGAAATGTATGTAAATCCAAACTCCTTCGAAATCTGGTCTCACTGCTGAATTAACAAATGCATTTGGATTACCAGCATTTGTAGTAGCAAAGTAAAAGGCACTATTTCTATTCAAGAATATAGCCAAAGTTCTATCTCCTAAAGTAACATCCTACAATTTCTAATTCTTTGTTAATCTTGAAACAAAGGTCCATTCACCTTACATTCCTGTTCTTTATGGAGTTGGATATTAAGTCAAATATCTTGCCCAGAATCCATAACCATACTCTTCAGCACTTGCTACCTCATCTTCTGGCAATACCTTAGTATATGATGGTTTCTCTTATGTTGGGGCTGCACTTTCTAAAAGATCTGTTGCTCTATCTTTGATATCAAATGGTTTCACTTTAGTCTAAACAAATGGTGCACCAAATCCAAAGAAATCTTTATCATGTGTGAAATCATCTCCCTTTCTAAATGAACCTGCTCCAATATTGAAATTCATTGCTCCAATTTAACCATTGAATCCATTAATAGCATCTTTTCCTACATAAACATAAAATCTTGGAACGAAGTAATGATTAACCTTATCCCATGATAATGATTCTGCTCCCTTATTGTATTATACATAAGCATATGATAATCTATCAGTTCTTGAATATCCATGATAAACAAAGAACCATCTTAAATGTCTATCTTTATGTTCAGCCTATTTCCAAATATTGTTATTTCCTGCTCCATTCATATTCACATAAGTGTATGTACTCTAATGAATATTACCAAATCCAATCCAACCTGCTAATGTTCTATCTCCCAATATTGCTGTATCTGTTGGTTCTTTCTTCAATAATACTCTATATAAATTCTACCATTGATTTGCTGGAGTTCCTTCAATCCATTTATACCATCCACTAATTGAGTATTCTAGAGGGAATCTTTACTTCTCCTCTCCAAATTCTCTTAAGAAAAATTCATTTTCTGGTTTTCTATTAATTGGATCTTTGATCAATAAATAATTCTATGGAGTAGTATCCAATTTAGGATATGGATTAGCATTAAGATATTTATTCAAAGCATCCATATTATCAACATAAGCTCCTACTTAAGATGAGAATGTAATTGATGTGAATAAACCATTGAATCCTGGATATCTCTTATCATCATTACCACCAACAATGAATCTTAAATATTTAGTCAATGGTTAAGTTGTTTAATGTGTGATCTATTTGAAGTTCTCATCTCCAAACTTAATAAAACCTTATGCTTTATTCTCTTCTACACTGTATGAATAGTAAACATAAGTCCACAAACCTTCAATATCCTCTGGATAATTAACATTTTGAATCATATTTGGATTTCCAGTCAAAACATTAGCTGCTGTGAAATGATAATATCCTTGTCCTTACCACATAGCTAACATTCTATCTCCCATTCTAATATTATCATATTTTTCTTAATTAGCTAATCTAGCAATGAAATACCAAGCTTCATTCTTACCATTATTTAATCTTTAAGGATGTACTGTTAAGAATCTCATCCAAAATCCATAACCATATTCATCAAATGGATTTTCTGAAGTGGCAGTCTTATCGTGTATTGGTTTATCTTAATTGAATGCATTTTCTTTAACTGCAGGATCAGAATCAGCTGGTTTAAATCCAGTGTCTGGTTTCTTTAATTTATCAATACCAGCTCCAATACCGAAAGCATCATTGGGATGAGTGAAATCTTTAGCATTTCTAAATGCACCTTTACCCAAATTGAATTGAGCATATGCAATCTTACCATTCCAACCTGGGAAGAACTTATCTCTTCCTAAGAATACTTAAAAGTTTGGTGCATAGTAATGGTTTGTATTATCATAATTTAAGAAATCATCCTCTGTTTACCATTTGATATAAGAATATGCCTTAGCTTAAGTCTTAGAATATCCGAAATAAATGAAGAACCATTTGGTATGTCTTTCTTTGTGTTAGATATTCTTCCATACATTTGCATTTCCACCTCCATTCATGTTAGCATAAGTATATGTTGGAAGGTGAATGATACCTCCTTCGCTTGTTCCAATCCAAGCAGCGAATGTTCTATCTCCCAAGAATTGATCAGCAGGTTTCTCATTTAATGAAACTCTGAAAATATTTTACCAAACATCTTATGGTGCTTATTACCATTTGAACCAACCACTGATAGAATATTCTAATGGGAATCTTTCATTATCTTTTCCAATAGCATTAAAGTTTGGATCATTGGTCTTCTCTCTAAATATTTCATTTGTAATCAATCTATAAGTTTGTAAATCAACTTAACCAACTGTTGGGCTCTCTAATTTATTCATGTATCCTTTCAATTAATCAACTGTGTCAATGAAAACTCCTTTAGCTGCATCAAATGTGACTTAAGTGAAAATACCATTGAAGCCAGGATATCTTTTAGCATCAGTACCTCCTAAAATGAATCTGACATATTTTGTATCTGGATGAGTAACATCATGTCTGATTGCTTTGATTGTATCTTCAGATCCATATTTGATGAAACCAACAGCTCTTGATTTAGCTTCACTGTATGAATAGTAGATGTATGTCCAAACACCTTCAATATCAGCTGGATAATCAATATTTTAAATGACATTAACATTTCCATTAACTGCATTACAAGTTGTATAATGATAATATCCTTATCCTTACCAAATAGCCAATAATCTATCACCCATTCTAACATTATCATAATTTTCTTGATTAGCTAATCTAGCAACAAAGTACCATGGTTAGTTCTTACCACTAAGCATTCTTTCTGGGAAGGCTGTTAAATATCTCAACCAGAAACCATAACCATACTCTTCTAAATTATTATCTTATTTAACATTTGAATCAATTACTGGTTTATCTTGACTTGTTGGACTAATTAATAAATCTTTATTAACTTATCCTGGTTTAACTTCTTCTTATTTTTCAAATAATTTAGCTTATCCAACATTGAATTTGAAGATGTCTTATGGATGATCAAATTTATTATTTTTGACATAAGCACCATCACCAGCATTGAAATTAACATAAGCAATTCTACCGTTGAAACCAACAAATGGTTCATCTCTACCAACCCAAACTTAGAATTCTGGTGTCAAATAATGATTTATTTTATCATAGGACATGCTATCTTCAGAATCAAACCATTTGACATAAATCTAGGTTGCAGCTTAGACTTTAGAATATCCATAGTAAACATAGAACCATTCATTAATTCTATTCTTATATTATATGTTTTTGTAGAAATTGTTATTTCCTCCACCATTCATATTAGTATAAGTGTATGTAGGGAAATGTAAAATACCCCCTTCAGCAGTACCAACCCAACAAGTGAGTGTTCTATCTCCTAACCAACTATCTGTAACTGGTGTCTTCTTAATTTGGACTCTGAAAACATTATGCCATGCTGCTTATGCTGTTGGCTTCCATCTAAACCAACCACTCAATGCATATTCTAATGGGAATTTATTATTGCTTCCTACTGATTATACAGCACTTGGTTTTTCATCCTTATCTCTTGCGATTTGATCTTTCAACAATTCAGTTGTTTATAATGGAACAACAACGTTTGGTGCTTAATTCTTGAGTAGGTAAGCATTCAACTTATCGACATCTGAAACAAAGGCTGATTCAGTAGAGAATGTGACTGATGTGAACAAACCATTGAATCCTGGGTATCTCTTAGCATCATTACCACCAACAATGAATCTCAAATATTTAGTTAAAGAATGAGTAGTTTCATGAACAATTCTTTAGAAATCTGTATTACCATATTTGATGAAACCAATAGCTTTATTTTATTCAGAACTGTATGAATAATAAACATATGTCCACAATCCTTCAATATCATCAGGATAGTTATTATTTTGAATCAAATTTGGATTATTTGTAGCAGAGGAGCATGTTGTGAAATGATAATATCCTTATCCTTACCAGATAGCCAATGTTCTATCTCCCATTCTAATATTATCATATTTTTCTTAATTAGCCAATCTGGATACAAAGTACCATGGTTAGTTTTTTCCATTTGGTAATTACTCTGGATATTTAGATAAGAATCTCATCCAGAAACCATAACCATATTATTCAAATGGTTTTTCAGAACTTGCTTCCTTATCAACAACTGGCTTGTCTTAGCTTGAAGCGTTTTCAAGAATATTTTTATCAGCATCAGCAGGCTTAAATTCATCACTTGGTTTCTTAATGAATTTATCTGTACCACTCTTGAAACCAAAAATGTCCTTTTCATGTGAATAATCAGTTGGTTTTCTGAATGCACCTTTACCAATATTGAAATTAACTTCGCCCAATTTTCCATTAAATCCTGGGAAATGATCATCTCTACCTGTAAACACATAGAATTAGGTTGCCAAATAATGATTGGTCTTCTCATATGATAATTGATCTTCACCATCTGTCCATTTAATGTAGGCTTAGGCTAATTATTAATCTTTTGAATATCCGAAGTAGAGGAAGAACCAGCTAGTTATTCTGTTCTTGTGTTAAATATTCTTCCAAACATTAGCATTTCCTGCACCATTCATATTAGTGTATGTGTATGTTGGTAAGTGAATGATACCTCCTTCAGCTGTTCCAACCCAAGCTGTTAATGTTCTGTCACCTAAAACATTATCTGTAGAAGGTGTTTTAATTTAAACTCTGAAAATGTTATGCCATGGCTATTAGGCTAAAGGTTACCATTTGAACCATCCACTGAATGCATATTCAGCTGGGAATCTTTCTGTTTCTTTTCCTATAACCTTTGTTAGTGGTTTATCATCAGAGGTTCTTGTCAAGCTATCTTCAACTAATTTATAATTGGCTAAATCATTGAATCCTTAAGCAGGCTTATTTAATTTACTCATGAATCCTTTCAAGAGATCTGCTGTATCAATAAATGCTCCTTCTTTGGTGCTAAATGTTATTTGTGAGAACACACCATTAAATCCTGGATATCTTCCTTCATCATTACCTCCCAATATGAATCTAACATATTTAGTTTCAGGATGGTTCACATCATGTTTAATTGATTGGATATCATCATTTCCGTATTTGATATGACCAACTGCTCTATTCTTATCATCACTATATGAATAGTAAAGATATGTCCATAATCCTTCAATATCTTCTGGATAGTTGATGTTCTTAATGTAATTTGGATTGTTATCAACTTTGTTGCATGTAGTGAAATGATAATATCCTTATCCTTACCAAACAGCCAACATTCTATCTCCCATTCTAATGTTATCATATTTCTCTTAATTAGCCAATCTTGCAACGAAATACCATGGTTGATTCTTTCCATTTGGTAATCTAACTGGATAATTATGTAAGAATCTGAACCAGAATCCATAACCATATTCTTCAAGATCTCTTTCAGCAGGTGCAGCTTTATCAACAACTGGGTTCTTTTATTCAAATCCATTTGTTAATTCTTCTGTAATTGGTGTTCCTGGTTCAATTGCAACAGCAGGTTTCTTAACCAAATTCTCAACTCCAGATTTGAATCCAAAGGCATCTTATGGATGGTCGAAAGTTGGATCTTTTAAGAATGCCCCATCTCCAAGATTGAATTTCACATAACCCATTTTACCACTAAGTCCTGGATATTGCTTGTCTCTGCCAACAAATACATAGAACTCTGGAGTCAAATAATGTCTAACATTATCATAAGTAAGACTATCATCAGTAGAAGCCCATTTAACATATACTTAAGCCTTAGAAATTGTTCTAGAATATCCATAATAGACATAGAACCATTCAAGATGTCTTTATTTGTGTTGAATGTTTTTGTAGAGATTTGTATTTCCTCCACCAACCATATTGTCATATGTATATGTTGGGAAATGGAGAATACCTCCTTCAGGAGTACCAACCCACATTGTTAATGTTCTATCTCCCAAGAAATTATCAGTAGATGGTTTCTTAATTTAAACTCTGAAAATGTTATGCCAAGCTGCCTAAGCAGTAGGTTTCCATTTGAACCAACCACTAATAGCATATTCTTATGGGAATCTCTAATCACCTCCTCCAACAGTTGCTTCTTTTGTGATATCTGCTTCAGAACTTCTGCTAATCTAATCAACCAAACCTACAGTTGTCAATTATTTCAATCCTACTTATGGAGTTCCAATCTTTGAGACAAATGCTTTGAATTCATCAACTGTACCAATATAAGTTTAATCAATTGAAACACCTGTAAATTGACCATTGAATCCTGGATATCTTCCTTCATCATTACCTCCCAAAATAAATCTAACATATTTAGTATCCTTGTGTTAAGTGGAATGTGTAGCTGTTTATGGAGCATCATTACCATATTGAATGAATGCAACAGCTTATTTATTGGCTCTGCTGTATGAATAGTAGACATATGTCCATAATCCTTCAATATCATTTGGGAAATTAATATTTTAGATAAGGTTGGTATTTCCATTTGCAATATTGCATGTAGTGAAGTGATAGAATCCTGCTCCTTACCATATAGCTAATGTTCTGTCTCCCATACCAATATTATCATATTTTTCATTCCATGTTAATCTTGAAACAAAGTACCAAGGTTAATTTTTTCCATTAATTTATCTTTCTGGATAAACTGTTAAATATCTCATCCAAAATCCATATCCATAACTTGTTAATTCCTTGTCATCTTTCAATTCTTTATTTAATGCTGGTACTTTTTGTCCTTCTGAATTGTCAAGAACTTTAGAATCTGGTTTAGTTTCTGTTTATGGTTTAGGTTAATCTTTATGGTAAGTATTAATTCCACTGCCAAATGAAAATGGATCTTTTGGTAAGTTAAAGTTTTTGTCAGCAACAAAGGATCCTTCACCAATATTAAATTTGGCTTATGCGATATTACCATTGAAACCAGGGAAATGCTTATCTCTTCCTGTAAAGATATAGAATTTTGATGCAAAGTAATGTCTGGTGTCAGGGTATTCAAGAGTATCCTCTGATTATGTCCATTTAACATAAACTTAAGCTTTGTTTTAGTCCTTTGAATATCCAAAGTAAATGAAATGCCATTCAGTATTTCTTCCTTTATGTTAAATGTTCTTGAAAAGATTTGAATTACCGCCACCATTCATATTAGTATAAGTGTAAGTAGGTAAATGGATTATGCCTCCTTCTGCTGTTCCCAACCAAGCTGATAAGGTTCTGTCTCCCAACACGCTATCAGTTGAAGGTGTCTTAATTTAAACTCTGAAAATATTATGCCAAGGTTCTTATGACATAGCTCCCCATCTAAACCAGCCACTAAATGCATATTGATGAGGTAATTTCTTTTCTTCAACTTCGGTTGTGACAGGTTCATCTTTTGGAGTTCTAGAGATTTCCTTATCAATCAAGGTAGTAGTAGTCAATTCAACTAGTTTTATACTTGGTTTCGGTCCTTGAGTATCTAATAATTTGTTAAGATTGGACAATGAATTAATATAGGCTCCAACTCTACTATTAAAGTAAACATTAGTGAAAAGACCATTAAATGCTGGATATCTCTTTTCATCTGTACCTCCCAATATGAATCTAACTTATTTAGCAGCTGGATGTGTAACTTGATGTGTTGCTTATTAGAAATCACTTTCTCCAAACTTAATAAATGCAACTGCATTATTCTCCTTTGTACTGTATGAATAGTAAATGTAAGTCCAAACACCTTCAATATCATTGGGATAATCGACATTCTTAATCACATTAGCATTGTTACTCTTTTAATCACATGTTGTGAAATGATAATATCCTTATCCTTACCAGATAGCCAATGCTCTATCTCCCATTCTAATATTATCATATTGAACATTTGTTGTCAATCTGGATACAAAGTACCATGGTTAATTCTTTCCATTTGGTAATTATTCAGGATATTTTGTTAAATATCTCAACCAATATCCATAACCATATTCAACAAGATTTTAGTCACTTGGAACAGTCTATTTGTCAACTTTTGGTGAATCAACACTTGAAGCACTTGCAAACACTTATTTATCAGCTTCAGGAATTGCTTCTGGTTTAGGTGGTTCAACAGGTTTAGCAATTGCTTTAGATCCATCTGAAAATCCAAATCTATCTGAGTCATCTGTGAAATCATTTCCTGATTTGAAACTACCTTTACCAATATTGAAATTAACAAATCCAATTTAACCATTGAATCCTTAAAAGTTAGGATCTTTGCCTAAATAAACAAAGAATTTTGGTGCTAAATAGTGATTAATTTTTTAGAATGTTAAAGTTTCTTCACTATCCTTGAATTTGATATAGGCATAAGCTTTTTGATCTTTCTTTGAATATCCATAATACAAAAAGAACCATTCTTAATGTCTATCTTTATGTTATATATTTTGAACAATATTAGGATTTCCTGCTCCATTCATATTATTGTATGTATAGGTAGTGTGATGTAAAATACCTCCAGAAACAGTACCAACCCAAACAGCTAATGTTCTATCTCCTAAAAATCTATCAGAGAATGGTGAATTAATTGAAACTCTGAAAATGTTATGCCATACTTACTATCCTTATAATTTATCCCATCTGAACCATCCACTTAAAGCATATTCTTATGGTAATTTAGTTTATTCATCTCCAACAGTTTCGCCAATATGAGCAACAGTTGGAACTCTTTCAATTTATCCTGCAACGAGTTTCTTGTTAACAGCTGGTGTATCGACATCAGGTACAATTCCAATTCTAGGTCTCAATGCATCTAAACTATCAATAAATGCTCCTTTTTCATGAGAATATGAGACTTTAGTGAATATACCATTAAAGGCTGGATATCTGTTGTTATCCATACCACCTAGAATGAATCTAACTTATCTTGTTTCTGGATGTGTTATTGAATGAGTAATAGACTTGACTTCTTCATTTCCATACTTAATGAATCCTACTGCTTTCTTCTTTTCTGCACTGTATGAATAATATATATATGTCCAAACTCCTTCAATATCAGCTGGATAATTGATATTTTAAATGACATTAACATTTCCATTTTATTTATTACATGTTGTATAATGATAGAATCCTTATCCTTACCAAATAGCTAAAGCTCGATCTCCCATTCTAATATTATCATATTAAACATTTGTTGTCAATCTTGCAACAAAGTACCATGGTTAATTCTTTCCATTAATTAATCTAGCTGGGTAAGCTGTTAAGTATCTAGCCCAGAAACCATAACCATATTCAACCAAAAGATCATTTGATGACAATGTCTTATCAACATTTGGTGCATTATTATTGAATTTGCTACCATATTCAGTCTTATCATCAACAACAGGTTTTGTTGGATCAACTTTTGGTACCAATTAACTTCCTTTATCAAATCTGAATGCATCAGTTGGATGTTTGAAATCATTTCCTTTTCTAAATGATCCTTCTCCATGATTAAAGGATGTTGATGCTATTCTTCCATTGAATCCTGGGAATTGAACATCTTTACCAACAAAAACAAAATATTTCTTAGCAAAATAATGATTGATGTCTTTAAATTCTAAATTATCTTCACTATCTCTCCATTTGACATAAGAATAAGCAGCTTTATCATTCTTTGAATAACCCATGTAAACAAAGAACCATTCAAAATGTCTATTTTTATGATTAATATTTTAAGGTAAATTATTTGGACCAGCTCCATTCATATTCTTGTATGAGTATGTTGTTAAATGAATGATACCTCCTGCTCCACTTCCAACCCATCCTGCTAAAGTTCTATCACCATGACTATTATCTGTTGATGGTTAACTAATTTGGACTCTGAAGAGATTATGCCATGCCTATTAGGGTGTAGGTTATTCCCATTTGAACCAACCTGAAAATGCATATTCTTTAGGGAATGGGGCTTCAACTGTTTATGTATTTCCTGGTGTTCCTGGATTTCTTGTAATTTAACTGTCAACTAATGTAGTAGTTGTCAAAGGAACTTTAGATGCTAAAGGATTTGGTTGTTTATTAAGGAAAGCCTTAAATTAGTCAATTGATCCAATATATGCACCAGGGGAAGCTGAGTGAACAACTGATTAGAATTAACCATTAAATGCAGGATATCTGTTGTTGTCTTTACCTCCCAAAATAAATTTAACATATGTATTATCTGGATGAGTGACTTAATGAACAACATCAATAGGATCTGTAGCACCAAATTGAATGAATGCGACTGCCTTCTTCTCTTATTTACTATATGAATAGTAAACATATGTCCATAATCCTTCAATGTCAGCTGGATAATTAACATTCTTGATTACATTAACTTATCCTGGTAAATTGCATGTGGTGAAGTGATAATATCCTTATCCTTACCATATAGCCAATGTTCTATCTCCCATAGCAATATTATCATAATTAGGTCTGTTAGCCAATCTGGAAATGAAATACCATGGGGCATTCTTTCCGTTAGGCAATTTAACGGGATAAGCTGTTAAGAATCTCATCCAATATCCATAACCATATTCACTTAATGGTTATTCTGATTTGAATTCTTTAGTTACTTTAGGTGTATTGTCAGATACTCCATTTGGAATTTAAGTTTCTCCAGTTTCTTTATCTACTTCTGGTTATACTTTCTTTTAATCTGGTTTTTTGAGTATGTTAATTTCACCTTTTTATAATCCGAAGATATCATCTGGATGTTTGAAATCTGGAGTTTTTCTGAATGTTCCATCTCCTAAATTAAAGTTCACATATGCCAATTTACCATTCAATCCTGGGAAGTGCATGTCTTTACCAGCAAATGTATAGAATTTTGGTGCATAATAGTGATTGACATTGTTATATTCTAAAGTTTCAATACCTGTAGCAAATCTAACTCCAACAAATGCTTTTTATAAATTCTTTGAATATCCAAAGTAAACAAAGAACCAATCGAAAATTCTATTCTTATGTTGAATGTTGCTAACCATATTTGGATTACCTGCTCCATTCATATTAGTGTATGTATATGTTGGGAAATGTAAGATTCCACCTTAAGCAGTACCAATCCAACAAGATAATGTTCTATCTCCTAAGAATCTGTCAGTTGATGGTTTTTTGATTTATACTCTAAATACATTGTGCCAAACTTATTATTAAGTTTATTCCCATTTGAACCATCCAGAAATAGCATATTCATGTGGGAACATTTCTTGTCCTCCTCCAATTTCATCATAATCTGGAATATCATTTGGTTTTCTGGAAACAACATCAGAAATTAATTCATGATTATAGAATTAATCCAAATCTTATTTTGGTATGATTGTTCTTTTCAATTAATCTGAAAAGTCTTCAATTGTATCTAAAAATACTCCTGGTCTAGCAGAAAAAGTAATTTAACTGAATAAACCATTAAATCCAGGATATTATTTATTATCCATACCACCTAAAATGAATTTGACTCTCTTTGTAGCTGGATGTTAAACTGAGTGTAAGATTGTTCTTGGTTCTTAATCTGCATATTTTATGAAGGCAATAGCTTTCTTAGCTTCTGAACTATATGAATAGTAAACATAGGTCCATAAACCTTCAATATCATTTGGATAATTAATATTTTGAATTACATTAGCTTGGTTCTTTGGTTAATCACAAGTAGTAAAATGATAATATCCTTAACCTTACCAAATAGCTAATAATCTGTCACCCATTTCAATATTTTTGTAATTCATATTAGAAGTTAATCTAGAAACAAAGTACCATGGAGCATTCTTTCCATTTAATAATCTATCAGGATAAGCAGTTAAGAATCTCATCCAATATCCATAACCATATTCAACAAACTCATTTTCATCTTCTTAAGTTTCTTCAATGACTGGTTTATTTTCTTCACTTGAACTTGGTCTAATTAAACCATCAGTATCTGCATCATCTACTACTTTATATGGTTTCTTTTATTTTTCAGGATCTTCTTCAGTATCAATTTCTGGTTGAACACCAATCAATTTCTTTTTACCATTTTCAAAATTAAATGGATCTCCTTTTCCAGTAAAATCATTATTTGGTTTGAATGATCCTTCTCCAACATTGAAAGATACTAATGCAACTTTACCATTAAATCCTGGGAATTATTTGTCTTTTCCTACATAAATGAAGAACTTAGGAACTTGAAAGTGTCTAATATTATCATATTCTAATTTATCTGTAGATTATTTCCATTGAATTGAAGCAACAGCTTTCTTTTAAGGTCTTGAATATCCAAAATAAACAAAGAACCATTCAGTATGTCTATTTTAGTGTGGTATATTTTTAACAACATTAGGATTTCCAGCACCTTCCAAATTAGTGAATGTATATGTTGGTAAGTGAATAATACCTCCATCTTATTTACCAACCCAAGCAGATAATGTTCTATCTCCCAAAAATTTATCAGTTGATGGTTATTGAATTTAAACTCTAAAGATGTTATGCCATTCTTATTATTATTTAGGTACTTCCCATTTGAACCAACCACTGAAAGCATATTCATGTGGGAATTTAGGATTTTTTGATGTTCCAACAATAGAAAGTACTTCTTTAGTTTCAGGATCTCTTTATTATGGATTTGAGACTACTTTATATGTAATTAATTCAGGTAAGAAGTCTCTGGGTTGTTTCTTTTATTATTACAATTTTCCAATAACATCATCTTCAGAATCAAGGAAAACACCTGGTTTAGTACTGAAATAGACCTATTAGATTAAACCATTGAAACCAGGATATCTATTTTAATCTTTACCTCCAATAGTGAATTTAACCCATTTTGTTGATGGATTTAAGACTTCATGAGTAATTTTTTTAAGATCATCATTTCCAAATTTAACAAAAGCAACAGCCTTCTTTTTTTCAACACTATATGAATAGTAAATATATGTCCAAACACCATCAAAATCTTCAGGATAATTAACATTTTGAACAACATTTGGTTAATTCTTTGGTTAATCACAAGTTGTGAAATGATAATATCCTTTACCTAACCAAACAGCTAATAATCTATCTCCCATATTAATATTTTCATCTTTTTTATTGGCACTCAATCTGGAAACAAAATACCAAGGAGCATCTTTTCCATTAGGTAAGAATTTAGGATATGCCAACAAAAATTTAGCCCAATATCCATAACCATATTCAGTAAATGGTTCCTAACTTTCTCTATCTTTTTAATTAACAGGATCTGGATTAGTAAAATCAGCTGGTTTCTTTTTGTTTGATGAATCTTCATCATCTTCTTCATCTGTTGTACTACTTGGTTCAGAAACACTTTATTCTTATTATTCATCATCTTCAGGGACTCTATCATCTGGTTTAGGTCTGACTGGTTATGTTGGTTAAATAGGTTTTTTGATTTCATCTTTTCCTTATTATTAACCATCAGGTTTAGTTGGGATTACTACTTATCCATCATCATCTTTTGGTTTAATTCTAACAATGGTTCCTTAACCATCAGAACATTCTTTAGTTATTTCTCTAACTTAATCAGATTTAGAATTGATAATGTTGATTGTAATCTAATAATATATTTGTATAATAATACTTATGGTCCTTTTTAACATTAATTTCTAACTTATTCTCTCTCTTTCAATAATCTATTAATTAATTATTCGATTCTATCACAACATAATTCTAAGTCTTTCTCATTCTCTGCAGTATCTAATAAACTTACTACTCCTTATAATTCCATGGCACTATCTTTTCTCCATCTTTAATATGGTGTAATTTATAAATGATGTTAGCTAATTTAACTCATAATATCTGAAAATGAATTTCTGAATTGCAATAATACTAGAATGATATAATTAATATATTACCAGGTTCTACATCATTATAACTATCTCCACGGAAATCTTGTAATGCTACCTTTAATTATTAAAGATTATGCGAATCTGTGTTAAGTTAATCTTAATTCTCTAATATTTCTGACCATGCATCAATTGAAGTGCTCACTTCTCCCAACATTGGACTACAATCTAATTAATTAGTCTCTAATTGATGCAATTCACTTAAACTATGCAATTTTAGATTGCTTCCCAATTAAATGAATTATTAAGCTTAAAATTCACTTTAAATACATACCTTCTAGAGTGCAAACTAGTAATAACACTATAAGCAGCGTTTTATTATTCATAAATAAAAAATAATAATGAATATTGTATTATCATTTCCTTAAAATTACCAGAAAAATTCGTTTTTTCCATTCTTCATTAGAGATTATAATTTATAAATATTTATAAATTTCTGTTAATATAATGAATCATCATTCTATTTCCATTACTTAAAATCTCAATTGAATTTTTTTAGTTTAAAAATTTGAATTAATCCTTCAAATTCAATTAAATTTCATTTAGTACACTCTTTATATTCACATAAGCGTTGCATTCTTATGCGATTAAAATAGGTCCAAATAGTTTTTTTGGCTAATAACTTAAATAATGATCATCTATTAACATCAAAAATAATCTATATAGAACTAACATTTGTTAGAATATTCTAACTTATAAACTAATTAGATTACAAAAATCTCTAATTATTACTACAGATTTAATATTAATAATTAATATTTAAAATTTATTTTGTTGCAAAAACAACTAGTTTCCAAAAATTAAATAAGATTATATAAAAAATTCATAGTTATTATGATATTATTCAAAATACTATTGAAGTAACCTTGTCCATTCTTAGTGGACAAAGATTTAAAACATAAATAATTTCTGTTTGTTGATTTTTTCTATGGATTTAAATAAATTTAATTTTTTCAGTTTTAATAAACAAGTTTCTTGTATTTATGTATTATGATCTCCTAATAGTCTGATACACGTTTATGCAGTATACATAACAGTGAATATTTATTGTTAAGAATTAAACTTAATTTATGTTTGGACTCTTAATTATAGATTATACTAAGATTGAAGTATATACTAAAGATTTTAATAATGATATATTGTTTATGTTTATGTTATAAATCTCAAAGATTTTCTGTTGTTGAATCCTAAATTTTTGAGGTCATTTCAAGATAGGCAGCATTCATTTTACTAGCCAAATCATTTCCTGTTTCAGATTCAAGAATATTTCCATTAATATCTGTAGTTGTGTAGGAAATAACACCAGCATTGTTTGAAAGATCAACTACTTCTCCGACAATTCCTGGAACATACTCAGAATGAGTTTCTGTGAATGATGTATGCTTTTTGGTTTAGGTATCCTTCTCTGATGTAATTTATGCCCAATGTTCTAAGAAGAATATAGAGAATTAAATAATTACAAGCTTCTTTTGCACTCAAATGATAATCTTTATCTCCTAAATTTTCAAATTCAAAGAAAGCACTATTAAAGGTTCTAGCTTTTTTATTATGAACTGCTTTGTGAGTTTTTCTTACATGTCCTGCAGTAACTGATAATAATAAGACACAGATGAGAATTGCCTTAATCATAATTTATATTATTATTAAAAATCGTTTTTACTTCTTTTTGGTTTTAAAATTATTATTCAATAAATCTATCATTCATTTTCCATTTACTTCCATACTAATATTAATATCCATGTTATCAATAGGAAAATAAACATTGGCCAAAATACAATGCAGCTATAATTTAGTAGCCATATAATGGTCAATATAATTAAACCCCATTTGCATGTCTAAAAATTAATTAGGTTGTTGAGATCATGGAATCTTAAAGATAAATGAAAGCAACTAGTATTTTTGCAAGGTATTAAAATGCAACAACCATCAATGCATCTACAACAAGCAGAGAATGAAAACAATATCAATAGAAGTGATATAATTAATCCAATGAAATCACAACCATCTGGTGTTTCATCTATTTTCTTTAAGAAGAATTGTCTAAACACAAATCCTAAAAAGACAAATAACCAATATGCAAAACAACATTCAAAACAATCAGGTTGTTTTCTAGATTCCTTTACTCGTTTTTACAAATCCTATAAATATTATTTTCTCTATTCCTCGTCGATATTATTTGCTCTTACTTAAATTACATATTTACGTATTGTCTATTTATTGTGTCTGTTTTTCTTCTTCTCGATTATTCATTAAAATAAATATTACTAAATTGAAATGTAAAAATATTATGTTTATCTATATAATGTTTAACTATATTCAAAAATTTTTGGCATATTTATCAACCTACATAAAAAGTTCATTATTATATACTTTACAATTTTCCTTAATCTTTCAACTCCCAATTTATTTTCACCCGTTATATTATCTAATAATAAAATCACTTATAATTATTACCTGATTTATAAGGTGGTGAAATTCTTATCGAAATAGATGGAATGATGATCTCTTAGTCTTTCCAATCAACATCTCTATACAATTTTTATAGATGATCAAATAATTGTTAATGAGGTTCTTTCATTTCCTTTTTTATCATTTCTTATGCCATAGCTGCCAAATCGATTGCCAATAAATTTTATAATGTTTACTACGCTTATTGGAACGTATACTTTAGGATCTTAAATATCAATAGTTTGTAAATCTTATATTGATTGCTGATTAATTAAAAAAAAATCATCTTCATTTTCTATAATATTGCTATTCAATCATACTTAATATAATGATTGATTCATCACAATAATATATGAGTCCTTAAAATACATCACCATAATTCGTTGTGACTTTGGCTTGCATACCAAATAATTATAGTTTTTAAGTGTCCGTAGTCAATAGAGTCCATTGCTATTTCGACATAAATTAATAATTTATTTAATATTATATGTTTGTAACCAAAATATTAGTAGAATCTATACTCAAAAACAATGTCTCTAGTTAAAACTTTTAAATTTAATGGTTATTTATTGTTAGCCATTCAAAACTTTATAAGAAGGTTTATAATTTTCAAATTGCTATTTCTCTATCATTTCTACTTTATGAGCTGATAAAACTTTATAACTAAATATATTATGGATATTAAAAAGAGTATTACATAAACAACTTAATAATAAATTGATTGGAAATCTAGAAAAAATACAACTTTATGCATGAAAGCAAAATTCATAAAAATAAATTGAAGAATCTGTTGCTAATTTATATTTCAGAATTGAAAGACATCAAATATATTAACAATATTGTAATTTATATTAACAAATTTCACAAAATAATGAATAGATATTTTTATATTACTACATCTCTATTAAATATTTTATACACATGAAATTATTATAGAATCTATATTATTAAATATTCTTTTTATGTACAAATTCATTGAAACTTTACATTTAAATTATATATGAATTATGAGAGGAGTATTCATCTTAGATAAATTTTCTACAATTTATATCTAATTCATAATTAAATTTATTTTGATTGCAATAGATAATATATATCTTATTTTAATATATATATATTCTACAACCAATAGTTTTCTTTCTTATCAAATCATATAGACTAATTCATTATTTTACTTTAGAATAAATAATCTTTAATATTTTGTTTCAGAATTTCTAATTTTCATTAACTCCCTCTTCAAAAGTATTTAAAAAGATGAAATTATTATTCTAAGGAGTTGCATCATTTCTATTATTAGTTATTAATTCAAAATTTAAAAAGTATTGTGCAATTAAATAATTTAAATAATTCATTATTCTGAGATATTTGTACTTGTCATCAGTTAATTGACTTAAATGACCTATAAGTTCGTTATGCCATTCGGATGAATTATGGCTGTCTTTTTCTTAGCTATGGGACTACCGGTCACACTTTATCCCATTTGAGATTATAATTAAAAAAAGCTACCCTATTTTGTATCTCTTCTTGGTCGATAATTACTTATAGTCCAATTTTCTATCATTTCTACTTAATGAAATGCAATGAAACTTGCAACAAGATAAACTATTAAAATAAAACACAAGACGATCAATAAAGTCATGACTGCATCTACACCTATATTAGATAAACCAAATTGAATGAATAATACTATATAGTATATATATTGTACCAGCAATAGAACTGATTATAGCAAAAATAAAGAAAAGTTAAATAAGCCAACATATCTTTTAGTGTTTTGGTACATCCCAAAATCGAGATTTTTGAAAGTGATTGTGTAATTGCATTCGCATACGAAATTTTTGTGAACATAATTCACATTTAATCTAATATCTTAATTTTAATAAGTACTCTATCTTTAAATACATCTTCTATGCCATTTTTCTAAAGGATCCAAAGTTTTAAACATTCTTCATGTATATATTACAAACTTCCTTTACATGCACAGGGCATAATAAATCTTGAAGTTTCCTCTTCGTTCATGCATATTCTACAAGTCACTTTAGTTATTGTAATAAAATATACTTCCTCTTTTAGATAATTATAATTACTATTCATTCATTTCGTTCACATATATATTACAACCTATCAACTTTCTTCTTTTAACATCCTACTTCTAAATATCATATTACTTAATAATAAAAAGTCTTCAAAATTCCTTTCTTAATTATTTCCTTTCTTGGAGAAATTTATTCATCAGGCTGGTTGTCAAGAATAAGATCTGGTATAAATTAAACCGAAGAATTCATTGGATTAAAGTTTCTATTGGGAGATTAATTAGTTAATCTTATTTCACTCATATTGGGATTGAATGACATAAGAGTTTTAATATTATTATTATAATTTCAACAATTATTCCAATATTATTTATTACTCTAGGATTTGTAATAGCCCTAAAGCTATCTACAAAACAAATGAAAATATAGAGTTAAATCATTTTTAATAATTATTTTTAATTATTAGATAACAACCAAAAAATATCTATAAATCATATTATTAACATATTTATATATATTTCCCTAAGAATATTATATATTTGATGCTACAATAATTATCTGCTCTAATAAATATTTTAATAATAAACTAGACTATATCCAAGTTCTAATCTTATTAAAGTCAAATATTATAATTAAATAGATCATAAATTTTCAACACTTATTAATTTTCAAATTTTTGTTATAATACAGTTTTTTATAATTGACATATGGCTATTGCAATTGCTTATACTTTCCATTTATAAAAAAACATATTTTGTGTTTATGTATAACATATTCAGAATACTATTTTCTTATCATTTAAGTAAAATGTATTTTGAATATGTTATACAACAGTTATCTATTTATTTTTAGAGAATATTTTGTCATGAAAATTAAAAAGATTTTTACTAAAAATATTTATTTTCTAATACTAATTGTAAATTAACAGTTTTTTATATTATTATTCTTGTTTAAATCTTTTTTTAACTTATTGATATTCTTAGCAGTAACATAATTATTTATAATTCATAGCATTGTTTCTAATTGTAAAATATCATTTCCTCAATTTATGTTAATAGCTCTTTATTGGATTTACTAATAATTATAGAAATTTTAGTCTTTAACAATAATATATGATAAGTTTTTTTTTCTTATCAGTTATAACATCTAACTGTTAGATGGAATATAACAAATAATCGAGACTGTATTATCTTTTAATTAATTTTAATTATTATTCTTTTCAATTATAGGATATTTACAAAAGAAAGTCTAATATAAGGAAATATTTATAGATTTGAATTACTTTCTGTCAGATTTAAAAAGGATTGTCACTTTTCTGATGATAAGTTATTCCTAAATTGAATATATCCAAAGAATTAATCTTAATTACAAAATATTCAGTAAAATAAAAAAGAACTATCGACAGTTATTTGAGATGTCTTTACGATTTTTATATTAGAATATATAATTACATACCTACTAAATATTTTCTATTGCAATAAATGAATACAATTTGGACATTCTATCTTAATCTATTTAAATAAATCTAATGTTTCATAACCTCATAAGAATTACATAACATGATTAAATCTATCTATTTTTTAATAAAGTTATAAGTATTATATTAAGAATATCTAGTATTTGAAGAGATATCCTATTAGTGATTTGAAATTGAAGAATTCATAATTTCTTAGATTAAAAATATTTAATCATAATGATTTTATCTTATCAATTATTCTTATAGATGAATATTCATAAGGGGATAGATATTGATAGTTTTTGAGAACTTAAAATATAGTATAAACAGAAATTTACCTGAGTTAATTTAAAATAGATAAACTAATACAAACTATTAATCAATCATATGTAAAAAGGGAAATTGATAAAAAGCTGTTGAAATAATAGTATATAAATGCGATAATGGAGATAGAATGCAATTTTTCAATTTAAATGTAAAAAAATAAATTTTTAGAGATTTCCTTTTAGAGATGATTTATGTATATCTATATAAGTATAATAAAAATACTAAGTATTTGAAATGGTAAAATATAATATAAATTAATTGATTTCAATTTAATTTTCTTTATGCATCTAACTTTAGAAACAGAATTAGGAGTTAATAACTTCATCATAAACGATTTTCCAAAAGATGAATATGTTGATTTTCTGAGTCAAAAATCTTTATCAGAGCATGGCTTCCCAGTGCCAGAATTAAGAAGATAACATGAAGAAGCTATGCCTCCACCTAATTCTAAAGACTAACAAATTAGTTTTCATATGAGTCCAATTATGTCACCTAGTTATGAAGGATGTAAAACAAATGAAATACTGATTGTAAAACCTAATCCAAATGGAGGTACTCAAACATCGTTTTAAACTAATTTTTCAAAATTAAGAAATTCATAATCAACTGTTGGTGAAGACATGATGAGATACCTATAAATAAGAAGATTCTTTAATAGGTTTATGCGTTCCATGCATCTTTTTAGTAGATTACAAAAACATCATTTAGATATTCTAAATGACTCTGCTTCTAGTTATGATCCAAAAATATTTGGTCAGAGATAATTTAATTTCAGGCCTTTGGGGATGATTAAAAATATGAATCTACCATAGGTACCCTCAATTAGTTAGAAAGTTGAAAAAATGATAAATAGAATAGGATAAACAATTAAATAGAAAATTGAATATTGGGATTAAAATATCCGAATATTTTAACCAGAAGAGAGAAAAAAGATTTTATGGGATAGTTGTCTATCATTTTCTCGAATATATTTTATAATCTTAATACCTATGGATATATCTTTTGAATAAGAATTTTTATACTCGCATTAATTGTTCATACTAACAGTCATAATGACAATTCTATTGATGATTGATATTCTTCTAAATTTGAATACTGCATATTATTAATTTGGACTTATTGTAAATGAAAGATCTAAAATATTTAATCATGTAATTAGTAAAGCATATGGTTGTGATGCAATATCAGTAATATATTTATTTGTGTTAATGTTTTTAAATTGGGATGATTATAGAGAAGAAAAACAATATATTTTGGTAGGTTTATTAACATTTGTTGGTTAATATTAAAACATAACAAAATTAATTAGATTAAGTGAAGAAGTATTAAATTTGACAAAAGTTACTGCATCAATTTTAGAATTAGTAAAACTGATAATATTTTTAATTTTTATTTTACATGTTGCAACTTGTATTTGGTATGGAGTATGATATTTTTAATATATAATTAGGTTGGTAATTACGGTTTAAAATATCTAGGATCTAGTTGGATAGATAAATATCATTTAGAAGATAATAATTGGGCTGAAAGATATTTAAGATCCTTCTATTTTTGTACTGTTACTATGTTTACTGTTGGATATGGTGATTTAACTCCTTAATGTAATAATTAATCTTATTTCAGCAAATCTAGAATATATTATTTGCATTATATTTATAATGATATTTAGTATTCAATTGCCTTATAGTGTTAATACTGTGGGAGCTATTATTGATGAGATATCGAAATATAGTGAATAAAAGCTATAGAAATTAAGAATTATTAATACTTATATGACTAAAAAGAAGATTAGTTTTTAATTATAATTTTAAATTAGAGAATACTTAAATTATTATTGGGAAATGGAGAATACTCAATAATCAAATGAAGAATAAGTTATTATAGAACAATTATCAGAATAATTAAGAGAAGAATTAATGGTAGAAGCTAATTCAGTTGTACTCAATAATTGTTCTCTTTTTAAAAAAAACTTTTCTCATGAATTTAAAAAGGCTTTGGTTAAAAAAATCAGAACTTTATCAATTTAACCAGAAAATATTATAGATTATTCTACAGAACCAGATGCTTATCAAAATAATTATCTTACATTTATTGAATAAGGTGAAGTGGAAGTTCAGTTATCTGATTAAATATTTTCTCCTGGTACAACATTTCATAAATTGACTCCTGGATGTATCTTTGGATTATATGAATTTATTACTGGTTAAGAACAAAAAGAAGTATATAAAAGTGTTGGTTTTACTAAATTACTCATTTTACCAAGATTAGCTTTCTTAAAAATTCTAAAAGATTTTCAAGAAGATAGAGAAAAGTTTTGTTAAATTAGAGATAATCTATTATATAATTTTTCAAAATAATCCCTAAAAAATTTAGATATTTCATGTTATGTTTGTTAGTCAAGAGAGCATCGTTCGAAAGATTGCCCCTTACTTCATTTTTGTCCAGATAAAGAAAGAATTATTAAATCTTATAACTTTGTTAAAGAATAAGTTAGAGAATAGACAGTTCGAAAACATTCAAATAAATATAATAACCGTTTCATATATAATAATGCTTTGTTGGATTACAAACTAATAAAAGAAACAGCCGAATATATCTAAGATGATTTCTGGCAATTAACTTAAATCTATGATTTAGATATCGAAAATGGTTCACCTAGTCCAAACATTAATAATGGTGCTTAAGGATCTCCTTAACATTCATCTAGTTCTGATGATGAAAAGGATGAAATTGTATAAGAATTATCTAGACCATCACTTAGTTCATCATCTAAACTTCCTAGATAAACAAGAACTACAAGATTATTAGAAATGAATCAGATGAAAAAACTATAAGCTAGATAATCTAGTATTTCTCCTATGATTCCAAGATCATCTTCTTCATATTTAATAGAACATTAATAATAACCTAAATTATCTATTTTTAGTTAATCAAATTCACCTAACACAAATAAATAAAATTCTAATGACAAATCATAATCTTAAGATTTAGAAGGAATTAAAGAAAGTTTAATTACAATACCAAATTAGCAATCTGATTCCCTTAAAACAGCTATTAATTCTATGAAATAGAACTTTATGAAATCAGCATTAAAAAAATTAAATGATAATAATAATAATCATGAAGAAGACGATAAGGCTAAAAAAGTTAGAGTGAAATTTCAACAAGCTTTTACTTTTATAAAGAGATTAAAATAATTAAAAGTTTCTAAAGAAATTGAGAAACCTCGAATTTAACCTAAGTAATAGACCATGGTAGTTCAAAAATAAAATCTTAATTTAATTTAGTAAAGAATACAAAGAAAAAGTAATACTTTAACTTTATAGGATTAAAATAAATTAGATTTATTAGTTTTAGAACTTAATAATTAATTAAATAATAATTTTTAAGAAGTAGAGAATTTCGAAAATAAAAAAGATTTTAAATTCTATTAACCTCATAATAATTTAGCAAATTTATAAATATCAACTAAATATCATCCTAAATTCTTGAGCAATATGACTCTATATATTAAATATTTTCTGTATCCTGCAGAATTTATTAAGAGATATAAGAACAAAGATCCTACAATATTAGAAGTTAAACCTGTTTCTTTTGCTACATAGATAAATGCATATAAAGATATATTAAAATTTAGAAAGTAAGCCAGAAAAATTATAAATAAAAAATAGATAGCTCCAGAATTATGAATATTGATTTTATTACGATTTAATAAAGAATCACTCTAAATCATTAAATGGAGTAATTCCTTCTTATCCAAAGTAATTGAATCTACCTGTAGCAACATTCATAATTGCTGTATAAAAGGTACCTTCATTATGAATTGGGTATGTGTTGATAACACTATAAGCACCCAATTCATTTTGCATAGTACTAGTTAAGTTAGCCAATAAATTTTCTGCAATAGTTCTTCTTTAATCACCCTTTGGATCTTTGTGCCAATGATCATAATTAGTCTAAACCATATATTAGAATTGATCATTTCCTAATCCAGTGTTGTTAAAGAACAATGTTGGATAAGTTGATATTGGATCTCTTGAAATGATTGCACCTTAATTGTATCCAGTACCTGCAACAATATTATATTGTGAACAAGCCACAATTACATTTTCTAAATAAGTAACTGCATCATCAAAATTATTAATATCAGAATCAAGGATCTAAATATATTTTAAAATTAAATACATGTCTAAATGTCCATCCTAATGATGTTGTTCCTGCTGCTATTTTTTTCAATAACATAAATAATGGTAAATAGTGTCCATATCTCCAATTTTCTTACAATGAAACAACCCCATATTTAAACATAGTTACAAAACCAGTCTTAAACCAATATTAATCCACAGCTTCACCAATATATTAACCATTTTTTATAAACTTGAAATGAACAACAAGCAATCTACCAGCATCTGGAGATTAATCCATATTTCTTCCGTGAATAATACCTTCTTTGGTTTATAATAATATGGCTGTGCATTCTTTTATATTGACTGATAAAGAGTGACCAATTTCATGGAAATAAGCCCAAGCAGCCATATACTCAAATGTAACATCAGTTCTATTAAAAGCTTCCACAATCCCTTCTAATTCTTAAGCATATTAAGGCCAATGAGTTCTTACAGAAGTAGCTAAAACATCATAATCTTTGGAAGTTAAATGTTTGAAAGTAGTTTCATTATGATAAGAAAAGAAAGCACCAAAAGAAGCATCATATCCATATGTGTTCAATATTAATTAAACAGCTGGCTAGAATCTTTGTTTGGCTGGTCCATCTAGATCTATATCTAATGTTGGAACTATGGTGTAAGCATAAGTTGTAGCTAAAATCAATAAGATTACTGCAAGCTTCATATTATGATTATAAATAACTTTTTATAAATATAAGTAATTTTATAATATTATTATGATGACTTCATCACTATTATATTATTATCTCATTCATCAGATAATGTGATACTTGGTTATCCAAATGCTATTAATCTATTGTATTTGGCATTCATGATCACTGTATAGAAAGTTCCTTCATTGTGAATTGGATAAGTATCCATAACAGCATATACACCAAATTCATTTAACAGATTATTTTGCATCTTTGCTAATAAATTTTCTGCAATGGTTCTTCTTTAATCATCTTCAGGATCTGGTAACCAATGATCATAATTTGTTTAAACCAAATACTTGAATCCATTTTATCCTTAAGGTAAACTGCTTAATGATATTGTTGGATAAATTTCAAATGGATCTCTTGAAATAATCACTCCCTAATCTTTACTAGTTCCTCCAATTATGTTGTATAGAGCACATGCAACTGGGTTTTATTCAAGATATGATACAACCTTTTAAAAAGTATTCAATTTTTCATTCACTAAAACATCTCTATATGCCCATGCCAATGAGGGTACACCTTGTTAAATAAATGTCAATAATTGATTTTTGCTTAAAGGATCACCAAATCTCCAATTCTCTTCAAGTGATGCTACATTGTATTTCAATAAAGTAACAAATCCAACTTTAAACCAATACCAATCAACTGATTCTCCTAAATATTTTCCATCTTTCTTAATTGTCAAATGCAATACTATATTTCTTGCTTAACCTGGATATTAATCCATATTTCTGCCATGAATTACTTAATCACCAATTGATAATAAAACACCTGTGCATTCAGTAATATTGCTTGTAATGTGTCCAATTTCATGGAAATAAGCCCAAGCAGCCATATACTCAAAAGTAACCTCTGGTCTATTGAATTCTTCAACAATTCCTTCTAATTCTAATGTATATTCTGGGAAATTCTTTCTAATTGCATTTGCTATTGTAGTATAATCTTCAGGAGCCAAAATACTGAAAGTGTTATCATTGTGAAACTGAAATACTGGACCAAATGAATTGTCATATCCATATAATGTTAATACTGTTCTAACTGATTCCTTCCATCTTTATCTTGGAGGTGCACTCAAATCTATTTCTACTTCAGGAAGGTAATTGAAACAACATACTGTTGCTAATAGCACTAATAGTATTTTGTATTTCATGGAATAATTTTATAATTGTTGATGAGCTAATTATTAAATTTATATTATATTATGATGACTTCACTTAAATAAATTAATGACTTCACTATCTAGTCATTCCTTCTTACTTTTTCTTGTTTCCACCCAATTTATTTTACTCATGGATATATTTACTATCAATCTTCAATATATTTGTACAATAATCAGACAATTAATCAAATACATTTTTTTGTAAAATGATTTCCTTTTATTATTATATAAATTATACTTTTCCTGCATTTTTACCAGCTCCATCATGAATACCAATACCACAATGGAATGCTTCCTGCATTTATTTAACCACAAATGCAAAACTATATATATCTTCAACCTTTCCTGCATGATCAAATCCAAATTACTCTAAACCTACTATTCTATTTACTTATTAATTATGTTATTTTTCAGCTATTATTTACAATCCCTTAAATTCACCTTATTTCAATTCACTTTAATTTAATCTCAAATTTTTAATTTTATAACTCTTTTACATTAATTCTTCAATTTTCTTATGTAGCTTTTCTAAAGAAATCTAATTTTATGGTTATTTTCTTTTCTATTCTTTTTCTTTTTCTTTTTCCTTATCTTATTATTAATCTTCTTATTATTCATCTTCACTTTCAGATTCATGTTCTTTTATTCCTAATTCATTCACCAAATCTTCTGTTAAAACTATCATTTTCTTTTCTTATTTCAAATTCTTCTTTATATATTAATTTAATTAAGATATATATTATTCTCTTGTTAATGGTTCTACTTTTTAATTTTCTTCACCTTCCTTAGTAAATATTTTAACCAAAGGACCTACTGGTAAAAAAAGATCAATGACTTCTATATTCTATTTATATTAAACAACTTAATTCTTTTCTTCCTTCTCTTCATCACCTTTCTTTGCAGCTTTCAATACAGTTGGTTCCCAATCACTAATTTATTCATTTTATCTATCAATTTTAGTTATTGAAGGTTATCCTCCCTTTTTGATTTCTTTATATTCAATTAATCCATCCTTTTACATTGTCTATAAAAATCTATGAAATATAAATATAAAATTACTTTCCTATCTTTTAATAAGATGAATTCTTTAAATCTAATTCAATTCCTGGTTTCTTAAATGCAAGCATAAACTTTTCATAAAATACTTAACCTTCTATAGGTAATTACTTATCATTAATTCCAATTTTACAAGCATTTAAAAATGATTCCTTTATGTATTCATCCATTACTTTTGTTGGAACACCTCCAACTTATTATTATTATTATTATTNATCTATCTTCAATATATTTGTACAATAATCAGACAATTAATCAAATACATTTTTTTGTAAAATGATTTCCTTTTATTATTATATAAATTATACTTTTCCTGCATTTTTACCAGCTCCATCATGAATACCAATACCACAATGGAATGCTTCCTGCATTTATTTAACCACAAATGCAAAACTATATATATCTTCAACCTTTCCTGCATGATCAAATCCAAATTACTCTAAACCTACTATTCTATTCACTTATTAATTATGTTATTTTTCAGCTATTATTTACAATCCCTTAAATTCACCTTATTTCAATTCACTTTAATTTAATCTCAAATTTTTAATTTTATAACTCTTTTACATTAATTCTTCAATTTTCTTATGTAGCTTTTCTAAAGAAATCTAATTTTATGGTTATTTTCTTTTCTATTCTTTTTCTTTTTCTTTTTCCTTATCTTATTATTAATCTTCTTATTATTCATCTTCACTTTCAGATTCATGTTCTTTTATTCCTAATTCATTCACCAAATCTTCTGTTAAAACTATCATTTTCTTTTCTTATTTCAAATTCTTCTTTATATATTAATTTAATTAAGATATATATTATTCTCTTGTTAATGGTTCTACTTTTTAATTTTCTTCACCTTCCTTAGTAAATATTTTAACCAAAGGACCTACTGGTAAAAAAAGATCAATGACTTCTATATTCTATTTATATTAAACAACTTAATTCTTTTCTTCCTTCTCTTCGTCACCTTTCTTTGCAGCTTTCAATACAGTTGGTTCCCAATCACTAATTTATTCATTTTATCTATCAATTTTAGTTATTGAAGGTTATCCTCCCTTTTTGATTTCTTTATATTCAATTAATCCATCCTTTTACATTGTCTATAAAAATCTATGAAATATAAATATAAAATTACTTTCCTATCTTTTAATAAGATGAATTCTTTAAATCTAATTCAATTCCTGGTTTCTTAAATGCAAGCATAAACTTTTCATAAAATACTTAACCTTCTATAGGTAATTACTTATCATTAATTCCAATTTTACAAGCATTTAAAAATGATTCCTTTATGTATTCATCCATTACTTTTGTTGGAACACCTCCAACTTATTATTATTATTATTATTATTTTTATTATTATTATTACTTATTTTAAGCACCTTTTTTATGTTTATTGTCATCATCACTATCATCTGAAAATTGTTATTTTACTTATTATTATTATTATTATTATTAGACTGGTTTTGCTTTATTTGTTTTTTTCTATTCTTTTTTTGCTGCTGGTTTCTTTGCTCCAGGTGCAATCATATTTAAATCAATATCATCATCTGAATATTCCTCATAGTTTTATGTTTTTGTTTCTTATACTTCATCAAAGTTTTCTGGTTCAATAGGTTAACCCAATTCATTTGGACCATGTTCCCATAATTTATCCCCTTGTTTATGCAAAATATATCCACCTATCCCATTCTCTTATTCTTTCTTTAAATCTATAGAATCACAACCAATTGCCACAATTGCCAATAATCTAAATATTCTATTGTAATTACTTCTTTTAATGATTCATCAATTTCTTAATCGAATCCTTCTTGAATTCACCTAACTTATCTTAATTACTTATTTAACTCCATAACACTTTTCCTGCCTTCAGTACTGCTGCCTCATCAATTCCATCTTTTAAAATCAAAGTACCAACTAATTTAGGATACTCAGCCACAACAAATACTAATCAATATATTAATAATATATACATGATGGGACATAATCCTCCTTCCCTGTACCATCAACAAAAGCTGGATATTCATCTGTATGATAAATAATCATTTTTGATCCAATTAGCTTCTCTTACATACATTATTCAGAATCCTGAAAGATCTTTTTGACTGTAAGAGCATCAAATTATTTCCTAAGTGCAGTCTCAAATGTTTCTTTTTCCTTTCCCTTTAAAAGAACAGAACCCTAAATTTTTATAGTTTTGCCAAACATTAAAATTCTTTAATTAAAACAATAGGATGTTGGTTCATTAAAAATATAAAAAATCTCCTATAAGTTTATCATTGAAGAGTTTGACAGCCCAATTAAGATATAAATGTTAGGATGAAGTTATTGGCATAAATAAAATATAAAAAAAAGTCATATTGTATTTTCTATAAGTTCTTATACTTCAATTTGTCTGATTAATACTTTATATGAATGTTTATGCCATTCTTTTTTAATGTTCAAGTCAATCGTATTTGAAAAAATATCTTAAGAAACGAAATTATTATAAAATTGTATAAAAATTCTGAATAAAAGCTGGATATACTTTAGATGAAAAATAGCTATAAAGTTATTTATTATCAAATTAAGAGATACCTAATAATTCAAATTATCTAATAAATCATAATAAAATAATATAACTTAGAATTTAAATTTATAAATATTATTAAAAAATATCATATCATTTATATTCTTCTGTTTCTAACAAAGAATTAATGTTGCTAATTATCTTTTATATATTTAAATATTTCCTAAATATCATAATTATTTCTAATTTACTTATGATGAATTAAAATTCAAAATCAAAAAAATAATGACTTTAATTTTTATTTTACATATATATTTTATATATAATTCATTATTGTAATTAATGTAAATTTGTAAATATGGAAATTAAGTTTATAAAATATCATAGATTGGAATGATACAAAGGAAAGTTTTAGAAATGAAATTAGAATCTGATTTATAAATTTTTGGACAGGATGAGAATTTACTTTAAGTAATAAATTCGTTATTCATTATTTTTTATTTGTAATATCATAAATAAATTTTGCTGGTTAGAAAATAGGTACATGAAATTCTGATATTGGGGTTGTTGGACTAACGACTGTAATTGATTCTTTTCTATTTTACCTTCTATCAGATTCATTTTAAATTTGTTATGGAAATTTTTGTTGTTATTGATTTTCATGAGTATTTAACTTTTCTTTTGACTATTGCTTTTTATTTAATGCCTTCTATTGAAATCTATTGTTTTTAATACCAAATGCATTCATTTATTTTTAGTAGTTTATTTAATTTAAATATTAAATATATAATAGCCTCCTTCAACTATAATAGACAATGTTTTTGAGTATTATAATATTAAAGAATGGAGATGTTACTTTTTATTAAATTAAAGTGATTAATAATTGATTTGATAAGTAAAAAGTAATATTTATGAAACACAAATTTTCCTCCAAAACATTTGGATTATAACCAATATATGAAAATTATATATAAATAATATTAAAAATTTTAAATATGAAAATTAAGAAGAAGAATGATACATAGAGAGTAACAGAGTTAGGGGAACACATTTTGAAAACTTAAAATACTATGTTGGCTGCTAAAATTGATTAATTAAAGAAGGATATATAAAATATGAAATCTGTATACAACAACCCAATATATCTAGTTTCTAGTTGCCAGAATAGACAGAGAGAGAGCTAATTTAATCAGAAGAATTAATATATTACAAAAAATTGAGTAATTAACTTTCTCGAAGAATACGAATCATTATGGCTTATAATGAGGAGGCAATTCAAAAAAAAGTAGCCTAAGAAGATATCTAAGATGAGAGATTTGAATGTCTTTGTGGTGCAAATCAGATTGATTCTATAAAATATTTACTTGTAAATGGTCATCAATAAATATTGTAATAATAATAATAAGAGATTCAATAGCCAGAAGAAAATAATTAATAAATTTAATCTAATCAAAAGTAAAAATGAATTAAATAATTAGAGATTATATTAAGAAATTGATTTAAGAGTCTTCAGAAGAGAAGGCCTAATTAATTCATTAAATAGAAGAATTGAAATTGTAATAGAAGTTGCCTGAAGAACAATTCTTTTAAACTCAATTATTTGCAGAATTAGTATAATAGAATAACTATTTGACAACAACTCTATTCAATATAGAGGAATAATTGATATAAGTAAATTTGTATTTTAAATGTAGGTTTAATTGGTTAATAAAGAATTATTAGAGAGAAATCAACAATAGATTTAATAATGTTAATTAGAATGTGAATAGAAAATAAAAGATTTGTTTTCTTAACAAGATATTATAAAAATAGAAATAAAATAGAATGATGATTAGATATAGAATACTTTAATAGAAGAATTGAAATCATAAGTAGAACATTCATCAAAAATGATTGAGGATTTAAAGATAGAATTATAATAATGTAGAGAACGTAATAAAGAAGCACATAATTAATTGGTAGAAGTAATAAATTAGAAATAAACATTATTGAATTAAAATAATGATTTGAAATAATAAATAAGTGTTCATAAAATATTATCAAAAGATGAGAAAATAGAATAAGTAACTTTAAGATATGAGAAACACAAATAATTATTATATGAAATTGAATAAGAATATGCTAATACAAAATCTAATGAATTTATTTAAAGATTTAGAGAATTTGTTGGATATGTAAAGATGAGAGATGAAAAAGTTAAAGGATTGGAATAATAATTAGAAGCAAAAAATAATGATTGTAATAATATTAAGAAGGTAAATAAATATTATAATAATATTATAGTAAATTTAATAATTAATTGATGAATTAGATTATAATTCAAATTCTTTTAATTCAATAAATGAAACTAATAAGAATTTAAATAAACTTGTAAATGAAACATAAAAGAATTTAAGCAGAGCTATGTAAGAGAAAGTGGATGAACGAATAAAATTTGAAACAGAAAGATAAGTATAATAAATAATTTAATATAATAGTAATTTTTATAAAAAATATAAACTGCAGATGATACTATTAAATAATTATAATAGTAAAATGATTAATAAAAAAAATTAATAAATTTATTTGAAAATGAAAGAATAAGTTATAAAGAAACTATAAGAATGTTATAAAAATCTGATGGTGAAAGTTAATAAAAATTGTTATAAAAAGAATGGGATGTAGGTAAAATTTTTGAAGAAAATAAAATTATATAAGAAAGAGAGAAATTAAGTGAATCTATTAATCTTAAATTTATAAAAAAAGCAGAAAAATCAAAGAGTAAATTAAAATATTTAAAATTATAAATGAAATTGTAATAATTTTATTTTATTTTATAGAGAATCTAAAGATACTGATAATGAACTATTGACATCATTAAAAATGATGGTAGATTGTTAATAATGTAAAAAAAGAGTAAAATAAGTTATTTTAATGAAATGTTTACATATGTTCTGTAAACCTTGTATTGATGATAATTAAAAAAATCGAAATAGAGCTTGTCCTGTATGTAGAGCTAAATATGGAATTGAAGAAGTGAAACCTATAATATTAAATTGAGATAATTATATATCATAAATATAGAATTATATAATCATGATTCCTTTTTTTAAGAATCTAAATATTATTTAAAAATAATATATCATTTTATTCCACTATTTATAATAATTTAAATAAAGTTATTAAATATAAAGAAAAAAAGATATAAAAAGGTGTTTAAAATATAATATAATTTATTTATTTTATAAAATTCCATAAATAGATGTTTATCATATTATTAATATCAATATCAAAATAAGATAAGAAATAAGTTCTCCATGAATATCTTGGACATTAATTTTGACACTCAAATCAGGTACTACAGCTATACCCTATTCACATTTATATTGATATAAATTCCAATGACATTCATAATCTAATGCTTCACAATCTTATTACAAAATTAGTTATTTACAAAATTTTCTACAAACCTTATCTTAAAAACTCCAATAACATTTATTACTATTAGTACATGTTGTTTCTGTTAAAAATGATTAACATAATATAGAATTACATTTTCCATTTGAATAAAAGCATGATCCATTACTATTTAGACATGTACATTCATCTGTAATTGATTCACAAGTTTTGCATTATAAAAATTAATCCATAATACAAGAATAATCATTAATTTCATTTCCATTACATAAAGTTGGTGATGCATTATATAAATGACAATATGTATTTGTACAATGATAAGTATTTTCATAGACTCCATACATTTCCCAAGAACATTTGAATTTATTTATAGTAGTTTAGATACAAATAGTGGAATCAGTTATTGTTGAACAAGTTGAGATTTCTTAACATTAATTATCCAAATATATGCAATTAGAGTAATTATAACAATCTTCTTCATTTCTATCTACACATGTTAAAGGGCGACATTAAAAATTATCATATTTACAAGCAGTATTTGAACAATCACTATTAGGACATAATTCTTTAAGATTTGATGCACTTATACAATGATTTAGAATTTAAATACAATTAGATGAATTAAATACAAAATCAGTACAATTTGATAGATTATTTAAATTAATGATATCTTCACATTATGAAGCATTTAAACATTATTATTATGCATCCTTATAACATACTTTACCATTAATAGATCCAATACATTCATTTAAATCATTGCAATTTTTTAGTCTACAATTATCAATATCATAATCATAAATACAATTTGTATTAGATTTACAATTGATTTCAGTCAATTAACATTATGTTTTAGGTTATTGAATAGAACAAATGCATTAAGTGATATCATATGACCATTTACAATTTGTTTAATGAACACAATTATTATAATTTAAACCATGATAATTACAAGGTAATTATTATAATGTAAAATAACAATTATTAGATATTGGATCATATGCACAACTATCTAAAGTATTCATTTTACAAGCAATTTCGTTAACATTTGATAATTCTAAACAACTTTTCTTAAGACTCATTATTTTTTGACATTTATTATCTACATATTAACATGGTTCTAAAATCAAAGAAACACATGCCATTTTATTTAGTCCAGGATAAGTACAATTAAAATATTTATTAAATTTTTCTTAACATGTTCTATTTTCTACATTATATGAACAAACATTATTATGATAATTTAATTATGAACAACTTAAACTATTTAATTATGTTTAATTATCACATTAATTAATTCCTTTCTTAATTATAAAATTTTAACAACTTTTTGTATTAATATTCCAATAACATGCTTCTGTTTTAATATTTGTACAACCATTAAGTGATAATCCAAGAGTATTACATGTGTCTGAATTAGTATTAATATCTTTGCAAGTATTGGTTATGGAATCATACTTACAACTTAAATGTTGTATCATTTGACAAACAGATTAGGTTACATCTTTATAATCAGAACAATTAGGTTTGATTAATAATTAATATAAAGAACATTGATTATTATAGTAGATACAAGGAGCATTTATTAATTTTAAACAAGCCTAATAAAATGATTATTATTTAATACATATTTTGATAATCCTTTAGAATTGCAATTATCTAATTTAAGATCTAATGGTATACAAGATGATAGATTTTGATCATATTTGATAGCCATATTTAAAGTTGTACAACAAATTTCAGTTACTAATGATAATTATGTTTAAGTAACATTTTCATCTGTTTACCAATCTACACATTAATCATTTCTCCATGCACATTATACATTAGAAATTGATAAACATTATTTAATACTATTATTAAAACAAGTACTATTATTACAAATATTACTAGTTGAACAATTAATACAAATATTATTTTACCATTAACAATATCCTATACGACTACCAATACAATCATCTTTTTGTTAAAATTAGGTACATTCATAAATTAATCTTATTTAAATAAAATTACTTTAATCAGTTTACATAGAATTAGTATATTCACTGGTTAATTTAATATTACATTTTTAAGTTACATCATCATATTTACAAGGTTCCATTGAATATTTAGAACAAGATACTTTATTAAACTAAATTATATATAATAATTATTACTCCAGATGGTATATCTTAACATGAAACAAGTTAAAAATCTTTTCCTATATTTTCACATTTACCATTCCATGTACAAAACATAGATGTATTTAAACAACCCCATTAATTTGCCAAGTTTTCACAAGAATATTTACTTCTATACCATTTTTGACATGTATTATTAATCCAAGAACAGAATTAATTAATTACTTTTTAACATGCTGAATAACTCAATGTATCTGAACAAGATTAATCAACTTCAATTAATTAATCACATGTATTTGTTCCTAAATTATATGAACAAGGTATAATAGCTTATTTACAATAAGTCCATGTAATATAATCATTACAATTTTAAGAGTTTACTTTATTTATACATTATCCATTATCCCATTTACAAATTTAATTATATGTTAATATTTATTCACATGTTTAAAATGAAACATCATCTGTACAATTAATAGTTTTTAAATTAGCTTCTAAACAATTTTAACCATCCCAAAAACATGTTAATTCTGCTGTGTTTTCTAGACAGAGACTTCTTGATAATCCTAATCTATTACATCTTATAAATGAGTAAGGTAAATTGGATGAATAATCATAACATGTTACTCCATTCCATAATTAAGATATAGATTTACAATAATTTTCACTATATTAACAATTTGAATAGGTTCCATCATTACATTAATTACCAATATTATCACTAATATCACATTCATAATTATCTCCAATCCAAATACAAGGTGATTATATTGAATTTATACATGTTTATCTATTTTTGAATTAACAATCTATCTACTCATAAGATCTAATATATTCTTCACATTTTTCATTAACCCATACACATTTTAAATCATTTAAAATTTAAATACATGATTGTTAATTTAATTAATTACAGATATAAATACTATTATATTTAGATTCATCATAGATCAAACAAGTTTATAAATTTAAATCAAAATAATATAAATTACCTGTTAATTAAATACAACCATAATAATTTAAATTAATATCATAAGTATTATTTTGTGATATATTACATTATTAAAATACTCCATCTAAATCTAATACAATTAAACAACTCTCCTCTACAAATGTACATTAATATAATTCAGTATATTAAGTACAATCACTAATTTCTATTGTGTTTCTTTTCTTACATTTATTTGTAGATTCTTAATAATAACATTCTTCAGTATTTAATTCATTTTACATAATTGAAATACATAATTAACGATTAACTTAATAAGAAGCTACTGCTGAACATGTTAATTCACCTGTATAAGTTAAACAAACATCATTATCTAAATAACAATTAATACCAGGAATATCATTAACACAAAATGGAGTCAATGTTTCACATTATAAAGGAATTGTGTGACAAAATATTTCACCTTTTAATGTCATCTTAAATCCACAATTCTCTATACTTTCACATGCTAAAAAAGATCTAACTTCTGTTTAATCAAAATAATCACAAGTATTCAATTACCAAGTATAAATTGATGAACAATATTGAAACCAAATTTGATCTTAGAATTGACATGGCATTGCTCTTTATAATGCACATCCATATTAAGTTTATGTTAAACTAGAACATTAATACTAAGCAAAATCTTCATCTATCATATCACTTTTTGCATTATAATTAATCATTTAACAAGTATTATCTTTATAAACACATAAAGGATAATAATGCCAACAAAAATTTAATGTAGTATATTGAAAATCATTGCAATCATAATTTTAGAAATTTATTATTTCAAAACATTATCCCTTATCATAAACACAAGTTTTAGTTTTATGTGAAGTACATTCTTAAATTGTCTTTGAATCCTCACAATCATACTCTTTATCTGTACATCTATCATCAATCCATTAACAATAACCAGGTTAAGATATACATAAATCATATCTCAATGATAACCAACAAGGTACTGTTACTTATTCACTTGAACAACCATTACGACCTGCAAAACAAATACCACTACTTATTCCACAAATTCTCCAAGATTTTATATCTTCATAAGATTATGGACATAATTCAGTTGATAATTTACACTATTTATTATTTTAATCCCAAACACAATTCAATTCTCCATATGTACAACCCATTCTATTTCTATAATCACAAGAAATAGTATAATCAATTAATTTTGAACATTTATTGTTAACAAATACACAAGATCCTCTAGTTTGTAATAAACATAATATTTATGATGCTCCAATTTAATCACAATCAAATATATCATTTAATTCAGGTATTTTACATTTATTAGTTATCTTATCATAATAACATGCATCTGTACTATGTGTACATAATTAAGGATTATAAATTGTCATATCTAATAAACTCAAATTTTCACAATTATCTCCAAATGATAAATACATTGAAATACATTTATGAGTATTTTATTTATAACATACTTAACCAGGTGTTGTAATTTTAGTACATATCTACATATTACTATTTTAACATAAAAGTTAATTTAATATTATATCTTAATATTCTTGAGGTCCATTTAAAATTGTACATTTTTAATTCTAAAAATAACATTATTCAGTAGTGTATCCCATACAACGATAGACATTCATTTATCTTGTATAACCACAATCAATATCATTAATTTCAGTTACTAAAGATGTGCATACATTATCAACTACTTCACAATATTATTAATCAGATAGATTGAGTGCTATATTAGTTGTTAAATTAACACAAATATTAGCATTTGAATAACCATCAAATGTATTACAATTAGAGTAAAAACCTTTTTCATGATTTCTACATTTGATAGTTTAATCACTATTTATTGATCCCCAAAAACAATATTATCCAGGCTTTGTAATTCCCATACAAGTAGATTAACTTATGAATTCAGTATTACAATTAAATTAATTTAAGAATGGAGTTGAATCTTAACATTATTTTATTACATTGTTATAATAACATAGAGATGATGACATTCTACATGCATAACTATTAGCATATTAATCACAATTAGATATATTAATATATGAAATAATGCAACTTTTAGAATCTTCATCATATTTACATTAAATAGATTAATAAATAGACAATCTACAAACACTTGGACTAACTTTTTATAATTCATAACAATTATAGTAATTAATTTTTGAAGGTTGGAGATATATACATTAATTATCCATCCATGCACAATATTCATTTGTTATACTCAAACATTATACTTAATTGATACCTTTTGTATCACAATGTAAAACAGAAGCATCCTTATAATAACAAGTAGAACTTTAAGAATCATAGAGACATAATTTGTTATCTAAAACAATAGCTTCTTTACATAAATTTGGATTAACTAATTTCATAAGATTACAAGATTTATGTGTATTTGTTACATGTAAACATTTTTATTTAAAATAATCCCATCTAGTATTAGAATTAATTAGATTTAAACAATATTCTTTATTAATTCTATCATTAACTCCATTATTGCATACATAATCATCTACATCATAATTCTAATCTTCAAAATCAACACATGGTGAATATAAATTAACTTATGAACTTTCACATTTCTATTATTCTATATTATAATAATAATATTTTCCTGATTATGATACACACAAATTATAATTCATAAGTGTAGTTTCTGGAAATGATAAATAATGAGAATATAATTTTTGATCTTTAACATTCAAACAATTATTTTAATGCCATATACAAAATTAATCAAACATTATAATTGAAGTACAACAAAATATTGTATTACAATTTTAACATTTCATTTATTCAATATTTTTGATTGTTTTACATCTACCCAAATTTATATCCCAATAACAAGGTGTTGCCATTAATTCACATAAATCTTAATTTAAACCTAATTAATCACATTTATTTATAGGAGCACAAACTATAAATATAGAATTTGATGAATCAATTAAATTAAATAGATTACTACCCAACCATACACAACGAGTATCATTTTCACAATTTATTTTTGTTTTATATTAAACACAAATTTAACTACATTCTGCCTTTTAATTTGAATAATCTAAATAACAAGCACTACCTTTAACCTAAGAACAATCAAAATGTGTTGCCAAACTTATTAATGAATTACATTATTATTGAACTTAAATAGTTTTTATATTGTAACATTCATATTCTTTATAATAATTTATTTGACATTTCTAATTCACATTTAAATACCTTTAACATACCATTCCACTCATACTTTAACATACTATTTAATTCTAATCAATATATTATTAATCTTATAATTGAATATCTGTTATTTATTAACATTCATAATTAGTAAACACTGTCTTTACTGGATTAGTAGGATGTTTGCTTAAATAATTACAATAAATGTGATTGACACCTCTTATTATACCACTAAGACTAAAAAGAGTAAGGAATCTACTCTCATTTAATATCTCTTATGCTATACATCCATATCTTGAATAATCATTTATTTTAACTAATATTATAAATAATTTATACGATTTGTTATGCTCAATTAAGTTGGTGTTGTATACCATTTATAATCACCATTATTGTCTATATAATTATCTCCCAACTTTTAATCTTCATATATTTTAGTAGTGTCTACTGTTATTCCTGCTTCTACTTTAACTAAGTTCTAAGCTTCTGTAAAGAGATCAGATTTATATGATAATAAATCCCATAAGAGAGTACTATGAATAATTAAATATCCTGAAATACGACTGCATACTGAAGCACTCAATTCCAAATCCTAAAATACCTAATTAATATTTTTAGTTTCTTCAATACTCAAATTCTAACATTAACCATTCTCCCATTTACAAAGTTCATCAGGATTTGTAATTGATAAACAACCTGATTTTGATAATTTGTTGCTGCATCTTGTTGTATATTTATCATAAATAGTATGGCAAAATGTATCGAATATACATTCAGATGTTGTTCCATCCATATTACCAAATTACTTTATACAAAGTTTCTAACTCAAATTAGGATTGCATCCCATTAAATAATTATTTGATTTTTAACAATATTATCCTTTCCATTCACATTATTAATCTGATAAATTTATACATCCATTATATGTTGTTTATTGTACACATACATCAATACTACAAACAACAATTATCAATATCACTATTATTAATACTTTCATTATTTTTATTTCAAATTAAAATATACTATCAATACTCTAATATTCTTTAAATCATTATTAATTATAAATATTCAAAACAAAAAAACTATTAACATGTACATTTTAAATTTCAAAATTGTTGTTTAATTGATTTCTTATATTATTTTATTCTTTAGTATTAATAATTATGATTAATTATATATATATATATAATAAGTATTCTCTTTTCTTATAAATTACTATGATTATTTATTTTAATAACTAAATTTATACATAGATTGTAATATTTATTAATGAATATTTAAAGTTTTTAGAAACGGATTCATTTAAAAAATAAAATGAAAATTATTGTAATTTTAATAATAATAAAACTTGCATTTGCTGGTACTTAACTACCTAGTTTCTATCATACCACTGATGAAATTGAATTTGAAGTTAAGAATATACTCAAAAATTGTTAAATGAAGGCTACTTAAAAGAAATATGGCATAATCAATTCTATTACATTAAAACCAAAATTGGATTATGAAAATAAAAATAAGGCTTTTATTATTTTTGGTGAACATGCAAGAGAATTGATTAGTGTTGAAACTGGATTGCACTTTCTCAAATAAATATGTCATAATCCCTTAAATTTCAAATTGAAAATTATTATCAATATGAATCCAACTTCAAGAAGATATGTAGAAAGAGGACATTATTGTCTTAGGGAGAATCTAAATGGTGTTGATTTAAATAGAAATTATGGATTTTAATGGAAATTTAGAGAAAATCATTTTGTTTAAGATTCTTCTGGTCCAGAACCCTTCTCTGAGATTGAAACATAAACTGTAAGAGATATACTCTCTTCATTCAAACCTAGAACATTTATAACTGTGCATTCAGGTACTTTAGCTATCTTACATCCTTGGGCATTTAAAAAAGAGGATGTTGTTTTTTCTCATAATAATCTGAGAGGAGCAAAAAATGAATGTTTAGATTGTTTAATAGGAGGTGCTGCTACATAAATAGGATATACTGCTTCAGGCAATTCAATGGATTATGCATATGGAATGGCAAAGGTTAAGAGATCTTATACTCTTGAGATTTTTGAGTTTGAAAAGTAAAATTAAAGGAAGGAACCAGAAAGTAATTTTGCTGAATTCTTGCAACATAAAGAGAAAACAGAAATAAGTAACAAAGAATTATTTTGTTTTGATTATTTTAATCCAAGAAATGAAGATCAATATAATGAATTAGTTGATAAATGGTCTAATATAATTGTATAACTGATCTAATGATAAAGAATTATTTAAATTATGAAACATATATATTAATTATTAATAAATAAATAAAATATATAGTTAACATTTGTAATAATTACTTAAACACTTTTGTTAAATGTAATCTTATTTTTATTTTATAATATTTTGATACCAAACTCATTATAATATTTATAAAAATTTAGAATGAATAATAAATTATGTATGAATAAAAAATTACAATTAATCACAATTCATAATTACTCATTGATAAACTATCTTAAAGTTTTCTAAAAGAAATTAGGTCTAGATAATACAGTGATTCAACCTTCTATCAATTAGCAAAGTGGAAAATTAGAATAGATTGGAGATGAAATTTAGGTTTATTCACATTATGATTCTTCCAATTTATTTTTTATAACAATCGATCAAGATGGCATAAATATATTATTAAATAGTGATTCAAATACTAATGGATGCACATAATGGTTTAATTTTTAGATTTAATCATTAAAACCTGTTGTAACTATAAAATTTAAAATATTAAATAATAGAAGAAGTAAATAGTTGTTAACGTCCTGTAATTTATTCACTTCAAAAAATAAATGTTTCGATATTCACTATTATAAAACTAATGTTAATCATCCTTATTATGCAAATGAAGACATTAATATAGCTTAATATTAAAGATGCAAATCATTTTACACTTTGGAATTTAAATATACTTTCATTGATAAAGAATTCATTACATTTGCATATGCTGAACCTTATCCATTAAGTAGAGTTTTATAATTGAGAGATTATACAATAATTGGATATACTAATTTAAATAACCCAATAATTAGAATTAAGAAGGGAAAAGCTAAAAAATATGTAGTAATTTTAGCAAGATAACATCCATGTGAAACTAGTGGTTCATTTATAGCAGAAGAAATGATAAAAATAATAAATTCTTAGAAATATAGATACATAATTTATCCAATGGTAAATCCTGATGGTGTTTTTCTTGGAAATAGTAGATGTAATAAAAATGGTATTGATTTAAATAGAAAGTGGATTAATCCATCTTTATAAGAGGAACCAGAAATTTATTATATTAAATAATCATTAACAAAATATTAAACAAGAATAAAATTTATGATTGATTTGCATGGTCATTCTACTAAATAAAATTATTTTATTTATGGATGTTCAACTAATTAAAATAATAATATAAAAATGAAACATTTTGTTAAACAATTTTAAAATTCCAAACATTTTAGTTTAAAAGATTGTTCTTTTGCAGCATAAATTGATAGAAAATGTACTGCTAGATAAACATTTTGGCTTGAATATAATATTTAATATTCAATGACAATAGAAATCAGTTTATTTGGATCATAATAAGGATAACAAAAAGGAAAATTTAATAATATGGATTTTTAAGAGATTGCTGAATAAATATATAATTCAATTGAATAATTCAATGAAGATGATATAGATTTAATCTAAATGCCTATAATAGAATGTTTAAATGATAGTTGTGAATCAGAAAGTGAATGTGAATAAGATATTGTTAAGGATACTATTGTAAAAAAGAAATCTTAATAATGTAAATTGTTAGAATAATAAAATCAGAAACCATGTAATATAAAGTAGGATGAGGATATTAAATAAAAATAATAGATATTACCAAAATTAAGAATATCAAAGGTAATGAGTAAATCAGAACATAGAGGATCATCTATTTTTGAAATAGATAATTCATTTATTTTTAGATTAGAATAATTTAACAATAATTTTAATGTTATAAAGTATTTTCCATAAAGAAATATCTAACCAAAAAGAATGAGTTCTATTAAGAAATATTCAAATAATAATAATAATAATGCAACAATAAATGTAGATTAATTGAAAAAATATTTAATATTATGAACTAATATTTAATATTATGAAAATATTTGAACTAATATTTTAAATTAAATTGTTTATTTTAAACAATAGAATAAATAATAATAAGTATCATTTAGGCTTATGATAAATTAATTTAGATTTACGGCAATCCAAACAATACCATTTCTTTTCAGGTATGTAAAACTCTAAAAAACCAGGATCACAAAATGTATGACACATTTAATCATTACATTTATCACATACTAACATTAAATATTAAGAATGTGAACATCCACAAAGTTAACACTACTAATTTTCTTCTTGTTCTTCTTAAGAATTATAAAATTAATCTTATTCTGGTTACCATTTTGGATATTTTAGATTTAATTTGATTGGTGTCTTCTTTCTTTTACCATTTTCTAATGGATATATTCTTTTGAATTTAGCTCTGCAATAAGGACATTAAGTCTTATATTTCTCTGCCCATTCTTTTATACAGGTCAGACATATCTAATGTTTACAGACATCAATTTCACAGACATTTTATAGTTCATCTAAGTTCATCATACAGATAGGACATTCTTCTTGTAATTATTATTTCAATCTAATTTTCTTTGTTTCCTCCTTTTTTTAGTTAGTTTATTATTGTTTCAATTAAGGTAAGTTCTAATAATTAATAAGTGAAATACTTCTTTAAATGATAATAAGTCTTTGATGTCTGGAGAGTCTAAAATTAATTTTTTTGTTCTTAACTTTTTATTCTGTTCATAAAGTTTAATCCAACGAGGTTCAAATGCTTCCAAAATTCTTTGATATTGCATGTTGTTTTAATTTAGTTTTGAACTAAATTTTTATTTTTATACAATTATAAATGGCAAATGCATTAGCAAATGATGCTTTGTTATAATAACAAATTGATTAATAAGTAATTTAGAATCCAAATTTATCATTTGCTCAAAAGAAATCATTAAGGAAATCATTATTAAAAGCTAGTGTAGCAAATGCTCCAAAGAATAGCTCAATATAAACAATATTAAGTGTAAGTAATACAATGGTAGGATCATCATTATTAGTGATACCTGTATTATTTTAACAATCAGGCATTTTGAGTGCATTAATAGTTGCATTAGTATTTTGCTTAATATCTTGTAAAACGTGTTAATTATAAATGGTACACAATAAACCTGAAGAATTAGATTTACCATAAACTATAGTGAGAATACTTGGCTAGAAGTATAATTTAATTTTTAATATTACGAATATCATAATTTTATACTTTGCAGGTGTTGTATATTTTATTTTAATATGCAATATGTTATACTCATTACTTTAATTATTATGTCGTTAATTAGATATGAATTATGCTCCTAAAACTGATTTTGTCCTAGGTTAATTATCATATTAATGGTGTGGTATAGTGTATATGTGTTTATTATTCCTAATAATGTTATAAAAGAATCTTACTCTCATTATAAAGTTAGTTCAATATGGAGTTATATCAATTATAGCATTGATTATTTATATTATAACTAATGGCAGTATTAACATGCCAGAGATTGTGAATGCCAACTTATTCACTTTAGATGTAGTAACTTTATGTGGTGTATTCTCAGTTGCTTTCATGGTACATTCTTGTATAGTTCCAATAATGAAAAATAATTTAGAATAATAAAATAATTTAAGAGATATTGCATTTAGTTTTGGATGGACTTGGCTCATTTATGCTTTGGTAGGTGTATTTGGAGCCATTGCCATATAAGGAAAATAAATAAATAAATCAGGTGATGGATCTACTGTATTAGATTATTTAGATTAGAATATATTTTCATATGGAATTTAAGTTTTGTAATTACTTTAGTTAACAACTGTATTCCCATTATTAGCATTTATTACAAGATCACAATTTTTTGCATTAATATATAAATTGGAATAGCCTCCATAAAAATGGTTTGTGTTATATACATCAATAGTAGCTCTCACTACTCTACTATTTTAATGTCTTAATATTAGTGTATCTTTAATTCTCAGTTTATCAGGAGCTGTTATTGGATTTTTCTAAATTTATTTAATTCCAATATAATTACATATGACATGTCTCTATGCTAAAAAGAAAGTCAATGACAATAGAATTGGATTGATTAATGATACAAAAGAGTATATTGAAAATCCAGATGAATCTATATTTGATGAATAGGATTTCAAATGTATAGATCATTCAGCTCTTAAGAAAAGATTTAATAAGCAAACTAGATTCATATTCTATTATATTATAATGCTTATTGGGGCAATGATGGGATTTCTAAATATTATTGCTCCATTCTTCAAATGAGTATTAACATTTATTTAAAATTGTTCATTAGAATTACAATAATATTATTATTATTAAAATAATCAATCAGCATCTTCACAATCCTTTTCATTCATCTCTAATTCTCTGAGATCAAATTCTATAATATCTTCTTCCTCTTATTATTCCTTCTATTCTTTTGATACTTCTTTCTATGTATCCTTTTATTCAATTTTCACAGGCTTCTTCTTTTTCTTTTGTCCTTTAACCATAAACTTATTAGCCACAGTCTCATCAATTTCTTATTCTCCAAACAATAATTCAAAAACCTTTATAAATTAAATTATATACTTCTTAAGGTTTGAATTTATCACCTTGAAATCCACCAGAATAAACAGTTGATTAAACATTCTATTTTTATTATGCTCTTTTAACAATTCTTTCTTCTATTGTACCTTTAGTGATTAATCTATAAACATAAACATCTTTAGTTCTTCCAATTCTATGAGCTCTATCAGTTGCTTAAGCATCCATAGTTGGATTCCAATCATTATCATAAAATATAACAGCATCAGCTTATGTCAATGTAATTCCTAAACCACCTGCTCTTGTTGATAAAAGAAATGCAAAAATCTTATCATTTTATTAGAATTCATTAACCATCTAAATATAATATTATATAATACATCTCTTCTATCATTTATTTAACATTGTCCATCCATTCTAAAATAAGTATATCCTTTATGTAACATATATTCTTCTAATATATCCAACATTCTAGTCATTTAACAGAAAATTAAAACTCTCCATTATTTTTATTTNGGTTTGTGTTATATACATCAATAGTAGCTCTCACTACTCTACTATTTTAATGTCTTAATATTAGTGTATCTTTAATTCTCAGTTTATCAGGAGCTGTTATTGGATTTTTCTAAATTTATTTAATTCCAATATAATTACATATGACATGTCTCTATGCTAAAAAGAAAGTCAATGACAATAGAATTGGATTGATTAATGATACAAAAGAGTATATTGAAAATCCAGATGAATCTATATTTGATGAATAGGATTTCAAATGTATAGATCATTCAGCTCTTAAGAAAAGATTTAATAAGCAAACTAGATTCATATTCTATTATATTATAATGCTTATTGGGGCAATGATGGGATTTCTAAATATTATTGCTCCATTCTTCAAATGAGTATTAACATTTATTTAAAATTGTTCATTAGAATTACAATAATATTATTATTATTAAAATAATCAATCAGCATCTTCACAATCCTTTTCATTCATCTCTAATTCTCTGAGATCAAATTCTATAATATCTTCTTCCTCTTATTATTCCTTCTATTCTTTTGATACTTCTTTCTATGTATCCTTTTATTCAATTTTCACAGGCTTCTTCTTTTTCTTTTGTCCTTTAACCATAAACTTATTAGCCACAGTCTCATCAATTTCTTATTCTCCAAACAATAATTCAAAAACCTTTATAAATTAAATTATATACTTCTTAAGGTTTGAATTTATCACCTTGAAATCCACCAGAATAAACAGTTGATTAAACATTCTATTTTTATTATGCTCTTTTAACAATTCTTTCTTCTATTGTACCTTTAGTGATTAATCTATAAACATAAACATCTTTAGTTCTTCCAATTCTATGAGCTCTATCAGTTGCTTAAGCATCCATAGTTGGATTCCAATCATTATCATAAAATATAACAGCATCAGCTTATGTCAATGTAATTCCTAAACCACCTGCTCTTGTTGATAAAAGAAATGCAAAAATCTTATCATTTTATTAGAATTCATTAACCATCTAAATATAATATTATATAATACATCTCTTCTATCATTTATTTAACATTGTCCATCCATTCTAAAATAAGTATATCCTTTATGTAACATATATTCTTCTAATATATCCAACATTCTAGTCATTTAACAGAAAATTAAAACTCTCCATTATTTTTATTTNTTAAGAGATATTGCATTTAGTTTTGGATGGACTTGGCTCATTTATGCTTTGGTAGGTGTATTTGGAGCCATTGCCATATAAGGAAAATAAATAAATAAATCAGGTGATGGATCTACTGTATTAGATTATTTAGATTAGAATATATTTTCATATGGAATTTAAGTTTTGTAATTACTTTAGTTAACAACTGTATTCCCATTATTAGCATTTATTACAAGATCACAATTTTTTGCATTAATATATAAATTGGAATAGCCTCCATAAAAATGGTTTGTGTTATATACATCAATAGTAGCTCTCACTACTCTACTATTTTAATGTCTTAATATTAGTGTATCTTTAATTCTCAGTTTATCAGGAGCTGTTATTGGATTTTTCTAAATTTATTTAATTCCAATATAATTACATATGACATGTCTCTATGCTAAAAAGAAAGTCAATGACAATAGAATTGGATTGATTAATGATACAAAAGAGTATATTGAAAATCCAGATGAATCTATATTTGATGAATAGGATTTCAAATGTATAGATCATTCAGCTCTTAAGAAAAGATTTAATAAGCAAACTAGATTCATATTCTATTATATTATAATGCTTATTGGGGCAATGATGGGATTTCTAAATATTATTGCTCCATTCTTCAAATGAGTATTAACATTTATTTAAAATTGTTCATTAGAATTACAATAATATTATTATTATTAAAATAATCAATCAGCATCTTCACAATCCTTTTCATTCATCTCTAATTCTCTGAGATCAAATTCTATAATATCTTCTTCCTCTTATTATTCCTTCTATTCTTTTGATACTTCTTTCTATGTATCCTTTTATTCAATTTTCACAGGCTTCTTCTTTTTCTTTTGTCCTTTAACCATAAACTTATTAGCCACAGTCTCATCAATTTCTTATTCTCCAAACAATAATTCAAAAACCTTTATAAATTAAATTATATACTTCTTAAGGTTTGAATTTATCACCTTGAAATCCACCAGAATAAACAGTTGATTAAACATTCTATTTTTATTATGCTCTTTTAACAATTCTTTCTTCTATTGTACCTTTAGTGATTAATCTATAAACATAAACATCTTTAGTTCTTCCAATTCTATGAGCTCTATCAGTTGCTTAAGCATCCATAGTTGGATTCCAATCATTATCATAAAATATAACAGCATCAGCTTATGTCAATGTAATTCCTAAACCACCTGCTCTTGTTGATAAAAGAAATGCAAAAATCTTATCATTTTATTAGAATTCATTAACCATCTAAATATAATATTATATAATACATCTCTTCTATCATTTATTTAACATTGTCCATCCATTCTAAAATAAGTATATCCTTTATGTAACATATATTCTTCTAATATATCCAACATTCTAGTCATTTAACAGAAAATTAAAACTCTCCATTATTTTTATTTGAGTTCTTTCAATAATTTATCTAATTATAACAATTTAGATGAAGAAGCAATTAAAGATTCAGGACTATTAGGTAATATGAATGAAGCAGGGGATTCTTAGATAAATGAAAGTGCCTATCTATTGTATAAACTCTGTTTAATTTTATAATAAAATGATTGTGATCTGCATTCAAATGATATTATTGAACTTTATACTTGAGGAATATAAAATAGTAATTATTTTGTAAAGGAAAAATTCACTAATGTTGGTGAATCCTTCTTCTGACATAAGAGTTCAATTAAATCAAATACATTTTTCTCAAATAAATTGAAAGGCAAATGTTTCAATAGTAAATATGAAAATGTAGATTCTCCATTCTTTAATGATGTGTATATATAATGTGCTGTGAATAAACATTTCATATCTTCAATTAAATTATCATATACTAATTTAGGAATAATAAAAGTTATAGGATTTCTTTTGGTTACTTATACAATAGGATTTTTTTAATACACCTCAACATTCTATTTATCCTAAAATACATAAGGACTTTTATAAGGCTTTCTTTCAAACAATTCAGGATGATTACATATCTTACGAAACTACATAACCAAATTCATCAAATTATCAACCTTCTATTTTGAATCTAACATTCTAAAGAATTCCTTTATTGATAATTTAGATTTCACATTTCTATACAATACTGCCTATCGACTAGTCATTTCACAAACTATCTAGACTTCTCTCTTCTATCCAATCTCATTCTCAACATCCTTCTTTAATCTTCTTAACATAAATGGTTTCAAAATTGCATGCAATCTTTATAATTAATGTTAATTTAAAGTCTTTTAATCTTATGAGTGTGCTTCGATATCTTTTGAAAACCACTCTTAAAATTGATCAAAACTATCAAAGAATCTTGGCATAATGAAATGTAATAATGCCCATAATTCTCCCATTGTATTTTATATTGGTGTTCCTGTCAATAATAATCTATTTCTTGCATTAAAAGATAACAATATTTGCCATCTCTATGAATTAATATTCTTAATTGCTTAAGCTTCATCCAAAATCATATATTACCATCTTACTCGATTAAATATCTTATTATCTGATACTACTAAATTATATGATGTAACTACTATGTGAAAGAGAGATTCTCTTGAACCAAAGTTTTTTTATTAAAAATATTTTCTTATTGTTTTTCTTTATTATGCTTAACCCCAATATGGTAAGACTTTTAAAGTGGGACAAAATTTTTTAATTTCCTATTACCAATTATGTAAAGTTGAAGATGGAGCTATCACTAAAAAAGGACCCCATATTTATTTAAATGAACTTATATGTGATAATAATGCTATAGCTTAAATAGTCTTTCCCAATCCCATTTCATCTGCTAATATTCCATTAATACCTTAATCATATAAATTATCTAACCATCTAAGTCCTTTTAATTAATACTCTTTTAAATCTCCTTTAAATGTAGAAGGAGGTGCAATCAATGAGAAATCTCTATCTTAATCATTATGATCTAATTTTAATTCTTATATTTAAACATTTTCTTATTTTTTACCATCAAATTATTACAATTATTTTCTATTATCATTGATTACTTTCTAAACATTTTCAAGTGCTATTTCTTCATCAATCTCATCAATATTTAATGAAATATGATTATCTAAAGTTATTCCTAGTTTCTTAGCCATAAAATGTGCATAAATGTCTGATTACTTCATTAAAAATTCTAATCTTTTTTATTATAATAATTATTCTCTCTCTTCTTCTTCCTTTTTCTTTCTCTCTTATTCTAATTTCTCTTTTCTTTTCTTAATTTCAATCAATTCCTTATCTCTTTTTCTCCAATATGATTAAGCTTCTTTTGATAATTTCTTTGCTCTTAACATAAATTCTTTTTAATATTTTTAACATTTTTAATTTCTTCTTCTTGCCTCTTTGGCAGCAAAATAAGCTATTCTTTTAAAAAATTCTCTTAAATCCTATCTAAACTTGGCTTTGAATTTACTAATTTTAACTGCATTCCTAACAACTATAGTCCAACTTTTCTTCCAATCTCCAATTTCAATAGGATCTTCATATAATTCTTATTGTATAATAGTGTTAAAATAATCATTCTAAGTTGAAGCCTAGCAATCATTTTTAAGCTAATATTTATTATTTACTTTTACTTTTCTTTACTTTTTTATATTTGCTTTTCCCATTCTAGAATCTGAATACTAAATTTTGAATGCATCTTCAAAATTGTACCCAAGCTAAGGCAATTTATTTGATTGAAAAGCAGGTTCAAATTATTGCGATGACTAAATAAATGATTATTATTACTATTCCTATGTGTATTTACTATTCCAATATTGTTTCTTATTTGTGGCTGTATTTATCATACAAAAATTTTTCCACCATGTTTGGTTGATCTCTGAATACTTTGGAAAAGAACATTAGTAATTTATTTTATATTTTGCATTGATTATTTGCTGCATAGGCATATTTCTTCTCTTTCACTTCCTAAGTCTTCCTTTAAAAAACTAATTTTATTATAATGAGACAACTAACCTTGCTACCTCTTGTTTTCCAAATAGCAGAGTCGAGCATCTTCTAATGACAAGTCTTCCACTGGTGGACGTTTTAGATTAAAAACCAGATTAAATTCTGGTTCTTAGACTTTTCTGAATTGCGGATTGACTTATCGAGTACTCTCAATCTTAAGGATAAAATAAATAATACTTATGTAATCTAATGAAGAAGCTAATCGATATTATATTGTTTATCTTCCTCTTCTTCTGAACTCATATAAAAATTAAATAAAGATTTTTGTTTATTTAAGGGTTATTGGATGAGTTCATTAATTTTTATTTTAAAAAATGTATATATATATATTATCTTAATACATATAGTATAGAGTAGAAGGGAACCTTTAACATAATACCAGCAATCAGATAAATAATGAATCAGATAGATATCTTCAAAGAGAAGTGGAGAAAATGCATTAAATCCATCAAATAAGAATTTTTAAGATATAGAATTTATATAAATTCAAAGAAATTAAAAATTAAATATGATTCTTGTACAACAGAAAGTATTAATTAAAGAGTAAATGAATCTACAATTAGCTATTCTAATTTTAAATGTCTATTTGAAACTATTTAAAATGAGCATTAAACAAAGTATAATACTTATTAAGTAAATTATTGTAGATTGAGTCAAGTGAATAATCTTAAATGAAATTGAAATGGAATTGGAGGGAAAACAATTATTCTATGTAAAAAAAATGATTAAATTAAAAACGTATTATAAATATGCTAGTATATAATAGTATTATGAAAAACGGGTAATATGTGTAAATCGCTTGAGAATGGTTGAGTTGTTGATTAATAATTAAAAAAATGGCTAGATCATTAACAATATTGGCTATTGTGTTTGCAGTTGCCACAGCTAGAGTGACAAAGAGTGAAAGTCCAAAAGAAATTTTGGCTTAAGTTAATAAGGATTCCTTTGGTAATTCAATCCTTTCAGTTCTCCAACTTTAATTGGCCACAGGAGGACCAGTTGGTGAGATCTAAATCCTTTTGAACAACATTGCCTCATAATTGAATGGAGATTAAAAGAAAGCTGACAAAGTTCATGAAAGTGACACAGTTGCATTTGAGAAAATCATTGCCGACTTAGAATAAGAAATTGCTTATCATTAAGCCTAAATTGTTGCTCTTTCAAACTTAAGAGACTCAACAACTGAAGCATTGGGAGAAGCTGAAGCTGAAGTTAGAGTAGTAACATCAGATATTGCTAATAACGAAAAGAGCTTTGCTGATGAATAAGCTACAAGAAATTCATAACACGAAACATGGGTTAGAAAGGATGCTGAACATGTTGATTAAATGGATGCCATTGATGAAGCATCAAAAATCGTTCAACATTTATAAGCTGGTGTTGCATTTGCTCAATTAAAGAGTAGATTCGAAAAAGTCTAAACAAAATTGATGGAAAGCAAACATGCACTTTTCAAGGTATTATCTATTTAATATTAATAACTAGCCACTCATCAATGCCTTAACTTAATTAGCCTCCAAAGTTGATAACAAGAGTATCATCAAAATCTTAGAATTATTGGCTTAAATCAGATAATAATTGGTTGCTAGCAGAGCCTCACTCCTTGCCACTGAAGAAAGATAAGCTGCTAATTGGGAAGTTCAAAGCTCTCATTTATAAGAAGAACACAAGAGATTAGTAGAAAGAAAGGCTTTCTTAGAAAACTCTATTGTTTAATTCAAAGTGACAATCTAAGAGGCTGTTGAAGATTTGGAAGACTAAACTGTATTAACTTACAATAATCTTAGTTATTCCTTGAAGATGCTGAAGATTCATTAGCTATTTAAGAAAGATGGGCTGCTGAATAAGAATCATAATATGAAGCATAAACCTTCGAAAGAGAATAATAATTGGAAGTTGTTGAAAGATTATAAGAAGTCTTAACCTAAAAATTAAGTGCTGCTTCAGAATTCCTCCAAATCAGAGAAGAAGTATTTTGATTTATCAATAATAATAATAATAATAATCAAGATAAAAAATCTTCATTATCTGCTTCATCTACTTGATCCTTATCTTCATTCCTAATAAACTTTATGAAATGACTTGAACGATGAACTTCATGATAGAAATCTTTTGGATTTGATAAAATTAGTCCATATTTCATTTACTATACTAATCCTAATCCAATAAAGTTGTAATTCCACATATGATTATCAGGAACCTGAATAATATTAAATAATTATAGATACCATGAAAAATCCTCTGAATTTATCTGACAATAAGATCTAAACTTTTTCAAAGTGTTAAGTTGATGATGGATGAACTGCATTCAAATCTTTATTGTTTTTACCCCATTCAAATCCTTAATGAGTTCTTTAAATATAAGAATAATAATATACAATTTATAAGCAGTGATTGAACATGAACCAGGAGTGAATGAAACAGTTTGAACAATACATCTTTCTGCATCCCAACTCTAATTCTCTTATATCAATCTAGCATGTAATGTGATATCATAAGTTGACAAATGCATTGTTTCTAAAATAAATATAAGTATTTACCTGTAGATTAAGTATGCAACCATCCTAAAGGTTCTAAATTTCTTAGGTATTCTGAATCTGGCATTTAATGAGGCATTGTCACATTATCTCTTGAACCAATTTAAGGAATCATAACAATAGCTCTAATTTCTTTGACTTATTAGTTATCTGGAGGTGAGATACCATATAGATAGGCAGCTATTTAAGTTTTTAAATCTGCAATTGAAATGAATTTCTTAAGAATATTCTTAGGTAAAACATAAGTAAAACCTGTTTACTTAATATCATCTGAATTCACAAATATGTGATTTGTACGTAAGTAAAGAGATGTGGCAGCTATTGCTCTTACTCTCCAATCAGAATGACTAGTGAATGATTAATTTTCATAAGGTTTAGTAACTTAGACTGCTAATTCTTCTCCAAAGACATTTGATGTCTTGACTGTTGTTGCAGTTTATTAAGCTGCTTCCTTGGCTTACTTCTCAATATCTTAAATAGTTTCTTTTTATAAATTTGGAGCAGACATTTCCATACCCAATATAATATCTCTGATTTCCATTTGAGTTAAAGATTAAACATTTACATTATTCTTTTTAGCATAATCTTATAAAATTAAATTCTTAAGTTCAACTTCCATTTTGACCCACTCATCATCTGTCAAAGTTGGCCATATATGATTAGGTTAAGTAATTACATTCTTATTAGGTTTTAATATAATTCTAGCTTTTTCATGAGCTACATGTAATGCTCTCAAAATTAAGATTAATCTTGAGAATGCTGTGAATGATGAAACACTCTTTAACCAATCATCATATAAATTAAATAGAACCATGGATGGTTCAGTTGCTTTTAAGATTAAATCTCCAAACTTTTCAATTTTAAGTATAGCTTAGAATGGTAAAGAAAGTTCAGATCCTTTTATGACAATGTTAGGGAAATCTAATAGATGCACTTCTAATGGATCCAATAATCCTTTTCTTGTTACAATAATTTATCTAGGTTATTCTTCAACTGGTAAAGCTCTAATTAGAGCAGCAACTTCTTCAGCAGTTTTCCATTTAGCCAATTATCCAAGTCTTTTTTAACCTGCCCATACAGATGTATGAATAACTTTTAAAAACAATTATCCTGTTTTAGGATTAAAAATAATAATAGCACCATTAATAGGTTTAGTTGTTAAATTACCTTCAAATGTTTTGTGAATAGTAACCCTGTAAACATTTGTATCATCAACAAACCAGATGATTTAATTACTAAATAATTCAGCATAATTTTAAGTGTTTAGATATGGTTCAGTAGGTTCAGATGAATACAATTATAAACCCTTACGAATACGTTCTCTTAAAACATATAAAGCAGGGTTAGCCTTCATAATTTTATTCATTGCTTATAGAATAAGATTCTTAGAATTGGGGAACCAATTACCATATCCTGAATGTAAATTGTAAGCTAAATCTATAGCCACTAACATTCCTGTTGGAGATGGATAAATACTGATGTTATCAGTAGTATAATCTAAGAATTTGGCTCTGGCATATCTTTCGATATCATGAGAATCATAATCTCCCCATCTTAATTAAACATCAAGCCAATATTTAGATGTAGTAGTTCCATCATAAGTATCTTTAGTATCATGAATCAAAGAAGGTTTACTGATTGGCCATTTGAAAGCAGCAAATAATAATATATCAGCACAAGATGAATTCATTTTATAAGATTTTCTTGGATGAATGGTTTCTTTTTAAACTGTTTCTATTTCTAATGTTTCCATTTCCATATCAAATACTTAACATAAATCCATCACTACACTTTCATGTATCTTTTACCATAAATGTGCTCTGAATATTTGAATTAATGAGATTTTTAAGGTTGGTATCTTACCATGCATAAATATACCTGTTAAATCCAATTAGACTTAAAATCCTATATATACATTAGCCCTATTAACAGTAGGTGACCACCATAGAGTGAATCTTCTATTTGGAATCTAATTCAAACCTGAACGTTAAGCATGTGTCAATTTCTTAAATCTCATACTCTCTTCAAATCCACTTGCCTTTTCCCAAAACAAACCTTCCCAAGTTGGAAAATAGGTTCCCTTGAATAATGTGTGTTCCAATATACCTTCTACTCCTCCTAAAGCTTAGATCATATCAGTTCTATAATTATTGAGATTCCATAATTTGCCATCATGTCTTTAATGAGTCCACCAAAATGGATTCTATTTCAACATTTAAAATTGTTTGAAATCTTATCTAACTCTCCATCCCTTATCATATGCTAATGTTAATCTATCCTTTTAGAATAATGTATTAATTCTTGGTATACCATGATCCCAACTATCTTCCAAATCATCCAATGTTAATCTTCTATTTTATACTTATGCTTCTTATCGTTTTAAAGCATATTCAGCCCAAACTCTTTAACTATCTATAAATTCACTCTCCCAAGTTTAGATATATCTATATAGNACATTTGTATCATCAACAAACCAGATGATTTAATTACTAAATAATTCAGCATAATTTTAAGTGTTTAGATATGGTTCAGTAGGTTCAGATGAATACAATTATAAACCCTTACGAATACGTTCTCTTAAAACATATAAAGCAGGGTTAGCCTTCATAATTTTATTCATTGCTTATAGAATAAGATTCTTAGAATTGGGGAACCAATTACCATATCCTGAATGTAAATTGTAAGCTAAATCTATAGCCACTAACATTCCTGTTGGAGATGGATAAATACTGATATTATCAGTAGTATAATCTAAGAATTTGGCTCTTGCATATCTTTCAATATCATGAGAATCATAATCTCCCCATCTTAATTGAACATCAAGCCAATATTTAGATGTAGTAGTTCCATCATAAGTATCTTTAGTATCATGAATCAAAGAAGGTTTACTAATAGGCCATTTGAAAGCAGCAAATAATAATATATCAGCACAAGATGAATTCATTTTATAAGATTTTCTTGGATGAATTGTTTCTTTTTAAACTGTTTCTATTTCTAATGTTTCCATTTCCATATCAAATACTTAACATAAATCCATTACTACACTTTCATGTATCTTTTACCATAAATGTGCTCTGAATATTTGAATTAATGAGATTTTTAATGTAGGTATCTTACCATGCATAAATATACCTGTTAAATCCAATTAGACTTAAAATCCTATATATACATTAGCCCTATTAACAGTAGGTGACCACCATAGAGTGAATCTTCTATTTGGAATCTAATTCAAACCTGAACGTTAAGCATGTGTCAATTTCTTAAATCTCATACTCTCTTCAAATCCACTTGCCTTTTCCCAAAACAAACCTTCCCAAGTTGGAAAATAGGTTCCCTTGAATAATGTGTGTTCCAATATACCTTCTACTCCTCCTAAAGCTTAGATCATATCAGTTCTATAATTATTGAGATTCCATAATTTGCCATCATGTCTTTAATGAGTCCACCAAAATGGATTCTATTTCAACATTTAAAATTGTTTGAAATCTTATCTAACTCTCCATCCCTTATCATATGCTAATGTTAATCTATCCTTTTAGAATAATGTATTAATTCTTGGTATACCATGATCCCAACTATCTTCCAAATCATCCAATGTTAATCTTCTATTTTATACTTATGCTTCTTATCGTTTTAAAGCATATTCAGCCCAAACTCTTTAACTATCTATAAATTCACTCTCCCAAGTTTAGATATATCTATATAGATTAGGAATTAATTAATCTTCATCATGACTCATACCAGCTCTGTAATGAGTAATACCTGTATCAGTTTATTTTGAAAATCTCAAATCTGATTATGGTATCAAGATATGTCCCATTGATAACATACCTAAACCACCTAATTCTTTTGGAGTATAAAATACAACAGGTGGAAAACGTGATGGCATCTTAGAATTCAAACCTATCTTAATTCTAGTTTATATCTTATTTTCACATTTTACTAAGAGATCTAATAATTATTCTGTATGAACTGCTGATTCTCTATAATATGTCATTAATCCTATTAATGTTGTATTCCATTTATTGGCTATTTTGGTAAATGTTGTACTACCACTTGCCATCAATATTTATCTAATTCTATTTTCATATTTCTTCATACTTTCTTCATCTACTCTTAAAAATGCAACAGCAGTTATTTCTTTACTTGATTCATTCTATAATTTCCAAACACCATCTTTTTCTGAGAATTCTTCTTATGTTCCTCTAATCTTAGGTAAGATTCTCACCTCAAATCCACACATATTAAATAAGAAATTAGGATTATCCTTTGAATATACAGAAACAAAAGAATGTTCCCAAGATAATGTAGTCAAACATCTTGGTAATCTATTTTTAATATCCCAAAAGACAGCTCTTCCTAAATTTACATCATGTTTCATTAATCTCATTCTACAATCTTTTGGCCAACATTTCTTATTATTATATCCAACAATATTTTCATTATTAGGATCTGGATTCTCTGTTAAATATCTTTAAATTAATTCTCTTGCTTCCTCTGATGTAAATCTGAATACCATAAATATTTTATCGATATATCTACAATATAATCTAATTGGATGTCTAATTTCTTATTGAATATTAGAATAAGTCATGAATTCATGAGGATTATTATATGGACCAGCCAAATCTTATGCTCTATTTAAACCCAAAATCAACAAATCCAATACCATACCATAAAATTGCATAATAAAACTAGTAAACTAGATACCATGTAATACACCATGAACATTAGTATGATTCATATCTTTATAAGTAATTACGACATTATTTTTAGCTGTCATATAATCTGCTATATTATGATCAACAATCAATCTCAACAATCTATTTAATAATGTTTAATCAATCTTTTCATAAACCTTTTCAAATTTACTTTCCAACAATACTACACATTAACCATCAGAAACATCCCAAATTCCATGTAAATTATTAATACCTTAACACCATTTATATACTAATAAAGGAGGTGGTTCACTATCACTTGGTTTAATCCAATTAGGAAATAGTCTTCGTTTATCAGCTTCATAAAACAAATATTAATCTAGATAAGCATCTGTAATCTTTTCTAAAGGTTCTACATCATAAACAGGAACTAAATGAGAATAAAGATCCATAAATTCTAGTCTCACTTCTTTGAATACTCTTTAAGTTAATAGATGTCTCTTTACTCTGCTCAATGCTTCATGTGGATTATCATAAGCTTATTCTATCAATGCTAATTCTTCCCTTTAACTTTGATTTAATCTACTTTTAACTGAATAAGCTTCCTTTAATCTCTCTAAAGCCAATAAGAATAATTTAGTATCATGTTTATAATTTACAGGAGGATAGGGAATATGAATGAATTTTCTACTTTCTAACCATCTGACTAAGGCTGTATATATGGCAACTGCATCTTCAGTTGTTAAATATGGACCATCTTTCATNAGATTCTCACCTCAAATCCACACATATTAAATAAGAAATTAGGATTATCCTTTGAATATACAGAAACAAAAGAATGTTCCCAAGATAATGTAGTCAAACATCTTGGTAATCTATTTTTAATATCCCAAAAGACAGCTCTTCCTAAATTTACATCATGTTTCATTAATCTCATTCTACAATCTTTTGGCCAACATTTCTTATTATTATATCCAACAATATTTTCATTATTAGGATCTGGATTCTCTGTTAAATATCTTTAAATTAATTCTCTTGCTTCCTCTGATGTAAATCTGAATACCATAAATATTTTATCGATATATCTACAATATAATCTAATTGGATGTCTAATTTCTTATTGAATATTAGAATAAGTCATGAATTCATGAGGATTATTATATGGACCAGCCAAATCTTATGCTCTATTTAAACCCAAAATCAACAAATCCAATACCATACCATAAAATTGCATAATAAAACTAGTAAACTAGATACCATGTAATACACCATGAACATTAGTATGATTCATATCTTTATAAGTAATTACGACATTATTTTTAGCTGTCATATAATCTGCTATATTATGATCAACAATCAATCTCAACAATCTATTTAATAATGTTTAATCAATCTTTTCATAAACCTTTTCAAATTTACTTTCCAACAATACTACACATTAACCATCAGAAACATCCCAAATTCCATGTAAATTATTAATACCTTAACACCATTTATATACTAATAAAGGAGGTGGTTCACTATCACTTGGTTTAATCCAATTAGGAAAGAGTCTTCGTTTATCAGCTTCATAAAACAAATATTAATCTAGATAAGCATCTGTAATCTTTTCTAAAGGTTCTACATCATAAACAGGAACTAAATGAGAATAAAGATCCATAAATTCTAGTCTCACTTCTTTGAATACTCTTTAAGTTAATAGATGTCTCTTTACTCTGCTCAATGCTTCATGTGGATTATCATAAGCTTATTCTATCAATGCTAATTCTTCCCTTTAACTTTGATTTAATCTACTTTTAACTGAATAAGCTTCCTTTAATCTCTCTAAAGCCAATAAGAATAATTTAGTATCATGTTTATAATTTACAGGAGGATAGGGAATATGAATGAATTTTCTACTTTCTAACCATCTGACTAAGGCTGTATATATGGCAACTGCATCTTCAGTTGTTAAATATGGACCATCTTTCATAAAGTTATGTTATCTTTCTTATTCTTATTTCAAAAATAAACGTGTTAATCTTCCTAAATTCTTTTTACATACAGTTTTATCAACTGTGGCTCCTCTTCTTATACGTTCTCTATTATAATATGCTGAATTTGTATAATAATCTGCCTTATATTTCACATATCTCAAAATAATGTTTTCTATTGGAGCAGGTAAACCTGGAACTTTCCATGGAATATTAGCTTTCCAACATCTCCATGCTTCACTCAAATGTTATAAAATTGTCTTTGCTTTATTAGCTCTTACTCCTTCAGGCATCATATCAATTATATCAGACATCACAGCTGCTCTTAATTCCAAATCAAATTGAGATTCTACTCTCTATTTTGTTACAGTCTTAGATATTCCCTTAGAATGTCTTCCTTCGAATGTACGAGCCAATAAATTTCCTAACCATCTCTCTAATAATGGAATAATTCCTCTTAAAAAGAATAACCATACTCTCCACATAGGTGTCCAAAATCCTACCCCAGGTCCCTTACCAACTGGACCAGTATTGAAACGATAATAAATAACATGTTTCAAATCCTTACACATTCTAATTTATCTCATCAATCTGTATTTGTAACGATACATACCTGTCACTAAACCAACATGAGAGAATACATATTATAATCCATCAGCCAATTAAAATGCATCAATATTACCTAATCTATATTATACATGACTATCACATGCCAACTTCATTAATCTTAAAATCTCTCTGCACAAATGAAATGCATTACCAAATCTTGACTTCTTTCTTTCTTTTGTTGTTAATGTTTTTACTGGTTTCAATTAAAAATTGTAATCTAAATGCAAATAATTTAAATTTTTTCTATGAATCAATAAATTTAACATATTATAACCTTAACGAGCTATTTATAAACCACATTCAACCCAATCAATTTCTGTTAATTAAAAGAACTTTGTTGCTTAAAATGCTTTCAATAAATTTCTTTTATTTTAACACTTTGGTTTTCTTTTGTGAAGACTATTCAAAACCCAACATTTCAATAATTTTTAATATGAAACTCTAACCTTTACAGGATATTATGGATTGCATCTTTCTTTAAACCAAGGTGCCACTAAAGGAATATCAAAGGCTCTTCTAGTCTTACCAGTTCTTTGATTAAATGGAGTTGGAGCCCATAATAGAGCAATAGATGCAGTTGTTTATTCATCAGATAATTCTGTTTCATTTAATAATGGTACAAATCCATCTCCAATTTCAATATCCAATTCATTATCATCTATCTGAACATCTATCTTTCTACTCTATGTTCTATAGGCAGATATTGGATTTATCACAGGGTCAAAATTATATGTTGGTATTTCAGGATTATCTTATTTAATAAATACATTAGCTGGATAATGATATGGAGCAATAGCTACACTTCTTGGTCTTGAATTATATAAAAATGGAAATGCTATTTTATATTCACTTCTAATTTATTATCTAATAATAATCTTATTGATGTCATTAAATTCATTCCAATCTTCATCCTCTTCAAATATATCTCTATAAAGAGGCTCAAATTTAGGTCCTCCAGGAATAGCCATATTCAATGCTTTTGCTGTGTAAAGGGATTGTAATTAAAATAAATAGAAGTAATTCTAATCAACTATATCTGACAATAATTGATTTGCCAATCTAAATAAATTTTGTTAAACTTCCAATGTTAATTACCAAGAACGATAACTTGGTCCATTCAATAACTTTGTATATCTTAATGGTTAATGATCATAAAACCAATCAAAAACAGCATTATCTTCTCTTTCATCTAATTCCATTTGAATAGGTTCCAAAGGTTCAACATCTAGGATATTATCTCCATAATCTAATGGGATTTCTTCATCATCAAATGGAGGAAATCTCATTCTTTTGAAATTTCTTCTATCTCTTTTTTCTCTTCTCATCATTACCCACATTGTACCCCATTAAGCTGTATATACAGGTTCAATCACTTTTGGTATCTCATAACAAAATGTGATGCATCCTGTAATGTGATAAAGAACCTTTACAGTTCTTACTTATTCCCAGGGCATAGGCATATTCTCCAATAATTTATAAATAGCATGTGGCATATATTTTAAAGCACCCAAATATACTCTTTTATCTTGTCTATATTTCTTAGATTCTAAATTTCCATGATCTTTAAAAATTTTCCTATATTCATAAATAAAATCTTCTACCTTAAAATTTCAGGAGGTTAAGGCTCTTTCTATCCTTCAACAAACCCAAACTTTCTTTTTTCTGCATACTTCTTTTTTTGAACTTATTACCACTTTTTGAGCTTGTCTTCAATAGTATCACTCTATCGAATCAGATTCATATCTATTTATTTAAAAAATTAATATTAAATGACCACATTAATTAATTCCTTGTAATATTATAAGAAGCAGAATGATCAAGTGAGCATTATCAATTATAAAGAAAGGGAGGGAATTAAATATTTAATTTTGAGCATACATTATTTTATTTTAAAATCTGATAAATAATTTATTCATTAATAATAATTATTATGTAAAATTAATAATAATTAAATAAATTATTTATCATAAGCTCTCTTAAGAGTTGTATATATTACTTTATCTATTATTATTGTTTTTTGAATTAATTTATATACTCAGATATACAAAAAATGGATTTTGAAATTATTTTTCTTTTATGTTTATATGTTAATTATATAAATTTCAAATTAATTAATAAAGTTTCTTATAAACATAAATTAAACAAGTCAACTTTTTCTATTTAATATCTTATCAGTAAGAGTAATTAAAATTTTTTGATAAATAATAATAAATTGTAATTTTTATATGTGTTTTTTTTATTAATAGTTTCTTAATCAGTCTTTTGATTATATAAGGATATTGAAACCTAAGATAAATTTAAAAGAAAAATAATAGTTTTCTCATGAGTTTTTATATTTATCGAGCTCCAGAAGCATAAAAAGTTTAATCATTCCCCATTACATTGTTTGATGGGACTGGATCGATGCATAAAGAGTATCCTCGTGCTATCAATGCATATAAAATAGTATTCAATGAATTGGGCAAGAAAAAATTAGAATACTAATGGGCGAAGGATCTATATCCTTTAGAGCCTTTCAAATAGGCTGGGTCTGGAAATATTACAAATACATTAACAAACATGTTTCAAATGTTACTTAGTGAGAAGGCAAAAATCCCAAAAAATATAACATTAGTTTTTATTAGTGATGGAAAGGAAGAATTTGAATTGGATAAACTATTAGTCTTCATAGAGAGAATGAGACAGAAATATTTAATATAATTTATTAGTGTGGCAGTAGGAGACTAATTTCCAAATTCAATAAGTAATACTTTAAGAAGTATGATACACAATCATGATCCAACTTGTCCGCCACTATTCTAAATCACAAGATCAAACACCAAAAGCTTTTAATAAATACAAACTGAATTTGAACATATATTTTGGGAAATTCGAAAACGACTACTTGTGAGTGGAGAGATGATATTAATAAATCTTCCTGTCTTCTATACTATAACATCCAAAAAACCAGTAAACAGTGTTATTGCTAACAGTCTCTTCTTGGTGGAAAAAGGTTAAAGTGTTGTTATGTAGAACCATTAACTTCAACCAACTCATAATGCTTAAGATATTTATTAGATGATTGTAAACTCTGTTCAATAAGCCTTTATTAGTTAAGCATAAGTGAAATTTCAAGATGCTCAACATGAATTTGGTTAAATTTAGCTTATAAGTTAAGATTTGTTAAAACAAATAGATAAAACTTAATAACATGATTTGACAGAAGAATAAAAAAATGAAGAAATCAAAGTACATGCAACGCTTAATGTTGCTAAATAAATAGCATAAGGACAATTAGACCTTACAAATGCTAAAGAATCAGATTTAACATCTTTGTAAGATTATTTAGTTAATAATGTACATAAATTTACTGAGTTAGCCTCTAAACTTAAATCTACTACTGCTAAAATAGTTAAAGGGATTAAAGGTGTTAAGGGATTTGCATAAGTAGTCTCAAATGCATAACATATAAATGATATTAAGAAGTCTCATGGATAGGATTAATCTGAAGATGGAGCAAAAACTGAAGACAAAGACAGTAATTAATTAACCGAATAAGATTAAGAATCAGAATAAGAAAAAATGAGTTCTGCTTAAGAAATATAATCTGCTTAGGAAATACAATCTGCTTAAATTATAAATTCAAATTAAGATGTTTTAAATTAGAATGATTCATCAAAAAATGACTTTGAAACATCACCTTAAATATTAGAATAAAATTAAGAAATTGAAGAACCTAAAGATATAGATGAAAATTAACTTTAAGATAATAAAAATGAATAGATAGAAAATCATTAAGATCAAACACTTGATAATCCTAAATAAGAGTAGGTTGAAGAACTTTAAAATTAAGAGAGTGAAGATGTTTAAATCTAATAAGTATAATAAAATGATACACCTAAAATTGAACAAGTGTAAGATTAAAATAATCTAATTTAATAAGAGAATTAATTGAGTAATCAAATAGAAGATTAATTAAAGCCCAAAAACAATGAATTTCAATAACCAATTGAAGAATAATAAAATGATAAATAGAATGAAGATTAAACATAACATATAAATTTAGAATAAATGACAAATATTCTAGCAGATATAACAAAAGAAACCCAAGAATAAAATAACACAGACTAAGTTGAAAATACTCAATAATAATAAGAAGAATAATTAAAAGAGAATTTATTAAATTAAAACGATGATTAAGTAGATTAATTGTGTTCAGCAAATTAATAAGAAGAAAAGGAGATTACTGAAAATTTAGAACAGGAAAATTAATAAGATTAAGTCACTTCTAATTAGAAAGAAGATGTATAGGAAATTTAGGAGGTTGAAAATGTTCCTTTATAATAAGAATCTAAAATTGAGGAATTACAAGAAACCATTTAGGCTGATAATAATGAATAAGTTCAAGATTAAATAGAATAAAAGCCTGAATTACAAGATTCTGATGAGCCAGAGATAATCTAGTAGGTTGAAAATAAGGAGGATGATTTTAATAAACAATCAGAATAAATTCATCAAATAAATTCATATCCTGTGATTGAGGATGATGAATCTATTTAAAAGATGCCAATAGATAATGAAGAATTAGTTTTGTTTAAATAACCCAAAATAGATGAATCACTTAGTTAGTCCTAACATATTACTTTAGATGAACCAGTTGAATTTGAGAAAATAGAATAAACTGTTGAAAATTAAATATAAGAAGAAATATAATAAACTGAAGATAATGAATAGATTTAAAATTAAAAAGAAGTAGTCTAATAAATCGAATAATAAAAATAATAAGAAGATTAATAATAAGAAGATTAATAATAAGAACAATAATAATAATAATAAGATCAATAAGTATAATAATAAGAATAATTATAAGATCAATAGGAATAACCAGAACAATAAGTATAATAATAAGAATAATAATAAGAAGAATAATAAGAATAATAATAATTATTATTATTATAATAAGAATAGTAAAAGGAAAAAGAAAAAGAATAAATATAAAAATTAGAACAATTATAATAAAATCAATAAGAAGAATAATTATAATAACAATAATAATAAGAATAATAATAAGATTCATAAGAATAATAAGAACTATAATAAAAATAAGAAAAATAATAATAGTAATAATAATAATAATAATAATAATAATAAATAGAATAAGATCCTGTATCTTTAAAAGGAAAGGAATAAAATATTGAAGATTTAACATAAATGGAATAAAATAATAATTAAAATAATGGCAATATTGTTGAAGAGAGCAAATCTTTCTAAATGGAAGAATAAGAGTAATCAAAAAGTTAAGATAATGAAAACCTAAGATTGTAAGAAATTAATGAAGAAATAATTAAATAAATTGAAGGGGATTCATTATAAATACCAAAAAATAATGAATAAGATAAATTTCCTTAAGCAGAAGTTGGAATTGACAATGCTGATTTAGAATTAAGAGGATAGAATATTGAAAATTAAGAGAATGTACCTGAAGTTCAATAGTAATAGCTTGAAGATTTAACTTAATAAAGTAAGACTAGCAAGAAGAACTATTTATGGTGGCTTCTTTTAGCTCTAGTAGTTGGATACACAGCAAGAAGATTTAGGAAAAAATGAGTTGATTTTATTTCTAATATCAATAAATGAACAATTATCATAATCTTGGTAATCCAAGATCATAGGCATTACCTGGAGCCATTTATCTACTAAAACAAGCCTTGATAGCATCTCTATACATTTCTTCTTTAATTTTTGTAAAGTTTTCTTTATCTTATCCATATTTTGACACAGCCAAGGCTTTTTAGATAGAAGCTTCAACAATTTTATCTTCTGTAGCTAATCCATCCACCATTTAATATTGTAAACCTTCAGTTCCAAGATCATATCTTCTTGCTAATAAGCATAAATCTCTATGGACATTAGGTGTTAGTTTACATTGACAGACTGCATTCATTCCTGGAGGTAGATACATACCTAAAAAATACTGATTCAATTAAAACCAATTTCTATTTCTGGTAATGAACAATGTGCTTTTTTAGGCTCTGCTCTTGCTATCCTCCAATCATGAGCAAACATGAACATGCATCCCCCAGCAACTGCATGACCATTTACTAAAGCTAATGTTGGAACTGGATATCTTAATAATCTCCCCAATAACCTTATAAATTCAAGAACAAAATTATTTCTATCGAATATATTCATATTCTATATTATATATAGGTGTTTACCCCTGTAACATTTAAATCTAATCCACCACTAAATACAGTAGGATGAAATGATGTTGTAATCAAGGCTGTATGCCCTTCATGCTATTCTACTATATTCAAAGCTTCGTGAATTTCTCTTACAAACTTGTGTGTGAAGGTATTGGCTTTTTGATTTAAAATCATGAAGAAGATTTGTTCATATTAAGGATGTTGTTTGACAATAACAGACTTTTTGAGATCATCTTCGGTTAATTTTAGAAGGTCAATTAATTATGTTTTTATCATAATGTAATATATATTAATTGTTTTATTCATCATCATTATTAATTTTATTGGTTTTAGTATTAAACTATAAAAATAATTGAATTTTTCTTTTCTGTAAATGGTGTTCTATTCTCTCAAAACTTATAATCTATTTATAAAATCATCATTTGCGCAAGAACAAATATTCCATCTAGATATTTTAGAATGAATTACTTTTAAATTATTGATGTTTCTGTTAAATTTTAAGATATTAATTTGATATAGATGGTTAATTCATTATTGAGAATATTGCAAGTAATAAAACAAACAAAATCTTAAAAGCAAATACAAAAGAGTATTTATAAAAGTAATCCAAAAAAAAATAAAATTAATTAGTTTTTAATTAAAACTAAAACTCTCATATTCTCAATTATTGAATGACAGTTAATTTGTTTCCATTTTTAAATCATATGAGAGACAGATACATATAGAAATTGTATTTTGCCTCCCATATCAGAATATTTATATTAGAATAGGTATTCAAAAATTGAACCAAGTGTTTCTATTAATTAATACTATATATATTAATGAATATAATAGTATAAATGTGAAAGTTTATTTATTGTATCTGATAATAATATTATTAAAGTAAATTTAATATTTTAGTCAATTGAAATAGTTTGTTATAATTGAATTAAAAGAAGCTTTAAGAATTTACATTGGTCTGGGTAATTTTATTAATCAAAAATATTGTATCATCAAAATGGAACAACAAATAAAGCAGATATATTCAGAAAATTACTATTTTACTAAATCCTGTTCCATTTTAAATAAATTAGAATATTAGTAGGCATATAAAATGAAAATTATTTTGAATTATTTGTAATTTAAATTGATTTTGTGTATTCATAAGGGATTGGATTACTCAAATGAAATATAGTATGGTATTTAGTATGATGAATGTATGAACATTAATAAATATATGACCATAATTAAATAATATATATATTAAAATAAAAATGTATTAAATCTTCAGAACAATAAAGATGATGAGACAAATAATTAGACCTATAAGATTATGTGCACCTATTGTGGCTACCAATAACTACTTAAATATATACAATCTGAATCAATTTTATATGTCTTTACTAATTGACACCAATGATGAAGATGAAGAACTAATGTATGTAAAAAAAGAACCAAATATTCATAGGTCAATTAAGAAAGAGAAATGTGTCGTCCAAAATTGATCATTTGAATTATTAATATATAATTTATGCAACATCTCTTACATCTTAATCCGAATCGTTAACAGGAATTAAATCTAATTACTTGCATTTTTTATTATTGTACAAGACTTCTAATAATGCTAATTTTACATTTGGAACTTCATTTTTTAATTACCTCAATACATTATATGTATGTTCTCCTAAAAAGAATGCATTCCCCAATCCTAAGACAAAGTTAACTCTAACCAAATAATTTGGATGTTTTAATAATTCATTTAATTAATCTATTACTCTCTTTCCTTTTTCAATCATATCATTTTCTTTTAATTATCTAAATAGTTGTAATAGGGTCTATATTATAATAATAATAATGATACTTTGCTTGCTTCCTCTCGAACTGCAGAAATTCTATCTTATAATAGTCTTTTAATTAATTAAACTTCTAAATCCTCAGATTGGAAAGTCTTAAATAATTAAAATTATTATAAATTTATTAGGAACTATAATATAATAATAATACAATAAATACCATTTACAATGACATCAAACATTATTATCTCATTCTCCAATTCTTACATTATTCAATATTGATTATAACTTAAAGTAAATTCTTAATTATTTATAATGATTCATTTTAAGAAAAAGCATTGTCTGAAATAAATTACAATATAATATTAAAGGATTTCTATTTAGATACAAATTTAAATTTAAGATCTGTATCACCACTAATTAATTAATTCATTAGAAATCTTAAGAAATATTAAATTTCTTCTTATTAATAATATATTCTTCTATCTGTTGCTTAATTCAATATCAAAATAACTGACTCTACTAAATTCTATTTTATCATAAAATTCTTTTCTTATTCTAATTATGTCATATATTACTAAATTTAAACAAGATACTTAATATTAATAATTATAAATTACTCCTTTATAAATAGTTTTTGATTCTTTAATAAATACTACAAGTTTTCCACAATATGTTGATAACTTTTATTTCAATTCCAATTCAGTTTTAGAAAATAATTTAATAAAATTTTCAATAAATATTTTACTATCAACAGTATTTTATAATACTTATAGAGATTCAATACAGATTTCTAAAAAGCAATTATAAGCATTAATATTTTCCATTTTAAATAATTTATTTAAATAATCTTGATAACCTTGAAATTTAATTAAAGCAGGTACACTATAAAATAAATTAGATTTAAAATCCTTTCCATTTGTAAAAACATTATCAGCTAATTCAATACAAAATTTATGCTCTTCTGGATTACTTGCCCATTATGCAAATTCTTTTATACTTAGAACTACTCTTTTTCTAACATTTTATTCATTACTCTACATAAGATTAGTAAAATATTCCATCCATTCTTCTAATACTTATTAAGAAACAAGATTATAGAGATTAGCAATTAATGTAACTGCTGCACATTATTCATCTATATCACCATCCTTAGCTTCTATTATTCTCTATGTAACACATTCTTCAAATAAATGTTATTATTTCAATAATCTCTTTCCAATATCCCTCATGATTTTTATGTACATTGTTTTAGTTTCATCTTTTGTTCTATCTCCTATAGTTTCAAGTAATGGTTTCAATAAAACTAAACTGTTCTCTGGACCTCCAATTAGATTTATTAATTTTGGCATAGATTCTAGTAATGTAAGCATTACTTATAATTCTTCTGGAACATCCTCAACTAAAATATTAACTTAATTTATAAACCAGCCTTTTCTTGATCTTTAAGTAAATTTGAAATAAATCCGCCCAATAAACCTTTTGCTCTGGCAGGACCTAAGACTAAGGCAATAGTTGAGAGGTTCTGCAAACAGTAAGTTCTTGTACTTGAATGATCACTTTTCATCTCTTCCAATAAGATTGAAATAGGAAGTAATGTTTTCATATCTGTATTTTCATCATCTAAACTAGATAAGGACACTAATTACCCATATCTTAGAAAGCATTTTGTAAGAGTTAATGAATTCCTAATTCTTATGTGTATTTAGATCTATTTGTATCAATGGAAGAGAGAGATTTGCCTTTTTAAGTTGATGAATTTGATGATTGATCTGTACTCATATAATTAATATTATGTAATTCTCAAAAATATTAAAGCATTGTTTCAGCTTTGAAACTAGAAGTATCATCATATATTACATTAGAAATAAATTGTGAAAAACCTGTGATTTTAAAAGCATTCACTGTTTGGAATGAAAATCTAATGTTTTCAATGACACCTATTAAAGCTACTTATGTAGAGAAAAATAATTATTTTGCAATTTAAAAACCTGGTTGGATACTTTTTGAATTAGTACCAGTAATTCGTTAAAAGGAAGGTAATCATCACTTAGAATGGGATAAAAAGAAACATTATAGTTTAGGTGTTAAATAGATTGGATAATTATTGGTCACAAAAAATAAAGCATATGATGAAGCTTCCAATTTCCTTATTAGTATTCCTTAAATTATTACAAATAAGCATATCAAGCATAAGCAAATGAAAAGAAAATTTTAAAGATAAATAAAATTGCATAGGAGATTTATCTATCAATTTCATAAGAGGAAGAATAAGAAAAATAATTCAATCCATTTAAGATTACTCTAACTTAAGCAGAATATATAACAGCATTTGAATTAATTAATGTAATATATATAATTTTTTAATTTTAGTTTTCATTACCTTTTTTATTAGGATGGGATGCATTATATACTCCATAATATTCGGATAATGATGCTTAAGATTGAATAATTTATATAAATATATTAACATTTCAAATGTTTTATTCCAATATAACAGTCCTAATATAATTATTTATAGTTCTAATTTTAGCTATTTCATCTATTGGAATAAATGTTAATAGACATTTGGTTGACCAAATCTACTATTGAAATATATAAATACTTCTCTATTTAATTTTCTTAAGAAGGGATTCCAACAGAATAATAATGCTAATATTAATGTTAACAAGAAGAAAATCATTAATATTAGCTATTATACAATATAATTTTCTTAATCAGTTGTAATTATATCTAAATATTTATTCTTTAATAATTTAAATGCATCTTTAATTACATAAAATTACATATCATCTAAAATTATAAATTTTTAATTACTTATTTCAAAACTTTCTGGAGTGTTGAGCAAATTAAGTAATTTATTTCTTTTTGGATCATTAGATAATTCTAAAAGACTATAATTAGACCAAGGAAAATCTAAAGATACATTCTAATTAAGAGTCTAATAAGTATTATATAGTTTTCGAATATTTTGAAAATGTCTGGAAACTGCTGTCATCAATCCATGATCTAAAATTCCATTAGCAAAAGTATCACATGTAATTTCTTAAAATGTTATAGTTGTACATAAATTATCAAACATAATAGTATTATAATAATCAATATAAGAAATATCATTATATTCTACATTTATAGCATGTAATTTCTAATAAAGAGTATCAATTTCATAAACATTATTTATTAATTAAACAATAGTAGAATTGCTATTTTGATTCATTAAATTAAGAGTATCATTATAAATATATTATTTAAGTGAATTGACCAAAATTGAATAATAACTGGAACTTAAAGATGTTTGATTAAATTCATTTAAAATATTTATTTTTTGATCAGCATTATTCTAATCTAAGAAATAAATCATGATAAAGTATGATTCTATTATAGATGCTAATAAAATCATCTTAATAAAAAATCCTATATGTTTATTTTCATTATTCTTAAATCTCTTTCTTTTTCTACCCAAAAGTGAGACAGGTTCATCATTCCCTTTTTCTTCAATAATATCAATTTCACTTAAAACTTCATCATCTTCATTTGATGATATTTAAGATAAAAAGTTTTCACATTTTGAATAAAATAATTTAGCTGTTTTTTCTGGGATATCCAAAAATATACTCAATATTTCTTATCTTTTATCTAAAGTACTAGTTAATATGCATGTTAATATAATAGATGATATGAATGTTAAACATGCAGATAATATTAGAATCACTAAAATATCACTATATAATTTATTAGTATGATCATAAGATAAATCAATAGTATTCATATACATTTCTAATAGAGCACGAATAAAATCGTTTAATGAATTGTAAATCACATAATAATAATCTATTTAATTTTCATTTAATTAAGAAAATACTTATTCAATATTAAGGGATTTACTTACAATTTGTTAACTTGCCTATTCTAAAGTACTAATTTCTTTTCCTGATTAAGTATTCATCATTACATCAGAATTGAATGAAATCTTCATAAAGATATCTTTACTCATAGAATCAAATTATTCTATACTATTATTCAAATTAAATAATAGTTTATCCTACTTATAATAAGATATTCCAAGATTCAATAACATTAATTCTCTTGAATATAATACAATTTCATTTAAATATGTTATCATATCAGATTATTTAACAATCATATTCCAATCAGAATTCTAATTATTGATTTCTTCTCTCTCAAAAATATTGTTCAATATACATAAGATAATTAATAGAATTGTAAGTAAAAATGATATGTAATATAACCATCTTATTGTTCTACTTTCACTTTATGCATTTAAAGTCTCTTATAATTCTTTAGATGATCTAAAATATCCAGATTCATTAGGTTCATCATTTTCTTAATTCTATTATTCCTCTTTCTTAATTTGAATTTCCTCATAACTTTCCATATCTGCATCAGATTAAAACTTTTCTATATCATATATAACACCCTCAAACAATCTCATTACTCTAATACCTGAAGAATAATCAATAACATCTTCATTCTTTTCAATTTCTTTACTTTTTAAATCATATTCTTAATTAGTAAACATACTTTAATCTTAAATATGAGTTATCATTTCACTATAATTAGCATCAGTGAATTCTCCATAAAAATGCATTCCAGTTTATTAAAATTATAATCTAAATGAAAAGTTTTAATTCTTAGATAATTTCTATTGCAATTATTTAATATTTGAATTACTTAAATCTATTTATTTTTCAACTCTAACTTAATATCCAGCTAAACCTTATTCATTTTCTGAATTCTTCATTATTAAAAAATTAATATCCTAAATAGAGACACTCAATCTAATTGTTGTATCAGACGCTCCAAATGCAATATGATCATCAAGAATTTTTGGTAATATAAAATCAATTGATTTTCCTTATTTTATTTTAAAATCACCATAACATTCTTTGATTTCTGGAAATAAATCAAATAAATGAATTTCTTATATTTATAATGACTTTACATCCAAACCTAATAAATTTATACAACCTCCAGAAATATCTTCTACTACATATTCTTTATTACAAATTAAATAAGCTATATCCTTAATTCTTTTTTCTTTTTTAAATGTACCTACAAATTCAACTCCCTCTTTTAATACATGGTAAACAGGACGTAATAATACATTAATCCCTTATAAATATCCATTCTTATGCTTTCCTAATAATAATCTTTCTTTATTCAATAAAGTTGCTTCATTTGTATCTAAGAATCTTCTTAAAAAATCATCATGATGTCTTGCATATAATGAAGGCATAATATTATTAATTTTCTTATTCATTAATTCATTTTTATCAAATCCCAATAATGATGCTGCAGCCATATTAATAGCATATATTTAACCAAATTTCTCTTCTTCTAATGATATAAAAACACAACCATCCTCTTGTCCATCAACATTTAAATTTGATGTCATTCCTAATTTAAAAGCTTTTCTTTAAGAAAATGAACTCTCTATTTTTCTAGCTTATTCAAGTAAATCAAATCCTGATATTCTATCATTAAAAATTTCAATTAAATATTTAGAATATAATCTTAATGCTTATGGTAATTATTGATTTTAAATTCTTTATAGTCTTTTCCAAGTTGTATCAACATACATTCTAATTGGAAACAATTTTGATCCAATTTCATATAACTTTATCAAATCAGGCTTATCATCAGCAAATTAAGACCAAAATTCCATTAATAAACTTACACTTCTTTCCATAGCTTATTTAAAAGATCCAAATTTCTCATCAAAATCTCTTTATTCAGTGAAATCCTATCCTTCTCCACTTAATTCAGATATCTCAGCTTCAATCACACTTTTGATATAAAAAACTATATATTTTTCATCAAAAGATGATTTTAGTTTTTCTATATTACTTAATTCTTCCAAAGCTTAAGGTTTGGATTTCAATATTCTTAATGTAAAAAGAGCATATTCTATTCGAATGAAAACATCAGTTGGAAATTTACCAATTCCCAAAATAAACAATCTTGTCATTGTATCATAAATTAATTAATGTCTTTTATCTGTTTTACTAACCAATTCATTTTTTGCTTTAAACATATTTAATGAGAATTTCACTTTTTTCAATGGACATAATGGATTTGGACAAGTCTAATTATGAAATTCAATGTAACCATTTAATAATTAACCTTATGGTAATCTTTTTTTATCATATTCTACTAATTTAATAACTTCATGTACATGATTTACTAATTAAACAGGATTATCAAACTTATTTACATAAATCATCAAACATTATTCCCTCTTTTATTATTATAATAACTATATCATAAATACAAAAGGTAAACAAAATAACCAAGTATACAATGAACCAACCATAATTCTCTTCTCTACTAAATTAGATATACATAACATAAGTGATGCCCACATTTCCAAAGTTAGAAAAGTTAAAAATAATTTTTACATTAATCTATTATTATATGCATCATTTCTTTTAGCATACAAAAAGCATATCACAGATCCAACCAATTAATAAACTTCAAAAAACACTTATGAATTATCATTGTGTGGTAACATAGATAATAAAACCACTATGCCAAAATGAGTTGATGTTAAAGTTGCACATCTTCCATTTCTTTTTGATAATGCCTTTTCTTAATCAAATGATCCATCAAAAAATAAATAATTAACTGCTGAACACATGAAGGATAAAATAATTAATCCAATAATAGAAATTATTTAATCAATAACTAATAATCCTTACCAACATTTTTAGTTTGAAAAGCTATCCATGTATCCATCTGTACAACTAATTGGAAACTATATAATTTTAATAAAGTATTACTGTAAATAAAAATAACATAGGTATATAAAGTATTGTACTGAACACAAATGTTAAGTATTTTAATATGTTTATTAATAATTAAACTGGATCTTTCTAGTTTACTATAAATATTATTGATATTAAAAATAAGAACACCCAAAAACATAATAATGCAATAGAAACATATATTAATATTTATACTGCATTATAATCCTAGTTTAACAAATAATGAGTAAAATTAAAATATCCAAAGATTTCAGTCAATATTTCTGCATTATTGTCCTACCATACTGATACAATCTCAATACAATAATTATTATACCATATGATGGAATTTGAAATAATGAATTTACATCAAAGTTATTAGTATAGCTATACTGTGCACAATAATCGATTAATTTTAATCCCGAACCATCAAATATATTAATCGATACAAAGAATTTTAATTGTTTGAATCTAAAGATTTATCTGTCAGATTTTTTCCTTCCTCTGACATTAATATAAAAATAAATAAATTATCAATTCATATAAAATTAACCAAAAAGTTCATTAAAATGATATTGATCTTTCAGGAATTAAATTTTATGAAACTGTCTAATCAGGTAATGTTTTTAATATTCTTTCCCTTATTTTCCTTAAAGGTACTTTTGGATATATATATTTGTCTTAAAATACCATTTTATTTTAGGGTCTGTAGTACTTTTCAATATTTTAAAGTAACTCTATCATAGAAAGATCCATCTTTTTTGTATGAATCAATATTTATAAAAAATTACTTAATTGACTATGATTGTTTTTAGTAAACTCTCTTAAATATTCATAAACTGGTATCTATATTACTTCAGGCTTTTAAAGATGCATTAATTTAATTTCTTTAATTAATTCACTTTAATGTTCTATTTCTTCTTCTTAACATTTTAATGTAATCTTTGTTCTTTGGTATTTTGTTAAAAGTTACATGTACTTGTAACAAACCTCATCATATTTAACTTATAGTTATTTCACATGATGTTACAATTCTTTATATTCATGAGCTCTTGAAATCATCTTATAAAATACATGGTTGTATTAGGTTTTTCAATAATTATAGTATTGTTAATTGGTGCTATATTCATTGCTCTATATATCTACTTGTCTAAATATTAGAAGCAACTTTAAATATTGTTATGTAACTGTTTGATATCAAAATCTCTTAGATCACTCATATTTCTTTTATTTATATTAGATAAAATAACAATAATAATAAAATGAGATTGAACAAATTAAAATAAATTAAATCTTAATGAAATCAATCCATTTATTCTACTTCTTATGAACTTTCTTATATTTTGAATCTAATTTATTTACTTTTGATCCTATATCTTCTTATAACAAAAAGAATAATTAATACCATTAAAATTACAGAAAATCCTATAACATAAAATTTGATATGATATTCTTCAGATTTATCATTTTAATTATTATCAACATTATGATTATCTTCATCTGTAGTTAATGAAGAATCATTTTTTGATATGTTTTTTTAATATTCTTATTATCTTTTAAATCTTATTATCTCATTTTTAATTATTTATTGAATCTCTTCTTTTTCTTTTTCACTTAGGTTATTATAACCATTTTTATTCAAAAATTCTTGAATTATTTGTGTAATTTCTTATTCAGTTTTACCTTCTTTAAGTGATTCTCTTATAATTTATCTTATCTCTTATCTAATATTTTTGTATTTTTAAGTAGAATTCTTTTATTTCTCTTGTTGTGAAATTTCTTTAATAATCTAATCTATATTATTTAGATCACCTTATAAATTTTAAGATTCATTAAAGTATTAATTAATAAATAGAGTAATATTCTTTTTTACATCTTCATCTGATAAACCTTAATCTAAAAACTCTTAAATTTAATATTCAATCTCTTCTAATTCTTCTTATTCTTCATATTATTAATTTATATATTCTTTGGTATTCCATGTTGTTTATATTGATCTATCTGGATTTGATTTAAAATTTTCAATTGATTATTCTATAGTATTCAAAACTAACTTGCTATTGAATTATTTAGTTGTATCATTTAAATTTCTTTCTAAATTTTAAGAAATTTAGGTTAATATAATATCTTTATCTGTATAATTAAGAGAACTAAAATATTCAATATCTTTTTCAATTCTCTAGTTTTCTTATCCTGTTTATTTATCTAATTCTTCAGCCATACCTAAGAATGCAGACCAAATTTTGTCTTTGTTATCTTTATTTTATTTTTAGTAATATTGAAATCCTTCATCAAATACATAACTTTAAATCATTTTTAATTCCTCTTTTTAATCCTAATCTAAGTCCTTAGCTAAATGTTCAAATAATTGATTAATTGTGTTATTTGGCTATCTCCTATTTCCATCATCTCTAGGAGGATGAGGTCCTCTTTAAAGCAATCGAGCAAATGTAATTGTGAATATTATGAATAGAATCAACATATTAATACTTATAATTTTAATAATTCAAATTGCTTTTTTTAGATTAAAACCATAATCATTATATTAAATATACTCATTAATGAAATTAACAACAATTTTAAGAAGATTAGACATATTTGGAGTTCCTATAACATTAATTGGATTTAATCGTCTAAAATATTAAACTAAATTAGGAGGATTAGTTAGTTTAGCATTAGTTGGTTGGCTCACTTATAACATAATTCTACAATTTGTTTCATTAATATCTAAAAACAAATTGCTAGTAACTACAAATTCTATATTTAGTGATAATCCATCATTAATTGAGTTAAATTCATAAAATTTCATGTTTGCATTATAAATTAGATAATCTGACTATGTAGATGTAATAAATTAATCATTATTAAAAGAAACCCTATTTTACCTTTAAATTAGAACATCTTTCTGTAACAAATGGGTTCAATAAAACCACTTAAATAATTCCTTTTACAAAATGTACTATTAAAGATTTTGAAAATCTATATTTTTATAATGTGAATATGTTTGAATAGCTAGTATTCAATAATTATACAGATTGGGTATGTCCTTAATTTGGAAATAAAACTTATGCCTTACAAGGTAAATTTGGAGCAAACTTATTTCAATATTTGAAAATTTCTGCTATTCCTTGTAAACCTGGATAATATGATTATGATTATTAATGTCCAAGTTATGAAGAAACTATATAATACATTAATTCTATAGATGGAGAACTTAATATCAATTTAATGATTACTAACGTAAATGTTAATACAGCATAAACTAATAGTTATACTGGATTTTTAGATAGAGATTATTATATGTTATTGAATCCATTAAAATAATTTGGATCTGTTGATATGTTCCTCCGTAATTGGGATGTTTATACAAATCCATCTATTATTGATGATGGAACTGATTTTGATTATTAAAATTATGTAGTTTTAGAGAAATAAGAGACATCAGAAAAATAGAATTATCATGAGTATGATATAGCTAAAGATTAAGAAATAGCTAAGTTATTTTTTAGAACTAGTTAATATTCATTATATACTAAACGTAATTATGTAAGTATAGGTGATTTTTTAGCTTATGTTGGTGGAATATTTGGATCTTTATATACATTAGGTTCATTATTTATGTCTCTTTATGCTTATGAATAATTGTGGTTAAAATTGTTTAAGGTTCATTATAATTTGATTGCTTATGATAGAAATTGCAAATCTCTTAATGAAATCATTAAAAATAAATTCTCTTAAGAAAATATTTTAATTCCTAATATGAAATCTTTTTTTTTATTTTTTACCAAATAAGGTATTTAGAATATTAAGACTTATATATAATCATAAACTATTATAATGGAAGACTTAAGTGTTGTTAATTATTTAAAAACTGTTAAAGATTTATAAAAAATAAAAAAAATACTTTTTAATGAAAAATAAACTTAAATTTTAGATCTCTATAATAAAGAAACAATTGCAATTACTAAATATTAAGCTTAACATTCTCATAAATTAGAAAAAGGAAAGAAGTTTTTATATGGATAACATTTTTAAGATCATACACTTTAAACTCTAAGAAAAATTATAGATCAATATTAGAATCTACTTTATGATAAAGATAAGTTTTAACTTAAGATTACTTAAAGATTAATAAATATTTTTGATTTTGATTTCTAAGAAGTTATAAATAATTGGGAAAATGGCTATTATCAATTGAAAACTCTCAATACAACTAATTATGATAATGTTTAAAATAATAGGATGCCTCAATTATCATAATAATTTGCCATCTCAAAAGATATCACTAAGATAATTAATTTCAGAAATTAATATACATTAAGTAATACTGAAATAGAAAGTTTATTGAAAACATTATTCTTTAAAAAACAAACTTTGTATCTTGATGAAAATTTCAATATCTAATATGAAGTCTAAATTAATAATGAAGAAGAAAAAATCAATTATGTTTTGACAATACATAATAAATTTTAATAATATGAATTAGATATTAAGTAATCTGATATACTAATTTAACATTAATATACTGCTCGTAAACATAAAATAGAATGTAATTTAATGAAGAATAAAGCAATTTCTCTTTTAGATTTAATTAATTGTTCTCTAGAAGTTACTATTAATTCTAATTATACTATTTATTTAAATTGCTCCCTCAATTCAAATATCCAATATTAATTAAAAGTTATAAATATTCCTAAAGATTTCAGAACCCATTATTATATTTACTTAGACGATCACAATAAAGAAAGGTTTTAGTTACTTTTTGCACTTATGCATCAATAGAAATTTATGATGTCTAATTTCGAGAATTTTGAATGCATGTTTTAATTTGATTCTAATGGATAAAGTGCATAATATATTGAAATTTTTATGAATTGGCCAAATAATGAAATAATTTTAAATGAATAGATTATTTCAAATAAACCTTACATTTAATTTTTATAGGTGCTCTATGATATAATTATACTTTATTTGTAAAATTAATGAAATGTAAAATAGTATTTATATTGTTTTAAAATCTTTATTATTATTATTATTATTATTATTATTATTATTATTATTATTATTATTATTATTATTATTATTATTATTATTATTATTATTATTATTATTATTATTATTATTTAGATCTATTTAAGCTAAAATTAACATTATTTATCACTTTATTATTATTCTTTTAAATGAATATATTATTTCTTAATATTTTAATATTCTGTATTAAATCAAATATTTTAAAATAATACAATTCATTATTTTTGAAAATTATATAAATTATTACATTATTATAAATCCAATAATTTTAATTATAAATTTCATTTCATAAATTTGAATCTATTTTCTATTAAACTTTTCTTTAATCATACAAGAACAATCATTATCTCTATTTATTAATTTAACAAATTTTATATGAATGAGATTAATATTTTATTTAATAAATAATCTGAGAATTTATAGAAAATATAGAAAATATCTAAATATTTATTTGATAACATTATCATGATAATAGTCCTGGTCCTTTGCTTTCATTACTTTTATAATAAAGAAAGGCTGAAATGCTTGTTGAAATCAATGCAGCAAATTCAAATATTATTGGAAGCCAACATAAATTCCAAGTACTTCCTTTTGTTGTCAAATACAAAATAGGAATCACCAATATCAATGCCCATGCAAAGAATAAGAATACCAATTCGATTATCCAAATATGATATTTTTTAATAAATCTACTTATGACCGATTCACCTAATGAAAACAAGATAACTAATCCTATAAATCCCAAGGCAAATCCACCTAAATAAGGAGTTGTTTTAACTGTTTTGCAAAAAGAATCACCTTTGCAATCTGCTATGTCTTCATAACAATCTAGTCCTTCAAATGATGAATGAGTTCTCGACGAAAATGTGAGGTAATATTTTCCTTTTACCACTGACGAATCTAGTTCAGCCACATTAAAAAAGAAACAAAATACAATAAGCACTAATCCTATGATTAAAAAAAGTGCTTTGTATAATCCTTAATTACGACTGATATCGCTAAGCATTTGTTTTATGATAATTATTTAATGAAATTTATTTATAACAAATAATATAAAGCGATTTTAATTCCATATGATACTTATTGTATACATGTAATCATAATGATTATTCTTATTATAACTGCGATAAATATCTAAATTAACAAAGATAAACTTTATTTTTCAGATGTATCATACTTGAAATCATGCCAATTTTCTAACTTTAAAGTAAACTTGATGGATATATTTTTTTACTTAGTTGATATATTTAGTATTAATTGTAAGTCTAATATAGACTTTTAAAAATAAAGTATCATTTTCTAATGTAGAATAATAAAATTATATTATTTGTTAATATTCATAATTTGATGACTTTTTATTCAGTATTATCAAAATCATAATTGATATGTCTTATTAATTAAGAATTTACACTCAATTAAAATTTCTTTAATATCCAAAGTAAAGATTAAATCAAATTTTATTAAAATTGATTAAATCACAGAAATCAAATGGAACAACCTATCTAAATTAAGTTATCTTGTGATAATTTAATGATTTAGATTATAAATAGGATATAACTAAAAAACATAATTACTTAATAGATTAAATCAATTTTACAAAAAATGATTTAATGTTTTATAATATCTGTAAAGTATGCAACCAACTTATAGTAAGATATAATTTATGATAAAAATTAAGTTGTACTTTAAAAATACTAAATATTTTGTGAATGTAAAATATATTGTATTTTGAAATAACTTAATTAAAAAAATGATTCTTTATAAATATATAATAGGTATTAAATAACCAAATTTGTTAGATACAATTTATTATTTATAATAAAAAGGAATCTGGTTGAATTATTAAATCTTATTTATTCCCTATGATTATTTGAATTGATTAATTTAACCTTATTTCTTGAATATATAAAACAAAATACTTTATATTTGTCTCAAAATAATTGTAAAATAATAATGATATTTTTTAAAGAATATAAAAATTAATGAAAGGGAAATCAAAAGATTAATTAGCAGCTAATATGTAACCAGTCATTTTATCATAGAGAACACATTGCTTAAATGAAATAGTAAAATCAAACATTACAAGATGATTTATAATAAGATGCAAAAAATAATGATTTTGATAAAATGAATTCATTATAAGAAGAATGTGCATCATATGCAAAAAAAATAGAAGTTGAAAGCAAGAAATAAGTAAATCTGAATTTAATAAAAGAGAGATCTAGAACAGTTAATTTAGAATGCTGAATAGCAGTTGCAAGATCATAGAAAAAAAATGAGTAATTCAGATGGTATATAATTACCAAGTCTAATAAAGAAATAAAAAACTTTAGAAAGGTAATAAGATTATTACATATTTAGTTAATTAGAATAAATTAAACTAAAACATAATGAATCATTAGCAGAAATTAATCAATTAATGGAGTAAATAAATACTGCTAGAAGGGAAAGGGTCATTTATAGTAATGTTTTTAAAAAACTTGAGAGTGATATTAGAGCAAAAGAAGAAGAATTTAAAAAATAATTATTGATTAGAAAATAAATAGAACATGATTTAAATTAATGTTAAGAATAATTTGATAAGATGAAAGAGTAATTCAATATGTAATTCTTTTAGGTAAGCTAATTAAGTTGTTGAATCTAATAAATAAGAATATACATAAATATTAAAAACTAATAGATTAGATGAAACAGAAGAATAATCTCCAAATAATTAATAGTAATAATAATAATAATAATAGTAAATTAAATAAGAGAGTAAATCTTAATAAATAAAAGAATCCTAATAACCTAAATAATAAATATAAATGTAAAAGGATGTAGAAGACGTAACAAATTATGAATTAATGTTTGAGAGATTAAAAAAGGAAACAGGATTAAATTCCATTGAAGAAATTATTCATACATTTAGGACCATTGAAGACACGAATAATGAATTGTTTAAGAAAGCAAATACTTTAAGTGATTAAATTGATTTAGAAGAAAAATAAATAGAAGAATTATAAAAATAAATCTCTCAATATACAAAAAATTAATAAAAGGAAGATAATGAATTTGAAGATGAAAAATTTAAATTTGCTTAACAATTAGAAAGAAGTGAAAAATTAGATAAAGAAATTTAATAGGCTGAGAACGAAATCAAAGAATATGAAAGAGAATTATTAGAAATAGCAAATAAATTATAAATTAAATATGATCCAAATTCAGAAATCACTTTAATGTAATTAGTTGAATAAAGAGCATATGAATTAGTTGACTTATGTAGATACTATGATAATCATAATTATACTATTGATTCAAAAAAAAATGATTAAGAAAGTACTGTTTCTAATTAAGATGATTAAACAATGAAAGATTTACTGGATGGTGTTGAGAATGAAAAAGAGGCTGAAAAGATTATGAGCAAAGATGATTTTAAGAAAATTGGATCATAAGAATTATAATAATTTTAGAAGAAGAATATAAGTAAGAAAAAGAGAGAATGATTTATAATTAATAATCATAAATAATTATGAAATAAAAAGTAAAGGAAATTATCAAATATTTGAAAGAATTCTAAATCCCTGCTATTCCTAGTGAATTTGCTTTAAGTGAAGCTGAGAGAGCAAACCTTTATTTTTACTTAACAACTTAGGAAATGGAAAGTTAAAAGTAATAAATAGAGGAGAAATTGCCAGAAGAAATCAAATTAAAAAAAGTGAAAATATATTAAGTCTATGATCCAATTGATGCTATATAAAATTTCAATTCCTTTGATTTTAAATAAGAAGAACGAAATATTTAGGAAAATGAGATCTAAATTATATCAAATAGAGATCAGAATATCAAATTTAATTCTTTGAATGAAATAAAATAATTTTTGAAACAATATTATGATCAAAAGTTAAACTAAATTTAAACTGATGAAATTTAATAAATAGATAGATAACTGATTATATAAAGTCTCAATATTTAATTTTAAGAACCAAATTGTGATATTCAATAAATAATAGATATCTTTTTGAGTATTCTTTATAAAGAGATAGAATAGAATTATCAAAAAAGATATGATTATTATTTAGATGCATTTTGTATGTTGATTAAATAAAAAATTTCATTCTTGATGTCTAATTAAAGTACTTAAAATATAACTGAAAAATTAATAAACTCTGTTCCTTAATTTAGAGTTTCTTTAATAGAATTAGTAAAGGAATTTACTGAATAAGCACTTCTAAAGTAAAATGAAAGAATGTATTCAATATATTTTACTTAATTAAGAGATTTAGTATTTAAATTTTTAAATGAAGATCATCCATTATAATTTGAAAGTTTTAGATTATTATTAAAAATAAATCATTCAACAATATTAGAATTTGTTAAATAAGCTAATTCTTTAATTTTTAACAAAAAGAAACCAGAAATTAAAGATTTCATATTTGAAGAAACCTTATAAAAAATAAATTAGTTATCTTCAATAAATGATTGTTAATAATAATTAACATTTATGTTTTATATTGGAATTTGTTAATAAAATCATAATCATCATTGTAAAATACTAGCAAAATTATTATAAGATTGTTAATAAAATTATCCTTAGCATCTTGATGCTATCTATACAAATTTGTTAAAGATAAAAAATAATAGTAATATGAGTGTTAAATAGATTATTGAATTTATAGGTTTAAGTGTAAATAATCCTGATGCATTGCATTAGAAATTCTTAGATTTATTTGTAGAATTTGCTTTAGAATATCCAAAATCAGAAGAATTTGCTCTTGATATGTTTAGAGTTTATTTATATCGTTATTTTACATAATAAATAGAAGGTGATAAAAATATAATAAATAAGATTCTTTAATAAACTTTTGATTAATTGAAAATAGATTTTATGATAAAGACAATTGAAAGAGTACCAACAGATAAATTAAGTCAAATGATATTAAAAAGATCTAATTTTGATTTATATCATTATATAATAAAGGATGAAAGTAAAGCATTAGCTGTTTTTCTAATAAAATTATTTTTATAAAAGGATTAACAATAATTAAAAATTAATAAATATGAATTATTGAAGTTATTTCAAGAATAAGTTTGTGAATATGAACATACAAAAGATATATTGAATTTTTTATTCTAAGAACAAAATAGATCATATAATGGATTGATAACTACCTTTATTATAAATTGTTTAAAGAGAAAGAAACCTAATAATATTTAAGAGGAAATAAAGTTTATTTTATCAAAAAGTTTTTATTATGAGGATGAAAATATTATCAAAAGTATTGAGTTTTATAAATAATTGTATCCAGACTAGTATTTATAATTACTTGATGATTAAACTAAACTTCGATTAAGAGATAAAAGATTATTATGATCATAATTATAATTTATTATATATACACATATAATATATTCTCTGTTGTCTCATTTTCAAAATTATTCATATTATTTGTTTGTCTTTATAAATTGAATAATAAATAACTTTAATACTTATATTAAAATAAATAATTTTAATCATCATGACAACCCTTAATGTTTAGATTAATCTTAATCAATTTCAACTAATATTATAGAAAGAAGAAGAAAAGAAATAATAACAATATTTATTATAAAAAAAAGAATATCCAAAAGGATCAATAAATCTATATGAATCAAGATTTGAGAAAGTTTCATTATCAAACTAAAAGATAAATGAAGTAATAGGATGGATGTTAATAATAACTGTCATTTTAATGATAATCGTATTGCCAATCTCTATAATATAAAATTCTATTATTGGATTTGCAATTCCATTAATGTCAGTTACGACGTTCTTTATAGTATATATAAATTGGATTTCGATGAAGTTTTTTATAAATTCTTGAAATGATATATAATTTATTATTTTGTACAAATAACTATATGTTAAAATGAAATTCCAATATTCTTATTTTTAAGGAAAATTCATTAAAATAATTCTAGCTATAACTTAATTTCTCTTTCCTTCTATTTTAAAGTTGCATAATCCTCTCCAGATTTCATCTTTTTTTCTTTCCTTTCTTCAAATCTATGCTATCTTCTAAGCCATCTTCTCAAAGCTTTTCTTTAAGTAATTGGATTTTCTCTATCATAATTAAAAGGAAATATAGAATCACAGTATTTCTCATATTCATCATGTTCTCCAAAATCCCATATTAAAGAAACTAATCTATTATTAGGAATAAAATGATATATCAATGCTATAATCAACCCTATAACAGAAATGAGTGATAAATTCTTTTAAATAAAGTACTTAAAGGCTGAAGAAGAGAAAACATGTATAATTGGAATTAATTATAATGAGTCTGTCATTCTTGAGGATAATTAAAATGAAGGAGTGTGTTTAACTGTCTTACTTCTAAGTAATTAGTATTTTTCAGCCCAATAAAATAGTATTAATCCAATAATACTAAATATATATCCTAAAGGAACAAGGGGACCAACAAAAAATGTAACATTCATAGTTTTAAGGACTTCAGCATAACTTGCTTCAATTTTATGTTCAGGAAATTCTAGGAGTCTTTTTAATTATTATATTTATTTACTCATTTAATTCTTATTATGTAAGAACACCATATTTCTTATAATAATATTATTTAATTGATTTAAGTATTGTTGGAATATCTAACATTTAAATTATTGGAGGTATAACTGCATTTGATATAAAGAAGTAAGTCATATTATAAGCAAGTCCTCCAGCATAATAAACATTACCAGATTCTAAGGCAATTAAACATTGCATGAATACTGAATTTAGAAACATCATAAATGATAATTTGGATGCTATAGCAAGACTCACTTAACTAAATGTAGGATATGCTTAAAAACTAACAATTGCTCTTGTCAATTCATCCAACAAAAATGAATTAATAAAAACTGTTATCATTGAATATCCTAAAGAATACAAATGAACTTTTATGTAATGTTCATTGAATGTATCATTTTCATTATAATTTTTAGACAATTCTCCTAAGACTTAAACTTACTTTAAAATAGAAAAGTAAACTACTATTGACAAAATAATATTAACAATAATATTAATAATTGCTCCTATAATCCTTCTATATATGCTATGATTTGCCCAAATATAGATGACATTCCAATTTATATCTGTAGGTTCTGGAGCAACTTCAACATATATAGGATGTCCATAATAATCAAGCATTCTACCTTCATTAAAATTTAAACCAGTGAATATATTGATGATTGGTGCTAGATATTATCCTAAAAATAATGATTTAAAAATACACTTTTTGCAATTTAAATAATATCTGATTTCATTCTTTCATATTTGAATGATACAAATGCCAATCCAGTAAAATCACAATTCTTTTTTTGAATTTCAATTTAATTGTTTATATCTTCTAATTCTCTTTCATCAAAATATTCTTAATTTAGAAAACTTGATTTTTTCTTATTTAATATGTTAAGTTTAATTTAATTCAATTCATTTATTTTTGATAAATCATAAGCTAAGTTAATCTTTTTCACATTAATTTTCCTTGACAATTTAAATAAATCCATTTCAAAATATTATTTTAACTTATCTGGTTAATTTATATTATAAGCCATGACTGTATAATCACTAGGAGTCAATTCTTATAAATCACAAAATACATCTAATTTCTTTTGATTCTTTCTAAAATAAATTAGAAATGCCATCATTAAGAATGTTGAAGATAATGTTAATATATCTTATAATGCCTACAATTCTTAATCTTTTCTTCTATTAGCTAAAGAGAATATTGTAACTATATCTCTTACACATTATTAATCTGTTTCATCTTTCACTCTCTTTTTAGGCAAACAATCTTAACCTTAATAATTACTTATAATATTGAATTGACCTGCTGCCATCAAATGAAGACATAATAAAAATATGCAATTTTTAATGAAGGTAAAATAAAGAGGATATCCTGATCCCAAAAATGATAAATCTTCTTTGTCAACTGATAATTTTAATTAGAACTCACAAATATGATATCCACAACATTGACATATTTATTTTCCAGCTACACCTACTTTATGAGCAGATTAATGAATTATAGCCAATTTCCAATCTCCAGGAATTGAATCGAGATTATATTAATTTGGTGAATTCATTTATTAAGATGTCTATGAATGCTATGATATTTAAGGTTATTGACCTTATAGTTGTTAAATATTCATTAATAATATAAATTAAACCTTAAATACAAAACAGAATTATTCAATAATATTTAGTAGATAATAATAGCTTTTATTTACTTGTTTATATATCTGTAACCTATTGTTCATCATTGTTTTCATAATAAGTGAATCCTTAAAACACATTATTATGATCCCTCTCCTCCTTATATTCACTTATACTAAACATTTAATTCACAAATTTTGAATCAAAATTATCCTTCCCAATAATCTTATAAGGAGCGTCAATTAATTTATCATAATGTCTCCCCCAATCTACATCCTTCAACCATGGATGACCCATCACTTCATCCGGTCCTTCATTCCCTAATCTTTAATTAGCCTTCCTTTGCAGTAATCTATTCACAAAATCAGTAACCTCTTTAGAAAAACCTTGCTTATGTAATTTAACCTATTTGCTCATTATCTAATCCCTAATTTATCTTCTATTTTTTCCTTAATAAGGTCTCTTTATTTTTAATAAATATCATTACTTTTCCTGTTAAACATTCATAAACTATACAACCTAATGCAAAGTAATCACATGCTACTCCATGATCAGTTTTCATCATAACTTCAGGAGCCATATATCCTGGAGTTCCACTAGTCTCATTCTTATTATTGGGTTTCCATATTCTTGCAATTCCTAAATCAGTTATGTGAAGATAGCCTTTATCATCAAATACTAAATTCTCAGGTTTAATATCTCTATGAAGTATAAGGTTCTTATGTAAATATTAAAGTGCCATCAATATACAAATAACAAAAAACTCTTATAAATATAAAAATAGAATTGCTACTTGTTTGCTCTTCATTAAATTTTCCTTGTTTACATAAATGATATCTTAAATCTCCACCTTCCAAATAGTCTAAAACTATATATAAATGTGTTGATGTTTAAAATGCTCCTCTCATGTTAACTAGAAATCTATTTCGATATATAATATACGAATGATTTAATTTTTAAAGCAAAATTCTCTCGTTCATCACACTCTAATTAGATTGTTTTTCAATTATTCTGATATCTATATAGTTGATAAATCTACTTAGATTTTATCATCTCTTTTAATGCAAAAAACTTTTTTTAACATTTTACTTTCCATACTCTTCCAAAACCTCCTTTTCCTATAACATAGAGTAATTTATATTGTGATAATTAAGGAGCTATATTATAATTCTGATGTTTTACTATACAATTCTAATTCAGAAAGACTTAGTTCTTCACTTGAACAATTTCCCATAAAATTAATATAATTATTTTATTCCATTTTAATCGACAAAAAATGATAAAATAGTTTTATACATCTTATTTAAATATTTTAATTATTATTAAATGAAATCTAAAGTTTTCAATATTGGATCTTAATAAATTAGTTAAATATTTTAATATAATCAATATTAATAATTTTATTTGTAAGATTAAAATTTTGCTTAATTATAAAATAGGACAGTTTTTTATTTAATACAAAAATATATATCTTAATCATAATAGAACAATTATAAGTAAAAAATTAATTAATTTATTATTGATATAAAAATAAATTAAAATATTAAAAATCTTAGATTTAAAGATATTTTTTTATACAATAATAAAATTCATATTACATAATTTAATATGAATATTTATAATTCTATAGTAATATCTAAAATATTATAGATTAAATATTATTAATATCATCATTTATTTAATTTTTTACTATTAGATTATTTTCTTTTCATTTCTGCTTCCCATGTTAAATGAGGGTCAAAACCAAATTCATTATGTTAAACACTATTTGTTAATCTAAATGGTTCTTTGTTATTTATCCTCACTTTTTCTAATATTTCATCTTCATGTACTTTTCCATATTTGCTAGGCCTTTGAACAAAATCTTCAAAATCTAATTTGAATTCATCTAATTATTTCTTTATTCCTGGTGGTGTCTTTGGCTTTTAAAACTCTTAATATTGACTAGGTATTTTGAATCCTTTGAAGCCTAAAAGCATTGAAAAAAAGTGAAACCTTATGGAGCCTTATAACTTCTCTCTGCTAAGTTTATTCTCAATATTTCCCATTCATTCAATATTTTACCTTTTAATGTTGGTATTTTAGTAAATTCATCATTTTTGAATCCAGGACCTTAAAAAAATGAATAAATAGAATACTTTTCCATGCCATTCTAAATCTTCTTTTTAATTCTTAATATACTTCTTCTTTGTCTTTAATTCTTGGTAAACCAACATCTATTTCTTTATTTTCTAATTTTTCTTATTTTTCTGCATTAATTACATCTCTAGTTCTTCTTTAATGTTTATAATTAATTTTATTCATTTCCTTTTATTATTTTTCTGAAGCTACAGTCATTTCATCTAGGAGTTACTAAATCATTCCTTAATTGTTTCACTTTATAATTAATATAATTATTAAATAAATATAAAATAATCTAATTATGTCTTGAATTAATAAGCCTTTTCTTTCAACTTCTATTGATAGTAAATTCTTAATAGTAAACTCTAACTATTCAGATAAACTTGTATATAGATATAAATAAAACAAGAAACATTTGATACTTTGAATAAATAGATTTGATTGGAATAGAAATTTCAAAATTTATGATATTCCAATCATTGTTTTTAAATTAAATTATATTATAATATGAATAAAGCAACTCGAACAACTAGTCTAAGATAACATAAACTAACCTTTTTAAAAGATAATAATAATAGCTTATAATTATAGACTAGGTCTTAAAGCTTTAAATAAAACATTAGCATATCTCCTGAAAAGAAATAGTAAATATCTCCAACAAAATAAAATAGCGTATATATGAATGGATAATTACTAGTATATAAATTTGTAATTATAAGATTCGTCCTAGATCGAAATATAATTAATAAGGCAATTTGTCTTCTTCGAAATTACAAGACTCCTAAAAAATCTTTCTTATTCAATAAGCTTAATAATAATAATAAGTATAACAATAGAGGATTGAATAAAGTCCTGCATTACATAAAAAACAATAGAGTGATAAAGGATTAAAATATGACTTACCTAAAATATCACCAATTAAAGCAAGACAACCTATTAAACAATTATAATCTGATACTAATTAATTGGACTTATTTAAAAGAGAATAAATAAAATAAAATATAACTAAAATTGCATATAATAAATCTCAGGCTGGTAAAAATGAAGATAATTTAACAAAAACAAATTAAGATAGTTTTATATCTCTTTAATCATTTAAAGATACAATGTCTTTATTTGGTATTTGTGATGGACATGGTCAAGATGGTCATAAATGTAGTTAATTTATTCGAGATAATTTACCAAAAAATATCTAATCTCTTATATCTCAAAATTCTTCATCTATTTAAGAATCCCTCTCCAAATCATTTATTAGAACAAACAGTTAATTATGCAATTTTGAAGAAATAATAACAACATTTAGTGGTTCAACAACAGTTATCAGTTTAATAGTTGATGATACTATTTATACAGCAAATGTTGGAGATTCTAGATCAATTATTTGTAGATAATAAAGTAATGGAGTTAAAAGTGCTATTTCATTATCAAATGATCATAAGCCAGACTTACCTTATGAAAGAAGAAGAATTGAATAAAGTGGAGGAAGAGTTGAACCTTATATTGATTTTGATGGTTCTAGTTTAGGTCCAGCTAGAGTTTGGTTAAAAGCAGAAGATATACCAGGTTTAGCTATGAGTAGAAGTTTTGGTGACAAAGTTGCAGCAAGTTGTGGTGTTATTTGTGAACCAGGTAATTATATTATTTATTATTTAGAAATTTTAACACATAAAATTTAAGAAGGAGATTTATTTATGGTTTTGGCATCAGATGGAGTATGGGAATTTCTAAGTAATGAATAAGTATACTAAATTATTAATTAAGGTGATAGATATGATATATCCATATTATATTTAAGATGAAGGTAATGCTGCATGTGTTAGAATAGTAAAAGAATCTATTAAATTATGGAAATTAAATGATACAGTAATAGATGATATTACTGTTGTTATTGTATTCTTTAATAAATAAAAATGATAATCATTCATCAATTAATTCATCAACAAATTACTCTTCAACTTATTTATAAAGTCTAAATTTTTAATTGTCTGCTTAATCTAATAAATATTCTTTTTCCATCTTAAATTTATTTAATCCTTCAATTATTAGATCATCTATATTCTCTTCATTAACTCCACTTAATTAAAAATATGGTAATTATTATTGATAAAATGATAAATTAGTTGAATTAAATTTTACTTTAGAATCTCTATTTATTGAATTTTATTGACTCATATAGAAACTTGGTTATCTAATAATTTCTAATTATTTATATTTTGGATCAACATATAAAGCATTGTTGTTATTAACATCTTAAAATACTGATTTATGTTGAGTGTCTTCTTAAATTGTTTCTTCTTTTGTTTCACTTTGTCTTAATGACATATACCATTAATTTATTGTTTTCTCACCTTAAGTTAATTTTAATGCTTCTTATAATTAAATTAATTCAATCTTCCTTCGAAATTCTATAAATAATATTTATTCATTTTTATACATGAACATGAATTTATAATAGATTCATTAGAATTTCTATTTGTAGTATTAATTGATTTAGATATTTCCTCATTCCATAATTTAAGTTAACATTCATATTTATTTAATACTTTATTTTACTAATTTAATTTCAATTATTCTATTTTTGTTTATGATTATCTTTTAGTAATTTAATCCTAAGATTCCTTATTTTAATTAATCCTACTCTAATAATAAGTACTCATTTACTTCAATCAAACGACAAATCTTTAATAGATCTTATTTCGAAACTAATTCAAAATCTTTATTCCTTTTAGTTTATTCATTCCTTTATGTATGTTCAGAGTTTTATTATTATTATTATTATTATTATTACTATTATTATTTATTTGATAAATTTGTTGATTTTCTTGAACTTATTCTTCTTACAAATTTCATAGTTGTATTACTAATGTTTGTTTGATTAACAAACTTAATACCAGCCTTCTATTATTCTTTTACTTTATAAAATATATCAGGTTTTCCAACTATTGATCTTTCAATAACTCCATGCTTATCAAATATTGGTCCTAATAAAAGTGTAACACTTAATACCTTATCTTAATTCCTAATTTGGTGTTAATCCTATTATTATTAATATTCATTTACTATGAAAAATATTATGTGAATGACTTCTAGGTTTATTGAGAATCTAAAGAAAATTAATGAAATCAGATTTTACATCAACTGATTCTGGTTCTAATAAGGATGTGAGCAAATATTTTCTTTTTTGTAAATTAAAATTCCCTTTTGACATTCAAGTTAAGATTAGAACTTATTATAATTAATATTATTTTATTTTCTTTTATTTTTTTATACTATAATAATAAATAATTTATAATGACTAATTATTATTATAAAATCTAATATTATACTATTTAATAGTCTCTTAAAAAAATGAATAACATAATTATTATATTAATTATAATACTTATTACAGAATATTGAAACAAAAATTCAATGAAATTTTCTTTATTGTACTATTTTTTCTATTTTAATAATAGGTTAAAAAAATCAAACAATTATTGAATCAATAAAGTTTAGAAATCTTTCACAATAAGGTTCTGGACTTCTACAAGACAAATCTTTTTTCTTTTTAAATCTTATACATGTTTTGAAACATTATTCACTTTTTTTGAAATGGTTAAATGTCTATAAATAATCAATAATTGAAAATGAATATATTGTATTTTAAGCTTCATTAATTACAAATCTATAATTTTAATTATTGATTTATTATGGTTTTTCTTAACAAATTCCTATTAATAATGAATAATCCATATATCCAATATCTCTTAGAAATTTGCAATCATCCATAAGTTATTTCTTTATTTAATCAGAAATCTATTTAGGTAATATAATAGGATTGTGAGATGATTATTTAAAATTATTATCTTTTTTTACACTTTCATCAGATTTTGAAGTTCTATTAACAGTTGAACCTTTTAAATCATATATTACAAATTCATGTTCCAATATTAACATTTATTCAAATGAATTTTCCATTAAAACTAAATATTATGTTTTGTAAGCCATTAATTTAATTTTAAATATTCCATAAATTTTACCAATAAGTGATTTTTTATGATATTTTAAATGATTAAAATATTAAATAATTCGTCCATTTAAAAAATCTTTAATTTCAGATTTTTCTACAGTTTTTAGAATGAGTTTATGATTTTAACTATAAAAAAAAAATGCTCCACTTCTACCTAAAGATTCTTTTGCTTTTTCAAAAGCTTTATAATTATATTACAATTCTAAAGTGTATTCTAATATATTTTTATTAAAATTATTCTATTTCAATAGAGTAGTAAAACTATTTGGATAGTATGTATTTACTAAAATAATTGAATCTTTAATGTCATCATTTTCATTAAATGAAATTCTACTTTCATTTAATTCAGATAAATGAAATTTAAATGTATAAGTTCTTTTGATCTCTAATTCAATCAAATGATGATCAAATTGCATAATAAGAGCTGTAAATACAGCTTTAACCAATCCTTTAACAAGTTCATTAATTTAAGTCTTGAGTAATTTCTCATAAATTGGCATCATTTTATTGTGAATATCAGTATTTAATCCATCTTCAATATTTTCAATATCTTATATATAAGATTGTTCCTAACATGATTTAAAGAAAACCTATAAAAGTTTATGATATGAATAAGGTTGAGTGAGATGAAAAATAGAAAAGAATAAACCTTCTAAACTTAAGGCTACTTTTAATGATAAAAAATCATCACTTTCTTATAGATTTAAATTATAATATGAGAATGCAAAATTAATAGCCAACATTATAAATAACCAATAGAATTATTATTTGACAAAATCACTCTTAAATTCATAAAGTCTTCTACTTTATAATGTCTTATTTTTTTTCAAAATTATCCATATTGCTATGTAGAATAAAGTGCAAATCAAAATACTACCAAAATTTATATAAGAAGCTAAACTATTGAATTCGTTAAGAGCATCACTTTCCAAATGATAATGTTCCTATACTATTAGAAGTGGTATAATTATCATTACCAAAGTTAATAGGCACTGTAACAATAATAAAAATAGGAAAACAGATGAAGAGGTAGCTTAAAATGGATTGTAAATACAAATTTTTACTTCATTCAAAAATAAGATAAACTAATTTGAGATTAGAGTAATTGTAACACCTATTAGTAATTCGATTAATTTATGTAATTTTTTGATTTTTTTATTATCGTCTGAACTATTAGGATCAATAATAACTATAGTTTAATCAATATAGATAAATATGCCTAGTAATATAAATAAACAAGAAATCCAGACAATAATTCTAATAATAATATAGAAATAAAACTTAGAAGGATATTTTCTATAAATTGGAGAAACAACCCCTAAAATACAAATTAAAAAGCAAGCCATCATTGACAAAGTTGTGCAACCAATATCAATGTAAGCGACTGTCACCTATGCCATTAAATTATTAAACTTTATTTAATTATATTAATATTTATATAGAATTTCATAAATGTATTATTATTATTATTATATTGATTGAATATGATCAATAGCACTTTAACAATTATTATATCATTTCTTATAACTTATGAATTAATCTTAAACGATTATATTTAAAAATATAATTTAATAAAATGGGTGAGAAGAAAATAGATAAATATGTATTTAATGTGAAGAATAAAGCTGGAGAAGGATCTTATGCCACTGTTTATAAGGGATTCAATGAAAAAACAGGAGAAAAAGTGGCAATTAAAATGTTAAGTAAATCTGTCATAAATGCGTATAATTTTGAGAGTAAATAGAAAGAGATGATTATTTGAGAGAGGGATTGATTTAAGAAATTAAAATTATGTAAAAGCTTAAGAGTCCAAATATTGTATAATTATTAGATGTAATGGAAACTTCAAATAATTATTATATTGTCTAAGAATTTTGTGATGGAGGAGATTTTGATGAGTAATTATAAATATTAATTATTTTATAAGATTACTAAAGAAACGCAAAATTTTAAGTGAAAAGGAAGCTATCAAATTTTTAGTTGATGTTTTAAATGGTTTCACATAATTAATTAAGAATGGAATTATACATAGAGATCTAAAACCTGCAAATATTTTAATTGACAAGGCTGTATTCTTATAAAATTATTTAATTCAAATAGACATTTAAATTGGCTGATTTTGGATTTGCAAAATGTGTTGATAATTTTAAAAAGGACATGATGTCATCTATGGTTGGAACACCTTTATATATGAGTCCTCAAATATTGGATCATAAAAGATATAATTCTAAAACTGATGTCTGGAGTATAGGATTTATCTTCTATGAAGCATTATTTGGAAAAAGTAACATTTTTATAATATTTTCTAAGCTCCTTGGACTGCTCGATCTCCTGCTGAATTACTGAAAAACATTAGAAATTAACCATTAAAATTTCCAACTGATAAAATTCCAGTATCTCAAGAGACTTTAGATTTAATAATTGGATGTTTATAACCAGATGAATGTAAACGTTTCTCTTGGGATGATATCTACAAGCATCCAGCTGTTGCATAATATTTTTCTGATTTTATTAAGGGAAATTCTAAACTTGAGGATAAAGCCTAATATTTAATAAATGATATAAGATTGATGATTATTAAAGAAAAATTAGACATAACTTAATTGTTCGCTGAATTGGATATGTCTAAAGATAAAGCATTAGATGTAAATGAGTTAGGTCGATTTTTAACAAGAGTTGATAAAGATATACAAAGGGATGAAATAGAATATATATTTAATAAATTTGATGAGGATGGTAGTAACTCAATAGAATTTGAAGAATTTAAAAAATGGTTGGAAGATAATTCTATTCATGTTGATTAAGATTAATAAAATAGAGATAAATAAAAGAAATAATCTTTACTATAAAAAAATAATGTTGAAGAAAGAGCAAATTATGTAATTGAAAAATTAAAGCTATCAATTATTAAATATAATATTTAATTAATTGATTTATTTAAAAAGGTTAATTTTTTTGTTTATTTATTATTATAGTTTGATAAATCTGCAGATTTAAAACTAGATATTAAAGAAATGGGAATGATGTTAAAGAGAATTGAACCTAATATCACAGAAGATGAAACAAGAACAGTTTTTGATTATTTTGATATAAACAAAGATGGAGAAATTACATTCTAAGAATTTTAGACAAATTTATAAGAATGCATAGTCCGTAAAAAATGAAATAAACATTTTTGAATATTTAATGCATGTTTCGATATTTAGAATATATTTATTAATTCTAATATAATATAAACATTAAATTTATTAATTATGTAGATATTGATAAATTAAAAAATTATCATTTTCTTCTTCTTACACCACATGTCTTGAAATTTGATTAAGCATTTCTTAATAAATGTATTTTACTTATATTTAACCTATAACCTTTAAACTTTTGTACTTGTTTCTAAATCATTGAAACTAGGAACCATTACTTAAGTAAAATCTGTGATTAATAGTGCATACATTATTCTTTAATATTATAATTGTTTTAAACCTTCTTCTAAGAATACAATATTTCTATTTTAAATGAAAGAGCCATCTCTTAATTAACCAATCAATTATAAAGCTTAATCTAGTGCTTAAACAGCATTTGTATATGGATTTTATTAATCTTTGAATATATTTTCATCATTTTTGATTATTAACTATCAGCCAATGATTAGAGAAAAGTCAAATTATTATGCTTTAGATTTTAAAGTGAGTAATTTCAGAAATGCTTTTCTTAAATGACTTTTCTCAAATTAATTGATTAATCGATTAGATATAGGTCCTTGAATTTGATTAGCAAAAGTAAGTGATATAAATAAAATGGAAACTAATTTCCTCATTACAATCCGTTTTTTAATATTAAAGTTAATCCACATTTCATTAAGAAAATAAATAATATATGGTTTTATTCTCTAATAATTCCTATTAAAGTTCTAAATGTATATAAAAATAGAGGCAAATCTGAATTAAATATAAAATTTTCTCAAAATAAATAAAATTATATTTTATATTATTTTTTATGTAAAATATATACATATCTGGTCAATTAGATGATGCTCAGTTTGTAACCTTGCTGAAATTCTTAGCAAAAGAAAAGAAAGCATTATCTAAAGTTATTCCTCAAAATAAATCTCATATTAGAAATTTGGAACATTATGGTATTTAAGATCATAATTTGAAATATCGAACTGCATAGGATAATGCACAAACCATAGATAAATGGGTGTAACAATAAAAGACTATTAATTATTGGGATATATTAACTTAATTACTTATTGGAATATAATAGATGCACAAATTAGGATTTATTGGTAGAAGTATCAAATATGAGGAAATTAAAGTTGTTGATAATCTTTTAATTTACAAAACTTTTGGATATGCAGATAGTATGAATTAGGCTCCAGAAAATAAATATTTAAAATTAACAACTTATGAAACAGATATTTGGTTAGTAGGTGCCATTATGTGGTAAATTATATCTAAAAGATCTATATATGATGATTAACAAATAAAGGATAATAGGAATGAAATAAAATTATCTTTTAATTTCTAAATAAATGAACTTAATATAGAAGAAGATTTATATTAATTGCTTTAAAAAATGCTTTCAATTTATTAAAATAAAAGAATATCTTTAGTTTAAATCTTTTAACATCCAAAACTTTTAATTACTCCTATTGAGAAAGAAACTATCTCAAATTTTTACAAAAAAATAAAATTAAAAGATTTATTAAATTTTAGAAAGAATTCATTTTTAAGAGATTATTTACTTTATATTAAATAAGAAACCATATAACCAAAAATATTTATCTATTATTTAGAAGATACTCCTATTTTGAAATTATTTTATCAATCATATATTGAAATTTAACTCCTTAATTTTGCATATCATTTATCATTTTACTTTCCTAATTCAGATCCTGAAATTTTAAAAGAATTAAATGGATTGATAATTTAAAAGATGATTCTAATATCTAAATAATTAAAATAATTAATAACATTGAATTAATTACCAAGTTAATTTCATGGTTAAGAGGAATTATATCTTAATGACATTAATTATTCAAAATTAAAAAAATAAATCGTCTTATAGGAGAATAGGCTATTATATATGAATAAAAATTTCTTTTAGGACTCTGCATTATTAACAATGTAAGATATTGATAACAAATTTAATACTTATTCTACAGATGGAAGTTATTCTATTATGAGTGTTATATTGATCAATATTCTAAATAATAGTAGAGTTAATTAAAAATCCAATATTTACATCTAGTCAGTTACATTAGAATAAATGTTTGAATATGAAGTTCAGAAAAGACTTTAATGATATTTGAGTATGAACAATTAATTATAAAAATTATTAACAATTTTATTAATTAAATTCAATCAAAACATATCTTTAGCCTTTCTATTTTATATATAAGATAATAATTAGATAAGAAAAGTCAAAGAAAAAAATATATGAAATCTATTTTTAATAATGATTAAATAAAAACAATTCAAAATAAATTAAATTCTACAACATATAATTAATCAAACTCTATAAATTCAAAATAAAATAGTAAATTGATCCTTTTCAATTTTCTTGAAATAGCAATAATTATTCAATTATCTGAATATATTTAAATCATTTATTAATTAAATTCTAAATATCTTCTTTTAAAGTAATAATAAGAATTTCAGTTTAAAATAATAAATATTGTTTGAATTTCCTAATTATATATTAAATTTTAAATTTAATTATAGCTATGATATAAAACATTATACATATTATAATATAATTCAAAATTATTAAGAAATATGAAATCAATATAATATGTTATCAATCTATTATGGGTTACTGTAGTTAGATTTATGCATAATAAGTTTACTTAGGGTTTTCTTGAATTCTTTAATAGATTTCATCAAAATTATCATAAATCAATTTGAAACTATAATCACTAACTTCAAGTCATACCTAAAATAATTAATTAAATTACTGGATTAGGCTATTTAACTTCATAAGCCATATTTTTAGGAGTATCACTCTTTGTCTATTAATAATTATAAATATTAAATTTTGGAGCACTCTCTTCACCATCAGCATTACTACTATTTTTAGGTTCCTCATCTCCACCATCCCCTTCTTATTTTGGAGAACTCCTGGTTTTTACAATATCCATTCAGGATCATTTATTTCTGAATTTAAGGGTTACTCAGTAATTGCATATAGAACTTTAATTTATCCTAAAATTTTTTCAACAATAGCTAATTCATCTATGGCTCTAGGGAATATTTGTTCTAATAATCCCTTTTAATCTGCTGAAATGTATCCCAATATTAGAACCTCTATAAAAATAATATAAATAATTTGAAATACCTACCTTAAATAGGTAATTCATCAATATATTTTTTTACAATTTTCATTACTTATTAAGGTGTATAATTAGAAGGGTTCTTAAAATTTTATTAAGTCCATCTCATTTCATAATAATTAATTAATTAATCAAAATTCTTAGCAATCAATGATTCAAAATCTACAAATGACATTTTATATTTGTATCTATATTAATATAAATAAGTTTAAGTAGCTAAAATGGATGCCAAATAAACTCTTTTTCAAATATTTAATCAATTGAATTTTAATTTATTTCTAAAGAATAATTAGTATCCTATTTAAATAATTTACAATATGGTTATTATTAAACATAATTAAGCCACATATGATTTAGCAGGTGCTAGTGGACCATAATAAAATATTATATTTGCCTTGTCCATATTAATTAAATTATATATTTAATATTTATATCGAATTTAATCTCGTAACAATAATATTTTATCTAATAGAGATCAAAAGATAATTAATTTTTATATTTAAAAACTATTTCAATTTAATTAATGTATTTTTTAACAAAAAAAAATTAACCATCCTATTAAAATGGTTTGACATTCATATCACACCTGTTTCATAAAAAATAAATGGATTAAATTTCAACGAATAAAATTATTTAACTAAATGAAGAATTGATTCATTAATAAACAAAGCAAGTTACTAGTCCTAGAGAAAAATCATAATCTAGAGATAAAGAAAAAACAAACATACGATAAATAACTATTAGATCATATTCTTCATTATAAATTAATGATTTAATTGAAAATACTCTAAAAAAAGAGAAATTCCAAATAAGATTAAAGAGTCCAAATAAATTCTGTAGGGTAAAAGCATTATAAGAGATAAGAGAAAGATAAAAATCACCTACTTTTCTTATTAAATAAAGAACATAGCCAATTTATTCATAAAGTATACCAGCTACTGCTAGAGTAAATGGATATTGATTATTCATTTATTTATTTATCTAAAATACATAATTAATCTTCTGATTCTATTTCTTAAAATAAATAATTCAAAATAGGAATTTATTAAAAAATAAAACAACAAGAGTTAATTGAATACTTTTTAAAAGATATCAAACTTATTAAAAATTAATAGAATCCAAAAATAACATATAATAATATTATATTATATTGATTTTTTTATTTTATGTGAACTTCATTTAAAAAGTTCAGTTTAAACATAAAAATTAGGTACTTTTTAATAACAATTAAATTTATATTGATTTTAATATATCATTGTTGATTATTATGTTTGATGAGTGAGAATCATTTTAAATATAATTATTTAGTATTTAATATTGAATTGTATTACATAATATATCAAATAAATTAAACATGCTCGTAATCCTAACCATTTCCTTATATGAGAATAGAAGTAGTTTAATTTAATTTTGGTAATTATTATAATAATTGAGAAGCATTTCTCGATAATGTTTATTGAGGTATTTGTCCTTATTATTCGAAAGGGGGAGTTTAAACTCTGTCTAGAATATGCCAAGATTTAATTTTAGTTATAAAGAGCATTTTTTTTAAGACATAAAGTAGACACAAAAAAATAGGAACTAAAAACAGAAATACTATGACAGCAAATCCTAAATAATGATATAATGATAATATTTACCAATCATAGTAATAGGACTATTCAAGAAACTAGATTATTGATTATTTTTATCGTTTCCATCAAAAATATTGACACTAAATATATATAACTAAGTAGATTACATTTGAACCACCAGAAAGGCTTAGAGAGCTGTAAAACCAAGAAATATAAAGAGAAGACAAATTAAAGCAATCATATTTTCTAAATTTGATTTACATGCTTTTCTCTCTAAATACAATCAAATTGATACAGGAATACAAACTTTACGTGATGTAAATTCAATTTAATATTCGATCTTGCAAATTTCACACGAAGTAAATAATTATTTGTTTTATGTAACTATCCAGGTTTTAAGACACTCATTTAAAATATAGAGTCTTACTTCTTCATGTACTTATCCAAGAGAACCTTTGCATTTACAAGGATGAATTATAGGTTTATCGTTATCTTGTTCAGTTTCAAGACAAATTCGACATGATTTTAACTCTGATTAATCAATAAATATGTGTTATTAGACTTTTAGAGCAGATCTTGTCTATTGGGATTCAATAGTTAATTTATTCATTATTGTTTTTAATAATATTTTTTGTATTTGATGACCTAATATAACTAATGTTTATAAAATGAATAGAAAATAAAAAAAATAAGTTCTAATTATATTATAATATTAGAAGAATAGATTTCATTTGTAAAATATGAAAATTATGTAATGATTCTTTAAATTTAACATAAAAATTATTATGAAATTATTTAAATTTTAATAAAGAAATAGCTTAAGAATTATTAATAATTTAGTTAAAATTAGATATCAATTGTGAAATTAATTAAATAAGATATGAGTAGTAGATAGATAATTAATTAATATCAAGAATAAATATCTTATGATATGTACAATAATAATTATAGAAAACTCAGCAATTGCATCTTTAATTTTATACATTATTAGTTTTATTTGTTAAGTTTTGTTTTAAAGGATTTTTTAATTATGGATTGAATTCATCTTTTTCAATTTGACCTATTTTTATATATATTTAATACCTTTTTCAATTTTATTACAGATCTAATCAATTAAATCATAAAAACATTTATCAACATTTTCTCCAGTCATTGCACTTGTTTCAACATAAAGAACATCTTTGTTTCTCATTTCTCTTTCAGCATAATCTTTATCTATTATTCTTTAGTCTTTCAAATCTATTTTATTTCCAACTACAATTATATCTAGATCGCTCTTTCCATTTTCTCTTGCATCTTTTATCCAATCATCTAATGAATCAAATGAGTCCTAACTATATATTAATTAATTAATAGACATACCTTGTTATATCATAAACCAGAATTGCTCCTATAGTATTCTTAAAATATGTTCTAGCAATTGAACGGAATCTCTCTTATCCAGCAGTATCCCATATTTATAATTTGATTTTCTTATTTTTGTATACAAAAAATTTGGACTAGAATTCAATTCCCACTGTTTATTGAACTTTCTTTTTTGCTATTAAAGTTGATCAAAATTATGATAAATATCTTACCATTCTATTTTATAAAGTATTACAATATAGAAGTTTTGCCAGTACTTGAATTTCCTATTAAGATGAACTTAAATATATAATCTGCACTCTATTCTTAATTAAGTCCATTCATAATTTAAAATATATATATAATAAATGAAAAACTTATCTATAAAATCATTTACCCCAGCCATTTTATTATTGCTATGGATATTAATAATTAGGTTAATATTAAGCTGGTTATGAATACTATTATTATTAATATGGTTATTATTAATATTGATATGGTTATTAATAATTATTGGCTTAATGAATATTCGGTTATTATTAAATATAAACTTATTATTAATACTGTTATGGTTAAGGTCTTTATTAAGGTGCATTATTATTATCATTGCCTTTAAAACAATCAGAAAGTTTATCAAAGAACTAAAATTAATTAAATTTGATACTGATCTATCTTAATGAACAGGTCTCTAGTATTATTATTATTATTATTATTAAGGTTGATAATATTGTTATTATTACTATTAATCCATATTTGTATTCATTTAATTCATTCTAGGATTTGCTCTTCCGAGAGAGAGAAATCCAAATAATCTCTTTCCAGATTATAACCAACCTTTTCTACCCTCATTATATTAAGCTTTCCTTTAATCAGTGTATTCCTTTGAGTATTTCTTCTTATCCTTTCCAAAATCACACATTCCACATGTTATTACTAAACAACAACATCTAAACTAACAAATTTAAAGAATTATTTACACAGCCTCCACAACTACAGCTACCATCATCACAAGAATACAAAATTACTGTTATGATAAATATCAGAAATCCAACTATCAAATACACTATCATGCATATTAAATTGATTGTTAATGCAGTCATTAAGAATCCATTATTTTCTTGTCTACAAGGGGAATACTCTGGCTAAAAATTATATATATATATTTTAATACTTCATTATTTGCTGCTGAAAAACATATTATAAGCCATATTACAAAGAAGATTAATGCAAATATGTAAATGCATACAAACCAATCATATAAGATTAAATCTACTGTTTGTTCCCAAAATGTTTTTTTACTCTCTACTTAATATTTACCATAATATCCATAATGAAAGGTTATATAGAGACAGAACAAAAAGTTAATCAAATTATTGATCCCTTAAATTATTAAATAGGTCTTAATGTTTTCTTAGCAATCGAAATCAGAACTTTATATCAATGCTACTATCATTATTATGAAAGGAATTATTGAGACAAAAAAAGTAATGAAAGTACAAAATGAGAAAGGTGTAGAAAAACAGTTTGAAATTGCATCGCAACATTCTCCACAACATTCCTTACAGTTATATGAAAATATTTACTTCACAACATCTACAACAACTACGACAGCAATTATCGCATCCCTTACAAACATAGTACATTCTTAGTTAAGTTAAAACTTATAAAAAATATAGAGTTATTATTAAATTCTGTTTAAAGGAAGTTTTGTAAAACATTCTATCATCTCACATTATTCTATATTTAATTTTAATATTTCAATATACCAAATATATATTACTTAGAACTATTTTACAAAGAAATTTGAATCGATATTGATATCCTTACATTTTTATATTTATCTTATAGTAATTAAAATAATTTATAGTGCTAAAACTTGAGACTAAGAATAATAAATGTTGAACAACTCCAAAAAGTAGAAAAGTAAGTCTAAAAAGTTGTCAAAGTCAAAGGATTTAGAACTGAAATCTAGATGTGAGAGCGCTAATTTCAAATCTGAATAGGCGGCATGCTAATATGAGTATTAAATATTTACATTTGATAGACAAACTACAATAAAAAAGGTTAAGAATGAAAAGGACATATCCCCCATTCTTGAGGAAGAAATTCCTTTTGGTTCTTAGATTATATAATAATCTAATTTGTAGGATTATGATAAATTAATATGTGAAGAAGTTGTTAAAGACTTTAACTCATTCACATTCAATAATTCATTAGAACATTAAATTAGTTAGGAAGATGAGTAAGAAACTTTATCAGAATTTATGAGAGAATAAGTAAAATACGAAGAAAATTATAGTTATAAAAAAAATTATCTCAATAATTAGAATGAAATTTAAAGTCATATGGTTCCAATTTTATTTGATTGGCTTATTGAAGTTGCTCATTCATTTCATTTCAAAAGAGAAACCTTTTATTTGTCTATAAATTATGTTGAAAGATACTTATTAAGACAACCAAATGTTCTTATATCAAAATTTCAACTTTTAGGAGTGGCAGCTATCTTTATAGCTCATAAATGTGAAGAAATCTATCCAAAAACATTAAAGGATTTTCATAGATTAATACAAGATTAATATACAATATAAGAGATAGAGTAAATGGAAGTTTAAATATTGAAATCACTTGATTTTAGAATGTATCCAAATACTCCCATATTTTGGTTAAATTATTATACCAAAATATGGGATGAATTCATTATAGATAAAGATCCTTGTATTATGTTTAAGGAAAGAACAAATGAAGCATATTATAGATATAGAGAATTAGTATAGTTATTTGATGTTTGTTTAATAGATTATTAATATAAACATAATGAAAAGTTAACTATTTTAAGTTTAATATATTTGGTTGTTGCCAAATAATTATAAATATTTGATGATTATGAAACTATGGCTATGTCATAATCAGAAATTTGTGATTTCTTTAATTCTGATGAATAAGAATATAACAAATTATTTAGATAATTTATACTCAAATCAGAGATCTATTTAGAATTTGATAGACAAATCTTTTATGAAGATTTAAGTGATGTGATATGTTAATTAGTAAAGTATTTCATCCTTAGATTTGATAATTCATTACCAAGAGTTTTATTAAATAACCAATAGTTTATAGATGAAGTAATATATCTATGTTATTAAATAGATGTAACATGAAGAATTACTATCATTTTAGACATACAATAAAAGTACAATAGAAACTATCACAATTATTTAAAAACAAAATTAATGATTTAAGATTTCTTTATTTCAATAGATTACATATATCTGTTTATTTAATATAAAATAACTTTTTAATTAAATATCATCTAATTAGCTGTTTTTTTAATCAAATTCAGGATATCAAACTTTTTTTCTATTTATAAAATTAATAAAACATGTAATAATAAAATGAGAAAAATGAAATACCCTTTAATGGTGAATTTGAAGATAGTGAAGAAGAATCAGATGAAGTTTCTGAAGAAGACTCAGAAGATGATAGTTTATAAAATAAAAGAAAGAGAAAAAGAAGATAGTTAGTTAATAATAATAAAAGATTAATAATGAATGTATCAGATACTTAATATGCTGCTGTTAAATTTGTTGGCAAAATATTAAATAAATTTAAATTACAATACACTCCCTATTAAGAAACATAAGTTTGGGATTTTTGTTGGACTGATAATGCAGTATTACCTGAAACTCTAGCTAGAATGTAAAGTATTATATATTTAAATTCAAAAATAGGTCATTAAAGAATTAATCATTTTCCTGGAATGTATTGCATAGCCAGAAAGAATTATTTGGGCAAAAATTTAAATAAAATGGCTAAATAATTTCCATCAGAATTTGATTTTTATCCTAAAACTTGGATGCTACCTTCTGATATTTCAGATCTTAGATAATATATTGGAAAAATAAAATATTTTATAGTAAAACCAGAAGCATCTTGTTAAGGAAGAGGTATTACTTTTAGTTTATATTAAAGGTATATTTTTAACTAAATAAATTGAATCTATAGCATCTGAACATTGTGTAGTATAAAGATATTTACATAAACCATTATTAATAGATGGTTTAAAATTTGATTTTCGTATGTATGTTTTATTAGCAGGTTGTGATCCATTAAGGTAATATATTATTTAGTATATAAATAGAATATACTTATTTAAAGAGGGATTAGCAAGGTTTGCTACTTAACCATATTAATAGCCTAATTAAATGAATGCTGAAGAAATGTGTATGCATTTAACTAATTATGCAATTAATAAAGACAATCCCAATTTTGTATTCAATACAGATGAAAAATAATTGGATATAGGACATAAAAGAAGTTTATCTAGTGTTTTTAAATTGTTATCATAATAAACAAATATTGATGAATTAATGGCAAAAATTAAGGATTTGATTATAAAAACATTTTGTTCAGTTTAACCATTTCTTTAATCTAATTATACTTAACCTGATAATTATGCTAACAATATGTGTTTTGAGATATTAGGATTTGATATCTTAATTGATAATACATATAAACCATATTTATTAGAAGTAAATCATACACCAAGTTTTACTGCAGATACTCCATTAGATGCTTTAATTAAAAAGAATCTAATAAGAGATACTATTACATTAATGAATATAAATTTAAAAGTAAAAAATGAACTTTAGTAATTGTAAAAAGAGTAGATGTAAAAAAGAGTCTTTGGTAAAAAACTTAAATTATCAAATGAAGAAAAGAAATCACTCAAAATTTAAGCCTAAATAGAAAGAGAATAATATGAATCTTAACACTTGGGGAATTTTGAAAAGATTTACCCTTGTGATAAATCTTATGATGAATATTTATAACATGCATAAAAAATATATGAAGAATGGACAGGAGCAAGTAATTTATTATAATATAAATATAGATATTCGTAGAAATATTAAAAAAGATAATTTTACTGAAAGAGACAAATTAACATAGCAAAGATAGATATAGCATTCCATAACTATTTAAGGCTCTGTTGATTCTAATAATAAATAATAAGTAGATCCTGCTAAATCTTCTAATAGAAAGAGTTTATATAAAAATGTATTAATTAAAAAAGAAAATAAATCAAATTTTATTAAGTAATATTTAATCATCATAAAATAGTAAAGTATTTTCCAATCCTTAAAAATCAATGACTGAATTACCTTAATAATAACCTCTAGAATAGAAATTATAAGATAGAGATGATAATGAAATTGCTTCTGAAGACTTTTAAAGTACTAGTAAATATTAAGACAATATTGAAAGAGCTAAAAGACCTCCATCTTTTTATGTTATGAAATCAATCAAATAAAATTAAGAATTGCAATTAGTAGACTTTTTTAACTATAAAAGAATCAGTATTCCTGAAACTTCTCCTTAATCTTAACCAAATACTTAATAAGTATTATAAATTTCATAGCAATAATAATTTAAATCAGTTACTTAATTGGCTAGAAAATTTTCAATTCGCAAATCAAATAAAAGCAAATTAAAATCAAGCGAAAGTGATTAAGAAGCAAAAAAAGATCTGATTCAAGCATTTAATTAATATTCTTAGATTTAGTAATAACAATAATAATCATCCTTTTTCTAATCTTAATAATAAAATTTTTTAAATTAATAACCATTACAAAATGGTTCATTTGTTAAACCAAAAGTATTTAATTTAAAATTGTAACCACCACATTTTAAAATACCCCCTTTTCCAATATTAATGCAATAATAAAATTACTATAAATTTAGATATGATTGATATTAATTTGTTTATTATTATAATCTAATCAAATACAAAATTCTTATTTCCATTAAATAAATTATAAGATTTCAGAATCTTATATAGAACTCTTTAAATTTTAAAGTACATCCAAAATACTATCATAAAAATTTACCTATTATAATTCTAAAGTTTACATCATTTGTCATTTATTATTTTAAACTATAAATTTGTATTGCCTTTTTAAATAAATTGTTTAGATCTAACCCTGTAAATTTATCAGTTATTTTAGATAATTCAGCTATTTAATCATTTTCCAACTTATATTCCTAATTTTGTAAACATTTTTAGTTAATAAATTCTAATCTTTCATTTTAAGACATTAATGGAATTTCTATTCTCTTTTCGAATCTATTCTTTATGAAATATTTATTTACATTCTTCTCACTGTAGTATGAATCTTCCAAGGCTAATTACTACATCCAATCACATTAGATGATAACTTTTCATTTTCTATTAAGTATTTAAGATTATTTTTTTCAAAAAAATTAAGCAACGTTTCTCGATTTTTACAATGTTCCAATTATTTAAGCAAAATGATAAAAGATTTATTTTTTATTTATTATTCTATTTGATTTACTAACTCTTAAATTGTATTTTGATCTTCCACTTCTATGATCATAGAAATATTTATTATCAATAATAAAGCCTTACATTCTGAAGCTATATATCTTAGTAATTCAGTTTTACCTGTACCTGTTGGCTTATTATAAATAAAAAAATATTTACTCCAAATAATAATGTTGATGTTTATAATTTTCGATGTCCTTAAAATAGATTAGGAAATTATATTGGCAATAAAATACGTTCATATAACATTTATTTTTATGCTTCCAAACCTATTATTTAGATATTATTATTTTAAGTAAATTGATGGATTTCAACATATTTAGAATATTAAGAATTAAATAATTAAATGTCTTTATAAGAGTCTTGAGTATATAAGAGTTCTATTTTATTAACTTAAACAATTTCAACTTCATCAGTTTATTGATTTTTTTGTATCTCTTTAGAAAAATTACTTAATTCTTCTATGTATCTTTTAAGCTATTAAGTTATAATTATAATTAAATTCTCATCTTTTTCATCTCTTAAATACTTTAGCAATTATGTACAACCTGTTTTCATTTTAGAATAGTTCAATTACTTCTTCTCATAATCAATTGTATTTAAATAGTTATTTCTACCTAAGATTAAAATTTTTGATTACCCTCTACTATTAATCTTAGTGATGAATTAAGTTCCTCCTCTAATATTTAATTAGACATTTAATTTTATAATATTTATAAAATTAAGAGACCAATATAATTATTAATAAATAATCATATAATATAATTTTAATAATTATTTATATTTTTTTAGTTTATTGGATTCCACTCTATTCACTTTCTATCTATCTATCTATCTATCTATCTATCTATTATCAACATAAAAATGTAAAAAGATTCTCAATCTTAGATAAGACTACTGATAGCATTTTGACTATATTTAATTATGTTTTACTTTGATTATTCTTTGATCTTAAATGGATATAGTTTTAATATTATTATTTATAAATTAATGTAGCAATCAAATCCTCTACTTTTGACAATCTCAAATATTTTAGACGAAATTATCAAATAAACAGATGCACTTGAGATAGAGTATAAATCTATTTTTCATGCAAATAAAGCTCCTTCAATTACAATCTACAATTACTTGCAAAGAATAGCTAAATACACACATTGTAGTGAATAATGCTTTGTTATTGCTCTTATATACTTAGATAGATTGTAAGAGAAGCATACATATCTTATATTAAATTCCCATTGCATACATAGGTATATATCTATTTTATAAAATTAATTTACAGATTTCTTTTAATGTCAATTGTGACCGCTATCAAATTTCAGGATGATGATTATTACAAAAATGAATTTTATGCTAAAGTAGGAGGAATAAATATCAAAGAAATAAATGTTTTAGAGTAAGAATTTTTAGAATATATGGATTATTAATTATTTATAGATGATTAACAATATGCCATATATGAAAAAAGATTGCTTGAATTTGGTGAAATTGAGATGCCATGACAATTTTTGAGGTGTATATTAATATTTGATTTTTTTTGTTCTTTTTAAACAAAAATTCTCTCATCAATTCAAAAAAAATATTATTTTTTTTATTAAAGATTCAACAACTTTATATATTATTTACTTTGATTTAGATTATATCTATATTTTTATGTTAAAAATAATTAAATATTAGTATACTATTATCATTATCTATATTTATATTAGATATGCATTTAACTATTATAATAATTGTTTTTAGAAAATTATGAACTATTTACTTTTATATAGATTATTTTAATTCAATATATATAAATAGTTTGTTTAAATATTAAAATCAATAAGTTTTTTCCATTAATAAAAATATTAATTAAATTAATACTTTGAACATTTAGAAATTATTGATAATATAAAATATTTTAAATATTTCAAATTCATTCTATTTAGTATTATCTTATTTTGAATTTGCATAAAATACTAATATAATTTCTATTATGATAAAGAAGAAGATTGCTCAATAATTTTAATTACCTACATCTTTTTAGTGTAGATATGTATTAGTAATTATAAAATGATTTTCTGGAGTATTATTATAAATAGAAAATAATTAGTAAATAGGTTTAATAGATTTCTTTGTTGTAAAGAACTGAAAAATTAACACTCATATTGATCATTTCATGGAGTTATCTCTAAAATTTAATTTTACAATAGACTTCTCTATGATTATAAATCAAATAATGATTTCCTTCAAATTATGGTTTTATTTTGTATTCTTATAATTGATTCTTATATTCCAAATTTATAAATACAATTTATAGATTAAGTTAATTATTATCAATAAAAAGGAATTAGAATTTGATATTTCAGAGTGATATTGATTTATCTAAGATAAATTCTTAATTCTTTACTTCACAATATAAGTTTATATAATTTGAGATCACTGTAAATTTCATCAAGATTACTTTGATTTATATGAGAACCAACAATAATATAATTTAATAAAATATTGATTATTTTATGGCATTTCTTTAAAAGTAGTAAATGTTGAAATCAATAATTTTTATACAAAAGCATTAACTGTTTGATATCGAATAGATGCAAAGTGCGCAATCAAAAAGGATTCTAACGAAATAGAGTCCATAATCAATTAAGTCAAATAAAGTTTAATTCTCATTTCAATAAAAGAATGTCAAACTCATTAACATAAATGTCAAAACAAAACTTCGATCATGTTCTTTCCCATCCTCATTAAATCCTCTTAAATATATTGAAATTAAAGGAATTAATAAGAAATAGTCTATTCTAAATACTCAATCTTCCTTAGGATCACAAAAATAACTTCGAAAACCAAGACCTATGATTTTAAGTGAAAAAGACATTTAAAAATAGTAGAATAAAGAGTAATTTAAATAAAGAAGAAGAAGTTGTGAATGTCAATTTTGTGGACCTTTAAGTAGATTCTAGAAATAATGTATGAATCATGAATTCAGGATACAACATATTGAAAAAGAACGAGAATCACCAATGCATAAATTTCAAAGATCAATTCGTAAACATTAAATTTATGTTATGGCACCATATCTATTTGCTATAGAAATACCTACTGAATCATTAGAATAATCTATTGTAAGAAAAAATACTTTCAAAATTGAGAAAAAAAATACTCAATTACTGGATGTCATTAAATAAGAAGATGTTCTTTAAATTAATTCTTCAAAAATTTTAGATAGTACTCCAACTAAAAAACCTAGTTTTTTTGAATCATTTTTAGTTAAATAAAAAGAAATTATAAATAGTGAAAAAAGTAAATTAATCAATAAATAGTTTTCGTCATTATCTTATCATCTTTTATCAAGAAATGCTTATAAATATATTAAACCATTTAAAACATAACTACCTTAAATACAAACATAATAATATAAATAAGAACCAGCCCTTTCTACAGAAAGAAGCTCATAAAAAAAATCTGAAAAAATAATTAAGGAACTTTACATTAAACCATTCATTCATAAATATCCATCAAGATTGAGATTGACAACTCTACCAGACTTAATTCCAAATAATTTTTTATGATTATCTATATGTTTATTAATTAGTTAATTTTTTTTGAATAATTCTATGCTACTATATATTTATAAACGAAAATATTTATTTAATTAAATAAAAATATTCATTTTTAATATATATAATTATATGAATTAAATTATAAAAAAAACGAATCCTAATCATATGCTAACACTCTTAAATTTAATAAAAACTAAAACTATCTCAATAATTTTTATTCATTATTCAATTTAATATATATTGTTTAAAATGTTAAAATAAGAATTAAGACTATAAATCGAAGTTTTAAAATACTAAATTTTATAATAAAAAGTAGTCATTTTCAAATTAAAATTACTTCTTTATGGAAATTGATCCAGAAAGCAAAGCTAGAAAACTTCGTTCTCGAATAATGGAACTCAATAGCAAGATGAATGAGTTATAATAAGAAATAGATGCAAAAGAAACAAGAAATACATTTCTTGAAAGAGAAGTATAAGATAGTGTAAAAAACCTCAATAATATGACTTTATATGTTTCAAAGTAGATTGAAATGATGGAAGCAGAAGCACCTTAATAAGAAATTTTAGATAAGAATCGTGTTAAAGAATTTTTTAGATCAATATCAAAATAAGTTTTAGAGAAATTTGGTTATCATATTGACAAATATTTTAGATACCTTGAAGAATGTGTTTAGGATGAATTTCCTGAATAAAATAATGGTGAAAATGATAACTAATATTAACCACCTCCTATGACTTGTGCAATATAAGTAAAATGTCCAAAAACATTATTATCAAAAGATGTTAAATTTTAAGATGATAATGTTGATTATGTAACAGCTACTTTTAGATATTCAAAAATAAACAGTTTTCAAGATTTAAAAAAAGCATCATTAGTTTATTGGAATATTTATAATATTGACTAAGTGAGAAAAGAAATGCATTATGATGCAGGACAGACTAGTTTTAATGATTAACCTATAAAATCAAATGGAAATAAATAGCCAGATTCTTAAGTGGCAGAATAGATAGATGATATTTTATAGAAATAATAACCAGGATTAATAAGTCCTGGATCTATTTAAACAACAAATAGAAACTTAGTTTCTCCATAAATTGAATATGTATAAGAATGTGGCAATACTGATTAAATTATGTTAGAAAAATTTTGTAATAGATATGAAATTGTAAATGATAATCAAGAAAATATACAAAATACAGAATTAATTGAACGTTATTATAACAAAGTATTATCTGATTAAAATATATCGTATCTATCTGTCACATTGAAAAAAAAAAGAATGAAAACTCATCGGAGAGGTCAACCTCCAGAATCAAGACAATCACATATTACAAGTAATGCTTAACCTGAAAAGAGTCAAATTAGTCATCCTCATTAAAGTGCCAATATTACATTTGATGGTTCAAAGGTAAGTGAAGAAAAGCCATTAACTTAAATTGATGAGAATGAAGATGAATATGATGAACAATAAGAACATGATTAATAAGATCTCAAAATTGGATTATTTAGAAAATATGTCTTTTTTTTTAATAGATTTCCTTTATTAAAAAAACAATTTGTTATTAATGTAGATAAAATTAAAAAAAGAGGTAGAAGTGCAGAGAAAAATTAAGCTGAAGAATTAAAAGGTGAAAAATTAGATGATAATCATATCTGTATTCTTTTCATACTAATAATCTTAATGGCTTTGAATATATTATTTTTATATTTCTTAGATAATGGAGCATATACATAATAGCATATCAAAAAAATAGAAAAAAGTTTAAATATTAATAAATTCCTTGCTATTTCTTCAATTGCTGAATTACAAGAATATTATATTAATCCTTAAGGTTTAATGTATCAATTTACTTCTGATAATTCAGATTTTAAAACATCATATGAAGTAATTGGAGCTTTGCGATTTCGTCAATTAAGAACTAGATATACTTAATGTCCAAATCCTATAAGAACTGATAAAATTCCATAAATTACTTGTAATTATGAAATATATAATGATTAAACCTTCTTTACTGATTAAATTGGTGATGGAAAAAAGTCTTGGATGCGTTTTACAGACTCTAAAAATGATAGAATTACTGAAGGATAATTTAGTAATTATGATTCAAGTGGATATATTTAGGATATCAGTCCAGATGATTTAACTCCTGTTTATTATATTCATAATATAATAGAAGGTATGTTCAATCATCCATTCTATTTTCATGAAACTCTAATTGCCTAAATCATGACAATGACAGTTAGAAGTAAAAATGATGGAATGTTTGTGTTTATTGAATTTCTTGTAGAAGTTACTGGAATTGGTATATATCCTAAATAACCTAACATTTTACCCTTCTCACCAAACATTTTTGGTAAAGGATCATCTTCACCATATTCTGTTTATGCTGAAATGCATTCAGAATCTCCTAATAGTCCTAATAATAAAAATATTGGATATATACTATATTTGATTACAGTACTTAAGATTATTGTTGGAATTATTTATACAGTATTTTAATTGATCAAAATGAAAGACTCCTTATCTTCAGGAATCAAATATTTTATATCAGTTGTTTTTCTAGTCAATTCTATGTCTTTGATACTCAATTTTTCAACTGCAGATTAAGCATTGTAGTTATTCAAGTAAAATATTAATGTTTAAGATCTTGTTTAAAAAACTACTTATGTTGATTTAGGGGATGTTGCAGATACTTATAAAAGTATCCTTGTTATGACTTCTTTATGTATTTGTGCCCATTTAATAAGAATATATCTGATGTTTAATATCTTTAAAAGTTTAGAATAAGCAATTGAAGCCATTGAATCTTAATATTTGTAATTATTATCCAGTTTCACTTTACTTTTTCTTATTTTGTCTGGCTTTGCTATTATACTTACATCTTAAAAGGGACCATATTTTGTTAACTATAGCCTATTTGCTAGATCTTTTGCATAGCTTATATTAATGCTTTGTAATAGTTCTAATATTGGTGAATTTTACGATACAGACCTAACATTTTCAATGCTTTTTATGATATTCTTTTACTTCATACTTTATTAATTTCTATTTGGAATTTTGGCTATCATTTATATTGACTCTTATAGACAAGTAGTTATCAGCTAAGGCTAGCCTGAATCAAAAATTCTTAAAAAAAATAATCTTATGAATTGGCTCTTTAACTGGTTACCGAATAGAATATATTAAAAAAAAATACAGGAGTGAATGCAAAAATATATATATTCGTTAATATTCATTATAATTCATCTATTAATTACAAATTCTTAAATGTATTTGCCATTTCATATTGTTCTTAAATATATAATTTAACATCTTCTAATACTTTTTGATTGACTAATTTATATTATTCCTCTTATGTCAAATCATGATCTAATGAATTCTTAATATAAAACTTATAAAATTAATTCATAATTTCACTTTTAGGCAAATCATCAACATCAAATTTAAAATCATTAAATATTTCTATTTTAATCTATTATGATTAAGAAANATTTGCAGTTTTAATATCAGTCATCTTTATTATCTTTGCTGGAGAAATTATTCCATAAGCATTATGTACTGGACCAAAATAATTAATTATTGCTGAAAAATTAACACCAATAGTTAAAGTATTAATGATTCTATTCTGGCCAATCAGTTATCCTTTGGCTAAAATGTTGGATTCCTATTTTGGTGAGCATGGATCTACTAGATTCCAAAAGAATGAATTAAAAGCATTAATAGAGTTGCATGGAATACAAAAACATGCTACAGGAGGTGGTCATGCAAGTGATGATTAAGGATTCACTTAAGCAGAAATAAATATGATTACTTCCACTATTGATTTGAGAGATAAAACTGTTGAATAAGTCATGATACCTATTAAAGATGTTTTCTCTGTTAACAAAAATAATGAACTTAATAAAGAAACTTTAGCAAGAATAGCATCATCTGGATATTCTTATGTTACCATTTATGAAAATTAAAAGGAAAATATTATTGGAACTATTAGATCAAAATAGTTAATTGATATGGAATTAACTAAAAGAAAGATATCAGAATTAGATAACCTTGTTAGACCTGTTCTATTTATCTAAAATGACACTTCTTTATTTGAAATGTTAATGATATTTAAATAAAAAAAAACTAAAATTGCATTTGTAGTCGAGGCTAATAAAATCGAATAAACTAATACTTCAAGAATTCCTAATTATTAAATTGTTGATGAAAAAATATCAAAAAAAATTATAGGATTGATCTCCTTGAAAATGCTATTTGAAGAAATTGTAAAGAAAGAGTTTCATGATTAAGATAATCATATCAAGTTTAATTCAGTATTATCATTTTTATTACATTTTAGTTAAAACCCCATTAAATATAACCAATTGGTAAATCATAAAACAAAATACTTATTGAGCCAGAGGAAAAAAATTGAAATATATATATCAATAAATTTTATATAATTATCTAATAGAATTTCATATGATTTATATTCATATTAATTCGCCTATTAATTTAAGTATTTGAAATGTATTTGCCATTTCATATTGTTCTTAAATATATAATTTAACATCTTCTAATACTTTTTGATTGACTAATTTATATTATTCCTCTTATGTCAAATCATGATCTAATGAATTCTTAATATAAAACTTATAAAATTAATTCATAATTTCACTTTTAGGCAAATCATCAACATCAAATTTAAAATCATTAAATATTTCTATTTTAATCTATTATGATTAAGAAAAACAATCGTCAATAACTTTCTTAACTGCCTCAAATGATCTAGTTGCTCTTTATTTATCTTTTTCTATGAATTATAATAATTCATTATATTATTTTTTTGAAATTCCATTTAATAAATAAGAATTTTATAATTTATCTCCATAATACTTTTAAAATTATTTAACAAAATAAGGTTAAAAATGACTAAGAATATACTATTATAATTTTTCTGATTCTTTAAGAGTTTCATTTTCCTACTTTTCTTTTTCAAAATCATCAAAAATTTATTCTCCAAATTAAATCTATATTTTTTAAATATCATTTAATTAAATAAGTAATTCTGTTTCACAATAATATCTTTACTTAATAATTTTATTATAATTTTCAAGTTCATTAACTTTCATTATTTAATTCTCGACATCAACATGACTTAATTAAAATATATATATTTACTTTTATATGAATTAATCAAGTATATCATTTATTTATTTGAATGCTTTTACATCATTAACATCTTTTAGATCTTATACTTATTTTATCAAAATATTAAATTTTTAATCTTTATAGTGTTCCAATAATTGATTAATTATTTTTTTAAAATCCTTTACATCTTATGTAAGATTTAATTCATATTTTTATGGATCTTAGACAATTAAATATTAAACTAAAAATATTTTATCAATTTGAATAATTGATTAATATGTAGTAAATTTATTGGATTCTGGCTTTAATTAAATAAAAACATTGTTTAAATTTAATTAATAATGGCATAATTTTTAATCACCCATTTTAATTAAATGCTATAAAATAGCTTTAATAATTAAAATAGCTTATCCTTTATAGATGACTATATAATTGAATTTCTAAATAAATATAATAAATACAATAGCATCAATTAAATCATTTAAACAAATACATTCATCATAAGGAATTTTATGTAGGATAAACCCATCTTCCATTTATTATTCTCTAACTAAATAAGGATTGTTTTCAATTTGATTAATTTACTCTAATTATTTATCATCACACTAAACTCTTTAACAAATAATTTTGAAATTCTACTAACCTTTCATTTATTTTATTTTATTATTAATATTTCTAATAAAATTAACTTAATCACATCTGTTTGATAATTTTTTATTATTTAATTTCTATAATAATTTTTTCTATTTGTACATATGTTTATTAAAAATAATAGTGAGGGGAACCTTTTCTAAAATTCATTAATAAACTCAATATAAATTATTTTTTTAATATATAATTAAGATATATAATAAAATCATGTAATTAATTATTTCTCTTTGTTTTATTTTAAATATCTTTAATTAATCTAAATCTACATATTTAATTTGTCATAATTTTGAAATATTATATATTTTTAAAATAATATTATTCATTAATAAAATTAAATTCGAAATGACTAATTATTCATGAAGAGTATTTATTGAAAATTTAAATTATTATTGGTAACTTTCACAATTCTAAAATATCATTTATTAAAAATAATATTATTATTTTTCATTTATGTTTCAACTGTCCTCCTTCAAAGTATTTTTTCCATTATAATTAATTTTTTTCAAATAATTTCAAATAATAATAGTTTTTATTATAGTTTTATATTTTATATATTTTTAGCTTAGTTTGAATAAAGGAATGATCAACAACCAGTTGAACATAATGAAATTACTAATTATCAATATACTTCTATGCATATATGATAATTTTATAATTTATAATAATATAAATTATCAGTGCTAAATCTAATTCATTTATATATATGAAGAAACATGATTCTATAAACATTTATGATTAGCAACTTTGTTTTTAATCCCCTATTAAATTGCTGACCAAACATATTTAATAATATTTAAGATAATTTTGAGATTCAAAAGGTTTCCTTCTTTTTATATTGTTATTAACTACTCTAATTAATAAATGTACTTCTAATTATTTGAAGAGATGATAATTTTAATATAAAGTCTTTCTTACTTTTAGAATAAAATTAATTTATTTGAAGTTAATCATTTGATTCAGTATAGTGAATCTACTGGGTCAGAATATATATAGTTGAAGCATTTTCTTTTTTTGATAATAAATATCGACTCCTATCAAAATTAATAAATTCACTGGTTGATAAGTAAATATTTAAATGTAAAACAAAATAAAATATCATTCTAAGACAAATCAAGAGATAAAGCATGAACAACTATCACCAACATCTTATTCTTAAATAACATTATAATCTTTCCAATTATCTACAATGTTAATATCAATTAATCCAATATTTGGAATTACTTCATCTCTAAAACTAATTTAATGATTCTTATCCTTTTTAATTATTTCATGATGAAACATATCAATTCTTGTTTTTTATTAATTGTGTTTTACATTATTTTCTGATGTCATTTTTTCAAATATCTAATTCAGCTCTTCCATCTCAGTCCAACTATCTCCGTTACATTATGAGACTTGAATCATTTATGAGCTCAGTTTTGTATTATTAAAAAATTATTAAACAATATCACTCATATAAAATATTAAAGTTGTTAAATTTATTATTATTATTTTTAACTCTCTTAATTAACCTATTGATATTTATTTGACAAAATCTATTCTATAATTTAATGTAGACATGCCTGGGATTAATAAATTTATATATTGGTTTAATCTCCTAAAATTATTAAGTCATTTATATTTTATTAATAACTAATTCTTAAAATTCTAATTACTTTAAAATTTATGTTTTTGAAATATATCTCTTTTTCTCAATACATTCTCGTATATTTATAGCTCTTGCATAAAAGATTTAAGCAGATTATTATTTAAAAATAAAATATATTAATAAAGTTCAGAAACCCTAACCGTTGATGTCAATTTTATTGTTATTTAATTGTAATAAATATCTGCATCTCCAGTAATAAATTCCATTTTTAATAAGAATGTTGATCATAAGATAAGCAATCTGAATTAAAGTTAAATAAAGGTAGTAGTAAAATATAAAATATATTCAAAGGAATGATTATAATATTTTTTATTTTGAATAATTCAAAAAAGATCAAAAAAATCAAGAATATGATAAAATTATATTTATAAAAAGGGTTATAAGCAATATTATCCTTAATACCATTATAAGATACATGCATCCAAAGAAAACTTATAAAATTAAGTAATTGAGGATTTTAATTAGGCAAATATTTTTATTAATTTAGAAATTCATAAAAAGTGATACTAAAGAAGGGTCTAATTAATCTGCTAATGAGATAGATATTTCAAAAAAATTCCTTAATTTGTGATTTTATTTCCTCTTAAATAAATTCTTATATTTTTGTTATTATTTTAATTTTATTATCAATCATTAAGAATTATTAAAACGATTAAATTATTAAATATCTAGTAATAGTTCTGAAGTATAAAAAAATGATTATGTATTTTTAGCTAATTTTTAAAGTATATTAGATGATCCAAAGGAGGCATAAACAGATCTAGAATCTCATTTTGAAGGCATAGAAGGAATCAAAAATTTCTTAAATAGAAATTTATTATTAGGGTAAGTAATAAAATGGAATTTAAAATGGTATATGAAGGTTTGGAAAGATTAAAATTTTTACTTCAAATATAATTATTTAATATCCAAAAAAAACTTTCGACTTAAAAAAATTAATATTATCTAATTTTAATTGAGCTACAGATTAATTATTCCTTACTTTTTAATTTTATTCCAGATTATAATTATTGCATCTGAGATTATGGATGAAAAATTTGCACAATTAAAATAAAATAACTCTAAGTAGTCTTCTTAGAAAAAAAAAGACTAATTTTTTTTCAACAATATTATCTAAAATATTGCTAAAATTATGAATATTGAGAAGTATGATTAGTTGCCATTGACCATAGATTCCATATATTGCAGAAATACTGAAATTTGCACTTTCTAATAAAATTTTCAGATATGCTCTCATATCTTATTGCTTTATTATGTGACATACGATTCAATATATCCTATAAGAGTAAGGGGACTATGTTTTAATTGCGGAAATTATTATTAGCCATTCAAATAATTCAGAATTAAACAAGATATTTTAGTTGTCAAATTCTTTTTTATTGCTAAAGAATTCTTTTTCTATTAAAAACGGATTTCTATTTCTTAACATTTTNGTTATTTAATTGTAATAAATATCTGCATCTCCAGTAATAAATTCCATTTTTAATAAGAATGTTGATCATAAGATAAGCAATCTGAATTAAAGTTAAATAAAGGTAGTAGTAAAATATAAAATATATTCAAAGGAATGATTATAATATTTTTTATTTTGAATAATTCAAAAAAGATCAAAAAAATCAAGAATATGATAAAATTATATTTATAAAAAGGGTTATAAGCAATATTATCCTTAATACCATTATAAGATACATGCATCCAAAGAAAACTTATAAAATTAAGTAATTGAGGATTTTAATTAGGCAAATATTTTTATTAATTTAGAAATTCATAAAAAGTGATACTAAAGAAGGGTCTAATTAATCTGCTAATGAGATAGATATTTCAAAAAAATTCCTTAATTTGTGATTTTATTTCCTCTTAAATAAATTCTTATATTTTTGTTATTATTTTAATTTTATTATCAATCATTAAGAATTATTAAAACGATTAAATTATTAAATATCTAGTAATAGTTCTGAAGTATAAAAAAATGATTATGTATTTTTAGCTAATTTTTAAAGTATATTAGATGATCCAAAGGAGGCATAAACAGATCTAGAATCTCATTTTGAAGGCATAGAAGGAATCAAAAATTTCTTAAATAGAAATTTATTATTAGGGTAAGTAATAAAATGGAATTTAAAATGGTATATGAAGGTTTGGAAAGATTAAAATTTTTACTTCAAATATAATTATTTAATATCCAAAAAAAACTTTCGACTTAAAAAAATTAATATTATCTAATTTTAATTGAGCTACAGATTAATTATTCCTTACTTTTTAATTTTATTCCAGATTATAATTATTGCATCTGAGATTATGGATGAAAAATTTGCACAATTAAAATAAAATAACTCTAAGTAGTCTTCTTAGAAAAAAAAAGACTAATTTTTTTTCAACAATATTATCTAAAATATTGCTAAAATTATGAATATTGAGAAGTATGATTAGTTGCCATTGACCATAGATTCCATATATTGCAGAAATACTGAAATTTGCACTTTCTAATAAAATTTTCAGATATGCTCTCATATCTTATTGCTTTATTATGTGACATACGATTCAATATATCCTATAAGAGTAAGGGGACTATGTTTTAATTGCGGAAATTATTATTAGCCATTCAAATAATTCAGAATTAAACAAGATATTTTAGTTGTCAAATTCTTTTTTATTGCTAAAGAATTCTTTTTCTATTAAAAACGGATTTCTATTTCTTAACATTTTAGATAATAATATAAAATGTTTACTGCATATTAATTCATTTTTAGATTAAATTACCATAAATAAGATTTTAAGTGGTAGATATAGTTATTGATTATATCAATTTTAATATTAAAATTTTACTTTTATTTTACATGTTTTAGTTTAAAGTTAATTCGTATTCACGTCGTTAAAGAATACATAGAAAGGGATAAAAAACTTTTAAAGGAGAAAAATTATCCATTAAGATAAAATAATTTTATTTTTAATTTATATTTATAAAATGATCTAATTCTAATGATTACCATTAATAATGTCATTAAGTCAATTTAATTCATTTATAAAAATCATTTTAAATACTTAAATCTCAATTTCTAACTTTATGCATTGAGTTTTTAGTTTAGATTTATACTAAAATTCTCTTGTAATGAACTTTCTAACTGAAAAATGAAATTTTTTATTTATTTATTATACATTATTGAATTTGATTTATATTTTTTTTAAGTAGTGAGATTGAGTCAAAATAAATTACAAACAAATCATAAAATTTGATTAATATCTAATGAATTAGTTTATATTATTAAAATTATGATTAGATTTATAAAATCAATAGAATTAATGTAATTATAATCAAATATTGATTAAATTGACTCAAAACTTTAAAATATAAATGTTTATTAATAATTTTCTATTAAATTATATTTATTACTAACAATTAGATAATCAAGATGATATGTTAATGAAATCACTATTAATAATAATAATTAATTATTTATATGACAATATTAACTTATTTAATTCAATAAATTTGTTGTTATTGTTACTATTATAAATTCCAATATAGCATATACACTTTTTGTTAGAAATCCTGTAAATCATCATTCAAATCAATAGTATTTTTTTTAATAAACTCTTCAGATATTTTAGTTTTCCACTGTTTAAGAAAATCTTCATCAATATTCTAATTCTAAAGATATGGATAATAATAAACAGCATTTAATAGTTCTAGTTTTTTATCTATCTGATCTTATTAATGATTTTTGTAATGTTTTACAAAATATGATCGCATTTCTTCATAAAAATCATCTTCTAAGGCCATAGATTTTAACTTTGTATCAATATAAGCATAAAGTTAAGGATCAATAATTGTGGATTAACCTAAAATGTTTAGATTTCCTTCATTTTACAGCAATTCCTATGATTCTAAGCATTATAATTCTTATTAATTTTCTGTTTCTTTCTAAAAATATTATTATTATTATTATTATTATTATTATTATTATTATTATTATTATTATTATTATTATTATTATTATTGATAAACTTGTTCAATTTTTTATTCTTATTTTATTATCTTGTTGGTTTATGGATTTTATTAAATAAAAGCATAGGATATTTGAGCATCTTTAATAGGCAGTGGTTATTCATCATTTTAAAAATATTGTTTAGCTTTTGGAATTTCAATTTTATCCTTAAAATTAGCATGGGTCAATAATTTATCTTTGATGTGATTTTTTAAAAATAAGTTCAATTCTTTATGATAGCTAGCTGATTTCAAAATATCAAGTACCTAGTTTGAAAATTCAGTTATGTATTATATTTTCTTACTTAAATCATCATTTTTTTCATAAATTTTAATATTAGTTAGGCTTACCAAAAATTATTAATGTTAAAAAAAGATGTCATAGGTAATTTTAATAATTTCTTTTAGATTCTCATCATAGGTAACCAAACTATTGTTAATATGTATATTAGTAAATGTAATTTCATTATTTTCAAGATTTACATAAATTGAATTCATATCAAGTTTTGATATATTAGAGATTTGATAAACTTTGAGCAATTTATCTACTATATTATTTATAATAATAATTAATTCGCCAATTGAATAACATTTGATTTGATTTTTCTATACATATATAATAAATGATTACTTCTTAGTTAATAATTTAGCTGAGATTTTAACTTTTCTCTATTGAGTACTTTATACTATCATTTTCATATTTAAACTCCTGTAATTTTTACATCTTTTGTATTTAATGATACCTTTCTTTTGTAATGTTTAACATCTTATTTCTATTAAAAATTTTATTTATAATTTAAACAAAATATATACACTTATGAATTATAATTAAAATTCATAATATCTATTAATAGATTTAAATAATTATATCTCATTTAAAGCTTCACATTCAATAAAACAAATTATAAAACATTTTTTTTAATATGAAATTTATTATTATATATAAAAACTTTTAATATTTAGATTGCTGATAGTTTAGAGCAAAGAAAATAATCTAAAAAGTATTTTTCTCCAAATTTTTTAATAAATAATAAAATAAAATAAATGAAAGGTTAGTAGAATTTCAAAATTATTTGTTAAAGAGTTTAGTGTGATGATAAATAATTAGAGTAAATTAATCAAATTGAAAACAATCCTTATTTAGTTAGAGAATAATAAATGGAAGATGGATTTATCTAACATAAAATTCCTTATGATGAATGTATTTGTTTAAATGATTTAATTGATGCAATTGTATTTATTATATTTATTTAGAAATTCAATTATATAGTCATCTATAAAGGATAAGCTATTTTAATTATTAAAGCCATTTTATAGCATTTAATTAAAATGGGTGATAAAAAATTATGCCATTATTAATTAAAATTAAACAATGTTTTTATTTAATTAAAGCCAGAATCCAATAAATTTACTACATATTAATCAATTATTCAAATTGATAAAATATTTTTAGTTTAATATTTAATTGTCTAAGATCCATAAAAATATGAATTAAATTTTACATAAGATGTAAAGGATTTTAAAAAAATAATTAATCAATTATTGGAACACTATAAAGATTAAAACTTTAATATTTTGATAAAATAAGTATAAGATCTAAAAGATTTTAATAATATAAAAGCATTCAAATAAATAAATGATATACTTGATTAATTCATATAAAAGTAAATATATATATTTTAATTAAGTCATGTTGATGTCGAGAATTAAATAATGAAAGTTAATGAACTTGAAAATTATAATAAAATTATTAAGTAAAGATATTATTGTGAAACAGAATTACTTATTTAATTAAATGATATTTAAAAAATATAGATTTAATTTGGAGAATAAATTTTTGATGATTTTGAAAAAGAAAAGTAGGAAAATGAAACTCTTAAAGAATCAGAAAAATTATAATAGTATATTCTTAGTCATTTTTAACCTTATTTTGTTAAATAATTTTAAAAGTATTATGGAGATAAATTATAAAATTCTTATTTATTAAATGGAATTTCAAAAAAATAATATAATGAATTATTATAATTCATAGAAAAAGATAAATAAAGAGCAACTAGATCATTTGAGGCAGTTAAGAAAGTTATTGACGATTGTTTTTCTTAATCATAATAGATTAAAATAGAAATATTTAATGATTTTAAATTTGATGTTGATGATTTGCCTAAAAGTGAAATTATGAATTAATTTTATAAGTTTTATATTAAGAATTCATTAGATCATGATTTGACATAAGAGGAATAATATAAATTAGTCAATCAAAAAGTATTAGAAGATGTTAAATTATATATTTAAGAACAATATGAAATGGCAAATACATTTCAAATACTTAAATTAATAGGCGAATTAATATGAATATAAATCATATGAAATTCTATTAGATAATTATATAAAATTTATTGATATATATATTTCAATTTTTTTCCTCTGGCTCAATAAGTATTTTGTTTTATGATTTACCAATTGGTTATATTTAATGGGGTTTTAACTAAAATGTAATAAAAATGATAATACTGAATTAAACTTGATATGATTATCTTAATCATGAAACTCTTTCTTTACAATTTCTTCAAATAGCATTTTCAAGGAGATCAATCCTATAATTTTTTTTGATATTTTTTCATCAACAATTTAATAATTAGGAATTCTTGAAGTATTAGTTTATTCGATTTTATTAGCCTCGACTACAAATGCAATTTTAGTTTTTTTTTATTTAAATATCATTAACATTTCAAATAAAGAAGTGTCATTTTAGATAAATAGAACAGGTCTAACAAGGTTATCTAATTCTGATATCTTTCTTTTAGTTAATTCCATATCAATTAACTATTTTGATCTAATAGTTCCAATAATATTNGTAAAAGCATTCAAATAAATAAATGATATACTTGATTAATTCATATAAAAGTAAATATATATATTTTAATTAAGTCATGTTGATGTCGAGAATTAAATAATGAAAGTTAATGAACTTGAAAATTATAATAAAATTATTAAGTAAAGATATTATTGTGAAACAGAATTACTTATTTAATTAAATGATATTTAAAAAATATAGATTTAATTTGGAGAATAAATTTTTGATGATTTTGAAAAAGAAAAGTAGGAAAATGAAACTCTTAAAGAATCAGAAAAATTATAATAGTATATTCTTAGTCATTTTTAACCTTATTTTGTTAAATAATTTTAAAAGTATTATGGAGATAAATTATAAAATTCTTATTTATTAAATGGAATTTCAAAAAAATAATATAATGAATTATTATAATTCATAGAAAAAGATAAATAAAGAGCAACTAGATCATTTGAGGCAGTTAAGAAAGTTATTGACGATTGTTTTTCTTAATCATAATAGATTAAAATAGAAATATTTAATGATTTTAAATTTGATGTTGATGATTTGCCTAAAAGTGAAATTATGAATTAATTTTATAAGTTTTATATTAAGAATTCATTAGATCATGATTTGACATAAGAGGAATAATATAAATTAGTCAATCAAAAAGTATTAGAAGATGTTAAATTATATATTTAAGAACAATATGAAATGGCAAATACATTTCAAATACTTAAATTAATAGGCGAATTAATATGAATATAAATCATATGAAATTCTATTAGATAATTATATAAAATTTATTGATATATATATTTCAATTTTTTTCCTCTGGCTCAATAAGTATTTTGTTTTATGATTTACCAATTGGTTATATTTAATGGGGTTTTAACTAAAATGTAATAAAAATGATAATACTGAATTAAACTTGATATGATTATCTTAATCATGAAACTCTTTCTTTACAATTTCTTCAAATAGCATTTTCAAGGAGATCAATCCTATAATTTTTTTTGATATTTTTTCATCAACAATTTAATAATTAGGAATTCTTGAAGTATTAGTTTATTCGATTTTATTAGCCTCGACTACAAATGCAATTTTAGTTTTTTTTTATTTAAATATCATTAACATTTCAAATAAAGAAGTGTCATTTTAGATAAATAGAACAGGTNGTAAAAGCATTCAAATAAATAAATGATATACTTGATTAATTCATATAAAAGTAAATATATATATTTTAATTAAGTCATGTTGATGTCGAGAATTAAATAATGAAAGTTAATGAACTTGAAAATTATAATAAAATTATTAAGTAAAGATATTATTGTGAAACAGAATTACTTATTTAATTAAATGATATTTAAAAAATATAGATTTAATTTGGAGAATAAATTTTTGATGATTTTGAAAAAGAAAAGTAGGAAAATGAAACTCTTAAAGAATCAGAAAAATTATAATAGTATATTCTTAGTCATTTTTAACCTTATTTTGTTAAATAATTTTAAAAGTATTATGGAGATAAATTATAAAATTCTTATTTATTAAATGGAATTTCAAAAAAATAATATAATGAATTATTATAATTCATAGAAAAAGATAAATAAAGAGCAACTAGATCATTTGAGGCAGTTAAGAAAGTTATTGACGATTGTTTTTCTTAATCATAATAGATTAAAATAGAAATATTTAATGATTTTAAATTTGATGTTGATGATTTGCCTAAAAGTGAAATTATGAATTAATTTTATAAGTTTTATATTAAGAATTCATTAGATCATGATTTGACATAAGAGGAATAATATAAATTAGTCAATCAAAAAGTATTAGAAGATGTTAAATTATATATTTAAGAACAATATGAAATGGCAAATACATTTCAAATACTTAAATTAATAGGCGAATTAATATGAATATAAATCATATGAAATTCTATTAGATAATTATATAAAATTTATTGATATATATATTTCAATTTTTTTCCTCTGGCTCAATAAGTATTTTGTTTTATGATTTACCAATTGGTTATATTTAATGGGGTTTTAACTAAAATGTAATAAAAATGATAATACTGAATTAAACTTGATATGATTATCTTAATCATGAAACTCTTTCTTTACAATTTCTTCAAATAGCATTTTCAAGGAGATCAATCCTATAATTTTTTTTGATATTTTTTCATCAACAATTTAATAATTAGGAATTCTTGAAGTATTAGTTTATTCGATTTTATTAGCCTCGACTACAAATGCAATTTTAGTTTTTTTTTATTTAAATATCATTAACATTTCAAATAAAGAAGTGTCATTTTAGATAAATAGAACAGGTCTAACAAGGTTATCTAATTCTGATATCTTTCTTTTAGTTAATTCCATATCAATTAACTATTTTGATCTAATAGTTCCAATAATATTTTCCTTTTAATTTTCATAAATGGTAACATAAGAATATCCAGATGATGCTATTCTTGCTAAAGTTTCTTTATTAAGTTCATTATTTTTGTTAACAGAGAAAACATCTTTAATAGGTATCATGACTTATTCAACAGTTTTATCTCTCAAATCAATAGTGGAAGTAATCATATTTATTTCTGCTTAAGTGAATCCTTAATCATCACTTGCATGACCACCTCCTGTAGCATGTTTTTGTATTCCATGCAACTCTATTAATGCTTTTAATTCATTCTTTTGGAATCTAGTAGATCCATGCTCACCAAAATAGGAATCCAACATTTTAGCCAAAGGATAACTGATTGGCCAGAATAGAATCATTAATACTTTAACTATTGGTGTTAATTTTTCAGCAATAATTAATTATTTTGGTCCAGTACATAATGCTTATGGAATAATTTCTCCAGCAAAGATAATAAAGATGACTGATATTAAAACTGCAAATGCTGGAGGAACAACTTTATCAAAAAATATAGGAAGTGATTCCATACAGAATGCATTTCCTATAAGTAATGTACAAAGAAGCATATGATGCTATTTTATGATTGGTAAAATAATATTTGCTTACCTTTGTTATTCATGTGTTCCTTATTCTTTATAAATTTCTAATTGTAATTCATCAACTGATAAATAACCTACCGTCATTCCAGAGCAGACGGCTGCCAAACCGATTAATGCTAATATTGTGAAATATATTTAAACTTGCAGCTATAAGTAAACAAATCCAAAAGTCAATCTCTGTGGGGGAATATGTTCTTCTTACACTTCTGTGTTCTTCCTCATTTTTATGTTCTGTTAGATCATTTAATCTCTCATCTTCTGACAAAAATCTTCTTGTTTGAATCACATTTTCAACATTGTGAAATATAGTAAATATTAACAATGTTATAGATATTGAACTTATAAGGAATTTTTTTTTATCAAACATTAATTAATGAAAAATCAATAATTGAAATAAGTATGAATCCTACATATTATAAAACATTATAATACTTAAATCCTTAATAGAAACTAAAAAATTGACTCTAAATTCTTAAAGAGTCCTCCTGTTATTAAGAATATAAAATATTTAATCATAATATGATTTAAACTATGGACATTTAGACATCCATTTATACACAAGAATTCTAATTCAAATTAATCCTTTTAGAATCTTATTTCAAATTAGATATATTATATATTATATAATATAAATTTTGAAATCAAATAATTTTTTCTGAAGATTCTATATGAACCAATAATTAAAAATCTTTCAGAAATGAACTTATAAAGTAAATTTAATAATATTATAAAAATACCATATTAAATTTTAATAACTTTAGAGAAAGTCTTAACAAAGAATTTCTTGATGATAAGAATCTAATTTATAAATATCTCTTATCTTAATTACATAATTTTTTTTTCAAAATTAAACAAAAAATTTATTCAATATTTTTTACTTTCTTATTATTGAATAGATTACTAAGGTGCTTGTTAAGAGAGAGAGATTTGTAATTCTTTTGTCAAATCAAAATCTGTTTGAATTTCACTATAACCATAATTAATAGAGCTTAACATTTCTAAAGGATTCATTGATTTTTCTGACCAATCTTATATAGAATATGTTTCATTTTATATTTTTTCATATCCTTATAGTTAATAATATGTATAAACCTAACATTTCGTCAATGAATTTTAAATTCTCTTTAATTTCCTAATGAGAGTCTTCAATACCTTGAAGTGATTTATATCTGAGTTTAGAATCCTCAGCTTTTCCCAACCAACTATTAGAAAAACTTGATTATAGAAATGAGAATCCAAAATTACATTAAAAGGTTTCACTTAAGATATGATCAAATTATTAATCATTGATTTCATATCTAGAAGTTGGAGGAGGTAAGAATCTAAGATCCTTCTCATAAATTAAATATTGATTTCCCTTTTGGCATACTATGATTAATATATTTTCTGCATAATTTTACAAAAACTAAAAGAAACTTTAGCATTAGAATTTTTAATAATTAAACCATTCACCTAATAATTGTGATAAATCATAATATAATTAATTAATGCTTATCCCATACTTATGTTTACTTAATATGTTCTTCAACAAATCTAAAATAATGGAAATACATTTCTAATTACTAGAATCCAATCCTATTTTGTCTAAGATCAACTTTTATTAATTACTTTAATTTTTATTCCAAAATTTTGTCTAATTCAATTTAGCAATAACATTATTTCTACCATTATTTTCAATTTATATAACATCCTTGACTGTTTCTATAAAGTTTCTTAATTTTGGGAATCCGAGTTCAATTAAATTTAATTCAAAACTTACTCGTTTCTTTAATAATGTAGGTATTTAAGTTAACAATACACTCTTAATTAAAGATGATTTCATACCCATCTAAATTTTCTAATAATAATTGAATTAATTATTCCTAAAGTTCCTTAATTTTCATTTTAATATAGGGATCTCCATCTAAAGAACTATCAGTTGTATATTCTGATTTCTCTCTGTTATCTTAAACTAATACTGTTTTAGTGTTTCTAATATGGTTTTTATTAACAGCCATTTGCATATATAATGTTAATCTACCTAACGATAACTCTCTCAATTTCTTAGGACCTAAAAGTTTTATAAATTAAGCACACCCATATCTACCACTTTTTAAGATTTTATTATTTTGAACACTGTTTTTGTCAAATATGCTTTACAAGTATTCAATAAATATATTCCATTCTTGCTTCTAATCTAAATCCTATTAAAACTCATCTTCCACATGCCAATTTTACTTTTAAAAATAGATTCCTTATGTTTCTTCTTAAATCAAAGGATCTTTAATTTTAATTACTTAAATAATAGGTAATTCAACTGATTTCCCAAATGAAGATCCAAACTTAGTAACTTATTTTGATGATTTAATGTAATTAATAATATGATTCCATTCATATCTACTGTATTTAAATCCATAACATTCTTTAATTCTACTCTAAACCAATCTTTCTGTTGGAGTAATTAAATCTTTCTTTATTGATTTAATAACCCAAAATAAATTTTCATAAGTTAGTTTTTTCACTGCTAATGCATAAAAATTAATTTTAGTTCCATTAAAATTTCGTATTTTTTTTGAAATCCATCCTTTGTCTAAGATTTAATTGAAAAATTCCAGTTAATTTTTACTATTTTTATTTTAATCAAATACATATTTATTTAGCTCTGTTTGATCAAACCATCTATTTATTCAATTGTATAAATTATTGTACCTGTATAACACTAAGATTTTAATAATGTAAGGAAATGATAAATTTCAGAAGGTAGAGTATTATATAATGTTTCCCATTCAAGAATTTCATATGTTAAAAAATTAAACTAAATAAAAAATTTAATTACTTTATTGTTGCTTAAGGTGTATGAATTTGAAATACATGATTCTTTGGTTTATAGAATAGGTTCAGTTTAACAATTTATTAATTTTTAATGGTTCTCTTAAGATGATTCAATTTCTAAATAGTTACTTTCATTTAGAAATTAAAGGAGAGAGTCTTCTATAATATTTTTTGGTTGGTTTATTGACTTTCCTGTTGATAAAGAAATTTGCTATTAATATTACATTTATATTATAATTTTATTAAATCTCTGATCCAATATTTAGAATATACCTTTAATATGAATTAAGTTAATATTATTCAACAAAAAATTCAGAATAAACCGAAATAGTAGTATAGTTATAGATTTTAAGTTTGTATAATAATCAATAATATTAAACTAATTCATCATATCTTTATGATTGATTCCATGGTTATTGAACAGATTATTAAATAAATGGTGTCAAAATGGATTATTGGATTGGCTGTTGAATTTATTATTAAATAAGACCATATTATGGAAATTATTATTATTAATATTGAATTCTTGATGGAGCATTAGAAATTGCTTGATTTTTTAGTACAGTTTCATATTTTTACAATTATCTAATAAATCCTACATTTGGATGCACTTATCTTCTTTTAGCCTTAACATTCCAAAGTGCTTTTTCAAATGATAAATTATATTTTTTCATTAAGTAGGCTGTAACCATAGATGCTGATCTACTTATACCTGCAAAGCAATGCACGAAAACATTTGTGTATTTTCTATGTCTATCAATAAATTCATAAGCCTATTCAAAATGTTATATGATATCATAATCTGCTTTATCATGAGCCATAATAATTTCATGAAAATGAACAACATGCTCCTAGTATTTTACTGCAGTCTCTTGACTTGCTGTCAGAACTGCTCGAATCTTTAATTTTCTTAATAGATCAATATTATTAGCTGCTTCCAAATTCCCTAAATATAAGCCACCTTCTTCTTCGCCTAAAATTTTCAATTGATTTATATACTTGGTTCAATAATACAAGTTATTGGTTCAGGATCGACTATTTTAGGCACTGATGGAACATATTTAACACTATTATTTTCAAACATTATTTAACTGATAATTTAATTTAATATAATAATTATAATCCTTCTTTATTAATTTTTGGATATAGAGTGCATAATTCATATTTAATTCAGAAATTATAAGATAATAAAAGAAAAATTATAACAATATAATCTAATTTAATATTATTCTTTGTATCTCTAAATATCACTAATATTAATTCATTCATTAATATAAACTGTATGTTCCAAACAATTCAGAATGTGATACCTAATTATTTATTCNCTGTTGATAAAGAAATTTGCTATTAATATTACATTTATATTATAATTTTATTAAATCTCTGATCCAATATTTAGAATATACCTTTAATATGAATTAAGTTAATATTATTCAACAAAAAATTCAGAATAAACCGAAATAGTAGTATAGTTATAGATTTTAAGTTTGTATAATAATCAATAATATTAAACTAATTCATCATATCTTTATGATTGATTCCATGGTTATTGAACAGATTATTAAATAAATGGTGTCAAAATGGATTATTGGATTGGCTGTTGAATTTATTATTAAATAAGACCATATTATGGAAATTATTATTATTAATATTGAATTCTTGATGGAGCATTAGAAATTGCTTGATTTTTTAGTACAGTTTCATATTTTTACAATTATCTAATAAATCCTACATTTGGATGCACTTATCTTCTTTTAGCCTTAACATTCCAAAGTGCTTTTTCAAATGATAAATTATATTTTTTCATTAAGTAGGCTGTAACCATAGATGCTGATCTACTTATACCTGCAAAGCAATGCACGAAAACATTTGTGTATTTTCTATGTCTATCAATAAATTCATAAGCCTATTCAAAATGTTATATGATATCATAATCTGCTTTATCATGAGCCATAATAATTTCATGAAAATGAACAACATGCTCCTAGTATTTTACTGCAGTCTCTTGACTTGCTGTCAGAACTGCTCGAATCTTTAATTTTCTTAATAGATCAATATTATTAGCTGCTTCCAAATTCCCTAAATATAAGCCACCTTCTTCTTCGCCTAAAATTTTCAATTGATTTATATACTTGGTTCAATAATACAAGTTATTGGTTCAGGATCGACTATTTTAGGCACTGATGGAACATATTTAACACTATTATTTTCAAACATTATTTAACTGATAATTTAATTTAATATAATAATTATAATCCTTCTTTATTAATTTTTGGATATAGAGTGCATAATTCATATTTAATTCAGAAATTATAAGATAATAAAAGAAAAATTATAACAATATAATCTAATTTAATATTATTCTTTGTATCTCTAAATATCACTAATATTAATTCATTCATTAATATAAACTGTATGTTCCAAACAATTCAGAATGTGATACCTAATTATTTATTCTTTGTCTGATCATGTATTATTGCATATTAGGAAGATATAATTTCTTATTTGTTATAGTATTGTTCTCATTGATATGATTAGAATAATATTAATTGAGGAAAATTAAAGCAATTAAGAGAATATGGATAAGAATGCATTTAGAAATAACAAAAGAACCAATTTGAAATTGTTTGATGGAAAAATTTTAATAATAAAATATTTAATGATATGTTTACTTTGAAAACCAAAACTATTCAATCATTTAAGTGAAATCTTAAAATTATTGATATTATAAAAAGATTTTATATATATTTAATTTTTAATTTTTTGTTTTAATGCAAGACACTTAACTATCCGAAGCAATCACATAACTTGATTCTATAAAAAAGAAAATTCATAAAATTAAGACTCATAATGAAAAATTTCAAAACAACATGAAATTGTGTCCATTTCCTCCAGGATTCCATAATACATCCCAAAATCTATGTCCCATAAAGCTTTAGATACCCATTACATCATTAAATAGTAAAGAGACAATTTTAGAAGAACTAATTTTATGGGATTTTGAAGATGATTATTCAGATGAATAATTATTCAGAAATCTCTTTACTATAGTAACAGATCTCTTAGAAGAAAAATATCCTACTAAAGTGGGAAAACTAACAGCTTAGGAAGCACAAAGTAAACATTTTTAGTAATTATATTAGAAATTATTGATGACTGCTTGTCTTAGATTAAATAAGCCATTGAAGATCATAAAAAATTGAAACATATATCAGATATATTGGTGTTTGAATCATATATTGATAAAAATGATTCAATGATCAATTTATAGATATCAACATCTAAATTCAATGAAACTATATAATGGGATTTAGACAATGCTTTTTAATAGTACTTATTTTATTCTACAATATAGTATTGATGAATTTGTATATACTTATTGTTATGAAAATAAATTAGGTTAGGAAAATATTGTTTCAATTGGAAATTAAATTAGAGAATAAATATAAAAAGCATTTGATAAAAGGTATAACTTATTATCAAATTTTATATTGGAGGATCGATAAGGTATTACAATTATTTATATTAATGTAGACTTTAAATAGAAGTTATTTTCTCTCTTAGATTATCCTTCATTTGAACCCTATCAACCAATTAAAGAAATACCTTCGAATAATGAATTGAATGCATTTTTTAAGAAAAACCTAGAATTATTGCCTCCGGAATTATAAATATTATATGGGCAAAGACCAATAACAAAATAATTGTATAATCTCAATAAATAAATTTAGGAATGATATGTATGTGGATTAAGAAGATTTGAAAAAGTTTGAAAAAGAATTTAATTAGAAATCTAAATACTTTGATAATGTTATAGTTTAGGACTTGCTCAATAGAACTAAATAAAATTGATGTAGATATTAGTAATTTTATGTTTATTAATTAATCCAATTTAATTAAACTAAAATGTTACATCCAAAAGAATTTAAAATTGAAATTGTCATAAACATTACATAATTTTTCAGATAAATTTATTAATATATCACAAATCCTACCTTCTTTCTTAAATGTAATTAAGGGTTTTCAAAATTAAAGCTTAAATATCTAAAAAGCTAGATAATGAATACAAAGTCAATCCTATCATTAGAAATCCATTTAAAAATTTTTATTTGGTTGAATTTTGAGATTAAAGGAATTCCTAATGTTCTTTTACTAATTCATTGATAGTACCTAATTCCAATTATTTTAGTTAATTATTTCTATTTATTTACTTATTTCTAATATCTGCCAATTATTATGATATGATGATTGTAACAACTATTCTATAAATATTCAAAAATTCAAATAATGGTAATGATGCAAAGAAACTAGAATTTTAAAAATATTATGGTTATTCAACTAATTAAAAATCTACATATCCTAAAATGAGAATTAAAAATATTAAATATTTTGATTGATTCTTCGACTCTTAAGTATTTACAAGCTATATCAAAAATATAATCATGTAGAAGAATATTCTTGTTAATTTTATTCTATATATTATTGTTGGTAATGGATTAATATTGCTTTCTACTACAACCCCAAATTAATCATATACTAAAATAAGAATAGTCTATACATAATCTTGCCTCGTCAGATTTTAGTATTTCATTTATACTTTTCAAGTAATTAAATTATTCTGATGTTATTTGAGTATTACGATCAGGATGATAATCAAGCATAATTCTCTTGTAAGCCTATCTTAATTCACTCTACTCAAATTTTCTTGTTATCTAATAATTTCTAAACAATTTTACTTTATACTCCTCATAAAAGTTAATTGGCTTGTATGTTAGATATATGTATATTTCAAGAGCAACTATTAAAATGTATAAAATCTTTTAGATGGATCCTTTAAACTATCCCAATATCAAACTTAAGAATGCCACGTTGAAGAAAATTACTCCAATTTAATTTAATAGCATTGAATATTTTTATATAAAATAATAATTGTATATAAGTATAAACTATGTAATACATTTGTGTTAATGACACGTATAATAATGAGGATGGATCTGATAAGCAAATAATAATTTGAGATTCTTTTTATATTGAATAATAATTATGTTAATTTTATTGATAATATCAACATTAATACCTTTATATAAGTGTGAATCCATTCTCTTTAACAACAGTTATCTTACAGAAATTAACAATATGAATTTTACTTTAAAACAAGAAAACTTCTATTTAATATAGGTATGAATTAGATTTGTATGTGACAAGTTATAAATTCTTGAATTTCCAAAAGATCAAAGATTCTCTTTATAATTAATTGTGACATCCAAAAAAAATGATATAAATCTAACATTTGTTGATGCAGATGCATTTCATGAAAAAGTTGAGTTTTAAAATATTTATGTTAACAAAACAGATGAAATAGCTATTAATGTTTTATACAAAAAAATATGTAATTATTAAGCAGAAGATATTCAACAATTCAATTACTCAATATTTTTGATTGAATCACCTTAAGAATAAGTTTAATGTAAGTTCCCTTATTACTTGATTAATTGTACATAGTAATTAAGATCTGAAGAGATACCAAATACATAAATTACAATTGCCAAGAATAAATGGATATATTTTTATTATAGAATTGAATAAAATGAATATTAGGTAATGTATTCCCTTTGAAATAGTTATTAATAGAGAATGGCAAATCTGATATTGGAGTGTCATTGGTCCCTTTTAATATTTCTCGAATAACTAAACTGCCATCCTTTAATTCTTATTTCAGTTTGATACCTTAAGAATACATATATCAAGTAAAATTAAAAAGATAAGGAAATTAATTGGATTCTGTTGTAATAGTAGGGTTATATAATTTCAATTAAACATCTGAGGCAGAAATAAATTTATCTTTAGATTCAATTATTGCTTCTGATGATACTTTCCCTATTTGGGGAATCCTTGTAATAATTGGAGTAATAGTTTTGGCAATATTAATCATAATTTACTTGGCAATTCAATTTAGGAGACAATTAAAAGTGCTTTCTTTAGAAACCCCTGAAATTGGTTTAGAAATGTTAGATAAATATATGCCATCTAAAACGGTATAATCTTCAATGTTGAATGATTTTTGTTGTATCTGTTTAGTAAATTATGAAGAAAATGATATTATAAGAGAAACTCCTTGTGGTCATACTTTTCATGATAAATGTATAATTGAATGGTAAAATAATCTAAATTAATAAAGGTTTAAGAAGAATAAAAGTTGTCCATATTGTAGATTAGAATTTACAGAGGAAGAGTTCCAAAGATTAATGTTATAAAAATAAACAGATACAAGTCCTGAAAATAAAAAGAATTAAAATTCTAATTTTATTTAAAGAGTTACAAGTTTAAAATTAATTCAAAATACAAATTAATAACAAAGAAGAAATCTTGAAGATTCTACTTCCTAATTAAATTAAGTCGAAGAAATTCCCTAATAAAATTATGTTCAACCATTTAACATTTTTGATTAAGCTGATTAAAATTGAATTTATAATTTATAATTATTTAGAAAATTAAATAAATAAGAAATAATATGAATTAAAGCGAATTAAATTAATAATTAGGATATGCCTTTTAATTGATTTAAACAGGTATAATACTTTCAATCAATTTATTAGGCAAAAAGGAATTCTTTTCTGGATTTGATTAAGCAGCTAAGATTGCTGCATACGAAAAAATGAATTTTGGTTATGAATTAATTATAAATTATAAGAACGAACTAAATGATTAGATTCCTTTTTCTATATATGATCTAGAAATTGAAGAATATAAAAAATAACTAATTAAGTTAAAATAGCTTTTATTATTGCATAATTAATAAAACAAAGATGAAATAAGTGATATTTCATAAAAGTAATTAATCTAAATTTATCTGCAAGATTACCTTTTGAAATGGATTTCATTTTAGTAAATGAAAAACTAAATATTCAAGAAGATTAAATTTTATAATTACCTTCTATTAAAAATATAATGAAAGAAATAGCTCTTCCTTTTAGATTTCCTTAAATTTTTCAAAATAATTATCATCTTTTTGATAAAATACTTATATATGGAGTATATAATTCTTATATATAAAGCCTCCTAATTCTGGTAAGAAATATTTAATAAAATATTGTACTTCAGTTGCAAATGCCACACTTATAACTTTGTCAATTTCATAATTAATTAATAAATAGTTTGATAAACCTTCTTGTTATATTAAATAAATTTTTAATTTTGCCAAATAGAAGCAGCCCTCTATTTTATTAATTTATGATCTTGATTAAATAAGTCATTAGAATTTAAACATTGATCGAACTAATTTAAATATATTTGTTGAATTATTAATTGAATTAGATAAATAAAGACGATCAGACTCTTTAACATTTTAAATCATTGGAATAACAAGTTATCCATGGAATTTAGATCCTCCAGTAAGAAGAAGGTAGAATTATTTATATATTAATTTAGATTTGCTAAAAGAATTTATGTACCTTTACCAAATCATGAATAAATTGTAGATTTGTTAAAATAAAAGCTTTCAAATATGAAAATTAACATTACTTAAGAATAATTTGTTCAATTAACTAACCTATTTGAAGGCTACACATGTTGTGATATTTCCAATATTCTATAGATGTCTTATGATTAAGCTGTGAATATTAATAAATAGAATATAAAAATAAAGGTAGAATGCACAGAAAATATTGTAAAATATGTAAAATTAAATTATAAATTAGGATGACATTCTTCATGTACTTAAAAAATACAAGAAAACAATCTCCTAAAATTATATTAATAAATTAGAAGAATGGAAAGCAACTTTTGATGACTGAATTTAGTTATATTCTTATTATGCATCAATCTGAAAAAAAAATTAAAATTCTTTATTTATTATTTATTATAAACCAACAAGTGGTACTTTTCAAGATTCTTTACTATTATTTAAGAAGGTATAAATTATATTTATAAGTCCTTCTTTTTAATCCTTATTGATTTTATGATAAAAATTAAAAATCTGAGTTGTTCATTTTTAGAAGCGAAAATATTCTATACGTCATTCTTAATATTTATTCTGAAGCATTATAATTACGGAATAAATATAATTTCATTATAATTATTTGTTTCTATAATGCTTTTAATATGAAGATTGAATAAATCAATAGTATCAGAATATACAAATGATATTAATACAATAAAATCCACATATTAAAGGAATTTAGTAAAGAAATTGATATTAAATATTTAAATAGAAGTGTGTTGTTAAAAATAAAAACCTTTATTTTTTAATAATAGAAATTCGGAGTATGAAAACAAAATAGTTGTTAAAATTTTATTATATAATATTTAAATGAATATATCACTCGATTTGTTCAGTTACTTCAACTTATAAATTTTATCTGTCTCTAAGCTTAATAATTTCTTAAAATGTTGTCCTATTAATATGTTTTCTAATCTATTAAAGATCAAATTTTATTTTAGTATTATTTGTTAAAGAAGAATAAAAGAGCAAGTTTTTTTAACTATCTAAATTTTTCTTACATTAGTAAATATAGATTATTTCACCTATCTCAAATTTTTCCTCTCTTTATGTGGCAAATTTATTTTTTAATAACACTTCCACAACCTAAATTCCATCTTTTAACAAAATTTTTATAGTTCTAAAAGGAAAATCTCTTGAGGACTTATCTAAATCACTTACATCTTAAATCACTCCTAATAAATTTGAATAAGGTTCTCTTAAGGCATCAATTTTCAATTCTTCCTTTTTAAGTGGAGTGATCTTTTTGTAATAATAATTTAAGGACTTAATAGGCACAACCATTTTATTTTCAATTTTATAATTCTTAAAACAATACCATTTACCCTTTACTAAGGTTTTTTACCCAGATTTTCTATCCCAATCAAAATATACAAAAGGTTAAGTCTCTTTAGGTTATCTTACTTCGTATGTTCTTATGTCTTTATCTATGCTTTCATAAACTATTTAGTTGCATCCTAAATATATTTCAGTTTGATTTTGCATTCAATTTAATAAATGTTTTTCTTTTTTAAAACTTTTTTTTTATAAAATATTAATATACAAATTTTCGATTTAATTAATTGCAATTTAAATATATATTTATTATATAGAATAATTAAATATAATAGTATTTTGATTTTAAATATATTTAATTCATTTCATTTTTTTTATTTAATAATAATAATTAATTTACATAATGAATTCTATTAAAAAATCAAGGAAGGGATAATAATACAAAAAAAAAATAAATAAAGAATAGAGAGATTTGATTAAGTAATTGTTAATTGAAAAAATCAAAAACCCTTCAGAAATAGCAAAAGAATATAATATACCAAGATCAACAATTAATTCTTATAAAAAATCTAAAAGACCCATGTACGACCCATTAAAAAATGCTATTTTAAAAAGAGCTGAGAAATGGGTTGACATGAATTTTGATACTCTAAATAACTATAAGAGTATTCCTTAAGTAAAAAAATAAATAAATTCTTATTTTAACAAAGAATGCTTCTTTTCGAATTCAGAAATGAATCCATTATTCTATTTAATTCCAAAAAGCAAATAGAATTCTAAAAAACAAAGAATCCATTAAAAAGTCTTATAAGAAGTATTTACTTATTTTTAAACGAAAAAACTCTTAAATAATAACTAGACTAATGAATAATACTTTGCTATAGGTACTGTTATTGAAGTAGAAATTTATGAAGCTTATATATAAAATTGCGGTCAAGAGGAACCTTATTAAAACATTTAAAATTTATATCCAAATAATACTTAAGTAGTATAATCTGATGAGTCTTTTAAAGTATTCAATGAAGATAGCTTTAATTATTACTACTGAGAAATAATTTAATGATTATATTTGTGTATAGTATATATAGATAAACTTCTATTCTAAACTTTTATATTATTCAATATTTAAAAATATTGTAAATTATATATTTTTGGTTATAAAAATATAATGAGTGAAGAAGAATAATAATTATAATCTGGAAGTGGAATAAAATAAGAAGCAGCAATAAAACATAGAAGAAAGAAGGAGGAGATAGAGAAGGATTTCATATGCGGTGATCCAAATTGTGGCAGAAAGTATGGAACAAATGCTGCTTTGTATACTCATATAAAAAATAAACATAATGGTGTTCCACCTGTAACAAATTTGGATTTTATTTAGATAGACTGGAACTGTTAAACCTTCAACATCAAAAAAGACCAAAGAATAAACTCCTATTATTGATTAAATGGATGATGAATTAAGCAAATCAGTGGCTACTATGAATGATCCTGATTTTATGAAGTTCACTATTATGATTAGCAATTTGGGTCATTTTAATGATAAAAATATTATTGTTAGAGATGCTTAAGAACCTTGTTTTTAATTGGAGGAAGAAAAATTGTTGGATTTATACGAAAAAGTATTATAAAAATAAAAGATGTTAGATTTTGAAAGGAAGTAGATAAATATCAGAAACTCAAGGGAATTCTGTTTTTACTAAAAAAGCAGAGATGTATTTGAAATTTTCTTCTCCTATTTGGAAAAAGCACATAATAAATGAATTATATACTGTTTTGATATATGCTTATATTTTTAGAGGAGAAAATTTTGATAGTAAAAATGATGGTTAAGTTTAGCTATTGAAAAAGATATTACTAGTAATTTGGCTAGTTATAAATTGTTTTCCGAACTTATTAAATAAGACAAGGTTGATTAATTTAGAGAAGTATACACTACAATCTGGAATTTCATCATTTGAATAAAATTGTATAAATATAAAAATAATTACAAAATATCAGTTATGAATCAAAGAAAAGCATAATCAAAACAAGAAGCAAGAGCAAAAGTAGATTCTGGATTAAATAGAGCTCGAAAATAAGATTAGATATAAAAAAGACCAGAATCAGCTGTTCAATCATAATCGGTATTATCAACGTAACAGTTAGGGAGAAAAGGAATTAGAAAGTGAATAAAATTTTATGTACTAAACTAATATGAGTGATAAAATGAACACCATTGTTTAAGATTACTTATTAAAATAGAATTACTTAAAGACTTTAGAACAGTTTGAAAATGAATCTTAATACAATCATTAAAGAATTGGCAGTTAATAAGAATATTAAATGCTTCAATACTTTGATAAGGGAGATAGAGATAGTTTCTTGAAATTATGGAATTAGCATCTGCCTTAAAATAACAAATAAGATTATGACTTATGGAAATTAGAATTTTATATTTAAATCTACTTTCTAATTTATCCTATTCATCCTTATTTATCAAAGAAAGGGTAAATAGACAAATAATCAGTCAATGCATTTAAGTAGTTTCTAGATTCAAAAGGTATTAATTGAATTCTAAAAATTTTAGGTGAAGACTTATCAAAAACAAATGAAGTTCTTCCATTTTATGCTTTGCCATATGTATAATAACCATAAAAACATTAAACATTCCAACATTTATTTACCACTTAATGGGTTGAAGACTTAAAAGACCGTTTAAAAGATTTCACCTCTTAATTATTTTAAAATGAATAAATCACTCACTTATAGAAATTAGTTTAACATTATGAAAATTAGCATTAACAAATTTCTCATAATAATTATTAGTAATAAGATCATTAAAAAGAAATAAAAAGATTAAATGATTAAATTTAAAAATTGCAGAATGATAATAGTGAAATTAAGTAGAAGTTGAATCAATAAGTATAAGCATATCAAGAATTGAACAATCATGCTGAAAAAAACTTTACTGAAGCATAATAAAAATGGTTTTCTTTATGTAAAGAATTAATGGTTGTATCTAAGGATTTATAAAAATATATAGATAATAATTAATCAATTCAAAATTAATAGAAGATTCAAAATTTAAAAAAGAAACTTCTCTAATATGAAAAATTTCTTAATCAAGATTTTGAAGATTTGATGAATAAATCATAAGACATTTCACTATTTGAAAAGGCTAGTATGGCTGAATAAGAAATATCAAACATAACTAATAATTAATGTAATAATATATATTTAATTAAAATAGAATTACCAACTCCTATTAAATCAAATCAGGTTGAAGAATATGTACCCTTGAATTATCCTAAAATAATTTAGTTATTTACAAAATCTAATAATTTTTAGCATGTTGCAAATGTATTACAAGCTTTGAGATGGAGAATTACTAGAGCTAAAAATGCTCTCTAAAGAAGATAAGTTGTTGTGGCTTATGCAACTCATGATATAATAGGAACACATTCCAAAAATATACTATTGGCTTAATATTTAATTTTAAAATCTCATCCATTAGTTTAATGTCAAACTTTAAAATTATTAAATGCCTTAGCATCAGATTATCATGGGAGATCTTATTTAACTTTGAATCCAACTCTTATTAAATTTTTAGTAGATTTAATTAAAAAAGAGTAATCAGATAGTCTTATAAGAAAAAATGCTATTGGTGCCCTATAAAAAATGTCATTGAGAAAATAGAGTCAAACATTTATGCTTGAAAATAACATAATTTATCATACATTGATAATTCTTAAAAATGTAAAAAGTATTATACTATTTTAGGAATAAAACAATCTAAGTGAATATACTTATGAATATATTACAGCATTAATTATGAATTTATCTTTAAGTTCCAGAGGAAAAGATGAATTAATTTAGCATAAAGAACTAGCATTTGAAGTCCTATATGAACTTATTGAATATCCAAATGATTAAATTAGAACTTTTACTAATGGAACATTTTATTCATTATTCAGTAGAAAAATTATCAGAGATTATGCATACAGTCTACAAATTCCATAAGAATTACCAAGATTGTTGGAAAATTCAGATGAAAAATTCAAGAAACAAATTCAATATATGATTGCCTAGTTACAAGCTGATGAGGATGATTATGATTAATCTTAAATGGAAGAGGAAAATGATGTTGATGATCTAGAAGATGAAGAAGAAGAATGTATAGGAGATGATGATGAAGAAGATGATCTGAATAATTAAGATAATATAGTTGGAGAAGAATTATTATAAAAAGACTTTGAATTAGTTGGAGATGAAGCAGAAAATCAAAAATTAATCATGGATTCTATTATTTTGAAAGAAGTTCAGCAGAGAAATGCTTAATAAGAATAAATTAGAGAGTCTTAATTAGAAAGAATGCCTGTCGGATGTAATACATAATTATTTCATTATTAGAAATCCCCTTTTATAATGACACAAATGATAAAAAATATAATTAAAAAGCTCAATAACATCAAAATTAATAAAAATAATCAATTTAAGGATAAGGAATATAAAACATCAATTACAATAATGATATACAAGAATTTGCTGCAAAACCTAAAATTCCTAGAACTCCTCCTGGGGCTTCAAAAAAATGATGATCATATAATATACTTACAGATTAAGTCATTTTCATTTTTATTCAAATCATTCTTATTAATACTCTTTGGTTATTTTTCTTAATTATTATATGATATTTATAGGAATTAAAATTCTATAAAGTAAATAATAAAATCATTTCAAATCGAATATTTCTATCATTTCAATATTCCAATTTGTTCCTCTTCCTGCTAGAATACATTCATTATCAAGTTCTGAATAAATATCATATGAATAACCTAGGTTAGAGGAAGAATTTTTGATATTCTCAAAATCAATCAACAAATCCTTACAATCCTTACCAAATCCAATCTTCGAGTGATTTAGAAACAATGAATATCTTATACACTCTTCTTTTGGATAAAATTTCATAGGCTAAAATTTATTAAATATGAATACTGGAATACGATAAACATTTTCTAATGAGAAAATATAGCAATCTTTACAACTATTATAGCCAGTTGTTGGATAATCTACATTATAATAAAAGCCAAATTTGCATGAATTTGTTGTGTAGATGAATCCTAATACCTTACTTTATTTAGGCATTTGATATTTCTAACCTAATCTATAAATTAATGTTGCATCTTCTAATGGTGGCAAAAATGAAATAAACATGTTGGAAGGATTAATTTTCTCATAAGATTCCTTTTAGTTTTCCTTATTCTCATTATTAAGGACTTTCTTCATATTATTGCTTAATAGATTAACACTTTAGTTATTTTTTCTAGTAACTCTTTTTCCAAAATTCTTAATCTCTTCTGTTAAAATTTTAATATTTCCGAAATCCATAATTTTATCATCTTCATACTATTCTAATTGAGAAAATGGCAATTGTTTTAATTTATTGAAATCGCTATTTTTCTTCATAATATTTAACCTTGATTCACAATCTTAATAAAAATCCAATTTCTTTTATAAAATCTCAGTTAGATTACTCTATAGTGAATTTTATTTCTCTAAGAGTAAATTAATTAATTCTCCTATTTAATGCTCAATAAATTGTTTCATATATATTTACTGATTATGGATAAATGAGATGCTCCTTTGACAAATTTTTATTAAGTCTTCAACTTTTTTTTTATTTTATTACTAATGCTACCCTGATAACTTTTTATTACAAGTTTAACAAGCTTCTAAAATACCTTTTCTACAGTTTTCATCGCATCTATAAGATTTACATTCGAAATCCTTATTAACTGCCTTTTAATTTATACAAACTGTGCATAAATTATCCATATAGTATATAAAATAAAATGATTATTAATGTTTATTTTTAATATGTTAGACTAAAAAGAATGAATTAGAATATTGATAATTTTTTTAAATCACTCACCAAACTTATACTTTTTAATAAAAATATTATAAAGAATATATATATAAAATTCAGTCCTTATAAGAAGAAACTTATTATATAACATCTAAAATATGAATAATCTCATTATATTTAATAGTTTTTTTACCTCAAAACTATTTATTAGGATTATAGATAAGCAGTAAGTATTTTAATATTTCAAATTATTTCCCAAAGATGTTAATAATTTAAAGAAAACTTATATGGGTAAACTTTGCTAAAAAATTTTTTTTTGGTTAGATGATAATTATTAATGACTAAAAATACAAATTAAATTCTGTTTTAGAGATAATTCTATCGAGCGTGAGTCTTAATCATTATTATTCTTGTTTAAGTACTTATAATAAATCAAATATTGATAGATAATAATTCTTATTTTGATGTTAGTACTAAATAAAATGTTAACTCATTAATTCATTTGGAATAACAATAATATAAAATTACTTTTTATTATGATAATGAAGAAATTTAATTATTGAAAAAATTCTTAGTTATAAACGATATAATAATAGAATTAAAATCTAATAAATTCTGATATAATAATAGAATTTACGAAAATTTGTATAATAGAATTATATAAAAAATACTTGTTTATTTTATAAATAATTTAATGAGTGTTAATAATATGAATGTTTAAAAAATTTAATTAAGAGGCCCTTATAAAAAGATTAGCCCTGAATTAAAATTTTAAATAATCTCAGAACTTGAATTTTATAGTATTAAAGAATTGTCCAAAAGATATGGTATATCTAGATAAACCATAGCTTCATTTCCGAAAGCTCGTGAACATATATACGACAAATTTAAGAATAAGATTTTAAATCTACTCAAAGAATTTGTTGATATGCGTTTGAAGAATAATGTTAATTTTTCAGAGAAAGAAATTTTGATAGATATTGATATTTATATGGAAGTTCGAGAATATTTCAAATATTCTTAATATAATCTATTAAAAGATTTGATTCCAGTGACAAAGAGAAATTCTCAGAAAAAGAGAATTATTGAATTTATAAGGGGTCGATGTTTGTCTTATTTTAAATAATAAAAAGAGCAACTTTCTTAATAGTAGTAATAGTAATAGTAATAGTAATATTAATAGTAATAATAATAGTAATAGTAATAGTAATAGTAATAGTAATAGTAATAGTAATAGTAATAATAATAGTAATAGTAATAGTAGTAAGTTATTTAATTCTAAGAATCTTACTTAGAATTGCCTTTTTGGTATGTAAGTGAGAATTCTGAATATTATATTCATTCTGATAATGATTGGGATGCCTCATTTTAATGATTTTATATATTTATGTGTGTTGATATTGATATTTAAATTTAATAAACTTATTTTATTTTTTTTCGGCATAGTATATATTATGATTATATATATAAAGAAAATAATAAAATTTGAATAATTTGAGAACATTATAGAAAAGAAACAAAAATTCATTTATTGTTATTAAGAGTAATTAATAATAATAATGAATAATATTCTGATTGAATATAGATAAGATTGAATTGAAATAATAATATTTAGTAATAAATTAGATTGATGAAAAAAGTAAAGATAATTAAATAATGTATTAGATAATAAGTGATCTGATTAATATTAAAAATAGTTATGAATTAACAATTAAATCAAATTATTTGGAGGAAATTTTTTGAAGACATTAAGTTAGATTAAGCAGAATAAAAATATCTTGTTTCTCTTCTACCAATAAATTCAAAAGGAATTACAATAGATTTATATGTTTATTCAAATGTTTCTAGAAAAATGTATTATATTCATTTATTTGAAACTAAGTAAGATGTATTGAAGTATTTATTGAAATTATTTCTTATATTTAAGGAAGAAATTAATGAATCTCTATAATTAAAAGGTTAATTATGTAGATATGATGAAAAATATTAAAATAATATAGCCCTTTTCAGAACTAAAGGATTAAAGTTGAAAAGTATGAGAAAAATAATTGAGAGGTTTGTAAACAACAAACCTATATGTACAGGAATATTTGATACAAAATAATATGTAATAAAATTGATTATTTAAAGATATTAAGGAATAATATAACATGTACTTTTAATATTAATTTACATTGGGAACCAGAAGCATATCGACCTATTTTAATAGATGATAGATTAGTATTTTTAAAAGAAGAAGAAAAAACTATTTAATAAAAAGATGAAGTTTAAAAATTGTCTTGGTTGTCTTACAAATAACATTAAATAGAAATGAAAAAAAATAAAATAATTATTTTAGAAGATAAAGAATAAAAAATTGAGTTTATTAAAATTGATTGAACATTTATTTATTTTATAATTAAGTCAATCTGATGAATCTGATTATGCTTGAATATTCCCTTAAATTTAATAATAATTATCTCCAATTTTTTACATTTATTTTTTTGCTTTGATTCTTCTTTAATGCCAAAGTGTTAATACAATGCTTAATATTATATGTAACTTTTATAATTATCATTATTACAATTAATGCAACAATAATAGCTTCTTTTAATTTCTTTGGATCTGATTTTGGATATTTGTAAAAGTTTGGTTAAAATTCAACTATAAAATAAAGGGATATCTAATAATTATTATTACAATTCTAATTACAAAAAAAGGAATTGCAAATACACATATCACATTCATAAATTTTACACAATCCATTTTTTTATTAATATATATATTATTTATTTTTTTTAATCAAATTTACAATTCTATATTTAATTTATCATTCATTATATTATATTATATTATTACTTTATAATATTAACATTTAAAAGTAGATAATTTGTGGAATTTATTTATTTGGTTAGAGTATCATAGAATTACATTGAACATATTAACAAAAATATCTTATGAAAAAAAGAAANTAATAGTAATAGTAGTAAGTTATTTAATTCTAAGAATCTTACTTAGAATTGCCTTCTTGGTATGTAAGTGAGAATTCTGAATATTATATTCATTCTGATAATGATTGGGATGCCTCATTTTAATGATTTTATATATTTATGTGTGTTGATATTGATATTTAAATTTAATAAACTTATTTTATTTTTTTTCGGCATAGTATATATTATGATTATATATATAAAGAAAATAATAAAATTTGAATAATTTGAGAACATTATAGAAAAGAAACAAAAATTCATTTATTGTTATTAAGAGTAATTAATAATAATAATGAATAATATTCTGATTGAATATAGATAAGATTGAATTGAAATAATAATATTTAGTAATAAATTAGATTGATGAAAAAAGTAAAGATAATTAAATAATGTATTAGATAATAAGTGATCTGATTAATATTAAAAATAGTTATGAATTAACAATTAAATCAAATTATTTGGAGGAAATTTTTTGAAGACATTAAGTTAGATTAAGCAGAATAAAAATATCTTGTTTCTCTTCTACCAATAAATTCAAAAGGAATTACAATAGATTTATATGTTTATTCAAATGTTTCTAGAAAAATGTATTATATTCATTTATTTGAAACTAAGTAAGATGTATTGAAGTATTTATTGAAATTATTTCTTATATTTAAGGAAGAAATTAATGAATCTCTATAATTAAAAGGTTAATTATGTAGATATGATGAAAAATATTAAAATAATATAGCCCTTTTCAGAACTAAAGGATTAAAGTTGAAAAGTATGAGAAAAATAATTGAGAGGTTTGTAAACAACAAACCTATATGTACAGGAATATTTGATACAAAATAATATGTAATAAAATTGATTATTTAAAGATATTAAGGAATAATATAACATGTACTTTTAATATTAATTTACATTGGGAACCAGAAGCATATCGACCTATTTTAATAGATGATAGATTAGTATTTTTAAAAGAAGAAGAAAAAACTATTTAATAAAAAGATGAAGTTTAAAAATTGTCTTGGTTGTCTTACAAATAACATTAAATAGAAATGAAAAAAAATAAAATAATTATTTTAGAAGATAAAGAATAAAAAATTGAGTTTATTAAAATTGATTGAACATTTATTTATTTTATAATTAAGTCAATCTGATGAATCTGATTATGCTTGAATATTCCCTTAAATTTAATAATAATTATCTCCAATTTTTTACATTTATTTTTTTGCTTTGATTCTTCTTTAATGCCAAAGTGTTAATACAATGCTTAATATTATATGTAACTTTTATAATTATCATTATTACAATTAATGCAACAATAATAGCTTCTTTTAATTTCTTTGGATCTGATTTTGGATATTTGTAAAAGTTTGGTTAAAATTCAACTATAAAATAAAGGGATATCTAATAATTATTATTACAATTCTAATTACAAAAAAAGGAATTGCAAATACACATATCACATTCATAAATTTTACACAATCCATTTTTTTATTAATATATATATTATTTATTTTTTTTAATCAAATTTACAATTCTATATTTAATTTATCATTCATTATATTATATTATATTATTACTTTATAATATTAACATTTAAAAGTAGATAATTTGTGGAATTTATTTATTTGGTTAGAGTATCATAGAATTACATTGAACATATTAACAAAAATATCTTATGAAAAAAAGAAAGTCTGTTTTTCATCTTAATCAATTAACCATGAAAATTTGTTTAAATTAATAAAACTTATACAAGCTAAGATTTATAATCTTTTACATTTAATGACCAGAATAAGTTTATTAAAGTCCTCACACATTTTATAAGATTAATTATCTCCTCAAATTTTTAAATTAATTCTAGAGAATTTATCATAGAGATTTGATACTCTAAAATTATTTAAATAAATCCAAATATACAATATATAAAAATAAAATCAGGCATTCTTTTGGCTAAAATGAACTATATAATCAAATAATTCAAATATAACTAAGAACCTATACGAAAATATCCAATTTCATCATTTGTAAAGCAATTACTTAGGTGAAAATTTAAACTAAATATAAAAAACCCCTTAATTTGAGTAATTATAAAATAGAAAAAAAAATTAGCTAAACTAATATTCTGACATCCTATACTATTTATTATGAAACTTAAAATAAAGAGAGAATTAATAAATTAAATGTTAGTAAAAATATACTAAAAGATATTTGAGGGAAAAACTCTAATAATAATTGAGTGATTTTCATTTTTAACATTAAGTTAAGATAATCAATAATTCTAATTGATATCTTCAAATTTTGGTTTATGTTTTAATTCAAATAATTGCACAATTAATTACATCTCTATGTTATTGAATGCTTATCTGCTATAATTTTTTCATTAATGCAATTTCTCTAAGTTAATCTTAATATAAATAATTGCTCATACTAAAAAAAAGAATTATGATTAATTTAAATAAAAGAACTTAAATTAAAATTAATCTAAGTATTCCTCCTAAATAGATATAAAGTGTACTCTATTAAATCTATTATTAAGTTATAAAATAAGAATCAATTTTTATTTATTTTAATATTTTATTCTTAATAATTAATTTTTATCAATTTAAATGTATATTATTGTAAGTTAATTTATTACTAAAAAGTCATTATTATGTATACAAAATTAATTATAATTATAATTATAATAATAATATTAAATTAAGTTATTACAATTCTCAAATTTAGTCATTTTCGAAAAGGATTTCTTAATTTAGGAAATTGCATTTTTTTAAGTCTAATATAAAATGAAGGTTTACTAATTAGTAATTGAAAGATCAGACTTTAAAAAATATTCATGTTTCAAACAAGAATTAGCCTTAGGTCTACTAGATTATTGAGAAAGCATAGAGTTAAGTAAGTCTAAAATTAAAGGGCATGTTATTGATTTATTTAGTTTATAAGCATTCTTTGAATTTAAATATTTTATTTGTTATTATTCTAAAAATTAAGGATATATTCTAGTTCCAGTCAATAAAATATGAAATATGCCTCCAACGCTATAAATATCGCTTGAGTAATCATAATACTGATCATTCAAAATTTCAGGGGCAATATATCCAAAAGTGCCACATTTGATTGATTTCACTCTTGAATCATTAATAAATGCAGCACATCCAAAATCAATTATTTTTAATGATTTAATATTATTGAATTCTGTAAACATTATATTGTCTAATTTAATATCTCGATGAATTATTTCCATTTTTTAAAGATGTCTTAAACCTTTTAAAATTTATTTCATAATGATTTTAACTTCTGAATCTGTTAATTAAAATTTCTTTTAAACTAAAAATTCATATAGTGTTCCACCTGCTTAATATTCAAAAACAAGTGCAATTAAATCAGGTTCTATAAATAAATCAATTAAAGTTATGATGTTTCTATGTGGAAAATTAGATAATTTACAATTAGTCTAAATTTCTGGAACAATATCTTCCTACCATATTAATACAAATTTTACAAAATTCATCATTCTTCCTTCATAAACCTTGGCAATTTTTTTCTAATTCGTACCAATTTCCTGACAAAGTACAACCTTAAATTAAAAAACTGAAATTACTTTGCATTGTTTACTTTCCTTTACTACTCTTTCGATCATGTATTTTTTATAGAAGAGGCATTCATAATCTGCAATCAGCATTTTAGAAGAAACTGCCTATTTAGAATTCTTGTCGAAACTTTCTAAATATTTATTGTTCAAATAAATAGATGTATTTGAGTAGCTAATGAATCTAGAATATATACATAAATTAATATACCTATTCTCTGTTTCCTACGTTATTCGACTACTTTATGGCTATTTTTAAAATGACTAAATTTCTTCCTATTATTAAATATATTAAAATACTGAAGACAATTAGTTTTTATTTTGAAGCTTGCTCTTGGCTTCATTAGATTAAAACGAATGATGTAGATTGAGATTTTGTGTATCCATATATATTTTTAAATATTGATAAAATTTAATACAAATTACTCAAATATAATTGGATTTTGATAGGAAGAATTATTAAATCAAACAAATCGACTTTCTTGCATTTTAATTATTTTCCATTTTTCAGCCTTAATTCAATGAGAATGTTTTGATCATCTTAAATGACATCAAGTTCATAAAGTTAAATGATGAGGATAAGGGAAGCAAATTAAAAAGTCGTTTTAAAATAATTAAAAATATTAATAAAGTCCATCCTATATATCTCTACTATTGAGAATAAGGACTATTTATAATTTTAATAAATATCAAATATTATATAATAGTTTAAAGGTTAAATAGAATATATTTATAATCAAAACTAACTGCAGAATAATGTCTTTGTTTCTATTTTTAGGAGAATATAAATAAATAATAAAAAAATTACTTTTTTGATTTTTTAAACAAAATATTATTTATAAAATAGCCTTCCAAATTTGAAGGAACTTAAAAAGCTTTGAATCTTGAGTTACAATAGATCAAAATAATATGAATAATGAATGCTTCTCAATAATGGGAAATAAACTTCAAATTTTCAAATCAAATTCCTTAATTTCTAATTCAGGATTAGATTCTTATCTCACCAATTAAATAAAAGTGAATACCTAATTCTAAACAATACTATTAAAAATGTGTATAAAAAATTGCTTGATTAATTTTCATCTTAATTAATCATTTTAAATTAAAAATATCAAAAATAACAATAAATCTTAATTCATTCTCTGCTTAAATCTCAAATCATACTAAATAACAGAAGGATAAGATACACTAAGTTATATATAAAACTGGAACTGCAATAGTAATTTATAATAAATGATTTTAATCAATATCGCGAAAAGATTTAACTCCATTTTAATATAATTAGGTTAATTTAAGTCACTATCTTTCAAATAATCCTAATCTCCAAATAAAGGCTAGAAAAATACAAAAAAAAAGGAAAACAAAAATAATTTTCAACACAATTTGATAGATCATTTTGAGAAAAAATAATTTCCACATTAACAACACCAAATAAAAAGAAAAATTGAAAAACAAAATGGAAATTAAACTACAAACAAAAATATTAAACAAATACATAACAAAATGCAATTATATAAAGTTAATATTCAATCAACTTAGAATTAATAATAAATTTATTTTAAGAATAATTGTTCCTAATAATTAGATCGGAATGAAGAAACTAATAAAATAAAAAAAGAATTTAATTATCTACTTTTAAATGTTAATATTATAAAGTAATAATATAATATAATATAATGAATGATAAATTAAATATAGAATTGTAAATTTGATTAAAAAAAATAAATAATATATATATTAATAAAAAAATGGATTGTGTAAAATTTATGAATGTGATATGTGTATTTGCAATTCCTTTTTTTGTAATTAGAATTGTAATAATAATTATTAGATATCCCTTTATTTTATAGTTGAATTTTAACCAAACTTTTACAAATATCCAAAATCAGATCCAAAGAAATTAAAAGAAGCTATTATTGTTGCATTAATTGTAATAATGATAATTATAAAAGTTACATATAATATTAAGCATTGTATTAACACTTTGGCATTAAAGAAGAATCAAAGCAAAAAAATAAATGTAAAAAATTGGAGATAATTATTATTAAATTTAAGGGAATATTCAAGCATAATCAGATTCATCAGATTGACTTAATTATAAAATAAATAAATGTTCAATCAATTTTAATAAACTCAATTTTTTATTCTTTATCTTCTAAAATAATTATTTTATTTTTTTTCATTTCTATTTAATGTTATTTGTAAGACAACCAAGACAATTTTTAAACTTCATCTTTTTATTAAATAGTTTTTTCTTCTTCTTTTAAAAATACTAATCTATCATCTATTAAAATAGGTCGATATGCTTCTGGTTCCCAATGTAAATTAATATTAAAAGTACATGTTATATTATTCCTTAATATCTTTAAATAATCAATTTTATTACATATTATTTTGTATCAAATATTCCTGTACATATAGGTTTGTTGTTTACAAACCTCTCAATTATTTTTCTCATACTTTTCAACTTTAATCCTTTAGTTCTGAAAAGGGCTATATTATTTTAATATTTTTCATCATATCTACATAATTAACCTTTTAATTATAGAGATTCATTAATTTCTTCCTTAAATATAAGAAATAATTTCAATAAATACTTCAATACATCTTACTTAGTTTCAAATAAATGAATATAATACATTTTTCTAGAAACATTTGAATAAACATATAAATCTATTGTAATTCCTTTTGAATTTATTGGTAGAAGAGAAACAAGATATTTTTATTCTGCTTAATCTAACTTAATGTCTTCAAAAAATTTCCTCCAAATAATTTGATTTAATTGTTAATTCATAACTATTTTTAATATTAATCAGATCACTTATTATCTAATACATTATTTAATTATCTTTACTTTTTTCATCAATCTAATTTATTACTAAATATTATTATTTCAATTCAATCTTATCTATATTCAATCAGAATATTATTCATTATTATTATTAATTACTCTTAATAACAATAAATGAATTTTTGTTTCTTTTCTATAATGTTCTCAAATTATTCAAATTTTATTATTTTCTTTATATATATAATCATAATATATACTATGCCGAAAAAAAATAAAATAAGTTNACTTTTAAATGTTAATATTATAAAGTAATAATATAATATAATATAATGAATGATAAATTAAATATAGAATTGTAAATTTGATTAAAAAAAATAAATAATATATATATTAATAAAAAAATGGATTGTGTAAAATTTATGAATGTGATATGTGTATTTGCAATTCCTTTTTTTGTAATTAGAATTGTAATAATAATTATTAGATATCCCTTTATTTTATAGTTGAATTTTAACCAAACTTTTACAAATATCCAAAATCAGATCCAAAGAAATTAAAAGAAGCTATTATTGTTGCATTAATTGTAATAATGATAATTATAAAAGTTACATATAATATTAAGCATTGTATTAACACTTTGGCATTAAAGAAGAATCAAAGCAAAAAAATAAATGTAAAAAATTGGAGATAATTATTATTAAATTTAAGGGAATATTCAAGCATAATCAGATTCATCAGATTGACTTAATTATAAAATAAATAAATGTTCAATCAATTTTAATAAACTCAATTTTTTATTCTTTATCTTCTAAAATAATTATTTTATTTTTTTTCATTTCTATTTAATGTTATTTGTAAGACAACCAAGACAATTTTTAAACTTCATCTTTTTATTAAATAGTTTTTTCTTCTTCTTTTAAAAATACTAATCTATCATCTATTAAAATAGGTCGATATGCTTCTGGTTCCCAATGTAAATTAATATTAAAAGTACATGTTATATTATTCCTTAATATCTTTAAATAATCAATTTTATTACATATTATTTTGTATCAAATATTCCTGTACATATAGGTTTGTTGTTTACAAACCTCTCAATTATTTTTCTCATACTTTTCAACTTTAATCCTTTAGTTCTGAAAAGGGCTATATTATTTTAATATTTTTCATCATATCTACATAATTAACCTTTTAATTATAGAGATTCATTAATTTCTTCCTTAAATATAAGAAATAATTTCAATAAATACTTCAATACATCTTACTTAGTTTCAAATAAATGAATATAATACATTTTTCTAGAAACATTTGAATAAACATATAAATCTATTGTAATTCCTTTTGAATTTATTGGTAGAAGAGAAACAAGATATTTTTATTCTGCTTAATCTAACTTAATGTCTTCAAAAAATTTCCTCCAAATAATTTGATTTAATTGTTAATTCATAACTATTTTTAATATTAATCAGATCACTTATTATCTAATACATTATTTAATTATCTTTACTTTTTTCATCAATCTAATTTATTACTAAATATTATTATTTCAATTCAATCTTATCTATATTCAATCAGAATATTATTCATTATTATTATTAATTACTCTTAATAACAATAAATGAATTTTTGTTTCTTTTCTATAATGTTCTCAAATTATTCAAATTTTATTATTTTCTTTATATATATAATCATAATATATACTATGCCGAAAAAAAATAAAATAAGTTTATTAAATTTAAATATCAATATCAACACACATAAATATATAAAATCATTAAAATGAGGCATCCCAATCATTATCAGAATGAATATAATATTCAGAATTCTCACTTACATACCAAGAAGGCAATTCTAAGTAAGATTCTTAGAATTAAATAACTTACTACTATTACTATTACTATTATTATTACTATTACTATTACTATTACTATTACTATTACTATTACTATTACTATTACTATTACTATTACTATTACTATTACTATTACTATTACTATTACTATTACTATTACTATTACTATTACTATTACTATTACTATTACTATTACTATTACTATTACTATTACTATTACTATTACTATTACTATTACTATTACTATTACTATTACTATTACTATTACTATTACTATTACTATTACTATTACTATTACTATTACTATTACTATTACTATTACTATTATTATTACTATTACTATTACTATTACTATTACTATTACTATTACTATTACTATTACTATTACTATTAATATTACTATTACTATTACTATTACTACTATTAAGAAAGTTGCTCTTTTTATTATTTAAAATAAGACAAACATCGACCCCTTATAAATTCAATAATTCTCTTTTTCTGAGAATTTCTCTTTGTCACTGGAATCAAATCTTTTAATAGATTATATTAAGAATATTTGAAATATTCTCGAACTTCCATATAAATATCAATATCTATCAAAATTTCTTTCTCTGAAAAATTAACATTATTCTTCAAACGCATATCAACAAATTCTTTGAGTAGATTTAAAATCTTATTCTTAAATTTGTCGTATATATGTTCACGAGCTTTCGGAAATGAAGCTATGGTTTATCTAGATATACCATATCTTTTGGACAATTCTTTAATACTATAAAATTCAAGTTCTGAGATTATTTAAAATTTTAATTCAGGGCTAATCTTTTTATAAGGGCCTCTTAATTAAATTTTTTAAACATTCATATTATTAACACTCATTAAATTATTTATAAAATAAACAAGTATTTTTTATATAATTCTATTATACAAATTTTCGTAAATTCTATAATTATATCAGAATTTATTAGATTTTAATTCTATTATTATTATATGAATTTACAGTTAAATTTATATTTCTTGAGAATAAATGACTTCGTATTGAGATTAATAATTAATATTTTTCTGATCTAAGAAAAAAATTTATTAATTAGCAAAATCATACTTTCAACAGTCATCAAATATCTATGCAGATTTGAATTTAAAAGATATTATGATTTAATTAATTAATCTGATATGCAACATTGTTTGTATATTAATTTATATTATTTTAGTTATTTATGATGATATTTATGAATTTTAATATTTATAATGTTCAAAAGAACTAGGGATATTATTTTTGCATATATTTATCAATATCAATTATTTTCCAACTAGGATTCTTACCTAAAAACATTTATTTTTCATTAAATAGAAGTGCCATTTTTATTGTTTAAAAAATACCTGTTTCGTCTATTTCATCTTTGACTACCATAAATCTAACATGATGATAATTTTCAGGTTCATACTTATCAATTTTTCAAAATATATACTTTTTAGTCAGATATTATGAGGCTTACTTTAGATTTAATAAAAGCTCCTATAGACAAGGATATCATTACTTCGTCTACTTATGTATATAATGCAGTCACTTTTGGAAATTTATTTGGTTTATTCAATAAAATTTCCTAAACTTTTCAATTATTTTTACATGATCATATAAAGAGATGCTCCTATTTACATTGACAAATATATTCATATCTGTAAAGTATATTTTTTCTTCTAAATCATCATCAACCATTTTTTCAAATTTTAATTCTTCATTTTAAATTCTTGAGATTCCTTCAATAAATGAGTCAGCTAATTTTTAATCGCAAACTTCTCGAGCAAATTCATTAAAATCATTATCTTAAATAGAATCAATAAAATTATTGAATGCGAAGATAAATTGATCCTGTTGGATATCTAAATTACTTATTCTTTATTATATTGACTCATGGTGTTCAATATATTTTAAAATATTTTTATATCCCTTTGGATTGTAAGGAAGAATTAAATTTGAAAAATGGTGTTTCAAGTTTAGACAAAATTTGATCATAAAGTTAAATAATGTTTTTATAGATGTAATTATTTCTAATAAAATAATAAAATATTTATATTTATTTATTAAAATCAGCAATCTAAAGATCATTGTCTAAATTAACATCATTTAATCCATTTAATTCTTCTATTGTAATTATTTTGATAAATTTTCTATTTATCAACTAAAAATATCAATTTAATTTAACATAAGTTATAAAGAAAAAATTTAATTTTCTAAATATGCATATAATTTAGAAAATCAATTTGATTCTAATAATATTTTTATGTACATTCTAGTATGATAAAATTTTATAATTCTTTTACTTTTCAAATTTATATTTCCATACTTTAAACCTAAACCATCAACTTAGAAACAAATTTTTAGCCCAGATCTAATATATAATATTTGATAAATTAAGTAAATCTTCAATTTGATAAAAGTTAAATAGAAAAATACAATACATAACTATTATATTTTGATAAATATTCATATTCTTATTTAATTGCTTTTCTTAGCAAGAAAATATCAGCTTATCTTATATTTTATAAAAAAGGTAGCTCAGTAGCTTGGTTTTATTATTGTTATTATTGATTTTTAGTATTCCTAAAATCTTCAAATATTTCTTTTACAATTATTATATTAATAATAGAATGAAGTTTAAAAGTAAAATTCGATCTAATATGTTCTAATTTCTTAAATGAGTTATCACCTTATCAAGAATTCTGAATTTTTATGGTTAATATATCAATTTGATATAATAATATTTGTTTTCTTATTGGAAAAAAAAATTGTATACTTTTATATTTTTATTTTGTAATAAAATTATTGATTTCGTTTTACAATTTCCTATAAAAATGATTGATCTAATAAATTGAGTTATTTTAATAATAAATAGCTTTAAAGAAAAGCAATAGAAGCAAGTAAATTAATAAGTTATTATTTATTTTAATAAAAATTAATAATAAGCATTATGAATCAATATATAGAGGAGGCAAATGGATCATCATCCATATATTTATAAACAGTTAACTCTTTAAAGAATTCATTAAAATACTAAAATTTCATTAGCAAAACCAAATTAACATTTAATGAAATAAAAAATATAATAAAATGGTATGATTTAAAAAGAAATCAGAGAATGATTAGATAGGCAACCTAACCAGATTAGAATAATGATGTTTAAAAATAGGTTACGTAATAAGGATTAGTTATTAATTAAATGCAATAACAAATTAATAAGCAATCTATTGAGATAGACAATTTAAAAAAAAGTATTTTCTAAAGAGAAAACAAAAAATAGAATGGAATTCATTAAAAATCTAAATCATCAACTGAAGATGTATTAGATTAATAAACCAATTTTATAAATAAATAATAAAAAATAAATTTTCAATAACATGATTAGGATTTAGAAGATCAGATTAAGGTAATAATATCTTAAGAGTTCGAAAAAATATATAAATTGATATCTTAATAGCTTAAAAGTGATATCAACGATATTATATATTAAAGTATATAAGAGTAAATTTTGGTTAGCAATAATAATTCACCAAAATTAGAATCTTTTAGAAAATTTTCATAAACAAAACAGTAATCAGAAGATTCTTAATAAAATATTAATGTAATTGTTGAATGTTTAAATGAATAAATAGGTGAATATGTTAATAATAATTACAATTTTGATCAAGCTAAAAGAAAGCTCAAATGTTTGAAATTGTAATAAATAAACTTGCTATATGAAGAATTAAATAGTTAATTCAATTAAAATTCACTAAAAGATTATTTTATAGGACCTGTTGAACCACTAAAGGAATCTCAATACAATCTAAAATAAACTAAACTATTAGAATATATCAATGGAGAACGGAGAGCAAGAGATGATAGTAATAATTTCTATGCAGTTTTTGGATATTAATATTTAGATATTATACTAACAAATGCTGATGATTAGAATTTTGAAACATTTATGGAAAATATTAAGGGAATTCCATTTGATTTATTGAATAATATATAAGATTTTAGTAAAGAAGAATAATAAGAATTGAAAGAGATATTTTGTTATAGATGCATAGAATTAAGATAAATTGAGATATCATAAAGATCTAATGAGCTTTGGTATCAAATTAGTGACATTAATAATTGTTTCTATGGATTAACTATGATATTCATTAGAAATTTAATTTAATAAATAGTACAATAATCAGAATTAAACTAAAATTTAAATAATAAAGATTCTGAATAATTATTAAAAAGAATTTTGGAATGGAGCTCTTCATGTCCTGAAGCAGAATTTATTATGGAAATTTTATCACATGAATTAGAATTGTATTAAATTTAATTTATAAATTAGATGTATAATATTATTTTATTTAAAAGAAGAGAAGTAGGAATTCTCATTAAGAATATTCGGAAATGAATAAAATTATCAGCTTAATATTATATAATATTAAAATGAATGTTATTCTATTGGAATTAAGAATTGACAACCCATAAAATTTATTGCAATTTTGTTACTAATTTTAATTTACTTAATATTAAATGTATATATAATATATATCAACTGATGATAAAAAGTATAAAGTTATTTGAATTTTACATGTAACCAATATACTGCCTTCCTGCTGAAATTTTTTTAATTATTTAAATTAATTTTATAAAAATGACAACAGACTAAAGCTTTGAATATTTTACCACAGATTTGTATGTTATGGGTGATAACAAAGAGTCTTAATGTGGTATAGATAACTAAGACTATGTTAATAAATTAACCAAAATTAATCTACCAATGGTAATACGTGAAATAGCTTGCGGGTTGGAGCATACTTTAATTGTGACAAGTTTTATTGATATCATTCATTGTTAGATGAAGGATAAGTTTATGCTTTTGGTTCAAATTTGAAGGGATAACTAGGAGTTGAAAATATATCTGTAGCATGTTCTCCAATATAAGTTTAGGGAATAAACAATTTAAATTGTATAAAGATAGCAGCTGGAGAATATCATTCTTGTTTATTGACTGGTATAAATTATGAATTAATAAAGAGATGAAAATTAAGGTTATTAATGGGGAGATAATATTGTTAAACCATAATTCATAAGATAGGCTTAAAATATTAAGTGTGGTTTGAATTTTACAATCTTTTAAGATGATTGTCTATATATTTATAAGAATTAAGTTTTACAAACATTGTAAATTCATTCATAAATATCTGAATTTGCTTGTTCTGCATACAATTTATTTTATTTGGACAATAATAATAGTTTGTTTATGCATCCAGAAAATAAATTAATAGATAATGTATCAAATATATTTAGTGGTTATTATCTATCTTTATTGACTGAAGAAAATAAGTTATATTACTATTAGGATAAAAAATTAATTCAAGTCAATATTTAAACAAATAAAATAGATAGTACTTTTAGTAAAGAGTTTGCAATTATTTTGGATGAGAATAATAAAGCTATTATAATTAATTTGAAAACGTAACAATAAAAGGAATAGGATTATGTTTTTCATGCTATAAGTTCTGGTGTTAATCATCTTATTTTGATTGGAAATATTACTAGAGGCTCAAAATAGGATTAAGAATAAGAAGAATAAGAATAAATTTAAGAAGCTGATGATGATTCCATTTTAGAAGAAGATGGTATGAGCCCAATTATCACATAAAAAACTTAATAAGATGTAATATATAGAATTAATCTTAGTAACTTCTAAATACTCAATAAAATAATACTTTTTCATTTTCTATTAGGAAGGATCTTTAATTGTTACATAGTATAAAAGTAAATCATAAAGAGACATAGACTGATGACGATATATATTATTAATTAAAATATGAAAATGAAGAATTAAGAAAAATACAATAATAGTAAAAAAAGAATCTAGAAATATAAATCTAATTTTAAAAAACATTATAAGATTAAATCAATCGATTAACATAAGAAAATCATATGTTGAAATTAGGATAAAATAAAAATCAGTTATTGAGTTTAATCAAATAAAAGCAGTAAAATCTAAGAAATTTGATTGATGAATTTTACTATAAATAAAGGGAGTTTCTTGAATAAAAAAAATGAAGATCAATGTTTATTTATATATAAAATATTGGATTCATAAGTTCTTTTTAAAAAACTCTTTAAATTCTTACAAAGACATTTAATCATGAAGTACTCCACAGAATTTTAAGACATCTATATTATTAAATATAATATTTATATACTTTAAATTTCTTCTTCGCTAGTGTTGTCTTTAAATTTTGAAAATACCTTTCTTATTTTTTTAGAATCTATTGTACCACATTTATCAAAATCAAAGACAGAAAAGGCACTTTCAAGTAATTCATCATGCTAATCTTTATTGGACATACATTCATTATATAATTCTTAAAAATCAGAAAAATGCATAGTAGTTTTATTATTTGGGAAATATCTATATTTAAACCATTTTATACTTCAATTCTGTAACTGAAACGTAAGTTGGTGATTTAGGTGAAGAATCCTTTTGCATTTCTTCAAAATTATCTGTTGAACTAATTTTCTTGACTAAGTTTCTGCCATGTTTATATGGTACGCTGATCTATTATTAATCTTAATTTATTGTTTCTAATTCTTTAATTAATTAGTTAATCTATTAAATATTGATTTCATCAGAGTTTTCCTATGAGAAAAGTTGAAAAATTTATTTTAATTCCTATTAATTAGCTGATTATTGTTGCATTGTGTAATCTCAAATTAATATTATTATTAAAAATATTAATAAAAATTGTTTGTTAATAATGTCGTTATTATCAAATATTAATATGAGTCATGTATTTACATACTATTAAAATAAGCTTTTCATTGCCAACATATAATATCAAAATTAATATGAGAGTAGTAATTTCTTTTAATAAATCACAAATATCCTCAAATATTAATCAATTTCATAAGTAGATAAAAGCAATGATGAATTAAAATTCTTCTTCGATGAATTAGTTGATTTTAATTATTTATCCTTTGAAATATGGTAAAGTTTAATTTCTTTTTTATATTTGCAAATTTAGAATTGCATTTTGGTGATAGCTTATATAATTAAATATCATAATTAAACTATTTTTATAGAAATCAAAATCCAATTATTGAACCTAATTAAAGTAATCATTATAACAATATTTAGGATTTGTTGACTGATTGAAAATATATAAAAAAAAATCAAGAATTTCTAAATTTATTCATTTTCAAACTAAATTCAAAATAATAGGCTGATCTTAAAAATTATAAAACTATTCTTGCTAATAAGATATAAAATTATGCTGTTCTATATAAAGAATTAATAAATATAACGCTTTTTTGATGCCATAAATAAAATTACTTTTCTAAATACAATAAAATCATAATAAAGATCTCAATTATGTTGGAAGAATTACCGAAATTAATTATAAATATATAACAATTTAATTTGGATTACTAATAAGAATTTAATCAAAATTTTGAATTAGTTTATAGAAAACCATATTAGATTTGATAGATAAAAAAAGACTAATCTTTAAAGAGAATAATTTTATTTAAAAAACAAAATATTTAAAAAATACAACTAAGTTATTTATTAAAAGTTTATGAATTTTCTGAATGTCTAACATAAAAAATGATATGCTAAGAAATAAGAATAATAATTCAATATTAAATTCAAATAAAATTTTGCTCATATTTTAAAATAATATTATGGAAACTATTCTAGTTTATTTTATAAAAGTATTAAGTAATTAATTAATTATAATATTGATGATTTCTAATTCTGACATTGAAACAATAAATAAGTTTATTATTGAAGCCAGTGGAACCCTTGAGAATATATAAAAGGCTTTTGTGAGAAAATTTTCTTAAGAATATGGTCCTTATCTATATTTTTATTAAGGTCTTTGTGATAATGTATATAATATTGATGATTTTGTTTTAGATATTCACAAAAGGATAGAGACTCTTAATAATTTTCTTGTTATACAATTCTGAATTGAAACAGTGTTTAATAGATATATCAAATTATAGTTTAAATCAATTTGAAAAAAAATTCATTCAAGATCCATAACTTGTAAAGCATTATTATTAAGACTTATAAGATAGTATGCTGGCCTTACAATAAAGACCCTTTTAGAAGAATTAGATAAATTTACTATGAATGATAAATAAATCAATAAAGAATTGTTATAGCCATAAAATTCATAATATAAATTGAGAAATTGTATATCTATAAATAGTAATCCACCTGAGTAAAATATTTAATAATAAAATATAGAAAATTGGTTTAAAATGAAAACTTGGAGAGAATATATCAATATTAAAATGGATTCGATATTGATTATTTAAGATTGACCCCAGATATAGTTTAGAATAGATGTGATTGGATTGAATTTTATTAGGTTTATGATGTTTAATGGGATTATTCATTGTAGATAAATTCTGATAAGTTGAGTCAGATAAAAGAAATTATGTAAAAAGCACATTTAGAATAATTGTCTGAACAAGAATTAAAGGTATGATGTAGAAATAATTGAATTAGTAATTTCAGGAGTATTTGAAGAAAGATAATAATAATTTATTAAAAAATAATGGATTATTAAATTTCAATTTAAGTGATTTAATAGAGAAGAACTTAAATTTAGCTTTTTTCCTATTTAGTAAACATTTTCCAAATACAGAGTTTCTTGAGTATATATAAATGTATAGAAATAGTTTAATGGATACTTTAGTAACAATTGATATTACACCAAATGCTTTAGAAATGATGTGCATGATAGTTTAATAATATCATGTGCCCCAAGAATACCTTAATTATTATGTGAATTATTGTATTTAGTTCTGTTCAAATATAAAAGTAATTCTAAAGTGTAAAGTATAGGAAAAAGGATAGTAAGTGAAAATGATCAAATATTTGACAATTTTCTTGAAACATCTAATAAATAAAAAGATGTTGAAGACTTATGAATTGTAGACTGAAGTATAATAGAAATTATGATAAATTTAGTTACAAGCTTTTTCAATAGAATTTTCTAATATAGGAGAAACATCTAGTTTATTCAAATTGATAAAGAATGATTAATAATAATGATATGTATAATAATTATTATTGAATTTAAGTGTTTAGATAATGTTTTTTGATAATACTTATTTAAATTATTGAAATAATATTAAATACTAAATTAATAAATGGATCAACCAATAGTAAGCCCGAGAAATATCACAGAAGGACATGACGTATCTAATTTGATTACATTTCGGTATTCAACAGATTAATATTGTACACCAAATATGATTAAATTTCAGTATTGCCTACTTACAGGAATGAAGGAATTAATAGAATGAAATAAACAATTTTAGATTCTGATGATAGAGCTATACTGGAAGCAGGGTAAAATAATTAGGAAGAAGAACCTTCAATAAGTTCATCAGAATCAGAGTAAAGTGCCAGTAAAAAGGGATCTGAGACAATGAAATTAGGATCATAAAGTAAGGTTGAACATGCTGAAAGATAGTATAAAACTGAAGATTTGTCACCTGTTGATGGAGGATGGACTAATATAATATGGAAGAGGGGTTCGTTGAGAATAATGACATATGTAGTCAGATTTGTGATTTCTATTCTAATTAATTCAGAAAAATCAAAATTTTCATTTATGAATAGAAAATAATTCACAGCCATAAATGATATAACAGGTGTTTATCAATTTTATGAAGAGAATAAATTAATAAGATAGAGAATAAAAAAGAAATTTAAAGTAATCTTATGTTTTAAATTAATAGCAAATTGTTAAATCCTATATTTAAAATAATATGTGTTATAAAATTATAAGAAATGGATTTGAGACATTTGTTAATAAATTTCTTTTTGTAATAGATCCATCAAGTACAATTAAAATATTATGGGATTTTTTTATGTTATTTGTTTTATCATGGTAGATGCTTTTTGTTCCTTTAAAAATTTGTTTTTTTATTTAAATAAAGGATCCAATTTTGAATTTTATTTTGAATTATTTACCTGTTTATGTATATTTAATGGAGATTGTATTAACATTTTTAACAGGTTATTATGAACATGGAGTTTTAATTATGGATTAAAAATAAGTAGCAAAACATTATTTCAAGAAATCATTTTTTTATGATTTATTAAATGTATTACCATTATTAGTAAGTGCATATTATGTATAATCTAATTGGTTAGAATTCTCAGTTTTAATTAAAATAAAGACATTGAAATTTTTATCAGATTAATTAGAAGAAGTATTTGGATTAAGAACAAATTATTAAACTTTAATAGATGTTTTAAGATTGATGATATAATTTATATTTTTGTCTCATCTTTTTGGTTGTTTTTGGCATTATCTTGGAATTCTGTAAGGAGATTATGGGTAAAATGTACATGAATAACTTATAGAATGACAAATACTTGGATAAATGCATTTGGGTTGGAAAATGAGAGTTGGCAGATTAGATATATCAATTCTATTTATTGGAGTTCAATAACAACATTGACAATTGGATATGGTGATATTACTCCTTAAAGTAGTGTTGAGAAGATATTCACAGTTGGAGTAGCTGTATTTAGTAGTGTTGTATTTGCATATACAATTTCAAGTATAGGGTAAATATTCAGTTAATTAAATGAAAATAAAAAGAATTAAAGATATAAAATGAATTTGATTTAATAATTTATAGGTTAAAGAGGAGTTAATAAATAATTACAGAATAAAGTTAAAAAATTCTATGAATATTTTATTTAAATAGATCATTCTTAAGATAGTGAATGTGAATTATTACTTAATTAATTGGAACCTTCTTTAAAAAATGAATTGAAAATAGATATCTATAAAAAATACATTATGAAATCCAAACTCTTTAAATCTACATTCTCACCAGAGTATATATTATTTATTATATATATTTAGATTTTTAGATTCACTATGTTAATTGGTTTAAGAAAGACAATATACACCAGATGAATAGATTTGTGCAGCTGATACAGAAGTTGAAGAATTATGTTTTGTTTTAAAAGGTGAAATTTCTTTGTAAATTTAATTGAATAATTGTAATTAAACAATAACATACATTATGTAGAATCTGGTAAAACACATTAAGTTAGTCTCATTAAAAAAAATCATATCTTAGGAGAAAGATTCTTTATTACTGGTGATAGATTACCTTATGCAGGAATAGCAATTACAGCAGTCAGAGTTGCCTTTATTAATAAAACTTCATTTTTCAACTTATTGAAATAATATCCCTAAGAATTTGAGAGATATTTGGAAGCAAAAAATAAGGTTATCTTAAAAGAGAGAGTTAAAGTTTAGGGATGTGAACTATGTTATTAAAATCATTAAGTTTTATAATGTCCTTTTGTTTTTTATTACCCAAATGTTAGAGTCATTGTTAAAAGATAAGAAAATATCACCCAGAAACGATAATTTAAATAAAGATCCTATATAAAAAGTCATGTAAATATATATATATATATATAATTTTTAGAAATCACTATAAGATAGAGGTGGAATTTAATATTAATTGATTTCTTATGCATTGGATTCAAATTTGATGCGTGAAGAATCACTTGATGAATCATTAATTAAAAATATGGATTTATAGTTTATAGAGCCTACAAAAAAATAATTTAATAAAATTCATACTGATACTTCTGCTGATTTATAATAATAAGATTAGCCTTATCCTTTTTAAAATTAAACACCTTTACGTCCTAGTTAAGAATAAATTAGTGAAGATAGTGAAATTGGTACTAGCAAAACAAATAAGACTTCAAATAATGGATTATAAAAATTAATAACAATAAGATAAATATCTTAATAAAGTTAAAATTAATAAATTTAATAAAAAAAAGTAGAAAAATTTAAATAAAAGAGTTTTAAAGTTAAAAAGAATGAATTTAAACCTCCTGAGATAGTTGAATTATAAAAGATTGAAGAAATTCAGTCTTTTGAATCCCCTATGTGTTCAGGTCAAAAGACAAATTAATAATCTATTTTTTTTAATCTAAATGAAAATCTAATAACAAAAGAATTAGAAATTAAGAGAATTTTATGGGAAGAATATGTATAAACTTAAATAATAGAAGATAAAGAAAGATTTGATTAATAAAAGGATTATTAATTCTTTTATCCAAATTGTAATTTAGAGAGAATTTTAGAATAGATTAATATAAAAGTTAATGAGAGAAAAAAGAAATCATAAAAATCAAGATTGACAACTCTAGGTAAGAATAGATTGGGTTAATTATAAAATATATCTGTCAGACCTAGAAAAAGTATGATTACAATTGAATAAGCATTTTCTTAAGAAGATGAAAGATAAAAAAGTTTAAAACTATGATAATTAAAAATTTATGTAAACTACAATTAAATAATTAAATATTCATTAAAATATTAATATAACTATTATACCATTAAAATTCAAGTATCTAAACTATCTGCATCATAATTATAGGATCCAAATTATTAATTCCATTTTAAATAATCTTTTAAATCATTATGATTCACTGTTGGTTTAACAATTTAAAGAGCTCTCTAAAAATCACTAATTGTAGTAGCTCTTATTTAATCTAATTTCAAATTTTTTATTGTATACATTTTAGCAGCATCTCTAATAGCATACATACAAGCCTATTAATTAATATTTAATATCTACCTCTCTACTTAAATTTCTAATATCAGCTCCTGAATATCCCTTTGTTAAATCTACTAAAGATATTAATTCTTAAGTATTCATTTCAATTCTCTTTCCTTCTTTTGCTTCTTTAATGATTAAATTCTCAAAATATGATTATCTTCCCTCTTTATTAGGTAATGGAATATATATCTTTTTTTAAAATCTTCTTTTGATTGCATCATCTAATTCTTAAGGTCTATTTGTAGCTCCTATAAAAACTATTCTTTCACATCCTCCTCTAGTAGCTCCTTCTAATTAAACCATAAATTCTGTTTTTATTTATCTACTTGTTTCATTATCTTTTTCAGATCTAGCACATAATAGAGAATCAATTTCATCAAAAAATATTACACTAGGTTATCTTTAAGCAGCTAATGCAAATAAAGCTCTAACTGTTTTTTCTCCTTCTCCAACATACTTAGATGTTAAGGTAGAAGCTTTAATAGAAAAGAAAGTAGCTTTTCCTTCACTTGCTATAGCTTTACCTATCATAGTCTTACCAGTTCCTGGTGGCCCAAATAATAATAATCCACTTCCTGGTGATATAATACCTTCAAATAATTTTGGGTTTTCCAAAGGCCATAAAGCAATTTCAACAACTTAATCTCTTACATGATCTAAACCAACTATATCAGTCCATTAAGTAGGTCTATCCATTATTTCAATGATATCAGATTCAATTTTATTAATAATATTATCTTCAAAATTTGTTTTATTTTATTATTTTTCACTTTTTAATGTTAATTGTTCTTTGCTCTTATCACCCATTTTAGTTGGTGGTTGAAATCTTTTTTTGGGCATCAATTAATTAGCTTAAACAAAACCAAATTATTATTATTATTATTATTAATTAGATGTTTGTAATTATTATATTTAATTTAATGGTTATTAAGGTTATTATGGTTAATCTAGTTTTATATCTTACTTCTTTATATTTGCTGGAATATTTAATTTAATAAATTCAGATCTATTTGTTAAATATTATTTCATTTATGTATAATTAATACACTTAAGATCTAAATGAACTTTCAAAAGTGATTGCTTATTTTTCTAAGATTTCAAAAATACTTCAGTCTATTCTTAGATAATAGTAATTACTTTAGTTACTTAAATTTAGAAAATTTTGATTTTTTGCTTCCAATTTAGTAATCATTTCAAAAATAAATATTAATATATTTTATCAATTAAATAATTACTATTATTATGATGTAAATTAGTAAAATGAATTATTATCTTGTGATTAGATATTAAATTTCCAATCATCAAGATTTGGCTTGTCTTATTTTCTTCTCTCTAATATAATTATTGGAATTTAACATATAACTGGAATAGCTAATGAAGTTAATAATCCATTCTATATATATATATTATTTTATTACTGAAAATGCTTATACTTATAAGATGTAATGATTTTTAATAAATTACATTTTGACAGTGGCTGTTAAATCATTAGGAATTGTAATAGAATGTTTTAAAATATCACTTCTCTTTCCTGCAGTAATTCCAGGTAATTCATGTGTATATAATATGTTATTTTCTATCACTCTTTCATTTTCATCATCATCTGTAAAACTTAGATAATGATTTAATTTGACTTCTACTTTAGTTATTGATCTTTAAGCTCTAGTAGTATTTAAAATGTATTCTAATTCTAAAACTTCTCCAGGCTTATAAAGATTCTTTGCAGTTCTGATACTTAGTTCAATCATACCTCGATGAACACAAAAGAATTAAACAATATTACCTTCACTCTCTCTTTTTTATTCAACTAATTTAAATCTACTATTAATATAAACAGGAATGCTCTTTTATATAATTACTTAATTAGATTAGTAATCACTTATTTTTAAATAGATTTTATATTAGATTTTAGCTTATTATAATCCTAAATTTATGATATAAAATCATACCATCAGAATTTCGATATTAGAAACTAGAATTCATACCAAATTTAGTTGGTACTTAAAACGGCAGTTTATAATCTCCACTTTTTATAATTCCTCTATAGAGATCTTAGATGTGAATGTAATCTTCATTAACACCATATTATCTAGTAATTTAGAACATAGTTCCATTTTGCAATTCATATTTTTTTTTGGGATTAATTTAAGACATTTTGAAATTTCTGGGAGTATCTAATGTAATTTAAACTTTCTTATTTTTTTCCAATAATTTTTCTGGAATCATTTAGGGATTATTTACATCATAGGGTATCAAAAATAAAAGTATATAATTACCTATCGTTTATGTAAAATTTTAGAATATTCAATTGTAATAAATATTAGTTAAACATTAGCATGCTGAATGTCATCTATTAACCTTAGATAACAGATTCCATTAATATTTTCACCTGCTATTGACACTGGGTTTTTGATCCAAAATAAAACCTCATTCGAAATCATTATATACCAAAAAGTATTAATCGATATTATTAAAATGAATTAAGACAAGAATTATTCATTTTAAATTTTTTATATGCCATAATCAACTATTTTGAATTAATTTAATTAACAGTTAATAAATGAGCTACTCATAAGAGTTCTCTCCATTATCTATGAAGGAGGAGATTTTTTTTTAGAATGAAACAGAATCTACATCTTTAGAATAATAATTACGCATGGCTAATGATAAAGTCCTATAATTAATGCAATATTAATAATAATTAAGGTATTATTGTCTTAGTATCTGAGTGAAGAACTAGAACATTTGCATTATAAATATAGAGAGACATAATAAGAGAATGAGATCCTTTCAAATTAATTACATTAAGGTCCAGATGAAACTAAATTTCTTAATTGTGTTCTCGATATGGTTCGTGTATGTCATCCTTAAGATAAACCTATTACTCTGAAATATGCATGGAAATGGTTAAAATATGTTGTTGATGATTATATTGAATTAAGAAAAAGAAATAAAAGTGCTAATACATAAAGTGAAGTTTTCAATAATCCTAAAAAGAATTCAATTATAGTTGGTGATTTATTAAAAAAGAATTGTTAAGTTGCTGAAAGCTAATATATAAAAAATTCAAAATGCCATAATTGATAGTTAAAATATAATTTTTGTTTGCTTATAAATAATAATTATAATATTCTATAAAATTAAATAAATAATAAAATGGGCAATTGGTTTAGTAAAGATGATAAACAAAAGAAATAATAAAAATAATAGTAATCATCTTATCCTACCAAATCTTAATTTCCATCTCAAAAGAAAGAATTAAGTGAGGGAGAAAAGATGAGAATGAAATTGTAACATAATAGAGATGAATTGAGAAATAAGAGAAAATAAATAGATTTATAAATTGAAACCTATGAAAAAGAAATAAGAGTATAATCTATTTAATTATTATAGATATTAATCTAAAGTAATAAAAGAGATTAGGCTAAGTTTGTATTATAAAGAAAGTTATTATATGATAAATTTCTAGATAATATTATGGAGAAAGAATAAATTATAGAAAAATCTATCATCTCTGTAGATTAAATGTAGTCTGTAATATTGTTAATTATCAATAGGATAAAGAAATGGCAGATATTATTAATTAGACAAATTAAGTTATGAAAGATATATAATCCTCTATTGATTAAGATAAATTAAGAGATGCTTTTGCAGATATGTAAGAATAACAATAGAAAAATAATGAAATGAATTAAATGTATTAATAATATAAGGTTGGTGATGAAGATGAAATTAATGAATTATATGGAAAATATGAATAATAAGTATGTAATAATACTTAATCAAAATAATAATAAAAATAATAGTAATTTGTTCAATTGCCTTAATAATAGTAATAATAATAGCATTAGTAAAAATAAGAATAAAATGAATATACAGATAAATTAGCAATGCTAGAATGATAGTATAAAAATATAAAAGAATAATTTCATTATTATTATAATTAATATTAAGATCTAAATTACTATAAAAATAATATTCTAATGTAAAAGAAATTATATAATTAATTTTCTTTTATGAAATTAAAAGTCTAATTAATAGATAAGGAGTATACATTCAAGAGATTTTCTTAATTTAAAGAACTCATTGATATATTCAATTAAATAGAACCTCAATTTAATTTAGAAAGTTTTACATATTATGATGAAGAATAGGATCTTATTACTATATCAAAAGATGAAGACTATAATTGTTTTCTAAATAGTTCTATTTCTATTTTATAAGCCAAAGGTAAATATAACTGTTAAGAATTACAGTTAGAATCAGAGAAAAATTTAAGTCTAATTTAAAACTTTAAATAAAAAACTAAAATATTAACTGAGAGATTGAGAAATAATTTAATAGATGTAATTAACATAAATAATTCCATAGTAAAAATTGTTTTATGAACATTATTTGTAGATGACTCGTGCAATATAAAAGGTTTCAATAGATTAATAACCATTATAATAAGAGAAGAATGTAATCTTAATGAAAATTGAAGAGCAGAAAAAAAGAATTGAATAAAATAAGAAATTAAAAATGAAAACAGATTTGGTTCATCATTTTTTAAGTTCAGATATTTGTTCAATAGTTAATTTAGCTGATAAAAAAATAAATTATGATATAAAAACATAGGAAGAATTTAATAAAAAATTGGAATCTGTTTAGATATATTTGGCTGATTAATTTTTATAGGTATATTTAAAAAGATCGAATAAAATAATCAAAATTAGGGAAAGATAATAGGATGGATAAAAGAAATTTGAAGAATTGAAAAATAATTTGAAAGAAATAGAATATCAGATAAATAAAAGTAATAAGGAAATAAAACTAAAAGATACCTATTGTTAATAGGGCATATATGCAATAAAAAGTTTATTAAGGAAAGTTTGATTAAATTAATTTATATAAAATATGAAAATAGAAGTTCATATAAAGGATAAACAATTTGCAATAAATTGTGGAGATGGATTACAGAAAGTCAAATGGTTGGGAGATGTGGCTATTTTTAGACATAGTCATTTCTATTCATAAATAAATTCAACAACAAAAGGAATTAAATTAGAGAATGGAGAAATGGTTGATTTGAATGCAATAATTAGTAGTACTTTAGCAGAGAATACACATGTTTGGGTTGTTTTAAAAGGTATAATTTACAATAGAAAATATTATAGAAGATTTAGAAGCAATGGGAATGGATATGAAATAGTAATAATAATAACATAAGAGACCAATAACTGCTGTGAGTAGAAAAAAGTGAACATTTTAATTATTTTTACTAATAAATTTAATTGTAAATATTTATATGTATATTGTTTTGTTCTCTTTTGTCTATGTTGTGTATTCAATAACTTACGTACTCAATAAAGATGAGATAAAAGTATATTAAACATATAATTGAATAGATATTAGAGAATTATGCAAATGGAATAGAAAAATATGATAAATAGAAAGAAAAATTATCTCTATAGAATGTTAAATAACTTGATAATGATGAAGAGGTTGTTCAAGTAATATCTATGTTTACCCCATTTGATATTGAATAGAGAGTAGATGTATTAACAAAAAAAGGGAACAATATTTACAAAGTATATACTATAAATTATACTAAATAAGTAAAATCCATAATTTATTTATAGTCAAATTCAGAACCTAAGGTTGATGAAGTGGAATTAAAAGGAGTAGTGAAATGTATTTCATTAACCTATTTAAATAATCAATTTGTTGTTGATTGTACAAATACGTCAATTCTTTTTATATTGTAGAATGGTACTTAAATTACATACAATAACAATTTAAATCTTTAATTCACTGAAATTTTAGGATTTTATAGTGGATTATTAGGATTATCTCCAGGATATTTAACATTTTTTGATGAATAATTGTAAATGGAAAGATAGACTGCAGCAAATTATATTTAAGTATTAAAGGATGAAAAAAATGTTTATTTATTAAATGAACTCTAAGTTATTAAATATTCATAAGATGATGGTGTATTTGAATATAATCATTAATGTTAAAATAAACCAGAATTTATGACAATTTTAGATGATACATTTTATATTTAATGTGGTACTTTAAGGAAAGTTAATTAAAATGAAATTGAAGTATTTCAATTATAAGTATCTCAAATCTAAGCAACCAATTAATATATCATTATAAATAATACTAGTATTTTTAATAAAGACTTTGATTTCTGTTTTTTTGTATCATTTGGTCATTTGTATCCACTAAATTATGATGATGATGTTATTCAAATAGTGAATAATTAAATATAAATTGGTTCAATTAAAGGCTATTACTTAATCTAATCAAATGAAATATCTTAATTCAAATTATCTATTAATTAATTTTATGTTGTAGATAAAGGATTATAAGCTTTAACTTCTGGAGAATCTGACTTTTATGGAAGTGAATATTAAGTTGTAAATTATGTTTCAGGACCTAATATAGTAATTAATGATTAGGGAATTATAAATTAACCATTTTAATTGAATATTGAAAAATAGTTAACAAATAAATAATTGCTTGTATTACTTAATTATTTAGATGAATCTATTGTGTTAATCTACTTATAATAATCAAAATTATACTCACAAAAATGTGCAATTCATAATTAGTAATTTGAATGTGAAAAAGAAGTTGTCATATCTTAAAATATTCCATCAGACATTAAAAATGTTCAAGGATCTGTAATTGATAATCAAATAATAGTTGCTTATATATCTTAACAGAATTTATTTATATATCAAGATAATACTCTTTTAGAATAAGTTAATAAAGTTACTACTTATCAATTATATTAAAGTGTTATAGTTATCCTTAATGAAACTCAAGTAACAATTAATTATATCATTAATAAATAATTATAATAATAAAGTTTAATTAATATCATTTGTATTATGGTTACTATGTATTCAAATCAAATTGCATTAGTAGATTAAAAAAATACACTTTTAATAGTAAGTAATTCTAATAATGGTTGGTATTATTCATTTTCTAAATAATTTTAAGATAAAATTACAAATATTAATTATATAAATACTTAATTGATTGTATTAACTGATAAATAAGCATAAATTTATGAAAATAGAATTTTAAGAGGTAAATTAGATTTAGATAAAATTGAAAATGTGAAATATTTATAAACTCAAACTCATTTGTACATTTTTAATAACACAAAAATACTTTAATTTTAGATATTTTCAGAACTTTCTTTATCAAGTTGGCCATAATAAGTAATTGATTCTAAGTTTTAATCAAGATTTTTAGTATTGAGTTTTTTAAATTATGAATTATTACTTTTAGATAATAATCTATTTTTTTATAGTTCAATTTTAGAATTTACACCTAACACTATAGTAGATAGAGATGTTTATTCTAGATTCACTTATGCTGATGTAATCTTCAATAATTATTAAAATAAACCTGTTAATGTAAAAGTCAAAGTAATTGGTGATATTTTAAAATTGTAAACTTTATAATACAATGATACAGATCATTAAATTAATAATGGAATAATGTAAATTGATTAAACTTTATTTTTTGATGGACCAATCTCAAAAGTTAGTACTAATCTTGATGATGAATTTGAAATCATTTAGAGAGTAAATAAGATTTAATAATAACCAAGTTGGATTAATTAAGGTTTGAATGATCTAATCTATATTGAAAATAACTTAAAAATTGTATATTAAAACTCCTCCTTATTATTATGTTCAGAGAGTAAGTGTTAATCAATTTTAAATAATACTTAAGATTGTTTAACTTTAGAGTAAGATCAAATATAATTTTATTTAGTTTGTAAAAAGTCTATTTATTCTGGTTTAAAATCAAAACCAGAATAAATAGATAATTTTGTTTTTACTCAAACATCAGATTAATTAATTAATATCAAATTTGATTAAGGTAAAAAAATAGGTATAATAAGCAGATCAGGTTAAGATTTATAATTTTCAATCTATATCAACTTTAAATTAAATGAAAAAAAAGTAATTGATGAATTAAGAGATTTCTAATTTAATAATGAATAAATAATATTATTAACATCAAAAAAGGTAATGATTGTAGATGATGAATTAAAAGAGATATAATAATATGATTTATTAGATAATTTAATTTAGAATGAATAGAATTTTGCATTGAGATTTGTAGAATTTTCAAAAATATGTCAATATAAAGAAAATTAATATATAATATCAAGTATAGATGGTCCAATTTATTTAATTTATTTTAATAAAGAATATTCAGAACTAGTTTTGTAATTTACTAATATTCAAGATACAAATCCAATTGAAACTTATTTAATTGAACAATAAATTTTAGTATGCATTTATTAAGATCAAGATAATGATTATTATGCTGCTTTTTATGATTTTGAAGATAAATCAAAATCATCTTTAATTATTCCATATTTTAATGTGATTAAATTGGGATCTTCACTCACATAATTCCATTATACTAGATAATATAATAATAATTCAATTATTTTAGTTGATAGTTCTGATTCAAAATAAATATTTGTTATTAATGATTATGTAAAATAATTTACAATATATTTAGCTTTAAATAAAGAGTGTTTCATCAAATAAAAATCTCTAAGAACTAATTGCATATGATTTAGATTTCTAATAAACAAAAATTAATTTAAAAATAGATTTGACTGAAATTGATGAAACTCCAGATGATTGGATCTTAGCTATTTATATTTTATGTGGAATATTAGGAATTTTAGTCTTGCTAATTTTATTTAGGTATATTAGAAGATACTGTTTGACAAGACATCTTAAATTTGTAGAAGAAAAACCTTCAGAATTCAAAAGTGAATATATATGATATACTCATATTATTTAAAAAAAATTAGTTTATTAATATAATTAATAAAATGATGATAATAATAAATAGGTATTTTATTATTCATCTTATTCCTTATATTCCAAAATTAATTATCTTTAACAATTATTAATTCTCAATAGCAGCCAAGACTCTTTCTTTATCTTAGAATAATTTATTTAATTCAATTTCTTTGATATGCATATTTTCCTTTATTTCTACATAAATTTTATAATTTTTAGGTAAACTTCTCATCAATTTAATTTTTAAAGTAAGTCCAATTGTTTGAGCCATAGAACAATGAGGAATAGTAGGAGTAAAATACACAATTACTCTATTTCCTTAGATTTAAATATCATTAGGATTTACTATATTCAATTATTCTAAAGTAAATGAATGTTCAGGATCTTTAATTGTTTTAATTATATCAAAAATTTCATATTCATCAATAGGATCTTCAATTTCTGGGTCATATTCTTATTACTTTCTTTTAATATATTATTAACTGAATTCAAAATTACCTGTTTGAAAAATTTGTGGTTTAGGATTTTCTAATTACATTTAATTAATGAATGCTTGATTTATAGTATGAAATTTTATTATTTTATGAACATTTCAGAAAATGATATGCATTAGTTGATACAATCAGTTAATAAAAGATCAATGTTTAAAACTCAATATGACATAGAATTCATTCATTCTAAATTGAGAGATTTTACATTCTTTAGAAATATGAATAGAGAAATTGGAGATTCACAATATTATAAAATTCTAAAAGAACTACAATATGAATGTCCTATTCCTTATGAACCATTAGTGAATATTGGAGATTAATGTTCTAAGTTTTACTTCATACTTGCTGGTAGATTTCTCATCCTTACAAACAATTAAATAGCCAATATACAATTACCAACTGAAATGTAAGCAAGCTTAATAAATTTAAGATAAAAGACTTTAGAAAAACTATTTCCTAATTAGATTCCACAAGGGTATTTATCAATAGGGCAATATTTTGGAGAATAAGTTATGATGTTTGATTAATAACATACTTAAACTATATTACCACTTGAGAAATCTCATCTTCTAGTCATCAAACGAGAAACATATAGAAGGATTATTGGTAAATAATAATATTCATAGGTTTAGATTTAGAAACAAAAAAGAAAGAATCAGAAAGGTTTTCTAATCTAAGTACCATTCCACTCTTTTAGAAATGGAGTGCTAAAACTGTAAAGATGTTATCCTCTGAAATCTAAGAATTGAACTTTATTCCTAATCAAATAATCTATCATCAAGGAGATCCCGTTGATTCAGTCTATATTATTATTGATGGATAAATCTAATTATTTAGAACATCAAATAAAAATTAATTGCCACTTTCAATTCTTGGCTGTAAGGAAAGCTTTGGAGATGATGAAATACTTACTTAATTTAGAACTCACTCAGCTAAAAGTCTTACAAGTGTTAAACTCTATAGGATTTTAAAAAAACCATTTTTGGATCTTATCCCCTTTGATTATTCTAATAAATATTTCAAAAAAGATACACATCTCAAATTGAATTTAAATTAAAATGAAGATTATTCTAGAATTTATAGATCAGAATCTTTAAAAGCTATCAAATCTCCAGCTAAGTTATTGTAAAGAATTATGAGGAAAAGTTAAGATAAAAATAAAACTCATTAATCCATTTCATTTTAGTAAATCCATGATTTTACAAGAAAAGATATCCGTTATTCGAATACTCCAACTGTTTTATAGAAATCTAGCAGTGTACATGAATAAATTAGAATACATGCAAACGGTAAATTCGATAAAACTACTTATTTGTTAAATCAAATCAAACTAAGATCAACTAATGTCTGGAAAAAAACTAAATGATTTATTCTCATTTATTATTTTTATTTCCTTTCTGCTATCAATATTTTAATGAATTCATGCTAATTTAAAAATAGAAGTCTTCACATTAATAAATTCAACTCACTAACACCTTCTCATAGAAATGAATTTTCAAATAGACAAAACGAATAGATTTTTAGTTTCAACAATGTAGATTTAATCTCAGAACGTAAATACATGCCTTATATATACACAAAATATAAACCATATTCGCATTAAAGAAGAAAGAACTCAAATGTTGCTAAATCTGGCGATTACTTCAATAGTACTATAGAGCAATCCTCATTTAATCAATTGAAACTTAAAAGCCATTGTTCTATAACTCCACTTAGGAAAAAAACTTTAAATTCCTTTTTATTTACAGACCCTTAACAAAAGCCATAATCTAGTCCAGCCAACCTTAAAACTGAAGTCAGATAGTTTTCAATTGATTTACCTCAAATGTAACAATTTCCAAGAAAAAAAAGAGAATACACTATTTTAAAAAAGAAAAAAAAAGTGTATGCTTTAAAAATATAAATTGAGTGATTTTTTCCTTTTAATATATATTAAATGAATAATGATCCATTTAATCTATTATTGAGGAATTCTAATATAAATTAATAACAAAACATTACATATTCCCTTTCTTAGAATTTAGAACTTACTATCAACTAAGAACTATAAAAATAAGCATATGAGTACAACTTTGTATATTGTAAAAAATTAAGAAGAAGCAAATTTAAATTACCAATTCAATTAAGTAAATACTAAATCACAAATAAATAAGTAAATAGGATTCAAGAGCTTTTAAGATCAGCCTTCAATCATTAATGTTTAACTGTGAATAGTTGGTTGTTTCCTAAAATTTTTATTTCAAAAAAAAGAACTTTATGATAGAGCTAGCAATTTAGCAATAATCGTTATGAATTAATTGAAATTTTTGGAGAAATGTGTTTATTTAACATTAAAAAAAAGAAAAACCTGATTTAAATTTGCCATAGTATATATTCTAAATTATTACATTAAATTTATTAGAACAATTTAAAAATTTTTGTAATTCTTTTATAATTCTAGAGTTTAGTAAATGATGTATTAGAAATCAACCATTAAATGGATAGAATAACATTTTGATTTAAAAAAATCATAATTTTTTATCAACTATATTTATTCAAGTTTGTTTCAAAAGTAGGTAGGCTTTTTTTGAATTAAACTAACTTATATTTACTTTTTATTATTAAAATCTTTGTTTTAACATCATTTTGTTAAATTGTAAAGATTTATTAATGTTATTCCTAAAATAATATTGATCTTTAAAAGTAAGTTTATAAATTATTATAATTTAAATCTTTATATTAAAATTTTCATTTTTATTTTGGAACTCCAATGTTATAATGTCCAGGTCGAAATAGTAAATAAATTTTAAGCATAGGATCAGGACATTCATTATATTATAAAATTTTTAAAGTTTATTCTTTAGGTGCAAATGCAAATTAGATTGTATGACTAAAATAAAATATAAAATCTACATATTTAAATTTTCACTCAACAATTTTATAATAGCTTCATTACTCTAACAATCGAATTCCCATTGTAATAATTCTTATTATAAATTCAAACCTTAAGCTTAAAATATTGAACTAACCTATTCATTCTCAGAACAATATTTAAAAGCTAAATTTCTTAAGAATACAATTGATAAACCATAAAATTCATTTTGTTCATCTTTGAAATATTCACAAAATAATTTTTATCTATCCATTTTCTTTTATTATCTTAGCTATTAACATATTTTAATAAATTTCTCTTTTAAATTATCAAAATCATTTTAATTATATTATTCATCTTCAAAAAAAATTTCAAATGGTAGCCTTTGTATTAATTAAATTAATTCTTAAAATTATTCTTTTTTAGTCATATTGATCATAAAATCTAAATACTAGAATACAAAAGATGTATAAAAGCAATTACCATCTCCTCTTGATCTCCTCATTCCACCCAAGAATTGCTTTAATTGGGTCTTAATTTCTAATTTATTCATTCCATATTCTTAAATCAAATCAGCTGTGCTTAGAATGTCACTAACAAAAAGTCTATACAAAGGTTCCACAAATCGCTATCTGCAAGTTTTATTATAAAGGCTAGATATTATGGTATCACCAAAATTGATAACATCTTATGGAGGTTTAGGAGGAGAAGGTAAAATTAATGAACTTTTCTTTATGAGATTTTATTATTCTAAATCAATATTTTCAATTTTTTGTTCAATTCTTTAAAACTCACTCTAAATATTAAACTCTTTAATTTTCTTTAAATCTTAAACTTCATTATTTAATTTTAATATTTCAGCTTATAACATACTTTAAACCTATAACATATCTTATTTGTTTTAGTTATCAATTTCATTTTTATTTACATTCTAGGTTATTAATTTCTAAATATCGCTTCTTTATATTTATAATTCCTACTCCATTCCAAATATTTTATTTATTTCTAAATTCTAATTATTGAATTTATCATTCATTTATCTTATTTTCTCCTCAATTCCATTTATTTCCAAATTATATTAACTCAATTAATCATTCCATTATCTTATATTCTCCTCAATTCCATTTATTTTGCTTATTTCTAAATTCTAATTATTGAATTTATTATTCAATTTTTTTATTTCTTCCTTCATTCCATTTATTTCCGAATTTAATTTACTCAATTAATCATTCAATTTTTTAATTTCTTCCTATGAATATTAATTTAGTTTTACAATTTACTCTGAGAATTAATCATTCAATTTTTTTATTTCTTCTTAGGATTATTAATTTTACTCTGAGAATTAATTCTTCAATTATTTTATTTCCTCCTAAAAGAGTTTTTGTCCTTTTTCTTTCATTTCATCTTAGATTTATTGATAATTTTATTCTATTTTATGTTGTTACTCAGATATAGTTTAATTTATTTTTTATATTTCATCTTAAAAAGTATTATTTTATGAACAATTTATTGATGACAATTTTTCTTTTAATGTTACTTCTAAAAAATCCTTAATTTATTTTTATTACTCGTCATTCAAAATTTTTTATTGATTATTTTAACAAATCTTTTATTACTATTCTAATTGTTATTATAGTTGTTTTATCATCTTATCATAACTTTCAAATAGTTTTTTGAATTCTTTTATTAACTTCCGCATCAAGTATTAGATTATTTAAAAAACTATTAAAACTATGAAAACATAAGCAAGCATTATAAAAATATTATTTAGGTTGCCAATAGGTTCAATAATATAATTGAAAAGTCCATCTTCCTAATCTTGAGAAGTCATTAAATTTTAAAAATTTAAATATTTAACTACTTCATAAAAATATATAATATAAATTAAAAATATTTTTGAATATCTAAATCGAACTCAATTTATTTGTAATACTCATTGTCACTTGAAAATTAATACAAATATAATTTTGAATATATGATAACGAGATTTTTATTACATTAATAAAATTTGTAATTTATAAAAATGTAAAACTAAGAAGTGAGCGAATTAGTTAAATCTTAAGTCATTCATTTGCTTAATGATTAAACAAAATCCTAAATCCTCTAATCTAAAGATAGAGATGATACTGAAATTAATAATGTTGAGTTTGAGATTGATGATGTTAATGAATAATAATGCTATGATGCTTAAAATACAAAATCTGAATCAAAAATTGACTAATAAATAAATAAAATTTAAGATCTTAAGTAAAAAAAAGAAGAGCTTGAGTAGAAGTTGAGAAATTAAAATCAATAAGTAAATTAACTTGAAGAAAAATTAAAAAAATAACAAGAAAGTAATAATGTGTTCGCTAGACAACTTTAGTCTGCTTAAGAGAATATGCAAGATTAATAATGGATTTAAAAATAGTCAGAATATTAATAAATTTTACATAAATATGAGGAAGTCTTAACTTAAGAAAATGATAAAGAACTTAAAGATATTTATAAAGAATATTATAATAAATCAAATAAAGCAAGAAATTAGCAATAAAGAATATAAAATAGTATAGAATTGGAAAAATAATTAAATTTAGAATTTGATTAAGTTAATAAAGAAATCGATGAAATTAAAAATATATTGGATAAAGAAATTAATGAAGATAATATAAATGACTTATAATAATTATTGATATCAAATAATGAGTCAATTATTGAAACAATGGAGTAATAATTAGAAAATAAAAAATAAAATATCGAAGTAATTTAAGAAGACATTATAAATCTCTCAAAATAATTAAATGAAGCAGAAGATAAATTTAGAAATATATTTATAATTTATAATGAATAAAGAAAATTAATAAAGGAGTTGATGGTTAATAATAATTAAGTTTAAAAACCAATATAAATTGGTAAATAAAAAGTGAATTCAAAAAGATCATCTATAAAAATGAAGAATTGTTAAATATCTAGTGTTATTTAAAACTTATGTTCAGGATTTATAATTTTATTTGGAGGTTTCTTGATGTTCATATTATTATAAGATATTTACATATCTAATCAGTAACAATAATATTATTTTAATTGATTATTTGATGTTATTATGTCATATTTCATGCATATATATTAAACAAAATACAAATATTAATATATTATTTTATTTTAAATTAAAAATTAATAATTCTTTAACTCATAGATGGATTAAGAAGAACAATAAAATTCTCAGGGATTCTAAAATGAAAAACAAGATCAACCCATAATTGAATAAGCTACAGAATATCCAACTAATAAAATTGAGATATCAATCACTGATGCTATTACAAAGGATGGTGGATTGGGAATTAAATATACTGTATATTTGATAAAGGGATCAGATAATTTAGGAAGTTTTGAAGTTTTAAGAAGATACAATGACTTTTATGAACTTAGAGTAGCTTTAATGAAAAAATGGCCTGGATGTTATATTCCTCCAATTCCTGAAAAATTGTTAGGTAGTGGAAATGATACTGAGACTGTCTAAATAAGAAAACGTTTGATGGAAATATTTTTAAATGTCCTAACTGAATTGCCATATATCTATTATTCAGAAGATATTCAATAATTATTTTTAAGATCAACAAATACAGAAATAAATAAAGTAATTAATTCACATAATTTAGATTTATTAATAATAAAAGTAAGTTACGTCAGCTGACATCATAGATAGATTCAAGAGAGCATTTCCTAATTTAGATGTTAGAGATTCATCAAATAGTGAGTATATGCTATAAATAAGTACATTTTAAGGATAATTGAAAAAATCATAAGTTCATTTGAAATAGTATATTGAATAATCTTAAATAGTGGCTTAATCAAGAAAATAAATTTAAAATGAAAAATGTATAAAATATTAGTTATTAAAGTGAATTTATTTTTTGGATCGTTGCCTATCTATGAAAAAGTGAATTTGACAGAATATGTATGTGGTAAAGAGAATTAACTTGTACTAAGTAATCCTTAAAACATTGAAGCATTCACAAAATTATTGGATTAACTTGTATAATTTAAAAGCGATATATATAATAGAAAGAAGTTTATAAAAAATTTAATAGTCTAGACAATATAACAGATTTATTTAGATATGAATTAAAGAATGCAGAATCAATTTAATAGACATTAACTTATAGAGATTAGTTGCTTATTTAGAGAGCAAATTAAGAATAAAAAATGAGGGAAGATTAAGCTGAATTAGCTAAAATTGCTGCAGGTAAGTAAACACTAACAACAATAACAAATTCTGTATTTAATAAAGCTAAGGATCAATCATAATTAAAGGTTGAATAGAAAATATCTGAAGTATTATATTATTATATTTATTAGGGTCAATAAGAAATTGAAAGATTATCTTAATTGTATAATATTACTACTGCAATAATAGCAACATAAGAAATATAGAAGTATAGAAAAACAAGAATAAATCATTATCATAAGTTTTTAAGGTAGGTTTAACATTAAGAATAATAAGTATATGAATGTGAAAATGAATTACTTTAAAAATTAGTAGAGGAATGTTAAAATTTATAGTAATAATAAAATGTTGAATCATGAAGAAATTCTATTTATATTTGTAAATCGTTTTATTAGATTGTAATTTAATAACATAAATATAAAACTAATTAATATTATTAAGTATTTAAAAATCTTCATCTATGAATATTCTTATTTAAGAAGAACTAGAAAATAGTTAATAGTTGAGTAGTTAATAATTAATTAAATAGAACTCTTATGTTTACAATTAGATGTTAAAAATAAATAATGGCTTAAAAACATATGCTTTATCCTCAATTTTACTTAATTAAAATAATGACCCAGAAAATTTGATGATTTCAGAATTAACATTTCGATCACTCTCTAATGATGTTGACTCAAAGTTGCTTTAAGAATTTTAAAGTAGAAGACATATAATTGAACCTCATTAAATATAATTAATTTAGTAATCTCCTTTTAAAATCAATAAATAAGCATGTTGGATTTGCTTAAATGAACTTAATAATATTATATTAATAGAATAATGCAATCATTAGTTTTGTCAAAAATGTATAACCTTATATTTATACAATAAAATAATATCTGGTGAAGTACACAAAATTACATGTCCATAATTTGGTTGTTCTACAGTTTTAAGTGAACGTTTGATTAAATAAAATATTAATTAAGAAGTTTATCAAAAATATTAAAGGTAGTAATATCATCAACTATTCAAGATTTTTATTAATAAAGTAATATGAAAATGTTGTGAATGGGAAATGGTGTCCAAGACCTGATTGTTTTAATTTTGTTTTTCAGTAAGGATAAGAAAAAATATTATAATGTGTATGTGGTTAATAATTTTGTTTTGATTGTGGAAATCCAAATCATCCAAATAAAACATGTTAAGAAAGTGTAGATTAAGTATTTGCTTAAGCATTACAAGATTATAAAATTTAAAAATGTCCTAATTGCAAAGCTAACATACTTAAAAATGGTGGTTGTAATCATATGACTTGTACTAAATGTCATTATGACTTTTGTTGGCTATGTGGATGTAGATATTCATCAATTCATTATGATTGGATGAATCCATGTAATTGTCCTGGAGATTAATATTAAGAAAGAGATCCATATTCATATCCTAAAATTTTAATATGTATAAGAGCAATATTGAAACTCTTAATATATGTACTACTATCACCAATATTGGCATTAGCAGGTATAGGAATGCTTGCTTATGGACTTGGATACTTGTTATCAAAAGCTTGTCATCTTTGTAGATGTCTCAAAAAATGTTGCTAAACTTTATGTAATTGAAATTGACTTAATATTAATTGTTAATAATGTAAATATAATTAAATATGGCCGTCTGGCTCAATTGGTAGAGCACCAGATTTCGGGTCTGGGGGTTTAGGGTTCAAGTCCCTAGGTGGTCGAAGTTATTTTTTGTTTTTTTTAATATTTTTAATTCTTTTTTATATAATTTTGATCAATTCTAGGATTATAACAAAAATGTATATATTCATATTAAAATAAGCAGATTTAAATTGTTAATTACTTATTTATATGATACAGGATCAGTCAATTTAATTGAAAATTAATATTAAATTCTTGATTATTCATATTCAAATTATAAAGAGAATTCTACATTATAAGTATGATACCTATTATAAAATAGTTTGGATAAAGAATGAATTAAAAAAAGAAAATGTGATTTTTAATGTTATTCATATAATATTGATTATTCTTTCTATTAAGAAAGTGAATGTTTTTGAAATCTATTTATTTCCTTATTATAATTATCTTATTTAATTCTTTGATTATTATAATTATGCTACTCTCTTTTTTACATATATCTATTTATCTTCTAGTAATGAAATATATTGACAAAAAAATAAAATATAAATTATAACTTAATATTTTTATGAATAAAACTAATAACAGTATAAAAGATTTACAACTTAGACTTCTCATTTGTGAATCTGAAAAATAAGTAGCTCTATAAAAGTTAAATGATATCAAACGTAATGAAAGAACTAAACCTAGTTAATCCTTTTTTGCATTATCTAAAGATGAAGCTAAAAGAAAGGACAAAGTAGGAAAATTGTTAATAGACTTAATGAATTTGATTTCTACTAATAATTCTTTATAGTGTATGCTTTAAATAAACTCTTTAGAGAGTATGATGAAAATCTTTGATCAAGGAAAATGTTACAAACTTCTTAAGAAAATTATCAAACCATTTATTTTATTAATTACCTATTTACTAAATACAAATATAACAGAATCTTTGAGTGCTAGAAGTGAAAATTAAACTCTTTAACATCTTACTAATTATAATTCAGTTTAAACTGGAATTCAAACACCAATGTCATAAGTGATAACAATCAATACTAATAATATGCATAATCATAAAACTTCATTTCCAAGTTCCATTGCTTTTAAACCTCCAAGTGAAACTACAACACCTGAGAAAAGTGTAAAGTAGGTTCCCATTACATAACCATAATAAAAATAAACAATATCACATCATAAAGGAATAGGGAAAACATAAAAACCTATATCAAGAAGGACAGCAACTAGTAAGTTAAATACTTGTGGAGATTGAGAATAACAAGAGTGATGATTTCAATATAATTTATTTTCAATTTAGAGAATCTATAATTTTAACTGTCAATGTAATTAAGAAATTGTCGAAATAGGAAGAGTGTAGATGATTAGGAATCTTAATTAAAAAGATGTTTAGCTACTTAAAAATCAGTTGGATAGATTAAATAAAGGAGAAGCATTTCAAGAGATTATGATATTCAAAAATCTCATATTTCAACAAACAATAAAACCAAAAAAGTGAATGAGATAATTAAACTAAAAGACATTCTAAAATAGAAAGATTTTAATAGACCTGAAAAAGATATTTAGAGTAATCCTTCCCCATATAAAACTGAATGTAGAACAAATTATTCTAGATTTACTAATTGCAATTGTAAAAATGAAATAGCTGAGAATGATTTAATGTAAAATGATTCAAATATAAAGATTAAAATAGGAGATACTAGGTCATTTAGATAAAATACATTAGATAGTTTAAAAAAATGATAGGTTTTTGAGTCATCGTTCATAATAAGAATTAAAATCAAATAGTATTTAGAAATATGAAAGAAATAGTATAGAAGATAAAATTAAATTAAATGAACAAGAATTTACAGATGATATTTTTAGCAATAATAACACCTGCAATTTAAATTATATCATTTAATAATAATAGTAATAAATATCAAATCTAAAATCTTAATTGTTTAGTTAAGAATAAATGTATATAGAAAAACAGTAAAAATATGAAGAAGATATTATATAATTGAAAAATTAGATTATGTAATTGTCAAATGGATTGGAGAAAATGAAAGAACATTTTACTTATAAATAATAAAAAAAATAAGAAAATAACAATCATATTCAATTAAAAAAATGATTATATCTTTAATTATAATACAATTAAAATAGCTCTTATCTTTTTTTATTTAATTCTTTGTATTAAATTATTATTATTTAAATTTATGGAATAATTATATATTCCAAATAAAATTATAATTTTTTGATTAAATGAAATTAAACTTAAAACTCATTGATTATGTTTATTTATTTATTTTATACAATAGATCAATATTTATAATCGTCATGTTTGAATGGACCATTTTAGCTAACACCAATATATTAGGCTTATTCATTAGATAAGATAGTAAGTTCAGCACCTAATTTCTTAAGATGAAGGACTGCAACTTTCTCATCAAGTTCTCTTGGTAATTTGTAAACTAAAGAAATTAATTATAAATATACCTTCATTTCCATATTTTCCATTATCTCTATTAATCCATAATTCAATTTAAGCTAATGTTTAGTTTGTGAATGAGTTTGACATAACAAATGATGGATGTCCTGTAGCACAACCTAAATTAAGTAATCTACCTTCAGCTAACATTATAATTCCATGTCCATCTGGGAATATCCATTAATCACATTATGGTTTAATTTAAATTCTATTTATTCCTTCCCATTATTTTAATCCCTTGATATCAATTTCATTATCAAAATGTCCAATATTACCAACAATAGCATTATGTTTCATTTGAGACATATGTTAAGCTGTGATAATATCTTTATTTCCTGTAGCAGTAATAAAGATGTCCATATCTTTAACAACTTTTTCAATTCTAACAACATCAAATCCTTCCATACATGCTTAAAGAGCACATATTGGATCAACTTCAGTGATATAAACTCTACAACCTTATCCTTTCAAAGCTTAAGCACATCCTTTTCCAACATCTCCATATCCACAAACTAATGCTTTCTTTCCTGATAACATAACATCAGTTGCTCTGAAAATACCATCAATAACTGAATGTCTACATCCATAAATATTATCAAATTTAGATTTAGTTACTGAATCATTAACATTAATAGCTGGGAATAATAATTCTCCTTTAGCAGCAATTTATTTTAATCTATGTACTCCAGTAGTTGTTTCTTCTGATACTCCTTTAACTTGAGCAACATAGTTTCTGAATTTATTTGGTGTTTATTAGATTTCTCTTTTTAAGACAGTCAAAAATGCTTCTTCATCTTCAGATTCAGCTCTTTCTGGTTATGGTAATTCACCATTTGCTTCATATTTCTTTTCCCATTTAACTCCTTCCAATAACATCATAGTCATATCACCACCATCATCTACAATCAATGTGGGTCCTTAACCATTTCCCCAATCTAAAGCTCTTACTGTACATTCCCAATATTCTAACAATGTTTCACCTTTCCATGCAAATACAGCTGCAGATTTGGCTTAGGCAATTGCAGCAGCAGCATGATCTTAAGTAGAAAAGATATTGCATGAACACCATCTTACTTAAGCTCCTAAAGCTTAGAGTGTTTCAATTAAAACAGCAGTTTAGATAGTCATATGTAATGACCCAGAGATACGAGCTCCCTTTAAAATTTATTATGGTCCATATTCTTCTCTAGCTGACATCAAACCTGGCATTTCTACTTCAGCTAAATTTATTTCTTTTCTTCCAAAGTCAGCTTAAGTAATGTCTTTTACCTTATAATCCTCTGCGTCCATTAAAACTTTTGATTTAAATAAAAAGATTTGAATCCACCTCACTTAAATTACATTAAATACTCCCTATCATAATCATACGTATCATTAATTTATGATGTCATTTATACATTTTTGTAAGACGCGTATTGTCCCCCATAAATTAAAATATTCTTAATTCTTATTTTTTTAATTTTCTGATATTCTCCAAAATGCAGCATCATTTTTATGTATATTGCTTATTTCAACATATTGTTAAAATAAAAGAAGAAAGCTTTAAAACAATCACAAAATAATTTTATGTCATAAAATCACATCCAATCTCAATCGGCCATTTTAACCATTAAAATCAGCAAATTTGTTCATTTGTATGATTAAATTAACGAATCTCTACTTTAAATCTAATTGTTCAACATTTTGATCAAATCTCCTATCCAATATAATCTTATTCTGAATTTATCATTCTTTTATATATTATTCATCTTTGATGCTTTCATAATCATTCAATAACCATATTTTATTCCAATCTCTTTTCTTAATCTCTAAATTTGTCAAATCAGGCAAGATGTTAGATTAATATTAAATATTAATTATTAATATATATTATATATATATATATTATTATTAATATATTTTGCATATACTCCAAAACAAAATATTTTTACTAATAGAAAATAAGAATTGATCATCTTTAAATTAAAAAAATCACTAAGTAATTTTTCTAAAGAATAATAATAAAATTTTAAATTTTTTAATAGAAATAATTGCTCATTAATTACCATTCTTCATATTGTTTTATCAAGCTATCAAATTCTAAAATGTTTAAAAATTACAAAAATTTTCACATTACTAATTACCAATATATTCTTCACTTTATACCCAATTCCTTTCCAACCTTATACTTATTATTAAGTTATTGGTAAATTCTGAAATTTTGGCAGAAAATCATATCATATATGCTCATGTTTTATGGACTGAACAATCTGACATTAACTTTTCTACCATTCAACATTTAATTTTCATTAACTTCTTAAAATAATACATCTCTATAATTATTTCCTTTTAAGTCCATTTTAGATTCCGCTAATTTGATAATAATTCCACAAAAATTTTGATTAACCATGATTTTTATATAAATTTATGATTATTTTATTTACAAGTATTTTCTTTAAATTATATTATTCTTTTTCTAGAATATTCTATTTTAAATATAATTATTTCACTAAGGGATATATTAAATGGATAATATTAAATAATATTAATAAATTAATTCTTATGTTTTATTTAAAAGGATTGACCTTTTTTTATAAATCATTAAATTTATAGATATTAGTAACATATTATAATTAATATAATCTATTTGTATTAAAGTTTATTTTATATAAATATTAAGTTGATAAATTATATATATTAATAAATTATGGATAGTTATTACAAAATAATAATATAAATAATTATAATGTACAATAAAATATGTATTTTTTTGTAATTTACAATTATATTACATTTATCCTTTGTAGGTTTATTTTGATGTTTATCTGATATAAATAAATTTTGATTAATTTGAGCTGTTATAATTGGGTTATTAAAAATATAATTAATTATTATTATGTAACCAGATTAGATTGAAGAGCAGAAGAAGAAAATTCAAGAAAGTGAACACAATGCTAGGAAAAAGGAAATTGAATTCTAGTTTAAAAATGTTTTCGATGAAGCTAAAAAAATATTAAAGAGAGAATATTATGAAAATGAAATGAGTGAAAAATTAAAAAATTTGTTAGATTGGATAGAAGTATATAAAATTATAATATTTATTAAGAGTGATATAAATAAATTATCAGAGAAGAATGATAGAGACTTTGTAAAAAAATATAAATCATTTGTGGAAACTTATAGAAGTGGACTTGTAGAATTTAAAGAAATATTGTTGAATTTAAAAAAGGTTTAATAATAAATTTACAAATTAGATTGAGGAGAACCGATAAGAAATAAAAAAAGTTAAAATTAATAGTTTCAAGCAAAATCCTTAATGTTTAAATACAGAAATTAAGTTTTCAGAGAAAAGACTATAAAGAATGAGAGCAGGAGTTCATTTGATTTAAGTTTTGGAAGAATCTTTAGCAAGAAAGTATTAAGAAACGATGAAAAAATCAGTTTCAGTATAACCAATCTAATAGGAAGCTTAGTAGTAAATGGATATAAGTGAAACAGAAATATAAATATTTTAAGAGTTAGAAAATGGATTCAAAAAAGAAAGAATATCATAAACAAATGAAGACTTAGAAAATGGAATTTAAAAATAAAAAGATATTTAGATATTTGATTAAGTTGAAAGAGCATTAGAAGAATAGAAAGAAAAGTATTAAGTAATATTTAAAGAATTTGATAAAGGATTTTAAAAGTAAAAAGTGAAATGTGAATCAATTGTGAAATCATCATATAAACCTGTAAAAGGAGATTTAGATTTTACTCATAAATATTAGGATTAATATTTTAAAAATTATTTCAGAGAGAAATTTAAATTGGCTAACTATTTCCTTGGAGATTAATTAATTAAATTATTTTTACATGAAAATTAGAAATATGTGAATAAAGTATTAAATAAGAATTCTAATTCTTCTTAATAAAATTCATTTAATGAAAAAAAAATTTATAATAAAGAATTAGATCCTAAAAATTTTATATAATAAGATGATTTAGAAAGTAATGGAAAGGCATTATAAAAAATACTTAAAATAAATGAAGAAATATAAAAAGAACTTTTACAAGATGAACATTAAAGAAATATTGAAGAAATGAATAAAATTGAAATATAAAAGAAATAAGAACATTGGGAAAAAGTATTATAATAAGATGATCATAGAAAGTCAACACCAAACTTAATTAAAAAAACAACATAAGTTTAATTAAAGAAATCATAAACTGTTGAAAAAAAAACTATTAACATTAAACCTGTCATTTCTTCTTTAAAAAAAAGAACCATTTATTACTAAGCTCATCCTAATTTTCCATTAATAAGTGAAGTTTATAAATCTCATTAAAATGTTCCTGAAGAAAGATTAAAGAAAGCAGCCATAGGATATGATATTATTTAATAACCATCTAGAACCTTATATACTCCACCAACTAATGTGAATTCATAATTAGAAAATAAAAATAAAGTATTAAAATTAGAAGATGACATCTATCCACAACAACCAAATCTAAGAGTTCCTCGAACAGCAATGTAAAATTTTAGAGGAACTTTTTTTCCTAATTCTCAGCATGGTTTATCTCGCTAAAATAATTAAGATTATAAATCACTTACAACATTATGGGGAGAATAATGGAACAATTATTGAAAAATTTATTCATATTTTTTATTAAAAATTTTTTAAGATTTTACTTAAATAATATAATTGCTTACTTATCATAATAATAAATCAATAAAACAAAAAATTATCATTATTATTTCTATAAATAATTTTTCAACTTTATAATCTCTCTTTATAATTCTAATCTTTTCCAACTGATATTTCTTCCTTATTCTTCAATTTAAGTAAACACTTCTAAAACCTTTTCATTTTTCAATCTTTTTACAAGTTCCCATTATAATGTTTTCCTATTTTCATATATTAATTAAGCCTATTTTATAAGAATATCTCCCCAACATTCTTTAAAAATATGATTCTTAATTAAAACATCATAAGGTACATTTCCCAATTTATTGGCTCTTTCTCTTAAAGATAGACCACTTATATCAATTTAATATTCTTCAAAAATAAAATTAATAAAATGAGCATCTTAAACAAATTATTCTATTGTTGTTATTCTTACATCTACTCTAACACAACTTTGACCACATTTTAATATTTCAAAAAAATAAGGATAAGGAACATTTTTATTAATCAAATATTCACCAAAAAATCTAATAAAATGCGAAAACTTAAGCCTTTCATATTTCAAAAGATCAGATAAACAGTTATAACTTTCTGCAGGCTGAGCCACTTTATTAGGAGCCTCTAATATCTTTCTTGCATATTTCGGAACTTTTGGTTTTTAGTGACTTTCTGAATTACAAATATCTCTAAATTAAATGAGTTTTTAACCAATTTAAGTTAATTTTTTTAATAATTAATTAGGAATTTAAGAATTATTAGATTCTTCTTTTAAGATATTTTCAATTTATATTATTTAAGATTTTGCAGAAGGTTTTTTAATATGTTTTCTAATTTATCTTTCATATTTATTGAAATTCTAATCTAATATTTCTAATTAAGCAATAATAATATCTTCTTCACTTAATAATTCATAATTTTAATAATTTGGTAAAATAGTGTTATAATAAAGAGACTTCAATTCTAACCAATTCAAATTTTCATCCAATTATCTTATACAATATTAAAGTTTTTAATCTTTAATTTCATCCTATTTAGATAATTATTTAATAAAAAATAATGGATATCTTAGTTCTACTCCTCCTTTTTAACCAACAAAGTTTGTTAAATCAGGATTAGAGAGTGTGATCTTTCTAACAATTTCAGGTAATCCAATTTTTTATTCATTAATTTATGTTATTGAAATGATTACTAATTTCTTTATTATATATGATCTTAGTAATTCTATATTATTTGATTTATTTAATATTTCATTTGATAAATGATAACAACCCAAAGAATTGATTTTTTCAGCAATATTTGTGTAAATCTATTTAATTTATTTATTAATTTGATCTTTTTCTGAAGCAGTAGAAATTAATTTATATGTTTCATAAATTTAATTAAAATCTTAGTGGTTTAAATGTTTAGGATTTAAGAATTAATCAGCATGAGGTTGAAGTAATTATAAGGATAACAATAATAAATATTGATCATTTATAGGTTGTGATTCATCAATTTCTATTTTCTCTTAATTTTTAAATTTATAATCATCATTTAGAAATGCTAAAGTAATTAATTCTGAGAGATGCAATAAATTATTATTTAATTTAAAATTTCCATTTTCTAATTTTATACAACCTAATATTTTAGGTATAACTCTCTTTTCTTCAAATAATTGCAAAAGACCATAAATAACCTTTTTTTATAATTAATCTTAATTATATTTGTATTATTATTAGTTAATTTATATACTGGATAAAAGGTATAGCATATTATTTAAGGGATTAATTTTGAAATAAGATAAAGTACCTTTGTATAATTTTAAAGCCTTATTTTATTTAAAGAAATTGATTAAATCATCCATATCTAAAATAAGATTTTGATTTATTTCTTAAACTCTATTCTTCGATATTGATTTTTGTAAGAGTTTTAGTTTCTTTAAGCTTTCTTTTGATAGTCTTTTTTTGGCTTAACTGGGCATTTTTCTATTTACAAAAATAATCTTATATCATTATTAATAATTAAGAATCACTTTAATTTAAATCATGGAAAAAAATATAATTGAATTGAAGAATTAAAAGCATTGATTTAATTATACCTAATAAATTTTTGATTTATTCAAACACTTACTAATTTAAATAAAATATATTTAAACCTATCAAATAGTTCTTATAATATACACTTAATAATAAGATAATTTATTTCATATAATATAACTATTTATACAAACCCTTTCATATTAAAAAATGAGAAGAGAATGTTTAAATAGATTAAAGACTATCAAAGTTTAAATTAATAAAGTAAAATGGGTATCTTATTCAAACATAAATATTTAAAATGATTTATTAAGGTAGATCTTTTCATATAATAATTTATTAAACAGTTTGTTCTTAGTCTTAGATTAATCAATACTAGATTTAATATTTAAATATATGAAATAACCTATTAAAGTAAATCTAATATAGGTAGAGATTGATCAAAGAAATGAAAGATTGGAAACTATTAAAAGAGTAGAAGTAAGAGAATGTCAAAGAAATAATAAAAAAAGCATAAGTAATAATATTAATAGTAGATTTGAATTTTAAGTATTTTAATTAGAATTAATTGTGAGATTATATTTATATATATATATATAATATAGAATGTTTAATGATTTAAGATAGAATAATAGAAACTTTGAAAATCAGAGTGTTGCTAAGTCTAGATCTGAAGAATAATAAAAATAGAAAATAAAGATTGGAGCTATTTTAAAAAATTATGAGAGTTTAAAAGAATGGTCTGATTTAGGATAGGTGAATTATCATCATTATTTATTTAGTGGCTATTGAAATTATAAGGAGTATTTTAAACATATTAAGGATCATATATACCAAAGAAAAAATTATTATGTAAGAGATTAGCATAATGCTTAAGTCCAATTTGGAATAAAGCAATTCATGAGAATGCATTAGTGATTTATGATTTGATTCTGAAAATTCTATGCTCAAATAGTGAATATGACTTGGTTTAAGATTTGCCTTTATTTTCTCTTGGTTTATTTCCTTTTTTTGGATTTGCATCAATCTAATGTAAACCAAAGTTTTTAAATATACTTGAAACATATTATTATCCATTATAAAAAGATCTATTACCTTGTATGGGTGGATTAATAAGTTCAATAATTGTTGGGATGGAAGATACAAATGAAGAGATGATGAAAAAAGTATATAATAATAGGAATAAATTAGGTTATGAATTCATTAGATTAAGCTGCTGAGAGTGTTGGAATAAAATAATTTTTTGGTTTGTTATGGGTATCAATAATAAGATCAGGAAGATGTAGATTGGGTGCTTATAAGTATTTAATGAAAAGATGGACAAAACAATAATAAGTAGATATTGAAAATAGTATAATGTAAGATGATGAGAAGATGCCAAATAAAAAAGCATTAGTAATTAATGCATTATTAGCTTCTTTAGAAGATGAATCAATTCTAGTGAAAAGAGCAGCATTAGATTTTATGTGTTTATATTGTAAAATTAGTGAAAATGTATTTTAAGAATAAGAGAATTTGATTTTAATTGAATAATGCTTATTATTATTTATTAAATTAGATCATGCTGTAGTAAGAAGAATTAATAATTGGTTTTTTGGTGAAGATGAAGTAAATGAAAATATGCAAATAGTCTAATATTTATAAGTAGGATTACGTAGAATTTTAGTAGAAGAATAAAGTGATCCTTTAAAAATATTATAAAATTGGTATATGTAACATCCAGAAACAGTATCTATGACTTTATTTGATATTGGATATGATTTAGCAAGATTTATATATAAGAAAACAATTTAATATTAAGAGATATAATCTGAAAAACTTGGAGAATTGTAGAAAGCAAGTGAAAGATTAATTGAAAGTATTTCAAGTTAAAGTGAATTAATTCTAAAATCAATATATGAACATTTGAAAAATTTTATGATTGCTTAAAAATAAGATCATATTAAAGAATGTATTTAAATTATTGAATTCTGTTTAAATACTTTGATGAAATAATAATTTTCTGATTTAAATAGAATTGATGATATTACACTTTTTCAATAGAGAACATAATGTTTATAAGAATTCTTTGTTTTAGCACTCAAAGAAATCATGAATCTAAAGATTGAAAGATTATTTGAAACTTAAATACCTTAATAAATATTAGGATAAACATTAGATTGCATTAATAAAATTAGATAAAGACTAGAATTATTAGAAAATGAAAGAGATTTGTAATTAGCCTTAGGTAGTAATTATGGTAGAATCTCAAATATGTAAAAAGATTCGAATTTTCAACTTATAGATTAAATAGATATTAATATTATTACTTAATATTGTGATTATTACGTTCAAATAAGTTAATATTCTATTTAAAATGAATAAGAAACTTTATTCCCTCTTACTTCTTAAATTCTACTCAGATCATAATTATTCTTAATGAAACATGCAGATGTATAACATTCTGCAATACCTTATTGGTTATAATAATTATTTAATTCTTTAGAATAAGGAACTAATAAAATTAGTTTATGTTCCATAGAAATGATAATTGAATTATTAAAACAAGCCTAAATACATTAAAATGTTTTTATGTTAACTGAAATGATTACTAGAAGTAGTTACTCTGATATTCAACCTTTTCAAAAAATGGAATCTTTATCAATGGATAATACTCAATATGATTATTAAAATAATTAAAATGAAAGAAATTATATTAAATAAATGTTTGAAAAATTATGGCTTCTTTTAGATTAGAATTATCATGATTAATTAGCTGTTGAATTCATCTTATATATAGCAGAAAGATTCTAACATATATTTGTATATGTAATTGAAAAAGCATTAAAGTAAGGAGATTAAAGAAGATATTAAATATTCTGTAGAATTACTAATGTCTTCTATAAAAAGCATCCTAAACTTAACACAGGTGTTGGAATTCTATAAATGTTAAACTACTTAGAACATGAAAACCCTTTAATTCGATATAATACCAAAACTTGGCTTAGTGAATCTGCACCTTTTTTCTTTAGGATTATTGATCCAATACTTATTAGATTAGAGTATATTTTAAAAGATATATAAAATAATAAAGAGTTTTCTTTAGAATTAGCTGTAGATACTATTAAAAAATTATAATAAATTTATGTATCCAAAGAATGGTTTTAACCTTATATAGAAAAAACTAAACCCACCTTTTATTAGGATGAAAACTTAAATACATATTATAAATTAATTTGTTAAATCTTAATTTAATTTGTTTTAGCTGATTTTAATAATAATGAATTTTCAAAAATCAATGCAACAAGTGCAGAATTATTAGAAAATGTTATAAATTTAACAATTGATAATAAAAATAAAATTCAAGTATTACTTTTATATTTTAATTAAATTTTATAGAAATTTGAGTAAGTAATATAAAAAAATGATTAATTGCTATAGTTATAATTACTAAATCTAATAAAAGTATTTTTATTAAATACATATGAATTAGAGAAATATTTATCATAATAACATAGAAATGAATTAATTGATCTATATGAATAACCATCATTTTTTAATAATCTTATGATTGGTTTATAATCATCAAAAGTGTTTTTTTTAAAATAAAGATACTTAAATACAATAGTTGTTGGAGTTTATTCTATTAGTTAATTATTAACTCCAAAAATACTTACAGAAAAAATATAAATTATATTAAAAACTTTATTATAATTATTAGAATAATGTGAATATAATTAAAATAAGTTTGGATTAATTTCTGAGAGAAGATAAACAAATTTATCAGTCATAAAATTATTTAAAAATGAAATTAACAATAATTTTTAATAATTTAATATTCAATAATTAAATCTTGAATAGATCCATATAAAAACAGGATTATCTGGTGATGATTTTGAAGAAGTTATGTCTTTATCTAATTCTATTAGAGCTATTATTAGTTATTTTTTTTAATTTAAATATGATACAAAAGATATAGATTAAAGACCTAATGCTGCTGGTGTATTAGTTGATTTATTTACATTAAATGTATTTTTTAAAAAGACTGATAAAAATTAAATTTTAAAATATCAATAGACATAACCATAATTTTAATAGAATTCAGATACATGTTAAATGCTTCTTAAATTATTTACATAAATTCTTGAATCTTATTTAGAATGTTGGAGATGTTCATTACATTGGGATCATTTATCAAGTGTAGGATGTATTGTTTATGAATATGAGAAATTTGATTAATTTAATAAAATATTGAAAGATTAATTGTAAAGATCAGAATAAGAATTTACTGATGAAGATTAAATAAAATAGTCAATTTTATAATTATTAAGACCTTGTTCAATACATTTTTCATCATATTTAATTTCATCTATTTTAGAAGTGTGGTAACGTTATATTAATTTAAATAAAAATCAATTAAAAATTAATAGAAATATGTGTAAATTAATTGAATTAGCAATAAATTTATAAATAGTTCCAGATGAATTCATGACAGCATTTGTTCGTACTAAATAAGTGCAAGCAATAATACAATATAATTAAAAAAATAAAAATAAAAAAGGTTCATACTCTTTTAATTATGAATAAGCTAAATTTGAAAATGATGTTCTATTCTTCCTTTACACTTATTTCTCTTCAGTTTAGTATCAAAATTTAAAGAATAAAGAATTAATTAAATTATGGAATGTATTTTTAAGTTTTTCCAAATGTCTTCTTTAATCTCGTCATATCAATACAATTTGTTATGTTTTAGAAATTATATATATGATGTCTTGGAAGTTTTCTCCAAAAGATGTCTTAGAGGATTTTAGAAAAGAATTACATACTCAATTAAGATAAAATTTAGTAATTTTAGCTGAAATGGCATCATTCTAATAAAATTATACAATCAATTCAGATAATATTAATGATTTCTAAACAGATCAAAAATTTTAAATGATTGTTCCTTTTACTCCAACTATTTTTGAATTATATGAAGATTATTAAGATAAAATTTAATAGGATAGTGGAAAATCATAAGATTTATAAACAAATTATTTAATTTAAAATTTTCTATTTGATTCTGTTAATAAAAAGGTTATAAATTTGACAGAGACTATATTTTCAAATAAATGTTCAATAATTGCTTTAAAGACTTTAAAGAGATTATCTTAAGTTACTTTAATAAATACATATGAAGTCTCTAGAAGTGAAAGAATTATTGAAAATACAAAAGAATTTATGGTCCTTCTATTCCCTTTAATTGAAAATAAAGAAAATTAAATTATAGTTGAAGCTACATCAGAACTTTTATGTACAATTTTAAAACACAATAAAGATATTTTACCTTAAATTTTTTTAAATAATATATTAGATCTTTTTAATAGACAAGACTTTTTTAAATGTACAGGTAGATGTCTTAAATTTTGGACAGAAATAATTGATATAATATCAGATAAGAATGATATTCTAACTGATTAATTAGGAAATAATTCTAAATTTTTTTAAGGATTTGCAGGATTATTTAAAAGTAAATCAGCAGAAATGATGAAAAAGACCAAAGGATTTGAAAGAGTATGTTTTATAATATACTCTGGAGGTATAGATAAATATTAATCTAAATTAACAACTTTATTGGATGCAATATTGTCTGTTATAAAAGATATTAATTCTTAAGATGCTGCAATATCAATATTAATTATATTTTGCATAAGAATTTTAGTATTAAGATTAAGTTAAAGTTCTTTAACTTAAGTATTTAGATAGATATGGCCATATTTAGTGAGTATGTTAATGTAAATATTTGATAGAAAAGGAAAATAAGCTAATCCTTTTTTATTAATATCTGGTTTAAAATTAATTGAATTATTCTCATTATTTTAATTAGAGGAGTTTTATTTTTATGAATGGATATTTGTTTTTGATTGTATAAATAACATTTAATTATATAGATTTTGGAATAACAATCAATCATAATCCTGTTTAAGAATAGTAATAATAAAAAGTAAAGATAGAATCACCTTATAAATTTATTCCTTATATGGCTTATCAATTTCCAAAATCATCAGAGTATTCTGTTGATTATGAATGTAAATTATATTAGGAATAATAATAATCAAATTTATGTAAAAAAAAAAGATTAATAAAAATTAAGGATATTTAAGAAGTTGATGTATAATTTAAATATTGATTTTTAGGAATTTGAGCCAAAATTAAGACAATAAGCTTTAAATTTATGTTAACATTTAATAGATATTAATCAATAGAGAATGATAATATCTCCATAATCATTGGAATAAATTATTGAAGAAGAATTTATAAGTTTGGATGACAATATAAGCAAAATATAATGACTTTTAAAGTAATCTAATTATGTCTTAAATTTATTAAAGTTTTATATTTATATTATAAAAAGCCAAGCATTAATTTTCTAATCTCTAATTCTTATTAGAAAAGAAAAATATTTAAGAACTTCAGATGTTCTTAATTTATCTCGAATTCATATTGATAATTAATTGTATAAAAGCTAAATAAGAATCAACACTTTTTTCAATTATTTAAATTGATTTTACCATAGTTTATGGATTTTATGCTAGACTAATAGATTGCAAACGTAGAGAAGGTAGAAGAATCGATTTCTAGATCTTCTGTATGTTCTCAAAACTCTGATTCTTCTTTTGATTTAGAAAATAAAGGCAACAACAAATCACATCTAAAATAACTTGCAAGTGACTAAAACGGAAGTGATCAAAAAAGAAAGGGTATAACAGTTTAATTATCTTTTAGGTAAGTTTGGCTTAAAATATGCTAAAATTTCTAACAGGTAGAGACAAGCATTAATCGAAAGAGTTACCTCTACTGGTTGTACTATTAAGAGTGCTGCTAAAGACTTGAGTATCAACTTTTCAACAGCTAAAGCCATTATGCAAATCTTTAGAAGAGAAGGAAGGGTAACAAAAAAAATAGTCAGAGAAATAAAATAGAAAACCAATAAGAATTTAGGATAAAATAATGAAGGTATTAACACACATATTAATTTTAGACAACATATAGAAAAAATCTATATTTGATGAATAAAATCAGAAGTTTGTAAAAGTTGAGGCAATTTAGGACAATAACGAGACAAATTTATACTAATAGGCAGAAGAGGCTAATAGACATTAAGCTATAATCATTCAATAATTAAATACTTAAGTACTTTATTGATTTTATATTTAGAACCTATATTTACAAAGCAGAGTTAATCAATTATAACAAGATAAATTATAATTAAACTCAAAGTATGAATTATTAATAATGTAATATCATTAATTATAATAAATGGTAAATTTATTATAATTACAATAGGCTCAACAATTCCTTTAGCCTTGCATGTTTTAATTTCCTGCATTTGCTTAATGAATCTTTAAACTTATTCATAATTATTATCATTATTATTATAAATAAATTTAAATAATCTGTAATTAAAATAAAGTTTAATCAACTGTCAAATTAAAATAATAAATCTGGTAATCTATAAATATATATGAATATTAAACTAAATAATACAAATTTGATATTTTTTCAATCTATCCTTACAGTCAATAATCAGTAGTTTAATAGATCCAAATATAAAAATTAAATTAATAGAGAAATTTTGTGCAATATAATACAAATTAATTATATCTATCAATTAAAAATTTAAATTATTTAATGGGTAATTGCAACATCTAGAACAATGAAATGCAGGATGAATCAAGTAACCTATTCATATAATTCAGATCTTTCATCTAATAATTTTGAATTTTAAGAATTATTAGGTTAAGGTAGTTTTGGAAAAGTTTGGAAAGCCTAGAGAAAAAAGAACAAAGAACTATTTGCCATCAAAATTATGGAAAAAGAATTGTAAAATTAAAATAATAACATAGAATAATAAAGAAAAAGTACACTTCTGTAGTTATGAACGAAAAAAACATACTTACTTCGATTCGACATCCATTTTTAGTAAATTTGATAGCTGCTTTCCAAGATAAAAAAAGATTATATCTAACTCTTGATTTATTGACAGGAGGAGACTTAAGATAACATTTAAATTATAATAAAGTGTTTTCTGAAGAGTAAACAAGTAATTTATTTATCCTAAGAAAGAATTTTTCATTGCTTGTATAATAGTAGCCTTAGAATATCTTCATTCATAGGGAATTATTCATAGAGATATTAAACCTGAAAATTTGGTGATGGACAATAGAGGATATCTTAGATTAACAGATTTTGGTTTGGCTACTATATGGAAACCTAATAATTGTTAAGAAATAAGTGGAACTTTGGGTTATGTTGCACCCGAAATTATGTACAAGCAAAACCATGGAATAGCTGTTGATTATTTTGCTTTAGGTGTCATAGCTTATGAATGTATGTTGGGGAAAAGACCATATATAGGATCAAATGCAAATTAAATTAGGGATTTAATGTTATCTAAACAAGTGTAAATTAAACGATCTTAATTACCAATAGGCTGGACTATCGAAGCTGGAGATTTTATTAATTAAGTATAATTTATAACTAAAATTTAGCTAATTCAAAGAAAACCAGAAAATAGACTTGGTACTTAATCACCAGAGGATGTTAAAAATCATAGATGGTTTAAAAATTTTGATTGGAAAAAATTACAATCTAAAATTATGGTCTCACCTTATCAACCAAAAAAGAAATTTCATCCTTGTGAACGCAATTATGAATGCAATCAAAGCACAAAATTAATAAACAATAAAATTACAAATGATTAACTTTAATAATGTATTATCAAATTTAAACATTTAGCTTAATTTGAAGGGTATTGTTTTGAAGCTGAATATTTAAAGAACAATGTGTGAATAATCAAAAAATGTTTATAGCTCTTGAATATAACTATATTTGTATCATTATTTCTTATCTATATATTATAATTAATTTATTGAAATTTAATCTTAATTTATTATACTATTGTTTTTATCTAATGGATTTCATTGTATTAATTAATTTATTTTAAACCATGTTTAAATAAATATTCTTAATTATCTATAGAATAGGTATAATTATATTTATTTAATTTTATAATTAATTAATTATATGATAACAATAATATCAAAAGATGGTTTGAAAATTAGCATTTCTAATTAAATTATTGAGCTGGCAAAAGGATTAGAGCCTTATTAAATGGATAAGGATATTATTTTTTAAGAAATAGTGACTGGAGACTTTTTATAAACATTTAAATTGTTTTATGAAGAATTCTAATTTGATGTTGAAAAAATGAAATTCCCTAAGCCAATTCAATCTAAAGAATATGAAAAAGTATTTGGTAAAGTTTTATCAGAACATATTAAACCATTTATGGATATTGCAATTAGAGAAAAAAATATTGAAATTTTTATATAATTCATTCAAGGAGCTCATTTATTTTAAGCAAAACATTTTATAGAATTTATTAATTGTTGTCTTGCAATGATCATATAATTTAAGGGATAATCAGAATATGATATTAAATAATTTTAAAAGGATTGGAATCTCTCTGATTAATAATAAGAATCCTAATTTAATTAGTAAAATTTTGTATTATTTAGATTATTTTTTTCGAAACTATAAAATAAATATATTTAAGTATTATCAGCAAAAGATGGAGAATAACAAGTGTAATAAATGCCTATGGAAGAAGACTTATTTGGTGATGAATGGTGATTTTTATATTGGCAGTCATATTGATTAGTAAATAAAATATAAATTACATTAATTTTTGTTCTTTCATTGTGATTCTAATATATCATATGATTTATAAGAATGTGAAACATAATATTTAATGAATTTGTTCAATAAATATAAAAATAAATTAATCATTTTGATCTATATTATTATATTAATTATTTAATATATATTAAAATGGCAATGAATCATGGCACATCAATTTTGGTTGGATCTATTATCTATATGGTTTTAGGAATAGGTGCATGTTTTGGATTTAACACTTATGTCACTAAAAAAACCAAGAATCCTCATGATGTTCCTGAAAATAGAACGTAATAATCAATCTCAATATAGAATCACCCTTGTAAGCGTGACTATTGCTACATTTTGTGCTTGGTTAATGTGGGTTGTTGCATATATGGCATAAATGAATCCAATAATCACACCAGAATGGGAAAACCATTAACCTGCACCTAAAGATTCAAGTTGAGTATCGTATTCATATTTCATTTAAGAATAAATTAGATTTTTGTTATTGAATTCATCTGTCTTAAATTATATTACCATAATCTAAAATAATCTAAGTGTACTTTATATCAAGGTATTCTAATTAAATATATATATATAATTCATAATGATATTCCTTGCTTATTAATTTCTAGAATAGTTGATAAAATTAGATTTTATTTATTAATTCTGTGTCTAGACATAGTTTACATGAAAAATATGTAACAAGAAATACAAAATATTAGAATGCTTCAAAATTTTGAGTAGGTTATTCAATTAATTTGTTAGACTTTCTTCATTTTCTTAAATAAATTAATGGAATCATAAGATCATGTATCTTTTTCCAATTTCAGCTGATGACAATTAGATCTCTTAGTAATATTAGAAATGTTTTATTATTGTTCATTATTGGATTAAAAACAAAGTAAATTTTTTCTGTATTTTTTATAATTAAATATTTTAAAATTATATATAATAATTCATTTTTTTTATTAGTATTATTTTAAGGGATGCTAAAATACTTTTAGATGATAAATTCAATTAAAAAATTAATGTTTAATTAATTCAGTTATCTACTCATATTTTACAATTTTAATTAATACAAGCTTTTGTTTATTGTTTATAATTTATTAAAAATTTTGCTATACTCTCTCAAGAATTTTTAAATTACATTCTTTTTCTAAATTTTGCTTTTTGATTAAATTATATTATTACTCTAATACTATGATATTTAAAAATAATAGTAATTAGTTTTATTTAATATTCACTTTTAATTCTTTGTAATTTTTTATTGAATGGCGAATCCAAATTAACTTTTCCTTCTTATCCATATAGGATATATAAATTTAATGATACATAATATGTTTAAATTTTATTATTATAAGTGACATTTATTTCTCATTTTTGCGTATTAACTCTAAAGTTAAAAATTTTTTATTTATCTAAAGAAGAGTCTAAAAGGAATATTTTTTAGAGAAATGCAAAAATCTCTATTTGAATGATATGAAAATATAATGAATTAGATTTAATGATGGATTGCTTAGATAATTTTTAATAACAGTAGTATAAATATACTAAAAAAAGCAATTAAAGAGTCAGTTATTTTAGAGTAAATGTGTATACTAAATACATAAATCAAATATGCTCATTCACTCTGAAATTCATCCTCAGAATGTATTTTATTTTATGAAAAATATAATCTCATAATTTATTTACTTCTCAATATAGGTTTTTCTATTTTAGGCATTTTTTTATTTTTATGATTCTTTCTTAGGCGTGGATTAAAAGGGTTAAATTTTTAATGATGAGATCTTCATAAAATGAAATAACTACCTGCATTAACTTGGAGATCTTGTACCTATAATCTAACTCATTCTTTTAAATAAGGGCTATCCTTTTCTTTAAGAATCTCCTGAGCCTTTGACTCTTAGTAAAAATTAAACATATTATTGATGTTCCTCTTCGCTCCAATGTCCTGATTTGATATGTGTGCTATTGCTTAGATCTTACTATTTCGAATGATTCAAATTTAACTCAAGATAATCTGGGTTTAATGATTCAGATTTCATAATTTTTGTGATTTTGAATCTTAAAATAAATAATACACAGACCCTATTTTAAAAAAAGGACTTTAAATATACTTCCATGTACTGTTACTTAGTATAGAACAATTTTTTAATTTACTGAACGAAATGAACAATAGATAGAAAGATTATATCGAAAAATTATGAAGATAGAAAACCTATTAAAAAAAGTCAAATTTCTTTTTAGAAGTAAAAACAATATAATTATCATTTTAATTAAAATTTCCAATATCTAATGATTATTAGAAAGCTAATTAATACATATCTTTATCTTAAACATAAATTAGTTGATGCTTAATTTTTTTTGGATTATTCTATATTTTATTTAAAGTTATAAACTATAAATTATTTATGTAAAAATATCATTAAAGATAATCAAAAAGCCCTTTAACTAATAATAAAGTCATACGAACTAAAACATAACATACAAGCAAAGATGAATCTATTAATATAGATAATAGCATTAAAGATTAAACATTAGAAAAATTATTTTTACAATTAGATCAATTAAGAAAAAGGCATGAATAAGAGAAAAAAGAAATGAGTGATTCTTTCAATTAGTAAATTTAAATAAAAAGCAATTAACTTTAAAAATCACTTTAGGAATTCTAACAAAAGAATTAACTTTTAGAATCATTACTATTTTAAGAACAAGCTAAGACTATACATTTAACTAAAATCATTTAAGAAAAGTAAAAGTCTACAGGTCATGATTAAGAGAAAGAACAATATAAAAATAAAATTTAACAATTAGAAATAATATTATAGGATTCTTAACGAAAAAATTAAATAATACCAAATAAATTTATTTAAAAAGACACTTCATTTAAAATACTTATAGAAATAATAAATAAAGTATCTGTTAACATACTACATCTTATTAAAGAGAAGAATACAAATATAAGTTGGATTGATTAAGAAATATTAGAAATAGATATCTTAAAATAAAAGGATTTAAATAAATCTTTATTAAAACTAAATACAATTTTTGATAAGTTTTTTGTTTAATTATAAGAAAGAGAAAAATTATCCCTATCTCCTTATAAAATTAGTACTAAAAACAATAATTAAACAATTAATTCAGAAAAAACAACTATTCCAATATAAAAGCCTAAGATAAAAATGATTAACTCTGAAACATAAACAAAAGAAATTTAGAATAAAATAAGTAAATTTTAATAAACAGACAAAATTGAATTTAAATCAAAATTAACTTAAACTGATTTTTTAATTGTTGAAAATGAAGGGAAAATTGAACAAAACTTTGAAAAATAAAAATTACTTCGAGAACCTTAAAAATAATAAACAATTAAAGAACAAAAAATAATAAAAAATTATAGAATTTAATAATAAATTTCAATTTCTATGCAGTTGCAAAGTTCTAATAGAGCTTAATAAAAAGCAAAACCTAAACTTATATCAACTGAAGTATAAACAGATCAAATTTAAAATGAATAACAAAAGGTTGCATTTGATTAAAATAAGCATTATTCAAAAATTACAGAGTAGGATGATGAGGAAAATGAATTCAGCAAAGATTAAAGTAAAAGAAATAATTCTTAATAAATTGAAAAAGGAGATAATAATGAAGTTGACTCAAGTTTTGATTGCAATAAACCTGATTATGATTCGGAATAAGAAAATGATTAAAAATAGTTAGAAAAATTAAAGACAGAATGTTAATAATAACAAATAAGTATTATTAATTTATAATTAACTTTGAATCAATTACTTTAATAATAAAATTTGTTTTAGTTTGATAACTTAATAACTAGTGAACATTGTTCTTTGCAAGATTTAATTATTAATAAATGGAGTATTAAACTAAAAGATCATAATGCAACATTAAAATATTCAATTGGTATTTTAAGTTAAAACTAAACTTTTTTAAAAAACATTATCAAATCAATTTATGGAGTAGAGTAATAAATATAGTTTGATTTGCATTAAATAGCAATTTAATATTATGATACTGGATTTTAAGAGAATTATAGATTAGATGTTATTTTAAAGTAACTTGAATTTCCATCTTAATTTTTGATTAATTCTACAAAAATATAAGAAAGGCAAGAATTCTAACAATTTTGGATAGATTTTATGATTTAACAATGCAATTTATTTATCTATATGGTTAAAGACTTTAATGAAAATGATTAAAGAGTGATAACATATCTTTAGAATAAAAACAAAAAAGTAACTATTATTTCTTATGACTTAAATGATTATATAATTGACAATTTCAGTGTATTCAATAATTATAAATATAACATAGATTATTAAATAATAAAGATTTAAAACAATCAAAATATTCTATAATCATTATGGAGAGATATTTTATAATCTGAATGGGAATGGGAGGAAATAAATGAATCTATTTTAGTTTAATTACAATAATTCATTTGCAATATAGTAGAAAATGAAGATTGCATTCATTTATAAATTAAAGAAGATGGAATTTTTGAAATATCATTAATGATTGATTAGATTACTTATGATTATTTATGGAAAATTCCTTATGTAAAGAATAAGGAAATTAAAAATAATGAAATTGAATTATTTCTTGAATTACCAGAGAATAAAAAGATTTTAGAAGTAAAATGCATAGGAAATCAAATTTTAATAATAATTGATAGATTCATATTGTTAGAACAATATGATCAACTCATATAACTAAACTCAATCAATAATAATTTAATTTTATTAACAATAATTTAATGATTATATATATATATATATATATTATTAAAAGATACTAAATATATATTAAATTAAGAATGTTCACATATTACATTCTTTTAATTTTTGATTGTAATGATTTTGAGCATTATTATAAATTAATTAGTATTAACTTTTTTCTTCTTTGGTTCTTGATTCATCATGTATAATTTATTTAATTATTTCACTGGCTGTTTGATTATCTCCTTACTTTGCTTTTTCTTATCCTAATCTTAATAAATTAAGAATATTCTAGGGAATATTATATTTATAAATATTTTACATTTTATCCAGGGAAAATAGCTTCCATATTAGTAAGTATCATAATTAAAATTTATTAAGTTAGTTCTGCTTATAAAGTAGCTTAATTTTATTATTTTATTTACTTTTGCATTAACCTATATAACATAAATATTCAATTACATGTATTGATTTTATAAATAAGGGTTTATTTAATTTAGTTCTTATTCACCATGAGCAAATGTACAAGTTGAACCATTTTTACATTATCCTGTTTAAGGATTAAAGTGTTTACATAATTAAGCTTAAAATCATATATAAATTAAATACTCTTATAATTTGCAATCATTGGATTAATATTTTGAACTCTGTTTTGTGTGCCTACTTGATTGTTTTATTACATATTAGGTTAAATGTAGTTTGTCATAACCTGATTATTGGTTCTAAGTTCCTATCTTCCATGTGCGAATTAACATCTAGTTCCCAATGCACAAGAACCAATAGTTACTTAGTTTTGATAAAAATTGTACTAAAATGACGACACAATTGGGTCTTATATTTGGAATTAGGTTATTAAGCTTAGAGATTTTAATACATATTATAAATATTTCTAAAATATTATAAAGTCTAATTATATGAGAATTAGAGGTTAAGAAATAGTTAATAATCATTTCATAAATTCTCAAAATAAAACGTTTATTGAAATATATCAGTATGAATGGGTAAAATAGAAGAAACAAATAAGAATTAAGGGTTAGAGAATAATTAATAGGGAATTAAATAAATAAAAGTTTAATTTATGTTCATAAATGAATTATAAAAATAAGTATAACGTGTATTAAATTTGAAAAGGGATTTAAAAAAAAAAATCAAAGATTTATTTTTCTAAATTAAATGTCTCACAGAAAGTTTGAAGCACCTAGACATGGAAATCTTGGATTTACACCAAGAAAGAGAACAAAGCATCATAGAGGAAGAATCCGATCTTTCCCAAAGGATAATGCCAATGCTAAAGTCCATTTGACAGCCTTTGCAGGATTCAAGGCTGGTATGACCCACATCTTGAGAACTGTTGAAAGACCAGGATCAAAATTGAATGGTAAGGAAGTAGTAGAAGCTGTTACTATCGTTGAAACCCCACCTTTGGCTGTTGTTGGTATTGTAGGATATATCGAAACACCAAGAGGATTGAGAGCTTTGACAACTGTTTGGAGTACAAAAATTGCCAAAGACACTTTAAGAAGATTCTATAAAAATTGGATGAATTCAAAAAAGAAGGCTTTCACTAATTATAATAAGGCTAATACAGAACCAAAGAATTTGGAAACACAATTAAAAAGAATCGTAAAGTAAACATAAATATATTAATTTTAGATATTGCTAAGTTGTTAGAGTTATTGTTCACACCTAAATGAGCAAATTGAACTTAAGATAAAAGAAGAATCATGTCTTTGAAGTTCAAGTCAACGGAGGCACAATTTAAGAAAAAGTTAATTATGCCAAGGGATTATTAGAAAAGGAAGTTAAAGTAGATTAAGTCTTCAAATAAAACGAATAAATTGATGTTATTGGTGTCACAAAAGGTAAGGGAGTTGCTGGTGTCATCAAGAGATTTGGTGTTAAACATTTACAAAAGAAAACCCATAGAGGTTGGAGAAGAGTTGGTTGTATCGGAGGATGGCATCCAGCCAATGTCAGATACAGTGTTGCCAGAACTGGTCAATTGGGTTACCATCACAGAACAGAAATGAATAAGAAGATCTATAGAATTGGTGCTGCTGGAGATAAGAACACTGCATCAACTGAAGCAGATTTGACATCTAAGGCAATCACTCCATTGGGTGGTTTCCCACATTATGGTGAAATCAGAAATGATTTCCTTATGCTCAAAGGAGGTATTGTTGGACCCAAGAAGAGAGTTGTCTTATTGAGAAAGTCTCTTGTTCCATAAACTAATAGAAAGGCATTGGAAGAAATCACTCTCAAATTTGTTGATACTTCATCCAAAATTGGACATGGTATAATCTTTAATCTATTTTATTAGGACGTTTCTAAACTCAAGAAGAAAAGGCCAAGTTCTATTTCACTAGAACCTAGAGAAAGTTAAAGTAACAATAATAAAAATAATAACAATGATGAAGTATAATTATAATAAGAAAAATATTTCATAATTGTTCATATTGTATTAAATATTTACTATACTTTTAATATATCAGAATCTCAACTTAGAAAACAGGAATCTTGATTATGCTTTTTTGTCTGCCAAACTTCCAGCTGGTAAGGTTCTGTACTTTTCAGCCAAATACTTTCTTAAATTCTTTCTCAATTCCTTTCTTTTTTCAACATTCTTCAATTCAGATTCTTTGACTCTCTCAATTCTATCTCTGACTTCTTTTAATGTTGATTCTTCTAATCTATATCTATAAATAGGTAATTATATTTAATAACCTTGTTGGCATTATATGATTTAAATTTAATTGTTTAATGAACACTTTTAATGTGGTTCGCTTTCTAATTTATTTTTATCCCATTCTCTTTGTTACTTTTCTTGGATATCTTTGTATTCCTACAACCAAACCATTTGGAAATTTGCAATCCTATACTATTTTTTTTATATATACTTTTGTAGTTTCTTCATTAGCCTTAATTAAAATTGCTTTTTTTCCTGCATATCTACCTGCAAGCATAACAATCAAACGTCCTGGTTTTAAACTTATATAAGAGTATTTCTTACAATTTTCCCATTTCAAAACTCTAAATAAATCTTTTTAATTATTTAATGCAAATTCTTTAAATATCATAAACACAAAAGACTCCATTTATAAATTTATACATAAACAAAATAACTCAAATCAACAACATCAGTAAACTAACAATTAAGAAAGTCACATTATCAAATATATATTTAAATTGGACATCAATTAATCCTCCTGCATTTTCATAACTGTGAATTTAAGTAAATTAAATTTGGATATAAAAATTAAATAAGAACATTAATTTGAACAGAATATTTGAATTTTTCACTAAATTCCTATCAATTTAATATAAATACCTTATCTTTCATTCATCTCTCCATATTTGTTTAATTTTGGTCCAATATATTTTATAAATACTAAACCAGCCAAATAAGGACCCAATAAAAACAAGGTTAAAATTAAAGGATTTAACCATAAATGAAATTCCTTTACACCCACAAAGGCTCTGTCTACTTTAATTGATGATATTGTGCATCTATTCCCAAAAATAAACCAAGTAATTTGACAAATTAATGATATCATAGCAAAAAATGATAACATTGAAAATTTCAATAAATTCCTCCAATGAAAGTATAAACAGATAAATATTAATATTTCATATGAATATATGGCTAACCCATACTTGTCTGAAACAACTATGCAAGAAAGCAATAGAAATATTGGATCCTTTGAAAAATAATAGTATATAGAAATGATATAAATGATTTTTGGTATATGTAAGATAACCAATTCTTTATATGGTTAATCTTATATTTAATCATTCGGATAAATGTAAAAAATATCAATTAAAATTAAACCTGTTTATGCTATTATTTTATCTAAAATTGGGCTCTTTTTATGATACATAAATAAACAACAATGTAAAAATATTACAGGTAAGTATAGCATAAAAAGCGATTAATTTAAAAATTAATAGATTTAGAATGTTAAATAATATTATTCGTAATTTAAAGCATAGTAAATAATAATGGCACTTAAACATGAGATTATGATATCTTTTATTTTCAATAATGTTGAAGCATCCTCTTAAGTGTCAATTATTCTTGAAATGAAATTGAATATGCAAATTATTGAGCTTAAAACTATTAATTGAATAATTTCATTATATAAATATCTTTCTTCAGTTTTTTTTTGTTGAATTGATAATAATAAATTACCTTGAAGGATTATTTTATAAATAAAAAAGAAAAACACTGACATTTTAAGTAATTTTGAGAAACGATTATTGAATTTTATCGAATCTGGTGTTTCTATTAAATCCCATTAATATTAATTTAGATTTTAAATGTGATTTTTTTTAACTTTTAATAATAAACCAAAATCAATATAAGCAATTAATACAATAAGGAAAACTGTTATCAGGATTTCTATTTCATAAAATAAAAATAAAAAGATTGATAATATAGCTAAAGCAATAGTTACTTTTTTATTCTTTGATAAAACATGTTTAATAGCAGCAGTAATTTATTATATTGTTATAGGATCATCATTTTCTTAAGCTTAAAATAATAGAACCATAACAAAAATAAAAAAGATAACAACTAAGAATTGTAACACAAAACTTAAATTAAGTAATGGAATATCATATTCATTCCATATTTTTCTAGCAACAACTTAAATATCATTCATAAGAATTAAAGCCTCTTTACAAGTCTTAACTTCTTAATATTGAGTTTACCATTAGCTTTTTTAAAAGTAACTAAACTTTCCTTATTGACTATGGACAGTTTCAACAAAATGCCATACTTATTTAAGATTATTAAGACAATATTCTTCACTATTAAAAAATTCATTCATAAGATATCCTAAATTACTAAAAGGTATTGGAATTCCTAAAAGAGTTGCTAAAGTAGGGACAATATCAATTTAACTGATTTTTCTAATATATTCAGATTAATTGATTAAATTTGATTGATAATTATTTTTTAATTCTGGAATACCTTCCATATAATTGGGATAAAACTTTCCTTATTTCCTAGTAGCAAAAAATAATGTGTTAGTTTCTTCTGTGCTATTTCCACCATGATTGCCATCATTTGCCATTCCATGATCACCTGCAACTATTAAAACAGTATCATTTGGCATTTTCTCATATATAAGTCCAATTATTGAATCTAATTGACTTAATTTTTAATTTAAATCAGGATTATTTAATACTCTATTATTTTTATGACCAGCATGATCTAATCCTAGAAAATGAGATATAATTAAATCATATCCTTTATCTAAATTCTCAAGTATTTTATCACAATTAAATTGATCTACAGAATGCATATCTCCAATATTAAATGATTTTTGAGGAAATTTGACTGTAAATTAATCAGGATATAATCCAATCCAAGTATCATCTCCTGAAAATAAAGTTTTCTTATTAAATTTGTTCATCTGAAACATTATATTGTCTTCTTTAATCTTAAATAGATTTATAAATAGATAAAATACTTCTGAAGCATGAAAATTATCTAATAATTTAGATAAAGGAGGGAAATTGCCACTTGTCATTGCTTATAATCTTGGACCTGTAACTGTAGGGACTTCAGCAAAAGATAAAAAAAATAAGGATTAATCTGGCTTGTTTTAGGTCATATTTTTGAAAAATGTGAAATGTTGACTCACTGCCAAATCAATACGGAATGAATCAATGATCAAAAATATTACAGGTTAAGTCTTTTTCATTATTCCTTCTGTTGTATCCAATAAGTATCTACGATCTATGAAATACCCTCTAAAAAATAAAAGTAAACCAAGCAAGTAAAAAACAACAAGAGCAATTATTAAGCACTTTGTTTATTTCATTTTTAAAATTATTATTAATAAAACAATAATATTTCTAAATAAGAATAAAGTTTTATTCAAATCAATAAACAAATATTTATAACATATTTATAATAATGTACTTAAATCTCAAAAGATTAAATCATGAGGTCTTGTTGTTTTTCCAATACTGAAACGAGCACCCAAATATTATTTCAATAATGATGTCTTTTTAATTGTAGCAACCAATGAATCATCAATTGATTTTTGAGTCTTTCTTTTCTCATCTAATCTCTTTTTCTCAGCTACTTATTATTCTTCACTTAACTTAATTATCAATATCAATTATACTTCTCCTCTTTTAGCCCAAAATCCTTTTTCATTCTTTCTTCTTTATGCTTCAGTTCTCTTGAAGTATTCATCTTCAATTTTACTAGCATCAACTCCTTTAATATCAACTTTTGTAGATGTTGGGATAACATATGCTTAATTCACTCTCTTAAGTGGTACTCCATTAATTTTGAATGGTCCTGTAACAAGTAAGAGTCCTGATTTAAGTTGCTTCAAAAAGACAACTCTCTTTCCTTAGAATCTACCAGCCAATAAGATTAACACTTATCCAGGACTTATTTTTCTCAATTGAGATGTTCTTGGTGCCTTTATTTATTTGATAATCTGTATTACTTTTCTTCTTCTAACGAAATGAACTTTTTCATCATCTGATTTGTACCAATTTCCGATTCTAGTGGTTCTCTTTTTTGCTGGCATTGAATAATATATATATTTTAATTTATTTTAAATCTAATTTCAAATTTAATTATCCTTAATCACTTGGAATACATAATTCATTCTAATGACTTATTAGTCTTAATCTAAATATCAGACATATCAGCCTTATACTTCTCATATAATTTTTGTGAAGGATTTTTAGTGAATTTTCAAAATTATTTGCATTATTATTCAAAATTATAAATATAGTTTATATAATTTTTTAATTATATTCACATTTTAAATTTTGTATATTTTCTATAAATTTTAGACTTACATTTCTCATTAACACATAATTGGATTTTTTTTTAAAGAAATTCTGTAATTCTTAAAAATATAATATATTATTCCAACTTTAATTCTTGATTTGATAAAACTTTATATATTTCAACCCAGTATTTTTACTATAATCAGAAGAAGTTATTCGATTTAAATACTTATTAAAATACTAGAGAGAGTAAATTATAAGAAATAATTCTTTCTGTTATTACTTCAATTAAAATATATGGCATCAATTCTTGATTTCATATCGTCTAGATATATACTTTTGATTAATTTTTATAATAAAATATAGTTAAATCAACCCATATTAAGTAATAGAGTTATAGTTTTATTTTCTAAGCATTTTCCTTTTGTTTAAGAAATTAAGGGATGTATAATGTATTTTTTTATATTGTAACCATTTGAAAAGGATTTGAACTTTATTTACTAATAATCCCTGAATACTTAAGAAATAGTTGAATCTTCTTCTATATAAATAAAATGAATATTTCCTAAACCAATAGGTATCTTTATATTTTTATCATTCTTCATAGTAAATCTTACCTCATTCTTTTCAACATTTTCAAACATCAACTCATTATTGATATTAAGCCCAGACCATTATTTCTTACTCGATATTCAAGCTGATTCATTAATTTAATGTTTATAAGAATTTCATATAAGCATCACATGAAATTTACTTTTTGGAATATTACGTGTAAAATACTCATCTATAAAATATTTGTAAACAGTAATTAAGACTCTTAATCAATTGTTAATATATTGCATAACCTCACTTTAATTTAGAATTCAGTGATTCTTAATATATATAGAAGAATATTACTCTCTAAAACTAATTCTTACAGGAAATCATCCAGATTCATGAATGAATATATTTGATTCAGAATAAAATAACATAACTATAAATTCATAACTTAGGCATAGAACCTTTCAGCTGATGGAAATATTTTGTTAAGTAGTACTTCTTCTTCTCATAATAGTACTTTTACCTAACCAATATTTTCAGGAACATACCTATTGACTATAAATTAATTTCCCCCCATTAGTAGATTTACATTTTTCTAGCTCCTTTTGTTTTTATTTGGTACACATATTCTTTGTCTTTCAGATCTGGATCTAAGATAATTGGCATTTATTATTTTCTAATATGACAACCCATAAGAGTAAGTTTTCTAATGATAATAATAAATAAGATTTATTGATTAGAAATATAAATTTCCATTATGTATTGTAAATTATTCATATTTTTTACTTCTAATTATTTCCAAATCTCAAAAGAATCTCTCTAAAAAATTACTTGATTACATTAAAAAAATGAATCTCAAATTCAAAGTCAAAAATAAACATCTTTTGTTAGATATAATTTAAATTGAAAAACACTCTCAAATATCAAATTCTACTTGCAGTTTTATATATAAATAGCATTTATGATTATGATTAACCCTAAAATGATAGTTTTAGGATAGGATCGTAAAATCAATCGATAAAACTGTTTAAAACTATAATGAATATAAGAAATTTAATTAAAAATTATTGAGATTATATAAAATTAAAAATCGGTTAATTGTCTTTCTAAATCTTTAAATTTTGCATTGATTTTGAATAAATTTAAGGAAAACCTCATTTAAAGAAATTTAAGGTTTCTGGTCTAATAAAAAACAGATTTTTTCTAATGCTTTAGAATACTGACTACTAAATAAATTATAAATACACTAAAAATCTTGGTTTATTTTATAATTGCCAATTTGTAGAATCATAGATAAAATAATAATAATAGGTAATTACTTAAGAATGTTAGAAAAAATGAATGATATCAGTTATTTATTATAAAATTGTATAAATTGATTATCAAAAAGAATATTCCAATGAAAGAATTTAATAATAGTTTTTTTATAACAGATAATCAATTAGATTAACAACGAATTAAATAAAAATTATAAAGATGATAATATATACCAAAATCAAGAGTAGCATTGCATTCAATAAGTCTTAATTCTAAACTTTTTTATAATTAGTATACTGACTTTAGTTTCTTAATATGATGAATCTATGAAACATTATTATTAATAATTTATTAAACTTATTCAGTATACAGTTTGAATGTCACGAATAATTATATTTTAAGCATTAAGTAAAAAATAATGATTAAATTACAAATTTGTATAATTTTTTTATAATTTGAACTAAGATATTTAAATAGAATCATATTATTATCTGGCTATTAGTATTTAGTTTTAGATAATTAGATATAAGTTTAAACTGATACGTCATTTGATAGATAATTATAAAATATATATATATATAAATATATATGTTAATAAATCTAATATTGCTAAACCAGCTCATATTGTATAGTATCTTAAACATTAAAATAATGATGCTAATATAAAATATATTTAAGCTAATTATCTCAAATTAATTCAAAATCTAGGTCATGCTAATAAAAATTAAGATAGGTACTACAAGTAATAAAGTGAAATTATTCCTAATTCCAGGAATGAGTTAAATTCTATCAACTTTAGTCATAAAATCCACATCTTTTAGCAATATAGAAGCTAAATAAAACAATCATAATAGATAATAATAAACTAAATATCTAAAATACTTAGTTTTTTATAATAAAAATATTCAATAAAATGGTATATATTATCATTAAAATACACTTATTACATTCTAGATCAGTTGAAATAATTGTTTTTATTTATCTATATTTCTGTAGAGAACCCAAATAAAAAAAGAATTCAACAATTAAAGTAAAGAGGAATATAGTTATAAATTGATCATTTATCTTGTTCTATAATTCATTAAATAAATTATAATAAAAGAAATTTCAAACAACATAAATTCAAAAATTAAAACTATAATAATGTAAGCTTTGAATCTTATATAAATTAAATTTGTGCATAAACTTTTGATTAGACCTAAAAGTTCATAAATTATTAAAGTTATTTTGATAATATTCTTAAAATAGATATCATTTAACACTAATGGTTTTAAATAGATAATTAAAATTATGTATGATTAATTAATATTTATTTTATATTTCAATCATTTATTATTAAAGATTCTGATAGAGTATAATAAGTTGTAAATTATAAGTAAATGATGGTTCTAATTAATTTTATTACAAAATTTGAATAATGAATAAATCAAAATGGAACTGCATTGAATAATTAATTTATATTAGAGTTTAATAAAAATTATTTAATTTAAGTTAAATAGTTTATATAAAGCAGTTAAAAAACAATGGATTTAATATGCTTATGTTAGAAGTTAGATGGATTGAGAAAGCATAATTTTTAAGCAAAAAATAAAAATATATAATAAAATAATTATAAGTATAGAAAGTAGATGTATGTTCAAATTTGGTAGTAATTATTAGGGAGTTAGGACAGTTCTAATGTGTCTTTGATTAACTCAAAATTATTGGGATTATTCGATTAATGATCAATCTTCTTTTCATTTAATAGATATGATAGCATGCTCCCTGGTGGTTATACTTCTTTTCCGTTATTGGTTTCTATTGATTCATGCTTTTTAAGCAAAAATTAATTTGTATTTTGAGGAGAACCTAGGTACTCCTCATTGATGAAAATGATGTAAATTTATTTTTTGATTTTTTTCTTTATACCTAAGACTTTCTTTGCCTTCATTTCAGCTTCCCAGCGTTTGTTGATTTCGAAATACGTTGGTATTTAGGTTGATTTCTCTCTATTTTATTTGTTATTGCAAAAATGAGATGTCGGTGTTTTAAATTCGAGAAAATAGATGGGATGGGGGTCGGTTGATTATAAATGATATAAAAATTGGGTATATATATATATTTATATATAATAATAAGTAATTATAGAAATACTAGAATTCTAATTTCAATTATAAAGAAGGCAACTATAAATATTAAGTTAATAAAGAGAGTATAGAGATAGAATATTAGATGAAATGCAAAATGTGTTTGTATTGTTTATTATTTTATATGAAATATTAATGAATATATTTGTGAATACTTGAATATTATTCTGATCATTCTCAAGATTGTAAGATAATTATTGGTTGTGTAATTGTGGAATTTAGAAATTAAATTAAAAATTGAGATCATGGATTTTATCATCAAAATAGTATTAAAGGTATTAAAGTTGTGATTAAAATCAATATGTAATAATAATAAAAGAAACAAAGTTGGATTCAATAATTATTCTGTGGATGTGTTCGAGAAGAACCTCTTCATTAAGATTAGAAAATACAACGTTTGTCAAGTAAAATGGAAATTTAGAAACAGAAGCCTGTTAATCTAATATCCATGTAACAATAGTCTGAAGGATGGTTAAATAAGACTACATCTTAAGAAGTTGATTACTCAGCAGATATAGAAAAAGATGTAGATTCAGATGAGGATCACTAAAAAGTATATAATAGATAACTTTCTTATTTGGAGTAAAATTCTTAGCTTCAAAAGACAAGTTTTTCTGATGTAAATATTATGGAATAAAATAGGAATTCAATTCAAATAACATTGAAATGAAGTTATTGCATAGAATAGGTGGTTTATTATCAAGATAAAGTAATATATAGATAGAGATGTAGTCACATCTATGGATTATGAAAATATTCAAAGATGTTCAATTAATTGTATAAGATAAGGAATTTGAATAAAAATTTAAATCTTAATTGATTAATCCTGCTATTGTTGATATAATGAACTAAAGAATTAAATCAAATACAATTTTATTGGCTCATGATCCAACAGGATCTATCTTACTTAAATTAGCAAGTCCTAGTAGAAAGATCTAATACTTATAATAAGATAAGACATTCTAAAATATAATCGATAGAGGAATTTGTAAATCAAAAGTGAAAGTAGATAAAGTTTTGAAAATGGATTTAGATTAGAAAATAGATATTGTAATAGTGAATCTATATTATATTGACTGTAAAGATAATCTAAAGAACATTATGTATGAATATTTGCAATATGCTCATGACATTATTGTTCTATTATAACCAAACATAGAAAATTCTATAATATATGATTCTGCTGAGTAAGCTATCTCATTATCTGAACAAGCTAATTAAAGTTGCAGTGTTGAACTTTAATGTTTAACTGATAATAATAATAATATTATAGCTAAATTACTTTATTATGGAGATATCACTGAAGTAATAATATTAATGATTAATTTATAGATTACATTAAATGATGAATTAAACTTTGTTTATTCTTGTATTGATTCTTCAATCAAGAAATAATATAATTATAAACTTATGTTTAGAGATTTAAGAAATTAAATGGGTATGAGCAAACTCATTAGAATGTTAAGTCAATTTCAAATTATTTCAGGAATTGGATCATTTGCTGAATTTGCTACTAATATTAATGGAAGCAAAGATAAATATTAATTATTGAATATACAAACTAAAGATTTTGAAAATGAAAATCAAGATGAAAAACATAAATTAAGTGAATTATAGTCTTCCTCTTCATCAACCGAATCAGAGCCAGAAGATAATTAAGATAGATTTGGGTCAAGGAGTGAATCATTTAATTAATCTTAAATGTTTGAACCTCTTTAACTCAAACAAGCCTATTCATAACCCTTTAAAAATTGATTTATTACATTGTTTATAATATTCTAAAATTAAAATGTCATATTACTCTGGATTTCAAAATAGATAATAACTATAGCAATATGAACAATTATTATAATTGCTTCTAGTCACTTTAAATAAGAGATTGGTTAAGTTTTACTAAAATGAAGAATGTGATGAATTAGCATTTCGTAATATATTTCACAGAATCATATCTGGACTTAAATCCTTAGAATAATAGTATATATTAATTACATAATCTAATAGAAAATTTATGCCTCCAAGATTTAGTGAAACAGTTAGAATTTTATTTGAGATTTTGAAATTAGAAGAATAACAAGAAGTATCAAAATATCTATATAGAGTGAAAGGTTATACATGAATCCATAATTTGATTTTATTTCCCGATAAGCCAATATAATAATGAATTAAGAAAAGAAACCAATTTAACATCTGCAATATAAATTATAAGAAGATCAATAAGAAATGCCACCTCATCCATTAATGCAAGTTGAATAGAGATAAGAATCAACTAAATTAGATATAGTTTTTGATAAAATGGATAAATAAGAGAAATTAGTTAAGCTAGAATAAATTGATAAAAACAAAAAATATGATAGTGGAATAACTGAAATAACTACTCCTCGTAAAATTAAAGAATCATTAAAATAATAGTAATTCAATTAATAATAATAATATAATTTGATACCAAAAGAATTTATTAATTAAATAGAGGAATGTGTAACTAGAAATGTGTTAGATAAATTGAGTCTTCCAAAAAGATCAAAGAAAAAAAAATAAAGATCTTCATCTAATTCATTTTAATTTAGACAAGTTCTTTTAACAACTAGTGATAAATAGAATTAATCTTTTTAATCAACAAAGAGAAAATTCAACAATTTAATATGAATCATATATATTATTTTTTTGTCTTCAATTATATGAATGATATATTTCATGTTCAAAAATGTAATAATCTATAAATACCATTTATATTCTTTAAATTTCTTTTATGATATGCATATATATTGGTTTATAAGATAAGATACATATTATCTTAAATAAATTATCTAAAACAGTTAACAAATATTTTCAAATATAAATAATTATTTCAAATATTTTATCAATATTATATATTTAATAATTCATTCTAGAATTTATTGAAGATTAATTCATTCAAACAAATATATAAATTTTGTCAAAAAGTTATAATAAATAATGAAAAAAACATTTTATTTGTTATGATCACACTAAAAGCCCTTATATGGTAAATAAATTTTATTTAAGCACTCCCACTTAAAATTCAAATTGCCAAAACTTAAATACTATAATTTTTTTCTATTGAGATTCTTTGTAATAATGGAACAAAATATAACATAAAGCAGTCTAATTATATTATGTAATTAATAACCTTCAAAATTATGTTAAAAACACAAAAAACTAGTGTCATTCTAACAATAGGATCACCTGCCTCTCCCCAAGTAGGTAAAGTTTTATCAGTACCACTCCACCAATTCTAATATTTAATGAATTTATACTTTGTATATACTTATCCATACAATATCATTAATAACACTTAAAATAGTTAAAACACCTACTATTTTTATATAGGTTGGCTCAAAGCAATCTCTACATACAATTATCAAATACAACATTGCTAGGATTAACTTATTATATTGATATTTATACATCCAAATAATCTGGACGAGCAAAACATTAAAATAAAGCTAAAAGCAACATCAGCATGTATAAAATAAACCCATAATATAACTCATCTGACAATTCATCTTGAACAATATTTGGATCAATTTGATGAATTTGTATATTTTATTATTGTTAAGGTTACATTGAAAATGGTTTCTATTATGGTGAAATATTTTATTGCTATTGGTATATAAATGCTTAATTTTATTGGGGTAAAGAATAGTTTTGTGGTTATTTTAATGATTATTATAAATTATTTCTAATGTTACTTTCCAAAAATGGTTATTGAATAGTTAATAAATCTCGTTAATAATCATCAATGTCAATTTAACTCTATTAAATAGTTTGTTCATATTTAACAATCATTTCTTAATGATATTTTAACTAATAGTTATAATTTATATATACCTTATTGTGAATCCATTATGATTCAATTTATAAATATGTTTGTAATTATTGTTATCTGTCATTAACCAATTATAATTGCTAAGAATGAACTTATTGATCATGCATTTCACCCAAATCTAAATGACTTTAACCAATTAATATTCTTCTTTGGTTTTTATCTTATACAAATAATTTTATTAAAATCTCTTCAGATCCAGTTTATATTTGACTTATTATTAAATTATATATACAAATTTAATTATTAGTTAAAAGTTGGATTATATTTGTCACCTGTAGACATTTGGGTCTATACTTCAGCACCATCCAATCCTACACTAACATAACTATATTAATAATCAGAATATTGAATATTATGAGCTTATTTAATTACTATTATTAATTGAGAATCTCTATCTACTCCTTATGGGTTTAATTTTTAATTATCTTTTTATTAATATCTAATACATTATAATTCTTATGCTAATTGTTGACATTCTTTCAATTCTTCTCTATATTATTGGATTTGTTATTCAGTCTGATTTAGTTTTTTCTTTAGCACTTTATCTGCTTCTATAATAACTTATGCAAAATCTTCTAACTAAACCTGACCTCTTTAATTTGGTTAGCATTATTCAAACAATTGTTAAGCAACATCACGATCATACAATTATCCAGTCTATGCTATAAATAGTCAACCTTACAAGTTTGTCAAGTGCAGAAAATAATTATTCTTTTTAATAAGCTTATCCTTAAGATAACCCTGTTCTTTAGAAGCCATTCAATATCGAATTAATAGTTGGGCTATATTGCAACGACATGTAATATTTAAATTTATATAAATATATTATTGTATTACTTATTTAATAGTACTCTTCTATTTCTTATTTATAATCTAAATTAAATCTTAATTTTCTAAATATATTTCATTCATTTCTTATCTACAAAAGAGAAAATAAGATCTTTTGCTTTATTTTTAATAATTATAACAATTTTAGGCTCTTTATTTAAAACAAAATATCTTACTAAAAAATAATAATATTATTTCTGCATTTCTACAATATTCAAATAGATAATTTTAAGCTATAATATGAATAATTTTATAGAAAATATTTTGATAAGAAATCCTATGAATATTATTTAATAGAATTAATAATACAATAAGAATAATGATATTAATTTATTAATGGATGTATATCTACAAAGAATCTAATTTTATAATCCTATCATTAAACTTAAAAATAATTCAATAAGACGTTTAAAAATTCCATTTATATTCATTTAATATTATTTAAATAAATTTATATACTGTATGCTTCTAAAACCTTAATAAATTAAAATATTATGAAGCTTTTTATAATTTTATTTACTATATTAAGAAGAAGACTCTAAATATTATGACGATTATTTAAATTTATATATATATATCAGATTAATGCTACAGCTCTATTTAATAATTGATCATTAACATCATGAACCACTTCATTAATTCGCAATATTGTGATCTTTTATCTATGTCCCTAAGATTTCTAATATCTCTTTCTTCTCTTTTTTTTATAAATTAGTTCTTTTTCACTTAATGTTTATTATTCAACTGTTGCTAAAACTTTTGCATTCTCTACAAATGGTCTTCCTAAAACAGTATAATCTTTTGCTCCAACCATCAATACTTAATCTAACTCAATTGTTGTGTTAATATCCAATTCTTCCATATATTCTGTTATAATCTAATCATCCTTTACTACTTTATATTAGCTACTTCCAATTTTACAAACTGCAAATTTAAGAGATGTTGGCAATTCAATACCTTTCAATTAATCATGTACAATAAATTTGCATTCTTATGCTACAGGAGGAGTCTATTAATTACATCAAAAATAGAATAATACCCTTTGTCTTTCTAATTCTTGATGTCTAGCTCTACGTTTGGCTTTCTTTTCTAAATCATTTCTCCATTTTTGAGTGTACATGATGTATCTCTTATCAGTAAATTTGTTATTGTAATATTCAAATATTTCAGCCTTGTCCCTCTCTTTAAAGTACTCACTAAATATAAAGAGTCGAGGTTGAGTAATTAAGGATCTTGTAAATAATTATTTGATCATTAATTAAAATAATTAAGCTAGTTAGAAAATAGAGGTTTTTGATATTTTTATTTTAGTATTAAAAAATGATAAAATTAAGAAACAGTCTATGAATTTGTTTGAATTACATATATGTTTGAAAAAGAGTTAAATTTGATTGAATCAATACATATATATAAAATAATTTTGCACAAACATCAATTAAAATCTTTTTTTATTTAATTAATAATTTGAGAATAAATGTCTGGTATTTAGTCAAAGTATATAGGAAGAGGAATCACAATATTCTGAACATCCAGGAGGTTGGATTGAGTGGTTTTGTGCTCACGAAGATCATTAATTTTTATGCGAAGTAGATGATGATTTTATTCGCGATCCATTTAATTAAATTGGAATAAAAAAACAATATCTTAATGAAGCCATCAACATGATTTTACAGTCTACTTCACCAGAAGATTAAGATTTAGAAGATGAAAGGTTTTCATATTTTAATACATCACAAAAGATTTTTAGAGGTTTATTAAGAAGCATCTGATATTTATGGTCTGCTACATGCCAGATTCATATTTTCATCAAAAGGATCTGCAATAATGAGAGAAAGATATTTATAAGGCAAATTTGGTCATTGTCCTAGGATATATTGTGAGAAGTAGAATGTCATTCCTATTGGGTTATGTGAAGATTTAAAAACAGCAAGAGTTAAGGTTTAAAATAAAATAAGAATATAGGTGTTTTGTCCACGTTGTGAAGAAGTTTACATGCCAAAAAAAAAGTGTGCTGATATTGATGGTGCTTATTTTGGAAAATCATTTCCATAATTTTTGTTGATGGTTGATATATATATATTAAATTCCTTAGACATATCCTGATTTACATCCAAAATATTAATTATTACCAGAAACTTAAATAAAGGCTAATTTTGAACCCACATTATTTGGATTCAAGATTGCTGGCAAATAGGGCAGTAAAATTAAAAGGTTTGAATAACAACTATAAGTAAACTAAATTATTACTCAACCAATCATTTAATCAACTGAATAAAATGTTCTAATATAAGAACAAAAATAAATTAGAATATAATAATAATAATAATAATAATAATAATAACAATAACAATAATAATAACAAAAACAATAATAATAACAATAACAATAACAATAACAATAATAATAATAACAATAATAATAATAATAATAACCATCAAAAGAATAAAATTCAGAACCTAATCATAAAAAAAAAAATAAGAAAAAGCATAAAAATTGATATAAAGATATTTGGTATTATCTATATATATGTTAATTTATTCTTTATCTATAAAAATTATACAAAATGCTAATCAAACAAATTTACGCTGCACTCCAATAATTCGTTTTATATAAAATACCTGCCAAATACTAACAATAACTATAATTAAAGTTTCAACAATTGTATAAATGAAATATATCTTATTATTATCCCTCAAAAATTGATACCCTCCTTCTCTTTTTTATTATGAAAATTTAGTATCAAACATTAGATCATTCAGTCCAGTATATAAACTAGATAGCTTTTTTTAAATGGGATCTAAATCCGATTCTTTTATATGTTCATAAGTTGCATTTCGAATATCTATTGCAAAAGTCACAATATGATTGCTTTTGCCCTCTGAATTAAATGAGTTTTTACATTTGTATTGCTGAACACAAATTTATAATTTCCAGGATTGGTGATATTTACAGAAAAAACGGCTTCTTTCTTTTAATTCTTATTGTCAATAATTTTTCCTCTTGGATCCTTGATCTATAGGATGTTAATAGCTATCATACACTAAAATCAATTTTTTCTTTATTCATAATTGATAAAAAGAATGCTCCTCTTATATTAGTTGGGTGTTTTATATATTATTCTAAAATTTCCACTTCTCCCTTATTTAACTCAAATGATAACATGTCATCTGGAATGAAGTCAGCCATCTACCCTTCCCAATCATCCATTAATTATTTTCTCTCTTCATGATCTGTATTATTATCATTAGTTTCATTAGAGGCTGATTTACAATATGCAGATATAATGAATATTAAGAATAATTTCATTTATTATAATAATTTTATTTTTTTTTGTAATATTAATAAATTATTATGCAGATTAAAAGGAATAGACCAAAAATGGGTGTTCCAAAGTCAACCATACTAAATACTCAATAATCTACAAGTCATTCGTTGTGTAATTCATTAATGAAATAATATCATTCTAGCAAATAATAAATTGATTGGTTTAAAAACAATTCATGAACCTTTCATAGATGAGAACCAAAGTATAAATTTACATAAATAACAAAAAGAAATGAGGCAAACTCTTAAATTATCTCCTGTCTAATAATTGTTTAATTATATATTTTATAACTTTTAGATCCCATTTCAATTTTGATTCAACCTTCCGATAGAAAACACTTATTTAGAAAACTGAAGGTAATACTTCTGAACCTCATCTAAAAATTAATATGAAAAATCTTGAAATTCCTAAGGAAAGACTCTTATATGCAACAGAAACAAAACATATTTCTAAATCATTAATCGACTTAGATGATGTATGTTATTATTGATATAATTAAGCAATTCGATTATATCAAGACATTTAGAGCAATGCCCATGTAAACTATAAAAGAAATCTATGATATTGATCGCAAAGAGATACAAAGATTATGTTCGGCAGAAAAGCATAATCCAATAGATTCAAGATTAGCTCCTATTAGACCATAATTATAGTAACCTAACATTCCAGAATTTCGTAAATATTTTAAAGAAAATGAAAGATATTAAGAAATGCAGCAATATTATTAAATTGATCCTAATATATATTAAAAAATGACAGAAAAAGTATGTACATTTCTAATATTAGATTAAATAAGAGAAATTAATGCCAAGAGAGATGAAATTATTCACAAATAATAATAATGATAAATTGATAGCAAATAATTTATTAGGATCAGATATGTATGTAGATCTGTTTTCAGAAGGATTATCATCATCTCATTTTAGCAATTTAAAATCACTTTAAATGAAAAATAATAAGTTAAATAATAATAGAATAACTATGATAGCCAAAAACCTACCTAGTAGCATTATTGATTTAGATTTTAGTAATAATGCTATAGGAAATGGAGGAATTGTAAGTATTTGTGATTTTTTAAATTCTAAAAATTGTTATTTACAAATATTGAATTTAGAAGATAATAAATTACGAGATGGATCTATAATGACTATTCTTAAGACTCTTTAATAGAGTAAAACTATTAAAATCATTAAATTTTCAAAAAATTAAATTACTGACATTAGTATGGATTAATTTGGAAATCTATTAAAAACAGTAATTAAAATTATAAAAATAGAGTAATTCACTTCAAGAAGTGTATTTGCATTATAATTAAATACGAAATCAAGGAGGAACTGTATTCTTTAGGGCTCTTCTGAAGAATTAATATATGAAAGTGCTGGATTTCTCTTTCAATAAATTAGGATAGCATAAAGAATGTGTCGAGATGATATCTGAGTAAATATTTTTATACATAAAGAGTTTTAGGTAAACCACATTCAGAATTATCCCATCTCGATTTATCATATAATAATTTTAATAATGAAGATTCCAAAATATTCCATTAAGCTATAATGTTTAATTAAATAATATATGGATTTCATTTTGAGGGTAATGGAGATTATTGTATCAATGCAAGAGGCTTTTTAGTTAATCAGAAAGAATTAGATTAGGAATATAAAAATTTTGTTTCAAAATAATAAATAGAACTATCAACATAATAATTTGTTGATTAAAGTTTAAATAGTATAGATTTGAAAAATAAAATGAATAAATTAGATGAAAATTTTTAATTAGTAGATCCATCAGTATTCAAAAGAATCTAAAGTACAGATTGGACAAATAAAAAGTCTAGAGATAATTGTTGGTTATGTGAGGGTTGGACAGAAATTAGATTTTAATATATAGTTGGTAAATCTGGGAATATTAGTGATTATCCAATTTATTTACATTTGGATTTTGAAAATTATAGGCCAATGATTATGGAATAGGATTAACAAATTTTTTTTCTTTTAAGAATGTGTCCACCTAATAGAAAAATTAGATATTTTTTTAGTAATCCCTTTTTGGATATTTAATTTACAGCTAAGGATTAACGTATAACAGCATTAGATGATTTTGAGCCAATAAAAGTATAAGGAATTCCAATGATTTATGCTGATACTTCTGTTGTTTATAGTTAAAAAATATCAATTGTAAATTATTTGTATGCTACTATCAATAAAAAAGTACTTGATTCATAAAAACATTATATTCCTACTGTGATATCTAGACCGAGAGAAAAAGAGAAAATAATTTATATTGATCCAAATAAAGAAAAAGAGAAGTAATGGTCAATTGAGAACTCTATCTTTCGAGATTTTTAAGCAGATACAGAAGGACATCTTCTAGATTGTTTTGATTTTGATTTTGAATGTGGTAGACTATAAAAACATATACCTGATTCTGAAGATTTAGATGTTTTAAAAACAAAGGTGAAAGTATTTTACAAAAATATATTGGCTTGTTATAAATATTATTGTGCTGAAACTCTAAATTATGAAATTCCATGTTTAAATCAATAAAGCTTTATAGATTTTATATCGTAAACAAACATACTTTAAAAATCAATATTAAATAATATAGATTTATAATTAACTTATTTATCAAGTTATGTAGTACAGAAATCAGCAGAATTTATTCATGTTCTTGATAAATGTTTAGTAAGATATTAATTTCTTGAAATCATTATTCGTTTGGCTAAAGAATAATATTTGAGAACAAATCAATGTAACAATATAACAGATGCTTTGGATATGTTATTTAAGTAAGATAATGTGCTAGATTTAATACAAGAATATGGAGTACCCTAAGATTGGAGAGATACTAGATATTGGACTTAATTAATGGATTCCACTATAAAAATGAAGATCTAATTCCTATAATTAATGTATGATTATGTATCAAAGATAACATTCAAACATAACAAATATGTTACTTTGATAGATTTTAAGCTTTTTATAGAATAATTAGATTTAGGAAGGTATGTTTCTGAAAAAGAACTCTATTTAATATATCTATAAAGTATGTAAACATAGAGAGATGAATTGAGAGAATCTAAACATATATAAATGCAATTTTTAGAATTTGTTGAGGCTATAGCAAGATTAGCAGAGAAGATATCTCCAATCTCACCAATGTATGCTGTCCGTAATCCAACAGTTAATAAAATTACTAGGAAATCATTACCCTTATTTGTTAAATTTGAGGGACTACTCTATATTATATTTTAAAAAATAAAGTAGGGAATAATTACAAAAACAAATGAATAATAAATTTAAGACATAGAAAAAAATATTATATCAAAAACTATATTGAAAACAATTCATGCCAAGAAACTGGGAGTGTTTGGTATGTTTATAAAAATTTATATTATTTTAGAGGAGGATAGAAGTTCAGATGAAGAAAGAGAGAAAGAGTCAAGAAATATACCATTATTACCAGATGAGAAAAATTAATAAGAAGTAAAAGAGAAGAAATTGATTGGGAGTGGATGGAGTAAATTAAGGAATTGGGCAAATAAAAAAAAGTTGTAGAAACAAGGAAATCCAGAATAAATTAATATGTTAAAATAATTATAAACATATTAAGATGAAGAAGAAAGATATGTTTAAGTAGAATATGAGCATGCATCAATTTATGAGAAAATGGAAATAAAATAAAGATAAAGAATGAAATAAGAATTTTAAAGAACTAAATTAAATTAAGATCCTACATTCAAATTTGAAGAGGAAGATGAAATAAAACAATTCTGATTTACAGAAACAAACAAAAACTTATATTTATTGTTATAAAAATCATTCCCATCCATTAATAAATGACAAATCAGATGATTAATGTTCATCTAATATTATTTGTAATTATTCATTAACGTTCAGATTTTATTTTTTTATTATATTAGATTTTGGTTTTATATGAAAAGAGATTCTACTTGCAATTCTAATATCATCTTATTATTCTTGTTATCGATTTTATAATTATTTTAATTAGCTTTTTATAAGTCCATTTTTTTTGTTTAAGTATGGAATTTTCATTGTATCAGGTATTTAAACATGATATTGTAATTTAGGTTCTATCTTATTTTCTTTTTATTTTTAATATGATAGATTTCGATTATTTTCAATAGGATAAACAATATATGATGTATTAACTCTTCTTCTTATATATTGTTTTTTTGCTTATTAATTTTTATGTTCTTATGTGTTTTCTAAATTTAATAAACCTTTTCTTATAATTTACTCAGTATGATTTCCAAAAACTTAGTTTGAATTTGAGAATATTAGATTTTCATTGATTTCTTTAATTAGAGGATACTTGAATTAAATTTAATTCAAAGTTTAATTGAGTGGTTGAATATTATAAAAAGTCTTACAATTATTGGAGTTATCAGTTTTATTATGATAAGATTACTTTTGAGTATTATTTTTCATTTAAAGAAATATTATTAATAAAATGTATAATAATAATCCAAGAAGTTCCTCTCATAAATAATTAAAAACTTTATAAAGTTAACTTTAGTCAACTCCAGTATTAAAGTCTATAGAATAATTGAAAACTGAAGGAATTCAATATTATTACCATTAAGGATATGAAAGAAAGGCTTTACATAAAATTTTTACACTTAATACAAAAAAAAGACATATTCAAAGATATATAAATCAACAAGTTTATAATGCTGATTTAAATGGTATTTCTCTTAAAGCTAGCTAAATGGATAGATTTAATTTGTATTAAAAAGGATTGACAGAGTATATTATTATGAATAATAATTTAGTGAATTACAAGCAAATTCTAAAAGTTATAGTAATTTATCTCGCTTGAAAAAAGGAGACTTTCAAACTAGTTCTACTGAATAACTCTATGGATATAAAAACTCACAGAATAGAGATATACGTATTACATCAGGTCAGAGAATATCATCCATCTAATAAGAGAATAATCAAATTAATTAGAATAGAATTTCTATATCAAAACACTAGATTAGACCAAAAAGAGAAGAACAATTAGTATAGGCTATAAGAAAAGACAATTTATTTACAATTGTTTATAAGTCTAACATCTTTTCCAATTGAATTATTTACTAATTATTTTTTTTTTTATGAATTTTAAGTTTAAAACAATCAGAAGAACTAGAAATGCATTAAATGCATAATAAATATATTGGGAAATAATTAAATTAAAGAAATATTTTAGAGTGAAAACTATATTTGGAGAAGATAAAAAATCTGAAATCATTTTTCATAGAACATAATTGCCAAACAAATTTAGAACTCATGATATGAGCTTATTTATAGAATAACATCAAGAAACATAAAATACTTTCTATTATATAGCCATAGGTTTATTTAGTTTTTCTATTATGCATTTCTATGCAAAAATGTTATATGATGATGATACTAGATATTGGGTTAGCATTCGATTTCCAAATCATATGAAATAATTTGATATTTTTAATAATCATATATAGCATTAATATGATAATATTTTAGAGAAAGTAATAAATAACAAATATAAGTTTAGTTGTAATTAAAAAATAAAGATTTGAGTGGAGCAGTTGGATATCATAATTTGAAACAAGGCATTAAAGATCTATTTAAAAGAGAGACTAAGATAATTGATTTTTAAACTACAGACTAATCTATATAAGGATTAGATAGTTTTTTATAAGAATAAGATAAAAAAGTTCTTAAATCAATTAAATGAATTTTATATTTGATTAACTTAATCATTAAATCGATGATATCATAAATCATTACAATCTTTCAAAAATTCCAGCTTTGTAACTTATTTCTGTTATCCTTAATTATTTAATTGGAGATACAAGACAAAGTTGTGGAGTTGAAAAAAAAGAAGACATTTATAAAATCATTTTAATTTTTAAAAACCACTTAAAAAATGATCCAACTTTGAAAATGAATTTATACAATGTTGATTATGTAGTTAAAAATAATGATTTAACTATTAAAGATTTAGATATTCATCATAAATGCAAATTAGAATTGAATGAAATTAAATAAAAAATTAAGAATAGAGATTAAAAATTGACAGAAACAACTTATTCATATCTAAGAGACTTATAAGGTCTTAGAGAATAATTATATAGATAAGCTAATAATCTAAATCATGATTTTTCAGATCAAAGACATTTTGATTCTTTTGAAATAATTGATCCAAAATATCGAGAGTTGTTGAATACTAAAGTTAACAATATTAAATCTGACTATGAATAGAAAATTAAATATCTTACATAAATATTAGAATCACAAAAAAAGGAAATAGGAGCATTGAAATCCTAAATATCTGATTATTAATATAGAGCAGAACATTATGAAAATCCTGAATTTTTAATTAGAAAATTATTTCATGTAGAAAGAGATCCTTATGAATTATGGAGATTAATCTAAGATAATTAAGGAAATCCTTTTCTCTTTTAAGTATTTTCAAATTAGAAAAAAGGTTATGGAATTGATTACATAGAAATAGATTAATTATTGATGGCTGTAAAAGTATAGGATAGAATATTTGAAAGACAGAAATAAACATTGGATTAACAACTTGCTTAATTTATGGAAAGAATATTAGAAGATGTATATGATTTAAGATAATAAATATTGGATAAAGAATCTGAATTAGATACTTATAAAAAAAAATATATTAGAAATCTCACTGTATTAAATAAAATTATTTTGAAAGCTTTTAATAAAAGTAACCTTTCAATTATTATTAAGTTATAAGTTCATATAACTTGTTGTTGATGAAGACTTCTTTTAAATTATGGAAAGACAAAGAACTTAAATTAGCTTCTCTATTAAAAGATTTATCTAAATTTTAAATTAAAAATCTTGAGCATGATTTATTTGATTATTTTATCTAATAAATAAATGAAATTTAAGATAAAGTAACATTTTTAGAATTGAAACTAAATGGTTAGAAAGTATTAACCAAAACATTGGAATCTAAAAATTCAATTATTCAAAATACATTAACATTATTAAAATGCAATTTCAATATTAAAAATTTTGATACAGATCTAGAGTAAAAATTATTAAAATTAGATAATTTTCAAATTAGATTTTGTAAAGAATTATTAGATCAATTAATGTTGTAGAAAATGACATATTAAAAGTATATATAATAAATTCAAAAACAAGATTAATATGTACAAACAGATAGCACAGAAATCATTGATTAATCCATTAAAACTAAAGAGATTATTATTGATAATGTAAATTTGATTACATATATAAAAGAGAAATATCAGGAAAAAAAAGAAAAATCCATACTATAAAATGGAATTCATAATTCAAATAGATCATATTCAATTTAAGAAAATCAGAAACCAAATATTGATTAATTGCCTTAATTAAAATAACAAAATAAAAGAATGACTTAAATTGATTCAAATACTATAAAGTAATCAAATTAACTCTAAATTAATGAATAATAAGAACAATAATCAAATAAAATTACAAGAAAAACATCTTTAAAAGAAATAGAATTAGCAGATAAAAAATAAACTAAATTTAAAACTGATTAGTAAAATCATTCTCCAAATAATATTTAAACTCAGAGAATTAATCCAAGTAGTTTTTCATTTGAAAATGAACCTATATCAAATAAACAAATGATTTACAATTCTGATGACATATATTTTGAGCAAATTGATAACACTTAATTATTTCCTCATTAAAGAAATTTACTTCCTTAAGTATAGGTTCATAAAGAAATAAAATAAAATATAAAACAAGCTAAATTAATTTAAAATAATGCTTAAATTTAATGTGAAAGTGAACCTGAAAGATAAAAGAAATATAATGAATTAAAAAATAAACACAAAAATCTTAAATATAAAAACAACATGATAATCTAATATGAAGACTATCCAAAATATGAATAATAAGAATAATTATAAATGTTTCTTAATCAATCAAGTTGTTAATCAAAAAAAAATAAATAAAAATTAACATAATTCATCTACAAAGTGTGAAAACAATTTTAATGATTATTTAATTTAAAATTAAAAATATATTTTTATTGATATTTAGAATATAATTTGAATATTGTTTTTAATATCTAAGAGACTTAATTTACATAACAAATCTTTAATTTTAATAAATAATAATACCAACTAAGAAATTAAAAGAGATTTTAAATTGTTGATTTTTTAATTTAATAACTACTTGAACTGCTTGAAAAATAATTTAATTAAAATAGAATAAAATAAGGAGAGTTTAAAATAATCCTAATTATCATACTATCTATTTATAATGTTGAAAATGATAAGATTTATAATTGAACTTAAGATTCTTCAATTTTATGATATTGATCAAAAAGTTAATTTCTATTTAAAATTGTAGAAACAAAAAGTTATAAAAGTTTCTTAAAAACAAATATATTGATATCCATATTTTTTAATAAAACTATATTTAAGGTTTTATAGATAAAATACTCTATAAAATATGTAGATATTGATATATAAAAATATATGATCTAATAATTATCAATTAATTTTAAATAAATAATTCATTAATACAAGATTTATGAAAAATAAATAAATATATCAAGAATTTGTTAGCTTAAGAATAAATGACTATTATCAAAAGATTTAGCAAGGACAGCATTCATCAAGATCTTATTGAGGTTCTTTAATATAGTACTTAATTTATCTTAGAGATTATCCAGGAATTTGATCTCGAAATGTTACTTTATGTTGTTTTTTTCCTTTCAAAATTTCATTTTAGAACATATCTCTCCTTTAGTGTGTTTTCTTCATTGCCCTCTCAGTTTCAGGATTGATTTCAATGCAATCACCTTCAGCTTTAATTAAATTTTCTAACTTTGGTTCAAACGATGACACTAAAATATTAATTTTAGGCATTGACATTTCATGCAACACAGATTTCAATGTTAAAGAATGATTACCACTCAGGTCAGTTACTTCTGAGTTCCTATTCCTAACACTGAATAAATCAATCATTATTGTTATTTTTATTTTTTCATATGAAATAATTGCAATTTTTCATCAACTAAATACTTCTAATTGATATTAAAAATTATGGAGAATCTTAAAAATATCATAAAAAAGAAAGATTAAAAAAAAAAAAGAAATTGATTTTTCATTTCCAATAATATGTAGAAAATAGCATTTATACTCATTTTTGTACAAAAGTCTCTAGAATCAGAATAGGAAATTAGCCATGATTAGTGATGATTTCAAGTTTTTGATCTATCTTCTTGTATTCAGTCTCAGGAACCTGACTAAATAAATATTGTTACTTTTAAGAATTTTAGATATGGATTTTCAATAGCTGGTTTATAAAATTAATCTAAATGAACTTTTGCTTTTGATTATAATACAATGGTATATTCCTTATTTTATTCAAGTAAAACAGGGGTAATTTTAATATAATATTGATTATTAATGACATTTAATTAATTATGATTCAATTTTAATTGTTATTAATAGATGAATTCAACTAGATTGTATCCTTAATGTATCGAGAAGATCATTGCTTATTCTTGCATTTAATCAATACCATTAATACATGGTTGCATAAAACCAATTAATTTACAATTACGAACTGCTTAAAGAGTAGTTACAATAATTTCATTAGGTTTAACTGTTAAAATCTCATTTTTAAGTAATTGCATAAATTAATTGATTTGTACCTTAGAATCAATTTTTTATATATTTCTATATGGATTTAATACCTCCAATTTTTATTGAACATTTTATAGCAGACTTTCAATATATTATGCAGACTCATATTAGATTTTAAATTCAATATCCAATTTAACTTCTTTATTATCTTTTTTTGATACTTAACTTAAATATTATGCAACAAATTAAAATTCTAATTCAGTTAATGTGTTTTCATTTTTTTATTAGAGATACTTTTCTATTGTAGATTCAATTTATTGTTTCATCTTTAATTGTTAAATAACTTCTTTAATTTTTAACTCAACAAATTCTAATTCTTTCATTAAGTTGATTCTTAGATTTATCAAATTGGTTGATATCAAAAGTAGATCATCATGTACTTATTTCTTTAATTGAATATATTCTTAACTCATTTTAATACTTTATTAACAATTCACAATAAGATGGTGTTAGTGATCATGAATACATTTTTTACAAATCAACTTATCTTCAATGCTACAGTATTATTCAATACACAGATATTATTTTTGTAAACCATGGCTATTACATTTAAATGAATTTGACATTTTATTTATATTTAATAATACACATCACAAATCCTATTTCTATGAATTTAACTTAGGTAAACTTGAGAATGACTAACCAGATTCAGTTTTCTTAATAACTCCTCTTACAAATTCATTTAAATTATCAACTGTTAGTTATTTCTTAAATCTAAAGTATTTTTTTATATTAAAATCAACTGCTACAACCTGAGGATATCTATATAATTTATATAATATATATAATAATACCCTTCTCCAATAACACTCAACTCTGCCTCAAAATCATCAAATTATTCTCCAATAAACCAACCTAAATTTGCTCTGCCTGTTAATGATAATGATGTCTATAAAATATTCATATAAAATTACTTTCTTTAAAATCTAAATTGCATCTTCTTATTCTTTCTTGTCACTTGGTAAGAATCCCAAAACGCAAAGGGCTTAAAAATAACTTTATAAAATCTTACTGTTGCAAATTTAATTTAATTTTTCATCAGAAGTTATTTAAATAACATCTGTAACAATAGATTAACCATCAACTGGTTTCTATTCCTTAATATATTTCAAAAGAGCTTCCAAATTTCTTTCTCCCTCATATTTTTTATGTGTATCCTTTTTATTTCCAGCAGGGAAAAAGTAAATTGTTGGATATGACTCAACATTGAATCTTTTTGCCAATTCAGTTTAAGCAGTAGCATCAACTTTGGCTATTGGAATATCAGCTTAATGAGATAATTTATTCCATTCTGGTTAAAGTTATTTACAATGTCCACACCAAGGGGCATAGAATTCAACAAACCAGGCTTCCTAACTATTGATAACCTACTCATCGAAGTTAGCATCAGTAAGAACAACAACCTTTGAATCATCATTTGCTGGTTGTGGTTTGATTTCAACTCCTAATCTATTCAGGGCAATTTCTCTAGCTCTATCCAAAAGATAATCTACTATTGCATTCTTTTTCCTTTCTCCTTCATAAGCAATAGGATCTGCTTTATTTACACCAAAGAATTTAATAGTAGGATAACTATTGACTCCATAAGGTTATCCAGCCTCTCCATCAGTAGTCATATCTAATGCACCTATTTTCAAAATTCCATCTAAAGCTTTTGCAGCTTTGTTATATTCTGGGGCTAAAGCTTTACAGTGACCACACCAAGGAGCATAGAACTCTACTAACCAAGGTTCTCCTGAATCAAGGACCAATTATTTGAAATTGTCTTTAGTAAGTTTGATTACTTTAGAATCAGCATCGTATAAAGCAAAGCATTATGTAATCATAAAGGACAGAAGAAGTAAAGAATAGAAGCTTTTCATTTAGATGTTATTTTTATTATCGTGTATTGTTGGAAATATTCTAGAATTTATAAATCTACACGTTATATTTATACTATATAATTATTAAATATTCCTTAATTTAATGATTATTTAATCCATATTTAAGTATTCAAATTTATTATAGAAATATAATTAAATAAAAATAGAGTTAATAACTTTGAAAACAAAAATAAAAATATATTTTAAGATAAAAAAAAGAGAAAAATTAATTAATAAAGAATAGATAGTAAAATATGTAAAATATATTTATTATTTATTATTTAATATACTAATATATCTCATGCACCAATTGCTAATTTGGATCTAGCTGCTTATTTTCTTGATTAACGAGCAACAACTTTATTATTTGCTTCTTTTTTAACATTCTCATCTCTTTCGGATGCCCAGATTTCAACATGTGCATTTGATGATAGGAATGCTAATTGAATAATAAGTATAATAATTTTACGATTGATTCTTCCATGAGCTCTGTATGTTCTACGTCTTCCCTTTTGAGCTCTGTTAACTTGAACATGATTGATGATCAATTTTTCATTACTCAAATTTTTAACTTAAGCATTAGCTGCTAAATTTTATAAGAGAGACAATACAATTCTAACACTTTTCTCTGGCCATCTACCTAAAAAATTGATTTTAATACTCAAATACCTTAGGATCTGCCAAATTCTTTAGCTTATGCAGTTCTACCAACACCTCCATTAAATCTTGTGAATGGAACGCATCTCTTATGTTAAAGGACATCTTGTAAATATTTAAGAGCCTAAGCAAGAGTTTAACCCTTAAGTGCTCTTGCTACTTCATATGTATTCTTAAAATGAGTTCTTAAATCACTAGCTTTAGCCTTTGCTGATTTTTTTGCAACAGCAGGTTCTCTGGCATATTATTTTCCCATTAAATTATATCCTTTTTAATTTATTTAATTTTTTTTCAAATTTTATTAAGAATTCAATAACAATAATGTTTTATATATTGATATTTAGATGTAGCCATTTTTCAATTATTTACTATAGCATATCTGACTCTATATCCACCTCCAAACTATTCAATATTTCCATTATTAAATAATTCTTTTGGTTGACTTTTGAATAAGAATCCTAAATTTCTTTTCTATTATGGTATCACATATTCATTTGATGTATAAAAGTTCTTGTCTAAAATATAATATTTAAAATGATACCTGTTAAAATTGCATAACAGTTATTTGAGGCAGAGAACTTGAGTATCTTTTCATCTTTAGGTAAATCAATGGGTCTTGGAACATAACTCTCATCATAGCCTGATAAATAGATTCTATTTTAATCTGTCAAAAACAAGGAAAGATTATATCCTAGATCAAAATCAATCACTTTTTCATTAGGTTAGAAGTATTTCAAATTAACTGGAGTTGGAGCATAATTTTCCTATTGTATATATTGATAATATTACTAAATCTGTTACTACATATTCTTATTATCTGACTCCTAATGAACCATAATAACTTCTACCCCATCCAACAACTATTCCTTCATCTGAAAACATAATATTATAGATTATACTTAATAATGCTAATGTTCCAGCAAAGCAAGATTTAATCTTCTAGATTGTGTAACCAGATTTACTCAATTATTCAAATATAGGATTAAGTTCTGGATATTTGAAATTGAGACTGCATCCATTACCTAATTCTCCTCTCTTTCCTGCACCCCATACATAGACTTAATTGTTTTCATTTACAACAATTGAATGATTGATACCAGCACTAACAAATTTACCTTTTGGAGTTCCAGCTAATTTTTAAACTGCTTAAGGAGTTACAACATTATTCTAATAGTTATCTCCTAATCCACTAACTTTACCTTATAATTAATCTAAAAATGAGGTATTTGCATTTCCCCAAGTATAAACATTTCCATCAGCTTAAATATTAAAAATTATTGATATTACAAGCTAAAGCAATTGCATGATTTGATCCCAAAGCCACATCAGTAACTTTTAAACCTTTATCTCTAAAGAATTTAACCAATTAAGGTGTTTAATGTTCTTCTGTGTTGCCTAAGCCTAATTATCCATATTAATTGTGACCAAATGTATATAAATCACCATTATCTTATTATTTAATATTAAATGTATACCTGTAATGACTGCAGTAAAGTANATTTTCAATTATTTACTATAGCATATCTGACTCTATATCCACCTCCAAACTATTCAATATTTCCATTATTAAATAATTCTTTTGGTTGACTTTTGAATAAGAATCCTAAATTTCTTTTCTATTATGGTATCACATATTCATTTGATGTATAAAAGTTCTTGTCTAAAATATAATATTTAAAATGATACCTGTTAAAATTGCATAACAGTTATTTGAGGCAGAGAACTTGAGTATCTTTTCATCTTTAGGTAAATCAATGGGTCTTGGAACATAACTCTCATCATAGCCTGATAAATAGATTCTATTTTAATCTGTCAAAAACAAGGAAAGATTATATCCTAGATCAAAATCAATCACTTTTTCATTAGGTTAGAAGTATTTCAAATTAACTGGAGTTGGAGCATAATTTTCCTATTGTATATATTGATAATATTACTAAATCTGTTACTACATATTCTTATTATCTGACTCCTAATGAACCATAATAACTTCTACCCCATCCAACAACTATTCCTTCATCTGAAAACATAATATTATAGATTATACTTAATAATGCTAATGTTCCAGCAAAGCAAGATTTAATCTTCTAGATTGTGTAACCAGATTTACTCAATTATTCAAATATAGGATTAAGTTCTGGATATTTGAAATTGAGACTGCATCCATTACCTAATTCTCCTCTCTTTCCTGCACCCCATACATAGACTTAATTGTTTTCATTTACAACAATTGAATGATTGATACCAGCACTAACAAATTTACCTTTTGGAGTTCCAGCTAATTTTTAAACTGCTTAAGGAGTTACAACATTATTCTAATAGTTATCTCCTAATCCACTAACTTTACCTTATAATTAATCTAAAAATGAGTTATTTGCATTTCCCCAAGTATAAACATTTCCATCAGCTTAAATATTAAAAATTATTGATATTACAAGCTAAAGCAATTGCATGATTTGATCCCAAAGCCACATCAGTAACTTTTAAACCTTTATCTCTAAAGAATTTAACCAATTAAGGTGTTTAATGTTCTTCTGTGTTGCCTAAGCCTAATTATCCATATTAATTGTGACCAAATGTATATAAATCACCATTATCTTATTATTTAATATTAAATGTATACCTGTAATGACTGCAGTAAAGTATTCACTTGGATATACTTTAGCCACATTACCATTAAATGCATCTATTCTTCTTGGTCTCAATTAATCTCTTTATGAATCCTAATTGATTCCACAACCTAAACTATGAACTCCCCAAGTGTATAAATTGCCTGCTCTATAAATTGGACGAGTCCATAATGACTTGAAAAGAACACTATGTGTTAAGCAATTCATAAAATATTTATTTCAATATCTAATTAATTATTTATACACAAAGATTCAAAAACTCTCTTTTATATATATATTCAATCTCTTATTTTTACACTTTTTAACATCTATATCGACAGTTATTTGGAATATAATAATAATATTTTATTAGATATAATTTCTGTTTGTTTTTAAGAAGTAAGAATCAAATAAGAATTATGTTATGAACAATAGAAACATAGAATTGTATTTATTTATGTTTTAATAATTAAATTACATGAGTGATTTAATCTCTAAAGCTATATCAAATTTCTAAGACAAAATAACTGAATATTACCTTCCCATAATAAATCCTAATTCTTTTGAATCTAGAGAACCCAATAAGAAAGTTTAATTGAATAAAACAAGCAAATCTAAATCGTAACATATAATGTAAAAAATAATTGCAACATCATCAAACCATTCCCCTCCAAATACAGGGACTACTTAATAGTATTCTTTTGGATAGAGTAATCAACCTAAAGATAATGATTCTATCTAACCATCTAGTTTAATGAATAAAACCATTGATTAAAAAGAATCTTAGAATGATATGATTAACATAAATTAGTTAATTCAATAAAAAAAAAAAGAACTAAATGCTGAAAAGAATTATTTTCTTAAAGAAATAACTAGAATTAGATGTAATTAACTCTTTCATTATTAGAAAATTTCGAAATGAAAGCAAAAATTAGGAATAAATTTCAAAAAGAAAGAAAATCTACCACTTCTTCATAAGATAAATATGAAAAATGTTGGGATGAGACCTTAAAAGAAATAAATAAAGATTCTAAAGAATTTTATTAATTAATTGAATAATCAAACTAAGATAAGCAATAATAATTTAAAAGAATTTAAAAATCAAAACCTCTAAGAAGTCAAGTAATCTTATCTTTTTATTATTTTAGATATTTTCTAAAATTAGAGAATAAGAGAATCAATATTTCAAATAACGTTCTGGATCTATCATAAAATTAATGAAATAAAGATAAATACAAGTAGTAGATGAAGTTTCTGCATAAATTGAATAAGTTTAATTATTAAAAAAAGAATAATAATATTAAAGATCCAAAGAAAGAGAAGAAGGTAAACAAGAAATCATTAAATCTTTAAAGTTTAAAGAATAAGGAAAATTACTTAAATTATTATAGAATAAGTCATCAAATCGTCATCTTTAACTTTCTAGAAAAAGCATTGAAAAATCAGATGATGTTACTAATTCATTTTCAAAAAGAAATAAAATAAGATCAATAAGTTTTAATTGTGCATTACCTACTATTGATTTAAAATAAGATGAAGGATTAATTTAAATGATAGTTTAGTAATAAAATTAAATCAACCAAAAATTTATAGATAAACCTCAGTTTAATAGGAAAAATTTGATTGGTAATCAAATTAATGGTAACCCCTATTCGGACTTATCAAAACTAATTAGATATTCATGATATCTTATTGTTCTCATAATTCAAGTATTTATATTTTATTCAATTAAAGAATAAATATGAGTAAATCATCTAAATTATCTATTTCTCCTCTAAAGAGTTAATAGTCCTTGTTTCCAACTATTTCATTTAAAACTTCTGAGTCTCCTTCAAAAGATTTGATTCCCCCTACTAATTATATGTTATTTTAATAAAAATAGGATAAAATAGCTACTAATCAAATGAAAAATAGTAAATAGCTAAATTAAGAAAGAGCAGAAACTATCTATAAATATCTTCGTTAATTAGTACTAGCAAAGATAGATTATAACAAAGAAAAATCTAATATATAATACTAGGATCCAATAACTGATTCTAAGGATACAATTAAACATTTTTAGGAATCTAATTCATCCTTTCATTACTTAAAGAAAATTGATAATAAATTAAGCAAATAAAGTATTTAAGTTATCATATATATAATTAGAGTTTAAAAGAAGTAGTAAATCATGTATAGATCTTACTGCTTAAGATAATTTATGTAATTAGATCCAAAATAATTGCATAATTGAATAAGACTAGGAATAAGAAGATTGTGAACACAATTTTTCTCATATTATTAAGAATTAATTAAATATCTCACCAAATTTATATAATAATTTCAAACATAATAAAATTTACAAGTTATCACCACAAAATTAATCAAATGTATTTTATTAAAGTAATTTAGGTTGTCTTAGACTTTAATTAATAGAATAAAGAATATCGAGAAAAAAACTATTAAATTATTCATATGATTAAAAATGTTTAGTAAGATCTTTTAAGACAAAGAGATGAAGATAGATAAAAATTGGAAAAAGATTATAAATTATAAAAAATTTTAAGGTAAAAGGAAAGAAAAGAAGGATTATACAATGCATAAGTAGGTTTGAAAGATAGAAAATTTAAATTATTGTTAAATGCTTTAAAAGGGTCTTAAAATAAATAAGTTTAAGATCATTTAGTATTAAATATTAAAAGAAAAAATAATAATATAGGGAATTAATCTTCTATAATAAGTAGATAAAGTTCCTTTTAATAATATAACCTAAATTATATTACTGATAATGAAAAGTTGATTAGAAAAATTTCTTAAATATCTGATGTTTGTAGTTCTGAAACATCATTAGACTCAAAATGTTAGATATGTAATAAATATAAATTAATTGTAGAATTTACCAAAAAAATAAACTATAAGCCTACTTGATTTTCCATTGTATAATTTTCTATAGATTATATTAAATTGAGTGTTATTTAATAATTTTATTGGAAAATAAAGTAACAAATAATATAAAATGTCTGGAGAGTTACCTAAAATCACTTCTAAGAGTTTATTTTCTACTTATGTAGAAAAAAAGAATGCTGAAGAAGAAGCTGTAAAAATAAAAAATAGAATTGATTAAATAAGACAAGAACGTGAAAAAATATTAAAAAGAATATAAGCAGAAGAATTAAAGGCAGAACAAATTTACAAACATAGATTGGAATTATAATTAAAGGTAATTTGTACATTAAAATTATAGAAAGAAGAAAAAATCAGATAGAAGGTTGAAGCACCCCCTCCTTTCTCTTTAAGTGTTTCTAGAGCTTAAAGAGAGACTTTAAAGAAAATAAAAGAAGAAATGCTTAACAGAAAGAAAACAGAAGTAAAGGAATTTAGAAGTTGGCATCGATAAGATTTATATGAAACAAGAACTTAGAAAAGTTTAGATCATGAAACTTATCGTTCTAAAGTCCTTTAAGGTAAGGAAGAAGAGAGATAGGCAAATTTAAATACATTGGCTAAATTAAAAGAAAGAAGAGATAGAATCAGATATGATATAGAAATTGAAAAAGATAGAGTTCTAAGAGAGAAAAGTGAATATGATTAGAAAATCTAAGAATTAGAATAATTAGAATAATTAGAATTAGCAAATTTATAGAACACACTCTAAAGATAAAATTAAACAAAAGAAAAAGTTAATTTAGCTTAAAGTCTATCACCTAAAGAATTTGAAGCTAAATTTGGTTATAATTCTACAAGAAATATATAGAATTCAACAAGTTCATGATAATATTTATAAATATTAAATATTATTTGTGAATTATCTAATAATTTATTCCCGTTTCTTAAGATTCTCATTATTTATATTAATTCTAGATTACATAAATATATATAATAATATTTAAGATATTATAAATCAATCAGCTAGCATATAATTATTTATACCCTATCCTGACTAGATATTTCCATTTTCTAATAATTGCTTTATTGATTATCTTTTAATTAGAGAATTAAATACTTAATTTCTTATAGAGTGTACTATTCTGAAAATTTGTTAAAAATATTTTACTAGGGGATATTAGTTTCAGAAGACTATTTGATATAATTTAAAATCTAATATTTAATGATATATTTTTACTTTATCTGACAAACTTAATTATTATTATTTAAATTATTCTTCTTCTACAATTTATGTATTTGTTTATATAAAAATTTGATTTTTAATTTGATTAGATTTAATTGCTTATTGTATAATATTAAGCATATGTTAAATTACTTAACCAACTTAATTTAATTTTGTTATATTCATAATATCAAAGATTATTTACTCTTTTTGAATTCTAGTTCTAAGTAAGAATTAAAAATAATTTGTATTTAATTCTTCTTCTTTTTCAAAAATTTAATACATTTCTTTAATCTAATTACTTTCTGATAAAAGTAAAGTAAGAGTTTCAGAGCCACTATCATCATTAATTACTATTGATGCTTTGTTCTATTATTCAGAGATTTTTGATGCTCTTGCTACAATCTGGATTAATGTAATTTATTTATCTTAATATAAGATCTCATTTTTATCAATTGTAGATATTTTAAGTCTTTTCATCATCTTAATTGTCATATTTGTAATTTGTTCATTATAGTTTATTCCTTGTTTGTATGCTGATTGATTTTTTTATTCACTAAACTATGATTATTAAAACATAATTAAATTTAATTATAAGCGCCATTTTTTAAATTAAACTATTTTTATCAAAAAGTTTAAAGCAGAATTTATATTAAAAATATAAGAAAATAATCATATAATATTTATATTGGATATCATCCTAATTTATCAATTTAAATAATTTAAATTTCATTAAATTCTTTACTCAATCTATTGCTTTATTTATTTTTAGCTGTCGAAATCTCCTTTTATACATCTTTCAATTTGTTATATTCAATATGTTATGATTTAGATAATCCATATATTTTTAAATCTTTTTTCTCTTCTCGCTATGAAGAATCATGAGATAATTAATTAATCTATTCACCATTACTTTCTGATTCCACTTTTAAAAATCTGAAATCAAATTCTTATTAAGGTAATGAAATCTCATTTTATCTTTAAGTTTACATTTATCTATTCTATTTTACACTACATAACTCACTTTAATATGTTTTTGTCTTCTCTTCTAATTACATTTTATCAATTGTATCATTAAACATATATTACATCTTTTATTGAATTCTTTACTATTCTACATAAGAAGGTACTTCATAATAAACCTATACTCTTTATATATTAAAATACCTTTGAAGTAAATGATATAAATTTAGATCTAATTGGTTTCAACAATTTTTACCAAACACTTTAATATAATCTTGTTAATCTCCTTTATAATAAAATGCCTTATCCTTAATAAAACAATAACTTATGATAATTAATAACAAATCTATTAATTGTTAAATATTCATATGTAGTTTTATTGGCAAAAATAAAATATGTATGCAAAACCAATAAATAAGTTGAGAACACTAAAAATCCTAAGGTTTTTAGAGCATAAATTACAAACTCTATTATTAAATAATCATTTATATGTATCAAATGTTAGATTTGTACAATTAAAAATAAAGTAAGCATAATAGTTAAGAAAAATACAAACAAATAAAAATACCGATAATTTCTTTATCCTATGCATTATCCTAACCATACACAATGATGATCAAATCCTTAAACACAATTATCACATCTTCTACAATGTGCAGTTGTACTAGTTTTATAAATTTTACATGAATCACAAAACTTTAATTCACTTACTTTTGTTTAAATCACTGATATAAGTTCATTTGTAAATTTTTATTTCTGTGGTATAAGATAACATTCAGTATACCTTATTCATATAATATTTTACTTTTTAAAATTAAGTATTTATTCTTGGTATTAAACCAGGGTCACTGAAAACAGTTAATATCATGAATATATCTGTAAGAACAATTAATATTATTTCTGCAAAAAATACTCCCAAATTTGGATAGATTCTGAATAGTTGAATTAAAGAAAGAGCATTCAAATAAATAAAGGATGCTACAAACATTAATCTGGAATAACCCATTACTAATCTTCCTTTTAAACAATGTTTTGACTTTCCATGATAAACTTAATAATAAGAAACCCTATAATCTGTACTTTGTATTCTCATGTATTTAATTAAATTTAAATAAAATTATAATATACAATTTATATGATCAAGTTCCTGAATTATATCTTCTCAATTTCAACAAAAATACATTCTATTTTCAAATTTAAATTAGATAAACAATTATTTATATTTTTTATCTGCATCTAACATAAATTAAATTATATTAATATATTTTATAGTAAACTTCTTTTTTTCATTTAATTAGTATCAAAATAATCACTCTTGATTTATTAATACCATTTCATAAAATAATTCGTTATGATTATTTATATTGTATTTATAAAATTATTATTAAGTTAAACAAGAATTAATTTATGAAATAAAAACGAGAAGAGTTTAGATAATAAATTAGAAAATAAGCTAATGAAAAAATTTTTTCATAAGTGAGAGGACTAATAAAGAAATCCAATTAAGAGTAGAATTAGATGGTTACAACAGAAAGTGAATTTTTCTAAGAACTTGCTTTGTAAATTAAAAAGGATTTTGATGAAAAAAATTTACTAAAAATTTTCAAAAAATGGGAAGACAACTTTGATAAAAAATAGTTATAAATCCTTTTATTTAACAAAGAATTTCCTTACTTCAAATTTTTAATTGCAAATTTTAAGATGACTAAAAAATATATTAAAATTTTGATATTCATTTTTGTGGCAATAGAACATGATATATCAGAAGTTCATAATGCTTTGTATTAATATTAATTACTTAATCAATTGCAAAGTAATTTTGAAAAACTAGATTAAGAGATGTAGTAATAAGTATCACATCTTGCAATATTAGATAATGTTTCTATTCAGTGTTTTAGTACAATATTCGCAATTATATCGATTGGCTATAAAAAATTCAAAAGTAATGGACATTGTTGTTACTTAATTTATAAATTAAAAGATTAATAATTTTACATAGAATTATGTAGAATGTTTTCTCTTTATGATTTGGTCATTAATAAATCCAGACATATCTTCAATGTCTGATTTATTTGAATGGTTGTTTGATTGCCTTTTGAATTTAAACATAGCATTAATAGACTTTTAGTCTGAATATTTATTACCTATAATTTTTAAGGCAGCTTCTTAATTTACATTTTGTAGAGAGAAACTCTTATAAAAGAATATGGATTAGATAATACATTAATTATAATCTTAGAACAAAAACTAAACAATATATGTATATTGAATATTTATAAATATAGTTAGAATTTTTAGATTTCTTAAATCATTTGTAAATGCAATAGCCAGATATTTTTATTTAGTTTTTTATTGAATATTGTTGGAATATTATTAAATAAATATTGATTTAAAGTGATTTTATTTAGGAGGCTAAAATAAGATCAGGATATTTATTATTAGAAGCTGTGAATAATAGAGAAATAGAAGAATTTTTAAAAGCATAAAATATACTAAATGAAATTTTGAATCTTATACTTTAAACATAAAATTTTGATGTAATTTGGCAATTAATATTTTTAGTTAATTTAGGTTTACTTTAATTTACTTTAGGTATTATTAATATAAGAGTAATGTCAATCAAATTAAATGGATTTATTGGCCCAAGGGATAATCCATTCTGTTACATTAACAAATGAAGTAATTATATAATAATATAAATGAGATTTAATTAGTACAAGTATGGCAAGTGATTTTGTACTTAATGTAGGATTTAGAAAATAAAGAAATACTTATAGAATATTTAAGGAAATATAATTTTAAAAGGATTATGGAGAATTGTTTACAAATAGTAAAGAACTCAATGATATCAAACATCATAAATAGATGTTTCGAATTATTATGATGAAATAATTTAATTGTAATTAATTTAAAACAATTGGATATGTTAATTTTAAATTGTTATTCTAAATATAGTAAAGCCTATAAGACAACTATCAGATCAAAGAGATATATTACTATTAAATAATTATCTTTGGAATGATAACTTGATTACTATAACATATGTAATTTTATAAATTGAATAATAATGCTTTTCAGACTAATTCTTAGACGCATTCGCATTCAGGATGTCTCTCGAAGAATCCAAATGCGCATGAGAAGCTAGATTATGAATTTGAATCAAGGCATTCTTCTCTCAAGACAGCAGCACAAGTAGCAACATCACATTCGGTTGAGAATTTGAATGATGGATAACAATTAGCTTTACCGCATTTACTCCTATAAGATATATAAATTATAAAGTAATACAATGCAATAAGTAATTTATTTCCTGATTTGTTAGCACATTCGACTAAACAATCATAATCAGCTGAGCATTTATTTGAGCAATTTGTTGCAGCAATAGCACAGAAGGCATTCTTTTCACAAGCAGCAACTTCATCTGGACATTTTTCTCTAACACATAATTCTACTGGATCATCTTAAGCAACAGCAAAAGCTAAAAGAACAATGAATAAGAGTGCTTTCATTAAATTTAATAATACATCATTAATATAAGATTTTTTTTATAATATCCTGATGACGTTATGAAGAGAATCTGAGCAAAACATTATATGTTGTTATTACAAATTAATAGATATATGCATAAAATCATATTCTATGCTTATATCCTTTGAATTTCTTTTTCATCAGAACTCAGTTACACATGAACATTCTGAATGTCTCTCAAGGAATGTTGAAGCACATTAGAATGATTTTAATCCTAGAGTTTAGGTACATTCATTCTTGAAAGAAGCAACACAACCTTCAACATCACAAAATGATACAGCAACATCTGAACATTTCTCATGTCCACATTGAGCCCTTAAATTAATTTATGTTTTTACAATGCAATCAATTTGGCATTCTTTGAAGCTAAAGCACAATTCAACATGCATTCAGCATCATCACCTCCACATTGATTTTTACATTTCATTGCTGCAGATGCACATCCAAATACTTCCTTTTAACAGGCAGCATATTCATTTGGACATCTCTCTTTCAAACATTATTCTGGATCAGCAGCATATGTGATAGCTAAGAGAACAACAATAACGATTGCTTTCATTTTGTTTATTTTATTAATGATATTAAACAATTATTATTTCCATCTTTATATAATCATTTTAATGACGTAGATAAAATAAATTGCTAATTAATATAAAAATTATTTTATAAACAAATTGGTTAATTCCAATATAAATGTTCCATAAAACTCTTGTTAATCAAAATGATACATATAATTCTTATATATTTAAATAGTAGTATTTAATATCTATTAATATAAGGATTCAAATATTTAAATTGAAAAAACATAAATTAAATCATATATTTATAAACTATAAAATATATACATAAAGATCTAGAATTCTAAATATAGAGTATAAATTTAATATTATCATCAATAAGAACATTATAAAACTACTTTAGATTAGTTATCAAAATGTAAGTAGAAATGACAATTATTCATTCTATAATCTTTACTTTTACCTTAAAAAATGTGAAATTAAATTAATAAATAGATTATAGTATTAATTTATTTCTATCAATATATATAAATATTAATAATATTTCCATTTAGGGAAATTAAGAATCAAACATTTATTTAATTATAAATATTGTTTAATAACATAATAATATTTTATATCAATAGGCTAGTTAGGATGGGGATTAACTTGATATACCTTTTTATTATAGTTATTAAATTCTAGCACTTAGTTTTTGAGGAGTTGATTATTTTTATGAAAGTCTAAGAATATAATAGTCTAAAATTTATACTTTCTATTATTAAGTGTTAAACTTATTGATGCTCTACTTTCATTTAAAACAGATTGTCTGTTGTTTAATTAAGATTCAAGAGTAGATTTTTGTAATTCAACTTCTTAAGTTTTTAATTTCTTTTCTTTTATTATTTAACTGCTAGGAAGTGTTTTAATTAAACATCTCCATGAATCAAGAGGTTATAAAGAACTCAAAATTACAGTTAATTCTCTTTTATTTAAATTGTTATGAATTACTCTTATTAATTTTATAAGATAATAAAATAAGCTTTCATTGTAACTATGACTCTTAAAACCATTTGCATAGAAAGTTGTATATGCATTATAAAGAGAACTAATTAATCCAACATTAAATAATATATTTTAAAGTAAGTAAGTTGGAGCCTTTTCAAAGATCATATTTATAAATTCAACAAACTAATATTAATATAAAGTATTTTATTTGCTCTTAAAGAAATAAATTATATATAAATGGATAATTGTTTCACTTAAGAATTTGTAAATATTTCTATTTAATTTTGTTGCATCATAAGGTTCAAATATTGCAAATCCATTATTAATTGTTTAAAATAATATGAATTGAGTAATAAAATTTAAATCAGAATTTAATCTATTTATATTAATGATGACTTTATTTAAATATTCTATTATTTAATAGAAAATTTCTCTTAAAAATTCTTATTATTCAACATTTCCATATTTTTTACCAAGAAAATAAATTTAATTTATTATTTTACCACATTAGAAACTAATATCTTTCTTCTAATTTATCTCATATAAATAAAATTTAAATAAAGAAAGTACTAAATCTTAATTAAAAACAAAATTGCTAAAGTGTTCTCCATTATTTTTATTTCTCATTTAATGTATTATAATTACATTTACTATTTTTTCTAATAAGTTTATTAGATGTTCATATGTATTTGTATTATAATAAAAATCTGTTAAATTTATTTCAAATTGACTAGGATTTGCTTTTTGATTACCTGAAGGATAAAGTGTAATAAGTTTACTACTTGAAAATCCAGTCTCTGATGACAATGAAGATCTTGAAGTCTATTAAAGATTTTAAGCCCATTATGATGTTTTAGAACTAATAGATTTGTCATGTTTCTCTTATTTTTCAACACTTCCTCTTTTTGATTTTGAGTCATTAAGAAAAGATTATACTTCAGTCTATTTATTAGAGATTGATTTTGGAGTATTAATCTATGGAAGAATAGGTACATTTAAACTAATGTTACGATTATGTGAAATAGTAGGTGAACGATAAGTTGACATCTAAGATTCTACTTTTCTACTTTACTTTCTACTATAATTAATAGGTTTATGCATTCTTCTTTCATCTAAATATGCTCTTATTGCATCTACATCATGTTCTAATAATTAAGCATAAGATATATTTTCAGGTAATTATAAATGTTCTTCTGAATTTTATTAATATGTTTATCCTCCTAATGGTCCAATAAATTCATCTAATGTACTTATTTTTACAATTTCAATAGGTTTTTGAATATCTTTAAATTTTGATAGAATGTTGAGGATTTATGATTTTTATTCATTATTTTCTATTGAAGGCAATTTTTGATTGCTTAAAGAATAATTTTATTGAAATATAGAATTGCTTAAACAATCTATCCATTAAGTTTCAACAATATATTTCCAAATCTATTCTTAAATATAATAACCAAGTTTATATTTATCAACTGTTAAGTCTAAAATATCAGTTATCAAAGATTCAATATATGTATTACTTGAATATTACAAAAATAAGAATAGAAAATCTAATTCAATGATCTTCATTATACTAGCTTTTGGACAAATAAGTAATAATTGATCTATTAAAATAGCTAAATGGTTTAAATTCATTTAAATTGTTTAAGAATTAAGGTTTTCTAAGATTTATTCAACTAAAAAAAATATGAATTTAATAATACATATTTTAGGAGTCATTTCTTAAATTGTAAGATAGAATCTAGAATGATTAACTTTTTAAGTCAAAAACTAAAGACTTTTGAAAGATCTAACTGTATTCAAATATTCCATAGATATAGTACTAAATTTAAATGTAGTTTTGTAATCATTGCTTTCTATTTCCTTTCTCTAAAATAGTAATCCCTTAAAATAATATAAATTAATAATACCCAATCATCTATGAGTTCTGTTTCTAGAGGATCAATTATAAATTTAATTAAAATCTCTATGTTATCTTTATTATGTAATTAGAGTTAGTCATGTTGAGTTACCATTTCTATAGGCTTACAGATTATCTTTTGCATAATTTCAACATAATCAGCTACAGACTCTACTTTACTGGCTGGTGTTATATATTCATCTTCTTATTCAATTTTAATTTATTTTTCTGTTGCAATGTAATTAAATGAAGACATTGACTTTTTTCTATCTAAAACCCATTTAGGAGCAACCTCAATTGTCCATCTATTACAAACTAAAATTTATAAAATATATATTTACAATCATCCAATTCTTAATCATATTTATTCTTCCATGGAAATTCATAAAATATACTTTATTTACAATCAAAGAATTAATCAATCAATTATTACTAAAATCTATGGCATCGAGTATGTATAATGAACTGTTTAAAAATTATTGACATTTCTTCCAAATCTACATTAATTTGAATCGCCAATTAAAAGAATCTCTTCAAGTAAGAACAAGCGAATCTTTTAGCTATTAACAATTTCTCTATAACTTATTTCGAAAATGGTATGGATCCTTATTTTTATTATTCTTCAATAATCTTATTAACATTTCCACTATGAATTTATTATCTATATTTACTTAATTGTCATCTTTAAATTCCTAGTGCTTCTATTTCCTAAAAATTCTCTGTATTCTTATAATTCACTTACTTCTTAAAGTGCCCTATAAAAAGCCAAAAGGAATAACTTATGTTTAAAATAATCAAAGAAAGCTGACATCAGCAATTCAATGCTTGCCTATTAGAAAGGATAGGAACAAATCACTTATTATAAGTTATAAACAAAAACTTGATTTTAAGATGTTATGATCTGTGATAATTTACATGTTTCTTAAGTTCAAAGAAACCTCCTTAATTCCCAAACTTATTTTTTAAAGTCGAATATATTCATCATCTTCTCCTAGCTGAAAATATAAAAATTATAGTTACAGCTTCTGCAAAAATCATTAGAGTGTGTTATTTTTAATAAATGATTGTAAAATTAAAAAAGGCTTCGTTATAAATCAAATTATTCACAGATATGTCATATCAAAGTATGTATATATCATTATTAGATATCAAAATTAATAAAAAAACATTGATTTTGAGATTAAATATAATGAGACGTTCATGGACAATTAATTTAAAAGTTTATTATCAATTAAAAGTTGAATTTAACATTTAACAGATAATAGTAGAGAAATATTTTTTGGAAAGTACTGAGAGTAAAAATAATAATAAATACTATAGTATTTTCAATACATTTAAGTGTTTTATATTATTTACAATTAAAATCAAGATTTAATTATTATAATATATATATGATGTTTAATTTTCTAATAATAGTTTTTATTAATAATATTCTATATAAATCTAAAATTAAAATATATGAAATCAAATACTAATTATAAATCAAACGATTTTGAGGATAATAGTTTTAAGTTCATGGAAATCATGATATTATTTTATTAAAAGGGATTTAGCTTATTACATTAAGTTTTTGAAGAGATTAAATGAAAATTCACGATTTCTATTTTTTACTTTTTATGCCCAAGTATCAAAAAATGATATTGAATCTTCTAAATTCATTTCTTAAAATTTAGCAATATAATTATTTCTAAGTGTACTATCTCCTGGAAATGTTAATATTAAATGCATAATCAATGCTCCAAAGGCAAGTGCTATATGTTCTATATTATTCAATGTTTATTGATTATTATTAATGGGATTGAAATCGGAAAGCATGACCTTTGAAAATCCATGAATTAATTACTTATAAATCTCCATTGACAGTAATAGTAACCATGATATTTTCAGGTTTTAAATCTATAATGTGAATGTTTCTTAATTTCAAAAATTCTAAACCTTGAACAATTTACACCATAATATCTTGAATTAACTTAAGTTTTTATTTACAAGACATGGGATTCATATAAAAATAAGCATAACTAAGTAAATTTTTGGCCTATGATATATAACGTGGATATGTGCAATATTCAATTTACATAAATAAATAAGGTTGAAAGTTGAGCATTTCTAGCCACCAATCATATAATCTGATAACATTGGGATGTGAAAGGGAAGCAAGTATTTTGGCTCTACTAATATGTACATCTTTAGAATTAAAAACATTCATAAATGATGAATTAAATGTGGTTCTTAAATGAATCTAAATATATATATAGATATATAATATTTACTCTCTTTACAAAATATATTTAATCATCCACAGGTTTGTAGACATGAAATAATGATTGATGACTTTCTATTTCTTCATTTAAAATGATGAATTCATTCTTAAATTTATTTGTTTTTAAAAATTAGTTTTTGTAATCTTGCTGAACATATGGTATCTTAATTATATTTTCAATTCTAAAAAAATGCATTAAAAATCTAACTCGCTCTTATTTTTAATCAATCACTATCTTTTTGATAATGAATTCTTTAATGTTTTTGTGGATATAGATAAAAGCAGTGGATTTAATCTAGCCTGTCGAAGTTATGAACCCAATGTTAATATCCTAATAGAAACATCGAAAAAGTTAATTTTCTTTGATCTCTATATTAGATTATAAATACAATTAATTCCTATTTCGATTTAATACAATTAGGTATTAACATCCTTTTAAGGGCTTTACGAATGACTTTAGTGATCATTAGAATATAATGAAAAAAAGGATCATCGTAATAACAATTATGGCTTATGTTTGAGATGATAAGAACTTGGGTGAATGATAGATAGTTGTCTGCTAATAAGAATTCTTGTTTAAGTTTTTGATTGTCTATCTAATTTTTTAGTTTGACTATACATTACAAGTGCCACCTTAATTTTATTTTCATCAGCAATTTGGACAATTTCTTTATAATTTTCTACTTCCTCGGGGATTTCTTCAATCACAAGGTTACTATTAATGAATTCATAATGCTATCATGATTCTGAATCATTTACCTCAGAACTATTCTAATACATAAATATATAAATATATATTTTATAGAAATCTTATTTTTATTTGTAAACTTATCATGTATATTTTATGTAAAATATTATAATTGTAATGATCTTTTTATGAATCTTATGAGAAATCAATAGAAAAATATATATATATATATATATAACTATATTATAAATAAATCAGAGTAATAAAATAAATATTCAATTTAGATGATATCCTTATAAACAGATAATAGAACACTAAACATCAAATAAACAATTTTTGAACACTTTATATTTCCATTCAAATTGAATCCCTAAATTTTAAATCAGATTAATAGCTCATTTATCTCCTTTGAATAATTTAGAGATATTGCACAAAAATACTAAGTTTCAAATATTGATGCTGATATTATTTTTACATTCTTTTAGTTGGCTTTAGAAAATTAGCCAACAGTAGAACGCAAAATTGTTGATGTCAAATAATTGAGTTTATTCTTGTCCTTATAAAATTTTAATCATGCAGGAAGACATTCAATTTTTGAAAACATAAACATAAATGATTTAAAATATTAAGAAAGATAAAGACAACCAATGAATTCTTATTCTCCATTGAATTCCCCTAGAGCAAAAACAATGAGAGTTCAAACTCAATAGAATGACATGTAATAAGTAATCTAATTTGTAAAATCAAATATTAAAGATTGGATGAGCTTATTAACTAATAATTAAGAGACAATAACTACTTAAGAATTTAATTTATTATCTTTGATTTTATATAATGAATAGAAATCTATAAGTTAATTAATATTTGATCGAACAAATAAATTAGGAAAAGAAATTGTATCAGAATGGACAATTAAAAATATATAATGTTAAGAATATGGTATATAAATATAATATATATAGCATCAACCATTTGTGGATTTACAAAATCAGTAACAATTAAAAATAATGTTGGAGAAGATTTAAAAATTACATAATGTGATGATTCAATGATTTACATAGATTGTTGTGTAAATACATTATCTATATCTCAATGTACTAATTGTTAAATCTTTGTTGGATCTGTAAGAATGATTACTAGTATAACTTCATGTGAGAAGATAACAGTTTGTGTAGCATCTAATTATATTAAAATTAGTAATTCAATAGATTCAACTATTCATTATTATGGTTCATATTCACCAATTTTATATGGTGATTGTAGATCTATTATACTTGCTCCTAATAATTCAAATACAGAGAAAACATTATAAAGATTAAGAGAAGCATAAATACCAATTAATAAATAATGTAGAGATAAATATTAGAAACCTTTAATTATAGGATAGAGTAAAATTGATTGGTCACTATTACCTATTGATGATTTCAGTAAATTCATATTACCAGAATCACATTTTGGATGCATAGATTCACCATTAATTTTAGAATGTAATTTTGATATTGATAAAATGAATAAAGAAATTACAGAAAAGAAAATTTTAACATAATAAATGAATTATGAAAAGTAACAAATTCTATTTTAAATAAGAGAATCGTTCTTCCACTTTTGGCTCCCCCTGAATACATTAAGGCTGTTTATGATAGATATTAACTATTTTCTAGCATTTAAGCATAGATCAAACAATCAAATCTAAAAGAAGAAAATTAGAAATTACTTTAAAATGCTATTTAAGGTAATTTCAGAGAATGGTTAGTATCTACAGGATCTATTAAAGGAATTAGTGATCTAGTTAAATTAATTGATTAAGAATAATGAAATATATAAAATATTATTTATTAAATGGGTGGTATTTATAAAAGAAAAGGAAATTCTGCAAAGAATAAGTTTCATCATCGTATTTTGAAAACTAAATCCTATTAAAGAGCTAATGATTAGATTCATGATGATATTAAACCTGAAAATATATAAAAATGGTAAAATTAACCAATTGATGAAACTTTACCTGGATTAGGCTAATATTATTGTGTCTCTTGTGCCAGGTACTTTGTTAATGAAGAATCCATTAAAAAACATTAAATTAGTAAATAAGTATGATTACTTAAAAGTATTATAGCATAAAAAATAAGATAAAAGAGCCAAAGAAAAACCATATACTCATATGGAAGCAGAATAAGCTGGAAAATGATTATAAAATTATTAATATCATTCATTTTTATTAGTTTTTACTTAAGAATAAGTAAATTTGTATTGGTTTTTCTACTATTCAGTCATCATCTATTAAGTAATATAATTTTAATTAATTCAAAAGAGATAATTCTTTAATCATTACAAAATATTAAATTACTTATAGTTTTATATGTATTTATTTATAAAGTATGAGTGATAAACACAATAATATTTTGTTAAGATTTATGGATTACACAATTAAATTATTGATTAGATAAAGGTTCTTAGATTAATACTAATCTTTAATAAAATAGCTTAACATCATCTTAATTATTTAGTAAGTATTTAGAGTTTTAAATTTAGACAATATAATGTATAATCTTTTGATTGTAATTAACAACAAATAAGATTGATAATTTAATGGACCATCAAAATGGTAATACTGATTTTCTATAATATATAAAAAATAATATGTTTTAATAGCTAAGGTGACGTACATCTTCAGTATAAATGAAAAAAGTAAAATAAAAGGAATGTAAAATAATAAATGAGATAACCACCTTTTGAGCATTGTTTAGATTGTCCAATCATTATTAAATTGATGGATGCCTGTCCTCTTTCACCTTTCTGGCAAATAGTATAAGAAGAAGGATTTAGTGGTTTGGCAGATACAACTCTACTATATGAATTATTTATGGTCATTATTTCTTTAGTGCCTTGGATTAGTGGATTGATATTAGGAATATTACTATTGAAAAGAAGAGACATGAGATCACTCATTCGTGCAGGAACTCATTTGTGTGCTCATATGTATAAAGTGATATTAACTCTATTATAGAACTTGTGATGTAGTCAAAGTTGTTTATTTTAGAGAAGATAGACCAGATGGTTCATGCTCTTTAAAGTATGGATTACCATCCTGTCATTCAATATTTGCAGGATTATATACAAGTTGGGTTTTGATTGAAATATTGGTTATTGGAATGAAATTAAAAACAAGACATATTATTGCTGTGATTTCTATGCTCATAGTCCCATATTCAAGAATTTACTTAATATATCATACATTAAAACAATGTATTTATGGTTGGACTATTGGATTTGTATTTGCTGTAATGGGTTTAACATTGCACCATTAATGTAAGAAAAGAAGAAAGAATAAATAAGTTAAAGTCAAACAATGAATTGTTTATTTTGTCATTAATTTCATTTCTATACCCTTTTTAATTATTGAAATCCTGCAGCTATTAAAGTTTAAGCTAATTTATAATCTGCATTTCTATTTTGTTCAAATTATGTTCGAACTTCTTAAATCCAATCATCTCTAACATGACTGGGTGATATTTTTATGTAAGCTCTATAAAGTTTCAATGCTTATGATTTCTAAATAAATTACTTTAGATTCATTATTTATAAAAATATATATATATATATATTAAACTTATATCTAAATCATAATAATGATTATTAACAATTTTATTAGTTCCATAATATACTAAAATATTATCAAAGTTTATTTATATTTCTAGTAGATAAATAGTTATAAAATAATCTATAATATATTTAGATCATTCAATAACTTATTTCTTTTCTTAGATTATAATAAATATTAGTTTAGATTAATATTCATAATATTGAAGTGTTTATTTCAGAGATATAAAAAGAAGAATGAATTATTAAATTATTTATGTTATCATATTATAGTACAGGACAGTTTCCTAAATCTTTAGATCCACCATCTCGTTTCAAGTAAAGATAAGCAAGCAAAGTATTTCATCTATCATTTAATCAAGGGAGATGGCGAATCTATGTATAAAAGAAACTTTGAAGATCCTTAGAAACATGATTTCAAACAAAGTGCTCATGCTTTGAATTAAGAGTTCCATCATAAACAATATCATAAAATTAATGCTGATTATAAGTATTTCTCTTAATCTAAATAAAAAAAGGGATCGTTTCTTTGATACTATGCACAATACTACAAAGCTATAAAAATAAGAAGATAAGTTATTTTATTAAAGTGCAGCAAGACAATAGAATCTAGAATAACCAAATCATTTACATAATTGGAAAATTGTAAAAGAGAGATAATATGCAGAGTATGTAACTGCAAATATTTAATAGACGAGTATAATAACAATCAAAATGTGACCAAGGGAAACTTGTAAGCAAAAATGAATATTAAGTTACTTAATAATAAAATACTGAATCTAAAACAAATACATTAGCTAGATCAAATATGTTTGAAATATCAAAACCTTTATTAAGAATTAATAATGATCTCAAAAGTTAATAATTGATTAAAAATGTTTAAATTGTATCAGATGATATTCCTGATTGGTGTTCTTCTACAAATAAATATTATACACCTGAACATATTGAATAAATTAAGAAACAAAGACAATAATAATTAGCTAAAGCTGATATTTTGGGTAATTTTATTAAAGAACCAAAAAAAGATCCTGAAAATAAAGTTTATTAAGACAATCCATTTGTTGGTTAAAGATATGTAATTGTTTAAATAAATTAAAGGAACCAAAACGTATGTGTGTATTTTATGAAAAACCAGATCATGTTAGAGGACAATAAAGTGCCACATAAGATTTAAGTAAATCTAAAGTGAATTTAACATGGAAAGAGAATGTTTAATCATAAAGATTTGAACCAAAATTACCAGAGAATATTGGAAAAACTGATTAACCTGTGATTAAATCACTTAATTAAAAAAGAGATCCTAATTTTCCAAAAGTAGAAAAAATTGGATAATCAGATGTGTATATATATATTTATTTATTTTTTAATAGTTATAAAAAAATAGAAAAGGATAAACCTATTTAATTAAAAATTGGACATGGTTCTCCTTCTACGTTGAATCCAGTCAAATATTGATTTATTTGTTAAATAATTTAATTATTTTAAATACAATACTATTTTATCTAAAATTAAAGATTTTTTATTTATATAATCAACAAAATTGCAATAATACTATTAAATTAGTAGTTTCTTGAGCCACTCTTTCATTTTCATGCATACTTAAATTATTTAATTAATCATATAATTAATTTGGAATCAATTTAAGTACTTCTGTTTAATAATGCATATCTTCTATTTACAATACGTTGGAGAGAGATTCTATAAGATATAATATTTATTCCACCTTAATATTCACTTAATCCAAAGCTTATTCAACCACTCCAAAGAATTTCTAATGATTATTATATATTGTATTACTATATAAGGATCAGGATTAAATTATAATTATTCTTAAAGTCTAAATTGGATATGCTTTTAACAATTTATTAGTTTATCTAAAACCTTTATTTTATAAAGAAATGCAAAGTTTGATTATGCATAAAAATCCACAAATTTATCTAAATATTCTAATAGACATTTTTAAACATATTTATTTAATATTTAATCTTCAATTAAACAATGTAAATTAGTATATGTTTTATAATAACAAGAAATCAATTTTAATAAATCTTTTCCTGCTTATTTTTCTAATTTAAAAGCCAAATTATAAAGAATTTCCATAATATTATTCTTACCAATTAGTGGAAATAACAATTCAGACATTTTTTTAATACAAATTCTAAGAGTCTGTTTAAAATATTAAAATTATTTACCTTAAAAATGACAATATACTCAAATTAAGAAAGGTCTTACTCTAGATAATCAACAATAATATCAGATATAGCATATATTTACTAAAAAAATGTAAATTCTTATTCACTTAAACAATTAGCTAAAAGAACTGAACCATAAATAATTTATAAATCTTTTGTTTAAATTGCTCTATTTAATATATCTTAAGTAATATTATATTAATCTAAAAATTTTAATTCTCTTTTTGATTACAAATATAAAGATAAAAATTCTGTAAGTGCCAATAAATAATCATCTGAAGGTAAATCAAATGCTTAATAAATAATTTATTCTAATAATAATTTTTCTTATTATATTATATCTAAAAGTTAACTTTCTTGTTCTATTAATATATTCAAAGTATTTAAAGCATCAACATGTAAGGATTTCCATTCTGTTGATTATAAAATTTTCATTAATTAAAAAAATAAGGCAAGATCAATTTTATCTTTCTCATCTGATAGGATTATTTTAACAATTTTTGGATTGACAATAATACAATTTTTCAATAATTACAACATTTTATCAAAATGTGATTGATGATTCAAAGGTTAAATGAGATAATATTTAATATCAATAATGAATTGAGACACTTCATAGTATGCTTCAAATAAATCTTTTGAATCAATCAGATTACAAAATTAATTCAATGTTTCTAATGTATCAGATTTTAAAAATTCTTATAAAGAATCTAAGATATTTAAATTAGATGGAAGTTTTGAATCACCTAATTTATGAATTCCTCTATTTTATCTAAAGAGACTTTCTAATTTATGTTTTCTAATGTCCATTCTAAATTTCTCTCTTTTCATTTGATTTATGCTTACACAATCATTAGTTATGATATTAATCTGAGGAATATCAGACATAAAAATATAATTTAAAATATTGCGGCAAATAATATAAAAATATTTAAATTTCATAAAGAAAATAAATTCTTCACTCTCTCAAATGTTTTTATTACAATAGATTCTCCATAAACTAAAGTTTTAATTTCTTAAAATAGATTTTCACATACCAAAGCATAGGTAATATTTTCATTAACAATATTATTCTATTTCAATAAATATAGAACATATCTTATTGCTCTATCAATTAATTTATTATTAGTTGGTCGAACAAATATCATAATATTACTTTGATATCTTTATATTCTACCCATTAATAAAGTTGAATGAATATTAATAAGACATTTAAGTACAATATTTTAACCTAAAACATCATTAATAGCATTAATCTTTTCAAAATGTATTTACTCTTATTTTGGTGACAGAAATTCCCATGACATCTCTAATTTGTCTTAATCATAAACAATTCTAAATTAATTATGATTTCCTCCAGCATATTTAATTCTTCTCTCTATTTAATCCTAACTAATATCATGAGATAGTACTATAAAATATTACAATCAAAAAATTTACATTTTTCTAAACCAACTTTATGTTAATATTTATGCCAATAATTTGATGACAATGCCCTTGGTTGTCTACCATATAGCAATTATTCCCAAGTTTCTAATGAATTATTATTATTTCCTTCAATAACATCCATAACAAAATAAGACCAGCTTGGATTTATTGGATTATCTAATATACTCTCAAAAGGATGTAAACTAAATGTTGGACATCTTAAATTTATTAGATTATTATGAACCTTTCAGTTGTATCAGTTAAAATGTTAATAGCAATATTTGGTTTAGATCTATAGAATACATATTCTTTCCTCATATAGCAGTCTGCTTCTAATTCTATGAATTTTGCAATAAATTGATAAGCATCAATAGATTCATAATATTGTCTAACATTTTTGATTGAATTTGTAGCATAATCAATAAAGTTTTCTTTACATAATATGGCTAATCCTATGGCATAAGTTAAAACAGTAGAACATTGCATTCTAGTACTTCCAGTTATAGCTTAGTGACCAACAGTGAGATTTATTTTATTAATGTTTTGATTATTAAATACTTCTTAACTTCTTTAGACTGTCAATACTTCATCTGGATTACAATATAAGAAAAATGGTTTGCCAATTTTACTAGCTTCCTAAGCAGCTCCTATTACCCATGGAGTTTCTCCTCCTTCTGTTGATGATATTAATAAATCTCCTTCTTTAAAACCTAATTCATTTAATTACTAAGCTCCAAATTCTGGATGATCTTCAAAATCTTCTACTGATGCTATAATAGCAACATCTCCTCCTGCCATAAAAGATATTACATTAGTTTGTTTTGTAATTTATCTATAAAGAGTTTCCAATGTTAATGCTAATCTTCCTGTAGATCCACATCCACATATAAACACTCTATTACCTTTAGACCATGTTTCCAAAACCATCTTATTCATATGTTCCAATTAATCCAATTTATTCATCAATACATCAAAAACATACATATCTAAGTCTTTCATTCTTTATATTCCAGTTTTTAAATCATTTTTAGCAAATTCTGATAAACCTACAGTATTGGGATGAGCTTATTCAGTTATTAAACCTCCTAAACTAAATTATGCACTAATTTCTAAGAAATCCTTATAATTCATAAATTTTATTAATTTTAAATCACAATGAATATTTTTTGAAATTATCATAACTAACTCCTTTAGGATCACCTTATGACATTCTATTATATATAGCTAACATATCTGCTTCAGTTAAATGACTATCTTTATAATTTTTCATTAAAAATATAAATTCTAACATATACATTAAATTATATTACCTTATTAATCTAAAAATCCATCTTTATCAGCATCATGTCTTTTAAATATCTTTTATAGAAATCTATCTGTAGTTTCTTCATTTATATATTTTTCAACAGAATTCATAGCATTACAAAATGATTCTTCATTTATCTCATCCTTATAACAATGGCTTTTAAATGATTAAGTTATCAAATTTTTGAAATTCTGTTTTGCTTCTCCATTTTAATCATTTGGATAGAATAAAGAACTAACCATTTCTGCAATTAAATCAATTTTAATTCCCAATGAATCCTACTATTGGAACTCGAATGCTAGTATTCTATAAATTTCCTTATTTGACATAGTCTTAGTTTTATGAGGTTTCTATTTATTTTACTTACTATCCATAAATTTATATTAAATATATTATAAACAGTTTTAAATATTAATGTATACTTTTTAACACATTATACATATTAAAGTCTAATAAAATCAAAAGATTAGTACTTTAAAGGATCCATTGAAGATGTTCTTATTTTCTAATTATTATCAAGAATCCATAAATTTGAATATACTATTTAAATATTTCATTAAATAAATATATATTTTATTATAAATTCAATTACTTTGTTAATATTATATTAGGTATTGATTTATCTTCATACTTTAAGTTTATAAAGTTTAATATTTTTTTACCAAGTTAAAACTGCTATAATAGCTTCATAACTATCCTTTATTTATTAAATATCTGCTGAGATTAAATTTTCTGCAGGTAATTTAATAGTAAGATCTTGATTTTTAATAATTCTATCTAAATTATATGATTCTATTAAACAAAATTGTTTATCATGTTATGGGACTATAATAAATCATTTAAAATTATACATGCTAAAATTAGATTCAAATCTTATATATATTAAAGCCTCTAAAATCTTTGTCCTAAAGAAGAAGAATTTTTATAGAAATCATCCTCTACTACTTTAAGTTCTTGATTTATAATTTAACATAGTTTAATTGAATCTTTAAATCCTGCAACTATATTATATTAGGATAATTAATCAATTTCAGAATTAAAAATGATTTTAGTTTAATCATTTAATTAAATCCAAGAAATACACCAAACCCATTCTGAAAAGATAATTGAATATAATTGTGTTCCATTTTCTACTAAATATATTCTTAAACCTCCATCAATACTTCCAGAAGCTAAGAATTAACAGCAAGGGGAAAATGAAACACATGGTATATTGTGTTTATGGTTTTAAATACTCTAACGAAATATTTTAAATATATTATACATATCTAATTGGAAATTCAATATCTGTTCTCATTAAATCTTACTTATTGAATTTGACTCTGATTTCACGATCATCCCAATATTTATGATCAGGTTTATCAAAATTGAGTAGTTTTCTAGACCACAATGAGATAATATGAGAATTTGAACCTACAGCCAAATATTAATGGCATATATCTATGCTCCAAATGGAACAATCTTAAATTTTCTGTAATTAAAATAATATGTTACTTCATAGAGACCTTACAATTTAATTGGTTTGATTAAAATATTATCTAGATCATAAATATATATGTATGAATTCATAGTAATGGCAAATAGGAGATGATCATATTATTTTATTTAATTGATCATATCATTTTACTCAATAAATATAGGTTTTAGTTATTTTAATTTTAGTCCTGTGATTGAAAAAAATAGTAAATTATTTGTGCATCCAAGAACAAGTAATTATCTTTTAAGATCTAATATTAAAGTGTTCATTCTCCATGCATCAATATCAAGATCTTAGAATTATTTAGATTTCACTAATTCAATATTATAACCTTCCATAATTTATATATTTAATGTATAAAATTTCAATTTTGAGTGTTACCTTCCCTAACAATAAAAATAAGTAAGATATATACTGCAAATTATCTGAAGGTGATTAAGTATATCAAACAAAGGTTGATATGGATACTATTACTATTGCTAAATGGGATTAGAATTTTAATGTTAAATAAACATAATCAGAAATCACATTTTCAATACATCTTTGGAAAGGAGAGAACAAAGATTAATTAATTACTGAAATTAAGACTAAATGGGAATAATTGTTGACTATGTTAAATACAACTTAAACCTTAAAATTTAATATATGTGAAATGAGTCTAATGATTGAAGAAGTTACAATTCCTTCAAATGAAGCTTAAATTAAATAATTTTAAAAGTATCTCTCTGATACTGGTTTAGAACAATCATTTAAATTAATCTTTGCTGAAATTCTAAGCAAAAAAATTGATCGATCAGAAGTATTTACATATACAGCTTTACGTTTAAGATAGATTGGAGAAGATCTTAAAATGTTTCTTACTAATGTAATATTATAATTTGTAATTTAGAATCATAAAATGAGTTAGTTACTTAATAATATAAGTGAGGTTTAATAAGATGATGAACCAGATCAATTTTTAGAAAGTTAAGATTAATGATATAATTTTAAATTAAATTAAAAATATGTAACAAGAGAGCATATACAATTTAATACCAAAAGAATATGTTCCTCCACCTAAAGAACCTATGTATAGATCTGCATATCCTTCAAATCTTGTTCCTACTGCTAGCACTTTTAATAATCACACAACAAGCAGACCAAAAGTACTTATATATATATTATCTTTTAAGATTAACAATATAAATGGAGATTATGAATTAGTAAAAGGTCCTCATTCTCACAAAGGACAATCTAACTCTTTAGGTAGACCCAAAGGTAAAATCAAATAAATGATGAGATAGGTTCATATAAACCTGATACAACTATGTTCAGATTAAAGAACACTGGAACCATGGGATCAAATTAATTACCTGACAGTATTATAGCATTATTTAAATTTAGTTCAATCTTATAAATATCCTCCTTCGATTAAACCATAAGTACCAAAAAAAGATGAGAAACCAATACATGGCTTAAAATCAAATAAAAACTTTATAATTACGAATGCTGTTGAAAATATCTTATCAGCACCCAAATAAATTGTTGAAGATGTTCCTTGGACATAAAAAAATGATTATGGAAAAGTTCCAGATTATTTAACAAAAATTAAATAAAGCATAGCAAGTGAATATCAAATCATTAGAAACATGCATATAAGTGAGGCAGAAGAAATGGATAAACAAAAATATCTTTTATCTTAGGAAGAAGTATAATAATTAAAAGAAGGACTTAAAAAGAAATGGGAGTCAGTCAATAAAGAGTATTAATCAATTACTCATATCAGAATGATTGATACTGTTGGTTTGAAAAGAAAGTAAATCTAATTATGACTATTACAAGGAAAGAGTAATGTGAAAAAGAATTAGCCTAATTAGAAAAAGATATTGAAAAATTAAACAAAAATTATGTATTTGTTGATACATAAAAATGATTCCATTTAAAATATCAATAAATAATTTTATAATATTTTCCAAATTATTATTTCTGTCCATATCTACTTATTTAAAAATATTTTAGGGAAACTAAATTTATAGTATAAATAAATTAAACAAATAAAATTAACTAAAAATTGTTTTAATTCATTCAAAAATCCAATTAGAAATATTTACTCTATTTTTTAATTCCTTAGGAGTTAATAAATAAGAGTAATCTTGAAATGAAAGAAACTATTAAATTTAAACAAAAAGATTTACACTAATTTCAGTATGAATCATTATCTGAAATTACATCAAATTTATCAACAAAAAAAGTAGTAGTTGATATATTTAGCAAATAAAAATAAGAACAAAAACCTTTATAAATAAGGATTACTTTTTAAAAATAACTAAAGTAAATAATTAACAATTTACAAAATATCAATAAGAAAAGACAAATAAAAATGTTATTTTCTAATTTATAAAACTATTAATAAACAAGACAATAAAAATATAATAATGCTATACATTAATATAAATAATCATTGATTAGTATATTAATGTTTATCTGCATGGATTGATAATTTAATGTTTTATTAAAGATTAGAATATATTATATACTTCTCCAGATAAATCATTTCAATAATTTTCCATAAACATTTAAGTTGATTTAGTGTTGATTTTGATTACTACTATTGTAATACTATTTTTAAAAGATTTCATTAAATTAATTGAACAAGTATATATAAATAATTTCTGTAAATGCAAGATTATAAGATTATCTGGTGTTAATAGTTAGAAGATGAGAAAATGATGAAACATGATTCTTATAGTTTTTTTTAATTAGAAAAAACAAACGTTTTATTAATTTTAATAAATTTAGAAATATCAATTCTTATTATTAACAAGATAGTATGGGCATATGTTAAAAGAAAAGTTAAACAGATAATTCATAAAAACAAACTGGATATGAGTCAGAATAGGTTGTAGTTTTTACAAGCATTATGAGCCACATTTAATATTTTGATTAAATAGATTTAGAACTTCTTAAATATCCAGATATATCGCTATTACTAAGAAAACATATCAAAAACTATAAATTCATTGAGGAAGGAAAGACTTGGGTTGTGGTTAAGGAAATTTAAAGTTTTTTGAATAGTAAAATGCCAATATTGATAAGAAGTTTGAATCCTTAAACAGATGCTGCCTTATAATTAATATAGATTTTTGAGAAATTGTTGTTTCTAACACAAAAAGTACTAGAATGTTCAATAACATTTAATGAAGCAAAGGTTGAATTATTTTAATCATTCCAAAATTAGTTAGTTTAAGTAAAGAAAATGATAATATTAGACTTCTATAGAATGCCTTATTATTGTAAATACTTTAATTTAAAAGAAATTATAATGGTGGAATGAGGAATATTTTAAATGGAGGCAGAATCATTTAATTTCAACGTTTTTGATCAAAAATATCGATAAAAGTAATAAGGAGATAATAGGACCAATATACGACTTTATTTAATTTTTGATAGAATGTATAAAATATTTAGGAGATCTTGAGGTATCTAAAGGCCTTTAAGAAACAGATCTCAAAGCTGAATAGATATTTTTAGATTAATTTTATAATTAAATGAGGGTAGGTTTGATTCAGAATTCATTTTTTTCTGAGAGTATATCAAATGAAGTATTTCCAGATCAAATTTAGGTCGATTAGAATGTTAGAACATATGCCTTATTAATTAATAAAAAATGATTTACTTTTTTATCATTTATATAAATCATAATAACTTCTTTTTAAATTTAAGCAAGATGAAGAATATTGGAATCGATCTTTTTGTTGGAATAGTTTCCAGTATATCATTTTTTAAAGTTTAGGTTGTGTAAATACAATGGTTGGTTACCCAATGGATTTTATTAAAACTAGAATGCAACTATAACAGACTAAATAGAGTACAATGTAATCAATAATAAAAATAATTTAAATGGAGGGCATCAAAGCATTGTATAGAGGTAGTATATTAAAAGGATGATATGAAAATAGGGGTATCTATTTAACTATTGAACAGTGTATTTGCAGGATCAATTTATTTCACTACTTATGAGTAAATTAGAAGATAATTTGAAAAATACGATAATTTGCCTAGAAATAGTTATTTACCATTATATTAAACATTTCTAGCAGGTTCAACAGCTGTAAGTAATAAATATGAATATAGGGTATATGTAGTGATTTATTTGCTATTCCATTTGAATATACAAAAATTTAATCTTAAAAACAGGAAATTCTAAAAGGGTAAAAAGTGAGAGGTCCATTGTTTATTTTATTTGAAACAATTAGAAAATAAGGAATTAAATAAATATATAAGTATATAATCTTTATATAATTTTCAGGGGATCTTTATTGTAAATAATAAGGGATTTTGTTGGATGTGGTTCATTTTTTTTAGCTCATTCAGAAACTTTACATTTCTTTACACCTGAAGGTAAATCAAGAAATGAAGCATCTTAGACTGGAATATTTGTAGCTAGCATTGCAGCAGGATTTGGATATTGGGTTATCAGTTATCCATTAGATATCATAAAAACAAGATATTAAGTTGACAATTAGAAGTATTAGTTTAATTAAATTAGTGTTTTAAATATAGGAAAATAAATTTATTTATAAGGAGGAATCTTATAATTCTACAAAGGATTTAAAATAACTGTTCTTAGAAGTGTATTTGTCAATATATTTTAATTATATACCTATGAAAATTTAAGAAGAGCTTGTCATAAATATGCTTGAAATGTTGTATATATATTACATTAATTACATCCATTACTACTTTAATATAAATACATATTGTATAATTTTGTTCATTTTAATAATATCTAACTATTTAATCACCACTCACAATGAAATATTTATTCATATTTATCCCAAGTGTTCTATAGTATTATTTATTCCTAATTTCTTTTATAGTAAATATGACATTCCTCATTTTTACAAATTACTTAATCAAATTAACTTTATTAACATTATTGGCAGATCATATGGTATTTCTAAAAACGATTTTGAGAATTAATTAATTGCTAAAATAATATAATTTATATTATACATGTGATATCTTAAATAGTATTTCAGATTATTAAGATCTGCAATTAAAACATATTGGTTTATTTATTGGAACTTCATCTTTGCAATTTATACACATAATTCTCTTTTTTAAATATTTATTTAAAGCCTTTTTAGAACTATTATTTTCTATAATATTATAAAGAACTTTTTTAGGAGTTGATGAATATTAAGATAAATTAAATAAAGCTTCTGGATTAGGGATTATATGTTCTAAAATGTGAATTATGGGTATTTTAATTTAATTAATGTAGTACTACATATTTAATTTATAATTATTTTTGAATGCTTCTAACGGATCTTAGGCATTATCTGATAATTATTATCCATGTATATTTTCTACAATTACATAAGATATTCTATCACCTTTTTAATATGTATTAATTTATTTATTTTTGACCTTGTCTTATGCAACTTTTATATGTGGTTATTTTCTAAAATCACTAATATCATGATATTTATCTGGATATGAATGATATTCTTCATCTTTATTTATTAAATCCTCATCAACAAAATCATTATCTTTAATTTTTATTGCTAGTGATTTTGATATTATTAAATTTGAAATATTAACTTCTCCATTTAATAGTTCTTAAATCTTTTCTTTTACTATTTTAATTGCTCTTTTATTATTTTATTCAATTAATATTTCATGTAAAACCTAATTCAAAATATCTTTTAAGAATTATGTGTTGTCTCTCCTTACTGTACAGATTCCTTTTTACTCAATCTAATCAGTTACAAATTCATTCTTCCAAGGTAAACCAACATAACGTTTTTTACATACCAACAAAAATGGATTGTAAATTTTTTCAAATGCTAATCTAATTGGCTTTGGAAAAGTACTGGTTACTATATTTGATGCCTCATTTGCAATATTAAATACATCCTTTAAATTTGAAATTTTAAAATTTATTAATAATGAATCTGTATCTCCATATAAAATTTCAGCATTTGGATAATTGTTATTGATAACAGATATTGCATTTTATAAAATTGCTCTTCCTACTCTAAGTATAGATTAAGTAATTTCTAAACATGGTAGATATCCATGCTCAGCACAGCCAGTAAATCCAAAGATTGAATTTGCTGCTATTTTTAAAGCTTATTATCTAGCATCTAATAGATTTTTCTTTTACTTATCTTCTTCCTACTTTAATTCTTATTTTGTTTATGCTCTCTTTTCTAGTAAACTCTCTAAAATTTTTGGTAAAATTCCCTTTTTTATATGCTATTTAACAAATTTATGTCCAAATTCTGGAATTATATGATAATCATTTTCATTTAATTTGATAGAATAATCTTTGACTATAGTTGTGTAACACATGTTATATGCTATGATTATACTTGGATACAAAGATACAAAATCAAAAAGAGCTAATGGTATTTTATAAAATCCTTTTTTAGGTTCTAAAATTAAAGCTCCTTTTAAATTAGAAGTATCTGACTTTTTAAGATGATTTTCATCAGGAACTAAGTAACCATCTTTTTTACTCTATCTAAGAAGTTATGACAAAACTTTAATTGATTGTCCTCTCTATATTATGTATTCAATTGGTACTCCAGTAACTTTTGAAATTTCTGCATAAGTTTAAATCCATCCTTTATAAAGTAATATTTCTAAACAAGCTTCTGATTTTCTTAAACTATATGTAGATATTCTTTTGATATTATTTTATTCAAATAATTGGATGATAGTTTCTTAATCATAAATTTCTATTTATTGATTAAAAATTGAATAATAAATACTTCCAAGTGAATANCTTTTAAGAATTATGTGTTGTCTCTCCTTACTGTACAGATTCCTTTTTACTCAATCTAATCAGTTACAAATTCATTCTTCCAAGGTAAACCAACATAACGTTTTTTACATACCAACAAAAATGGATTGTAAATTTTTTCAAATGCTAATCTAATTGGCTTTGGAAAAGTACTGGTTACTATATTTGATGCCTCATTTGCAATATTAAATACATCCTTTAAATTTGAAATTTTAAAATTTATTAATAATGAATCTGTATCTCCATATAAAATTTCAGCATTTGGATAATTGTTATTGATAACAGATATTGCATTTTATAAAATTGCTCTTCCTACTCTAAGTATAGATTAAGTAATTTCTAAACATGGTAGATATCCATGCTCAGCACAGCCAGTAAATCCAAAGATTGAATTTGCTGCTATTTTTAAAGCTTATTATCTAGCATCTAATAGATTTTTCTTTTACTTATCTTCTTCCTACTTTAATTCTTATTTTGTTTATGCTCTCTTTTCTAGTAAACTCTCTAAAATTTTTGGTAAAATTCCCTTTTTTATATGCTATTTAACAAATTTATGTCCAAATTCTGGAATTATATGATAATCATTTTCATTTAATTTGATAGAATAATCTTTGACTATAGTTGTGTAACACATGTTATATGCTATGATTATACTTGGATACAAAGATACAAAATCAAAAAGAGCTAATGGTATTTTATAAAATCCTTTTTTAGGTTCTAAAATTAAAGCTCCTTTTAAATTAGAAGTATCTGACTTTTTAAGATGATTTTCATCAGGAACTAAGTAACCATCTTTTTTACTCTATCTAAGAAGTTATGACAAAACTTTAATTGATTGTCCTCTCTATATTATGTATTCAATTGGTACTCCAGTAACTTTTGAAATTTCTGCATAAGTTTAAATCCATCCTTTATAAAGTAATATTTCTAAACAAGCTTCTGATTTTCTTAAACTATATGTAGATATTCTTTTGATATTATTTTATTCAAATAATTGGATGATAGTTTCTTAATCATAAATTTCTATTTATTGATTAAAAATTGAATAATAAATACTTCCAAGTGAATACTACGATATTTTTGAATCTCTTAACATACAAATTAAAGTATCCAATTAAATTCGACCATTTGTTTCTACGAATTTGGTTTCTCTCATTCTCATTACAGTACTAAAAAATCTGCCATTTGAAATTAAACTTTCTTCATTTTTTGATCTGCCATAATTCAAATATTGACAATTAAGTCCTAAATTTCTTGATCTTTGAATAATTAAAGGCAATAATTCATCATGTAGATTGTATCCTGTAATGACATCAGGATCAAAAGATAGAAAAAATTAATTAAACTATTTTAATAAATCTATTTCATTTTGCGATTAAAAAATTATTGAATTAGTTATTTCTTAGCATGATTTTTAAGTAAATACAATTCGTCTTTCATTTTCTGGATTTATTTAAATTATACAAGTAATAACGATTATTTCTTTAGAAGATTCAAGTATTATATTTAATTTAGATATAGTTTAAATATCAAGACTTATTATTCTTAAGTTTGGAATATGTTATTAATCTTCAAGATGACTAATATCTTCGGCTTTTACTATATAACTTTTTGAACAATTGCTCTCTCCATCTTCTTTGAGATTTTAAGCCATTGCCCATCCCATACCCCTTAAATTAAAGTCAATCATAAATTTTAATGGATAAGTTATTTTACTTTCATAAGTTTACTTAGAAAACTAAAATCCATTTACATTTAAGCCTTTTTCTAAAAGTTAAGCCACTTTTTTCATAGAGCTTACATTTTAAAAACTTAACTTTAAAAAAGGTTCTTTTTAGTAATTTTAACCCTTAAAATTTCTAATAATTTCACTATCAATAACATTAATTTATCTGATTGGTTAAATTTCAGTGGTAATTCCATTTTTATAAAGATGATTATTAAATTAAAGTAAAAAATAATCAATATCTCTTTCATCTCTCACTAATTTTAAAGGAAAAGGGATATAGAAATAAGGAAAATAGTCTATTATCTTAATTTCTAAAGATTATTGTTGATCTGTTAAACCAAATATTCTAATTTAATTTGTATTCAATTTATAATCGCAGTCTAGAATTATAAAAGTTAATTTATCTAATTCCTATATGGGTATTCTTTTATATTAATTTATCATAGATGAAAAGTGTGTATTTTGAGAAGTCTATATATTCTGATTCAATTTAGAAATTTTAGGTTAAAATATTCCTTGTTTATAAATAGTTTCATTATAATCAACAGTTTTATGAATATCATCTTTGTATTCGTTCATTGTAAATATTAATATTATTTTCTATTTCTTTAATTGCAATTTCCGATTATAAGTTAAAATCTTAAATGAATTAAAATATATTTTTAGAGCCAAATTCAAATAATGAATTAGTTGAATATATTTTTAATATTATTGATAAAATATTTTATAAATATAGGATAATATGTATACAAAAGACATTGAATATAAATATAATTACTTTAGTTTAGATGTCATTTATAAATATTAATTTTATTTAATAAGTTTTATAAATGATAAATCCTTAAGAATAACTTGATATTAGTACATTAACTATTAAATTTAGTCATTAAAAAGATTAAGTCATATTTAAATGCAAAATCTTAAACTACAATAAGAACTTTAGGAAAAACATTTAGAGGTTTTGAATCTTTTGATCATAAATGCAGAATTGATAAAGATGAATTTCTGATTGGATTAAAATAAAATGGTGTTATACTAACAAAATTTTAAACAGATGTAAATATTCATATAACTTTAGTTTCTATTAAATTATCTTGATAGAAACAGAGATGGCTCAATTGATGTTGCTGAATTTCTTTATTTAATTAGAGTAATAATAATTTTATAATTATATAGGGATCACCAAATGAAAATAGATTAGAGGTTATTGTTTAAGCATTCAAAAAGTTTGATAAAGATAATTTAGGATTTATAGTTGCAGATGATTTCAAAGGAATATTTAATGCTAAAAATCATCCTAAAGTAACAAGAGGAGAACTTACTGAAGATTAAGCTTATATAGAGTTTTTACAATATTTCAAAAAAGGCAATCAATCAGGCCATATTACATTGAATGTAAAATTATAATAATACTTAAAATTTTAGGAATGGAAAGAATACTATGCTGCAGTTAGTGCTGATATTGAATCAGATGAAAACTTTATAGCTTTAATAAAAGAAACCTGGAGACTAAAATGAATGAAATTTAATAAATAAGTATCATAATTACATCATGATTCTCAAGATTCAGATTCATATTCATTATTTTAATAAATTTCCTCTTTTTCTTGTTAATTTTCATTTTATTATTCATTATTATTCTAGATACTATTATTTTTCTTTTCACTATCTTTTTCCTTATCATTTTATTCTTCTATTTAATTTTCATTTCCATTTTATTTTTCTTATGATATTTTCATATCTTTTTATTCATTTTCTGATTCTGAACTTGATTTATTTTCTAACTTTTCTAATCTTCTTAATCTTTCATGAGATCTTGACCTTGAACGAGATGATCTAATTAATTAAAACTAAAATTACTTCTTAAATGTTTTTTTTGATTTCACAACAATTTATAATATTAATGGTTTTATTAATGCAGGATTTATGTCATCTGATCCTATTTTATTATTATTTCTTATGGGATATACTATCATATGTACCCATCCATTTTAAAAGTGAGATGTAACTTCATTGATTTAGAGTTTCTCAACATCTGCTAATCCATCATCTAACCAAATATTATCTTCAGGCAATCTTAATATCACTTGATTTTATGAATTTAGTTATAATAACATTGGTTTATCATCTGATGAATATAATTGTATCTCTAATTCTATCTTATTTTTATTTTTAATATTTTATCCTTTCATATCCTTAAGAGCAATTTCAAGATTAAAGTTCTTGTCTTTAAATAAAACAGTATCTAAGTCATTAATCAATACCAATTAATATTAAAATTCATTTAAATTATAAGATAAAGACTTTAATAAGATATTATTATGTGTCATTTCTTGATGAGGTATAGATACTAATAAAATAAAATTATAAATGATTACATCTACTAACAAATTCTTCTGTCTATCCATTATCAAATTTCTATTCAACAATTCTTTGTAGATTTGTTATTTCATCTAATATTTGTGTTATAACACTTTCCAAATTGGCATTTTTATTCTTAAAGTCTAATAACATCTAATTTTATTAAACAAACATATTCAAAATTTTTAATTAAAACTCATTTACAACTTATGAAAAACCTAAAATATTATGATTCATTTACCTTATTCTAAATTGTTTTATTAAGTCATACTATTATTATTATTATTATTTGTATTTGAATTTCCTTAATTCTGATTTTAAGGTGCCTATTATTGTTGTTATTAAACTTGCTATTATTATTATTATTATTATTATTATTATTGCAAAGGTTATTATTATGAATGTGATTATTATTATTATTATTGCTATTATTATTATTATATCATTTGATTCTATCCTATTTACTATTATAATTGTGGTTATTGTTTAAATGGAAAATCAAAATTTGGCATCTATCCCATAGGTCCTTGAGGAATAGGTCCCATACCAGGTAATTACATTGGTCCTGGACCCATTGGTCCCATAGGGCCCATTGGACCCATGGCACTCATTGGACCCATGGGACCCATAGGACCTGGACCCATAGCTCCAGGAGGTAATTGACCTGGTCCCATAGGAGGCATTCCAAATCCAATAGGCATTGGAGGCATATTTGGTAAACCTTATGGCATACCATTTAAATTCATTCCACCTTGATTAGGTTGAAGTGAATTCATTTAAAGAGCTTGGTCATGCATAAATTAATCTGGAAATGGATATTTTTAATTTGGAGGGGGTGGCATCATTTATTATGGAAAAGGTGGAGTCCAACATTAATAATATTGAGGATTTGGCACAGGTAACATTCGTCCATATGGGTCTGGATTACCCATTTATTAGAACATTTAGTATAGTCTCTACTAATCATCATTTGGATTCATTGATTTGTTAAATAAATTATTATGAAATAATAGCACATTTAACTCCCTAATTTATCAAAGTTACAAAATCTTTCATCAAGTGATAGAAGTCCTAGAACTGCAAATACACCTACAAGAAAAGCAAGTGAAGTCTTAGTTAAATTTAACTTCCATCTCAATCCTTCTTTGCATAAAAAAAAATAAATAAAAAATACCACTAATAATGAATTTTAAACAAAAAAGATAAGCAAGGTTACAAGAAATATAATGGAACTTGTAATATATTATAAATATATATTTTAAAGAGGAGAAGGAAAAAAATGAAATGTGATTCATTATAAATAAAGCCTAGAATTCAAGCATGTAAAACAAACAAAGGTGGAACAATATCAGTACTAAAAAATAATGAATAATGCAGATCATACTTACATAAAAAATATAAAGATTAAATTTATACTGGAGCCTCAGAATTTAGTGATAAGAGTAAAGATAAATTGAGATTGCAGATGGTTAAATGGTTGATAGATAATAAAAAAGAAGTTGTTTGTGCTTTAAATGAAAATAAATAAAATATTTTAGAATGGGTTTAATGTGTTGAAAAAGTAGATAGAGATGAGTTTGACATCATACTTCATGGAATATAGTTATACAAAGATCCCAACCTAATAAATCGTTTATTTTGGTATCAAATAGCAATTATATTATTTAGGGTATTTGATTTAAATGATGATGGATATATTGAATTTAATGAAATACAATATTCAATAAATTTATTTAGGGAATATGATTAATAAGATAAGATTTAGATATTTTTTGAACTTTGCGATGAAAATGATGATGGCTATATAAATGAGGAAGACATCAAAAAATTTTTTTCTAAGAATCTTTCCAATTAAGAAGAACTTAGATAAATGAAATTTTTAATGAAGGATTTTTATTAAGAACTCAATCCTCATTATTTGAAAGGATTAAATGCAGATGATTTATATTAGGCCACTTTAAGTGATTAAAATATAAGAATAATAGTTGAAAAAAACACTTTGATTCTTAAATCAAATAACAAAAAAGAAGATGATATAGGTTCAAGTCTTAATAATCTCATTTATTCAGGATAATAGTAAAAAATATACTTATATTTTTAGTGAAGGGAAACAAGGAATATTTTTCCCTTAGATTGAGGGTTTAATTGATGCATTAATTGAGAAGGATAGAATTATGATGTAATATAAATAAATTAAATTGGATTTTGATTAGATTGAAGATAATTCTGATTGATTTAATATTTTATATAAATAAATTTCAAATTTGAAAAAAATGGCAGGTAAAATATAAATCTAAGTCTTTAGATCAAATGGAAGAAAGAGCTTAGAGAATTTTTGGAAAACTATAATCAATATAGAATAATGTTGAAGGGGAGAAATAATAAAAATTCAAATTAATATTGGGTTATTTGTAGAGTGTTGAATCTGCAATAGAAGATGTTTAATAATAAAAGAATTAAAAGTTTTTAGATATAGCAGAAAAAGTATTAATTTATTTGAATCAAGTTATAAAGATTGAAATCAATGTTAGATACAGAAAAAGAAGCTCGAGATTAAATTAATGAAAAAATGAAAAAAGAAATATTATCAGTTGAAAAGAATTGTAAAACACTTTTGAATAGTTTCAGCAAAGAAAGATTGGAAACTGAGAAGAGAGTGTTTTAAAATCTTTCTTAATAAGTTGATTAATTATCAACCGAAATTTAAAAAGAATTTCATTAAAAGTCAGAAACCTAAAATAAATTATTAGAAATCTAAAATGGTATTAATTTAAAATAATAAAAAAGATTAAATTCCTTAATTCTACTAAGAAATAGAATAAGAGATAAGAATTAGAGAAGAAATTGAAGAAAAAATTGCTTAATAATTTAATGAATAATTGGATGAACTTAAAAGAATATTTGATAGTCAATAAAAATAAAGAGAATAAAGAGAAGAAGAAATCATTGGAATTTTAAAGAAGATATATTAGAATGCCTATGATGCATGCAAAAGAAATAGAGCTGACAGAGAAAGAAATGAAGAATTATTAGTTAAATTAGTTGAATAAGTAGTTGAAAAAATTAAAAGAGAGATAGTTGATTCTGATTTTTGAAAAACAATATTATTATTATTATATAATTTTTAATCTAATTAGGTATTTAAAACTTTTTTAAGTTGATTCTATAATATAAATATTCAAATTTAAACATGCACCAATATCAAAGTAATGTCATCTCTACCACTATCTTGTTGATCCCATTTTTATTAGGTTTCCCCTAAAAGTTTTTATACTACCAAATCTATATCTAATTGAGTAAAAGGAGGATCAAGTTAATCTAATATCTTTTAGATATTTTCAAAATCCATTTTATCCCACAACCCATCACTTGCTAATAAAATAAATCCGTTATTTTATATTTTATATCTTAAAATTTCAGGATCAGCAATAACTCCTACTGATTTTGCTGCTATATCACCAAATGATCTTGACATTGCCAAACCTGGTATATCTTCATTAGCCAGCCAAACTCTAAATGCACCTTATCTTTTTCCATCAATTAAACTTTATTCAACTCTTCCTCCAAATCTTATAATTCTTTTATATTCAAAAGTCTTATTAGGTTTATGATCATAAGATAATGGTCTATTGTACCATAGATCTTAAGATTTATAAAAATAAACAGCCCTTGAGTCTCCAACATTTGCACAATAAATTCTTTATCCAATCAACAAAATAACAACTCCAGTAGAACCACTAAAATTACATGCAATAGTTGTTTTATCTACCTAAATTATATTAAATTATTACTAAATCGTTTTCAACTTGTTAAAAAGCAATTTACAATGATTATGAAAAATAATTAGGATTATTGATATTATTTTGTACAAGCTAATTTTCTATGGCTTTTAGCAACTGTCTTGATACAAATTATGATACTAAATGTCCACTTTATCCATGTCCATCAAATATACCAAATAGATGCCAATCATTTTAATTACATAGATTTTTTTTAATTGAAAGACTATCTTAGTTTATTTTCATTTTCTTTTTATGATTTTAACCTGGAAGTGTTCTACTGTTTTTCAATATCATACTTTGATGTTATTTAAATTAAACATTCTTCTTCATATTAAATTTCAGTTTAAATTCTCTTCATATGTTATTTTTAGATTGGAGGCAATTTATCAACAATACTCAACATAGATTAATGATTTATTTTCTTTAATGTTTATTTCTAATTGATAGTACTAATAGAACGAGGAATTTTAATTTATCTTATAATGTCTAATTTTTAATTCATATATTTTAATAATATCATTAAAATGGTCCAACTCTTTATCCTTATAATTACATCTATGTACTTCTTACATTAAAAACTCCTTCAATTATTGTTTATTGAGATTCACCTATTACTTATTTTTCACCTAAATCAATATTGAAATTCTTAACAAATAATGGATTTGGATTTGATAAAACATCATCATTACAAGATAATCCATCCAAATATTATTTGAGTAAAGATTATAATTAATTACTTTCATTTTATAATGCCTCTTTTTATTTTTAGATTGCTAAAATATCTAATAAAACCTAATATATAATATAATTTTAAATACTTTATTGTATCTTTTATAGAAATTATTTAGATATGCAAATTCTTCATATTATTCTTTTTCAATAGCTTCAAAGTCATTTTTCAAATTCTCTGGAATCTAATCTAAATCAACTGTATCCTCATAAAAAGGCAATACCTTTTCTCTTTCTGTTTCCAATCTTCTACATAATTCAGCTGTTTTAAGTATCTTTTCTCCTAATTCCTTATATTCAGTTAATTTTAAAACAGAATTTCTACTATTGTTAACTAATTCTTTTAATAATCTCTATTATTCTTCTCTAAATTTATTCATTTTTTATTTCAAATCCTAATAATTCTTAGCAATATTCTCCTTTTCTTTTTTTAAAGCTTAATTTCTTGCATTACATTCTTTTGTATGTTACAATATTTTATATTTTGTTAAATCTATTTTTGCTTTTTTACTAGCAATAGATCTCACTAACCTTTCAATTTTCTTAGACATATCCTTATTTGCATCATAATATTTAGTATGATCTTCAGTTTTCTTTGCAGTATCTGATTAATATTTTTGATGCATTTATTCTAAATCATTATAAAATTTAGTTTATTTATCTTCTAATTATTATTTCATTTAACTTGTATCCTCTACATCTTTATTTTTAGTTTCTTCTCTATTAGTTTAATGCTAATTTTTTGCTTATTCTGCTTTTCTCTTTTCTTCTTCTTCCACTGTTTTAATCATGTCTTCCAACTCTTTAACTTATTATTTATGAGTTTTAGTCATATCATCAAATTCAATTTAGAATTCTTCTTATAGTATTCTGATATCTCTTTCAAATTCTTCTAAAAGTGCTCTATTTCTACTTTCCTATAATAGATGAAAGTTTTCTAAATGTATAAGATGATTTCTTAAAGCAATTTAATATTAATCTTCTGCTTCATCTAAATTCTTGTCTAACATCTAAATGAATGCTTCTTTAGAATCTAATTCTCTTTTATTATTTTATGAATATAATTCTATGTCAAGTTTCAATTATTCAGTCTTAACTGCTCTCATAGTTCTTCTCCAATATGCCATAAGTTTTTTTGTATTAAAATTGACAATCTTTTATTCTTCTCTAATTTTGCTTCGCAGTTACTCTTTTTTAAACTATGTCTAATGCTTAAATTACTTATGCCTATTTTTGACTTTCTTCAAATTCTTATTATGATTTAGTAATTTATCTGATTTTGATGTTTCTTTTTTATTCTGTGCCTCCAGCTTTAGTTGTTCTACCTTTAAGTGTTTTTCCTAATAAAGCCATAAATTAATAATAATAAAGAAAATTAGATAACTAAATTAAAAAACTCATTTTTTTGGGACAGAAGTTCCTTTATAAAATGTTTAATAATAAGATTGGTCTTTATCAATTGATGATTATCTATCTTGATTTCTAGATTTTCTAGGAAATCTGCCATAATATTCTGATAATATATAATTTCTATTGACAGGAGTCTTTAATTTTAGAACTTTAATATCATTTGATTACTATAATTAACTTCCATCTAACACATTAGTTTATTAAAAATCTAAAGTTATTTTCCTTCGCACATCAACTGATTAATTCATGATAGTAGGAGATTATTACAAGATAGTGTTTTAAGTATTAACTGAATTGTTCAATCTAGGTTTTGTATCTATTAGAGAATCTTCCATGAGCATAGTATTATTATGTCGACCTAAATATTATTAATTATGTACTTTATCTTTATATCAATGGTAATGGATTAGTTGGATTAGTTTATCTTCTATCAGTTTAGGTTGTTTGTCTAATAGAAATTCTTTATGGTTCAAATATTTCAGAACTGATATCTAAATATAAAATTTTGAATATGAACCTGCAATTGATTTATTTCCAGCAACAATATATTTTTTAAGTAATAGATAATATGTTGTTGTTATATGATTGTGTCTATTAGTTTCAATACATTTCTCAGCATATTCAGCAGAAATTCCATACTGAATCAATTATTTTAATATTTCTGGATCAATAGGAATTTTATGATGACCAACAATGATTCCAGTTGGTATTTTTTAATTGTCTTTTTAAAACTTGATAAGATTAAAGTTATACAAAAATTAAGCCAACTATGTTTTCTTATTTCAAGTATTGTATATCTTTTTTATGGATCAGTATTTAATATATTTTTAACTAGGTCTTTTGCATCATTTGTAATGTATTTAGGAAATTTGAAATCCCCTGATATTATTTTCTTATATAATTATGTTGTATTAGTATCTTCAAAAGGAAGATATCCTGCTAACATTGCAAAAAGAATCACTCCTGAACTCCAAATATCAACTTAAAGTCCTTAATATCTTTTTCCAGCTATCATTTCTGGAGCAGCATAACAAGGTGATCCACAAGCTGTTTTCAACAGATCATCTTATTTATAAAAATTAGACAATCCAAAATCTATAATCTTTATTTTTCCTCTTCCATCAAGAATCAAATTTTCTGGTTTTAAATCTCTATGCACTATATGCAATTTGTGCAAATACTCTATTCCAGATATTAATTAACTGTAGAATCGAACAGCCTCAACATCTTTTATTCTCTAATTTTGTACTATATACTCAAAAAGTTCACCACCATTAACATATTCCATCACTAAAAATAATTATTTCGGTGTTTCTATTATCTGATAAGAACCCAATAATACTTCATATAATTATACTAAGTTAGGATGTCGAACTTATTTCAAAATTTGAATCTCTCTTGTTACTCTTTCAACATCAGAAGCATCAGCTATCCTTTACTTCTCCAATATTTTTATAGCTACTTTCTCTCCTGTCATTATATGTGTTGCTAATTTTACTTTCCCAAAAGTTCCTTCTCCTAAAGTTTTTCCTTTTTTAATTTATTATTTATTCTTTACCAAATAGATATTATCCAATAGACTTATTCTTTGTTAGATCATTTGTCATTTTTATAATACTTATTTATTTTTTATAATTAAAATTTTCATCTATTTCATATTATAAAATGAATTTCAATTAAATATATATGTTAAGATTCATTAAATTTTGATTTTCTTTATTATTAGATTTAATAATATATAAATCTAATTCTAAATCATAATTATATCCAATAGTACTACCCTAAATTGATGAAATCAAATAGAAAACTAATACCGTTGCTATCAAAAATTCCTAATAAATTATTTAGATGGACATCAAAATCTAATTTATGAATTCTTATTCAAAAACTAATAATTAAACCAAAACATAAGGTTATTTTTACAATATAATTGTTGATTTTAAGTATTAGCTATATAATTGTAGATTGTAATCTTTAACAATTCTTGATCGTTTAATAATGATAAATTAAAATCATATTCATAGTATAATAAATTTTGCTTATTAATGGTATGACTGAAAAGTTACTATTAAAAATAGGTAGAAAGATAAAGAAATCATGAATCAGATAATTCTTTATACTTAATATAAGACTATGAAATAATAGGTTGATCAAAAAGAACGTTGCTTGATATAATTTTTTATATATAAAATTAATATTAATTAAAAAGGATTGATTCAAACTCTAATTATTTATTCAATTCACTTTTAAAGAACAAAAAGAATTATGGAACAGAAATAGTATTAAATCATTGAATAATCAAGACAATTTTTCGATAAAATCAATAATTTTACTAATTTTTATAATTGAAATTCTAAAAAAAAGGAATTCATAGATTTTATTCTGTTTAAAGCAATCATTTATTTAATGGTGATAGGGTATATCTATCATTAATAAGAATCTCAAAGATTCTAGGAAGTTAAATTGTGTATACTTAATATCTAGTAGAGTAAGTATATTTAATCAAATTTGATATAGGTGTACATAGCATAAAGTAATTAGAATCAATAATTCTATTTAATCAAAAAGAATTCAAAAAACTATTAGCAATTTTTGGGGAAAAAAATAGTCTAAATAATTCACAATTAAAACATTTAAATTGTTTATAACATAATTTAGATATTATTATTTAATTTATTGTAAGTCAAACAATAATAAAATTGAAAAGGAATAAATATAGCACAAATGAAATTTAACTGATAAAGAAACTTCACTATCCAAAATAATGTATTATTATTCAGTATTTGAAATAAATTTTGCTAATAAATTCTATGTTAAAAGAACATATATAACTATTATATTAGAATTAATTCAAGGAGGAGAAATACTAAAGTATGGATAATAAAAAAACATAGGAGATGCAAGAAATGTTGATAAGTAATCATGTTATGTTTAAATTATATTCATAAAGAGATTATCCATATAATTTGAAATCATTAACATTTGTACAAATCTTGATCTCTTGATTAGTTAATCGCTAATTTTGGTTTAGATACATAGTTCAAAGTTTAAAACAATAGTATTATAATTTTGGAACCACTAGTAATGTTGGTCTAGATGTTTAAATATATAAAGAAGGTTTGAAAATGTACAATAGTCTCATATTCATTTTTTATCAATTTTATTTATTCAAAAATTAAAAGTATTTACAAATACTCATCCTTTCAAAGATATTATTTAAGCTGGAGAAAAAGAACATAGTTGCTGAACATAAATTGGATCATCAAATGAAAGATCCTTAAATTTTTAAGGATCTTACTTTGACTATTCTAAGATTGAATACAAAGTAAAAAACCTCTTCATCATACATCTTAAGCTATGATTTCTTTAATGAAATATTAAATTAATTATAATATGAGAATTTTTTTTGATCAATTCAAGAGTAATTCAAATATATTATATTTAGCATAAGTGATCAAAAGAAATCAGTCTTTTTTAATTCTAATAAGGAAAATTAAAATTATTAACATTTCAAAAAGAATAAGTGTATATCTATGAGAAATGGCTATAACCATAAAATCAGTATATCAGAGAATGAAATCCAATGACCTCTATAGAACAATACAATTGCATTATAATAATCAATCATCTCTAGATGTTAATGTATTATTTTGAATAAAAACTTAGTTAATCGAAATTAAAAAATATCTACATTTAGATAACGATCTAAAATTTAGAAAATGATATTGGAGATCATTAAATTGTCTATTTAACAATAATCAATAGATGTATTATTAAATACAAATGACAATTATTAATATTATATTTACATATTACAACTATATGATAATTCTTTCCTAAAGTACTGATATTAATCTTGTTAAATTATTTATTAATATAATTTATATTATTTTACACAGTTCTAACTATCGTAAATATAATTTTTTTGCTTTTCTTTATATTCCTTCAAGCCTAATAATTAAATCTTTTTTTAGATAAAATAACATATTTATCTTCAGATATACTTTTAATACTTGAATTCATCTTTTATTGTGACGATATCAAAAGAAATTTAAATTAATATTATGAATCATTCAGACGGTGCTCAATCCCCTCCATATTTTGGTATGTATCCGCTACCCTATTGGCCAACAAGCTCATAATTACTCTTAATGATGAACTTTTAGAATCCTTTAATGAGTCCAATCCATAATTTAGGTTCTCCAATTTTAACTTCTCACTTAAGTTTTACATAGCCAACCATGAATTACGATGTCAAATAAGAATAAAATAACATCCAAAACTAATTCATTCTAGACTCACAAAATAAAGAAACCACATAAACTAAATAACCATAATAATATACCAACTAAATTTAAATCATTGCTCAGAAATTAGATGACATGAATTATAATGAAATCACTATAGAAAACCTTGAATAATTAATTCATTTGTTGTTTGCAGAATCACCTAAACTTAAAAAGATCTAATAACAACTTAAAGAAAAAAAATGTATAAAGGTTGTTAAAATTCTTGAGACTTTGGCCAAAAAAATTAGAACACAATCAAAAAGTAGAGAAGAATTAATCAAATTTTGTCTAAGAAAGGCTTTTAGAGAGATTTTTCATAAAATTTAAGCAAAAAGTACTAAAACAAGTAATCAAATCTTTAAATATGTAGAACTGAATCTAAAAGCAGCATCTAAAATATTTTAGTAAACCTATTAAGCTGAAAAAATGAAATCAATATCTTTGCCATTTAGAAAAAATAGTAAGAATAAAACTATGAATAATCATTTTCTACATGAATTATTCTAATCAAAACAATTTTAAGATCAATATAAAACATTCCTTGGTATATATATAGTTCTTATTTTTAGAAAAATTAGATACAATTATTGAAAATGATAGAAATAAAAAAATAAAAGCAATTGCTGAAAAATCATGGGAATTTATCTAATCTAACAGAAAAGTAAAGAAAATTATTAATTATTTATAGACATACACTTTCAAAAGATTGCCATGGTCAATGAAAAATATAGAAAAGTTAAAAGAAACAGCAAATGAAATGCTCAATTACTGTGATGATTAAAAATTTATTTGAATTATTATCATTATTAAAATATGTATAAAGATATAACTGAGTAAATATAAAGTTAATGAATATTAATGATGGTCTCCACTAATAATATTTAAATTATTAGAGAAAGAAAATTTTAAAAAAATTGTGGAAATTCTTATTATATTTTTTAGGTTTTCTGCTTAGACTCTATATGTATTTTTTTATTAATTTTTAAGTAACAAAGACTATAATACATATTTAAACAATGAATAGAAATCCTTAATTGATTTTATTATTCAATTCATTATTCAAATATTGTGTTAGTTGTCTTTAAATACAATAAATTTGATATTTTAAAGTTTTAAAGTATATATATGATCAATAATAATAAATTCTAATGATAATTTTTTTATTTGATTAGAATTGCTATTTTTGAATTTATCACTGGATTTATTTTATTAACATTACATTTTAACAAAAATAAATAATTTATATAAACTATATTGAGACCTCTCTTTAAAAGATAATTGTGTGTAAATAGAGAGCAATTATTTACATTAATTTACTAACAAGTTTTGATTCATTTTTCTTTATTTAATATTTAAATTATTTAATATACATAATATTAAAATAAATGAATTAATTTTATCATTGTTATAACTTTTAGAAATTATTTGCAAAATTTATTAAAAATAAACTTCTCATTTTTAAAATTATCTTAAGTCCTTTATAGTAGTTAATTTATAATAGAATTTTGAAATGCAATTATTATAATTTTTAATCTTATTTTTATTTTTATAGATATGAAAAGGAATTATAAAATATATTAGAATTAATGTATTAACTAGGATAAACTTTTCATTTTTATTGATTAATGTAAGAGAATAATAATAATATTAAAATTCTTAAAATTAATAAAAATGAATAATAATACTAATAATGGATTAAATGATGAAGAATTGCTAAGACTAATAAAGTAAGAATTACATTATCCAAATTCACCTGTTTATGATTAGATAAGTGATTAATATTCTTCGGTAAGTGATGAAGATGACATTATTATAAGAGATCCAGCCTCTGAAATAAGTAAGACTATATATTATATATATTTTAGCTGATGAATCAAGCTAATCTCAGTAATTTGAAAGGAAAAAAGGAAAATGGAAATATGTACTCAATTTAAATTAATATTGTTTTAAAGTGTTGTCAAAAATGCACAAAATCAGACAAAGGATCACTTAAACCAAAGACTTGTGTATGCATAGTTCCAGCATCATAAAGAAGAATCTAAATAGGAGAATAAGGATGTCTTTCATGTCATTGTACAGGTTGTTCAATTGAAGATGAGAAGAAGAAACAAAAAAAGATTAAGAAGAAGAAGAAATCATCTTCTGTTTCTAGTTCCGATGAATCTTCAGATTTCAAAACTGTTAATGGATGTTGCAAAAAATGCATGAAAGCATTTTCTAAAAAGGGAAAGGAAGCTAAAGTAAAAATAATAATTGATCATAAAATAGTCTTGTTTATGTTAAGTTCCAAGAGCTGTTCGAAAGAAACCTTTACCTGCACATGGTTGTCAGTATTGTGGATGTCATGGATGTAATCCTGAGGATAAGAAAAAAGAGAAGATTAAGAAGAATAGTAGACAGCTTTCTCCAGTTTCTAATGAAGCCAATGAGTAGAATCTCAATAATTTTCAAAATGCTCGTAATATTAGGTTATGATGTTAGCATTAATATAATGGCTTAATGCATAAAATCTAAACCCAGGCATTTTAGGAATTGGAATACCATAAAGGACATACTCATATATATATGGGAAGGAATAAGGACGTTGAGAATAAAAACTTATAAATTTATTTATAATCATAAACTCTTTTAATCACTTAATTGACGAAGACGTAGTAATTTTATTATACAATAGATTAAATAATTTATTTATGGATTATAATTCAAAAGTATACCTATAAATGTAGCATACATGTGTTAAGCATTGTACAAATACTTTACTCAAAGCCTAGTTGGATCCATTAGAAAATCTTTGTTTAAACAGATGTGTAAACAAATATGCTGAAGCCATTGATTTTTCAATGCAATAATTCAAGTAGACAATTTACTCATAGAAGGTTGCACACTTTAAAGTAAGAGGAACTAGCCAAATAACAGTAATTAATGCAATAATAAAAAGAAATGGTTAAATCATCACTTTTTGGTAAATGATTAACAAAGTAATTTTATATAAAATAATAATATTACAATTTATAATGGTATTTCATTTTCTAATCATATATATTTGAATCTAGAATTGATTACCTTTCATTTATATATTGTTTTATCTTTTTAAAACACTATGAATCAATCAAATATCAAACATATAATTAAAATTGTTTGATAAATTTAGCATCTAAGAATTGAATCATAGTTAAGTTAAATATTTTAATAATAGTACTTATACTTATAGAACAAAAATTGAAATTTATTTTATTTTATGTCTTTAAGGATTCAGTTAGTTTCTTTTAATTTAACAATTTTTTCAATTTTTAACTAACAATCTAACATAGATATTTATGTTTCTAATTTTACATTTTCTTATAATATTATCAATATAAATTGATATATTTCAATCTTTCTTTTAATTACTATTGAAATCAATTTCATCAACTTATTTCATAATACAATTTCACTAGTGAACTATTCATAGATTGATTATTGAGGATTATTTGATCTACTTAATGATATCTTTGGCATTTAATGATGATCACTTTTAAGCAATCAAATATTCTCTATCCTATAAATCCATATAGTTATTTATTTCAAGAATATCTAAATCTAATATATTCTAAGCCATATTAAACCGTATAGTGATTATATAAATACTGAAAATTTATAATCATGTTACAATCTATTGCTGAAATAATTAATGTTTAATGTATTTTTTTGTTTCTATTTGTGGCTCTATGATATTCAATACAAAAGATTTTTTATAGTAAATTCAATTATTTTCAATTTATTCTAATATGGTAAACAATTGCAAGCTCTTATAAGTTTAATTTATAATTATTATTCAATTTAGTTAACAATAAAGACATAAAAAAGGATGAAAATCTCTTAAATCTCTATCTAAAAAAAGCAATCTTATTGTAAAAATACTAAATAAGAATATCTAAATTGTTTTATTTCTTTATTAAATTATTATGGTTTTCCAAAACATTAGCCTACTCAATCCTCAGCTATAATTTAATGTCTGATATTCTTGCTAAATTATCAATAATTTAAAATTTACTAATCATTATAATTACTTCAATTAATTTGACATCCAACAAACATACTTTTGAATTTCAAGTAAGAATAATTTGTAAAATTATACTTGTATTATTGAAGTCTAAAAATCTCTCTTTTGTGAAATTCTTATGTAATTTATATATTATAAGGTTCATCAAAATATAAATTTTTGAAATCCTAAGAATAATAATTTGAAATTAACTAAATTATATGGGCAGTATTATTATGAACTCTTTAAATTTATATTTAATACTTTAAATTTAATTTCCTTTCAATATAATATCATTTGCAATCATTATAGCTTAACTAGAAAGTAAATATTAAATTGATTCTTTAGTTTCAGTAGGAATGATTATTTCACGAATGAAAAATGTTATATTAATGGCTTAACAGAAATCAAATTTGTAATACTGTCTTATGAAGATTTTAGATTATTTTAGGCTATCTAAATTAATAAATAATAAATAATAAATAATAAATAATAGTTTATTATTAGCTGAATTCAAAATCAGAAATAAGTTAAAAGATTATGAAATATATAATTCAAGTTCAATCTGATATTGTATTTCAACCATTGTCTTAGCTATTATTTCATATTTTGGCATGAAATTAATCAAATAGATCTGAATTAAAACTAAAATTTTAGATAACAAAATATATTTTTTTAATACTTTTGATTAATATATATAATAATTGTTTTGCTTTCTAATACAGTTATTCTATTTTAGTCATGAAGATATTGAATGAATGTATAATAGAATTTGAAAATGAATAGACATTACTCAATAATGATGTAAATTTTTTTATCAATGTTCATATTATTTATATATAATTTCTCAATAACGTCTTGCATAACTTCTAGTTGTGGTTGTTGATGTTTAATTCATAATTTAGGAAGATGATGTTTATGATGGTTATTATTAAATGGATGAACTAGTCTAATAAATGGATGAAGCTGTCACTGGTTTTTGAGTGCTTGTTGTTGTTTATTAAACCTATGAAGCTGTAGGGAATAGATTTTATCTATAACCACTAGATCTATTTGATTGACTATCATCTATCTATTAATAAGATGTCTAAGGTTGTTTATTCACTTAGGTTGTAATGGTTGTACTGAATTAATTAGTTTGATTTGTAATTTAAGGAGGATTATCTTATCTTAATTCTTTCACTACAGAAGCATATTTGTTATTCCAAGTTTATAAATCCTATATAATAAATATATATGAATACAGATGTTTAATTAGAAATTATGTTCTATTATCTCTTTATCTCATTTTATAAATCATTAATTTATTGGTTCAACTTCTTAATATCATTTTATTAGTTATCAAAATTCTTCTTACTTGTATTTAAATCAGAATTTAAGCTATTCACTTTAGCTTCTAATTCTTTCTTTAATTTTTCTAAATTAGATGAATCCTATGAGAATTTATCAAGTTTCTTTTTCAAATCATCTAATTCTTTGTCTTTTGCTTAAATTGCTTATTACAATTTACTAATTTCTGTATTATCTTTTTTAACTTTCTACAATTCAAGATCCATTTAATTGAATCTAAATAAATAACATTTATTACTTCTTTTTAATTTCTTCATTTTCTTTTGATCTTTAAGCAATTTAATCTTATAAAGTTTTCAAATCATTTGGATTAGTATTATCTATAACTTTAACTTATTTAACAACTGATTCTTGCTTAGTTATCTGTGACTTTAATGAATTAATTTCATTATCTTTGGCTGCAAATTTATTCTTTAATTATTCAAACTCTCCATTAATTGAATTATATAATTATTGGAATTAAGTTTTTTATTTATTTGCATCATCAGCTACTAATTGTAAATCTGCTAATTTTTATCTTAAATCTCCTAATTCTTTAGTTTATTAATCAATTAATTATTTTAATCTTTAATTTTCAGCTTCTAATGGTTTTAATTAAGCAACTTATCCTTCTAAGGTTGATATAGTCTTAGATTATGCTGCATTTTCATCATTCTTTACTTAGATTTACTTTCCTAATTATTCAATTTCAGCTTATAATTTTGCTATTCTATCTAAAAGATTATCTCTTTCTGCAGCTAATTGTTTAGTTTATCTATCTAATTAACTTAATTGATCTCTTAAATCTGCTGTCACTAAACATCTAATATAATATAATAAATATAATATACTCTCTTTCATATAGAGCTTTGTATTTAATAAATTCATTTTAGAATCCATTCAATTATTCAATAACTTTTTACATAGAATTCATCTCAGATACTTAAGAATTATATTTATTAGTCAAATCAGTTAATTATTATCTTAATTTATTATTTTCATCTAATAATTTTTATAATTAAGCTTATAAATCTCCAATCTACTTTTATCTTTATTAATCTAATTATTAGAGTT